ACAGCTTCACCACTGGCTCATCAACTTTGACTCGGAAACCCGCCAGGACTAGATTGTCGAAGTACTCGCCAGGAAACCGTGCCGTCAGCCGGATCTCCCTTTACATCTATCCTTTGACTGGTCATCTAGTCCCCGCCCGCGTCATCACCCGCCATAATGGTGCCGAAGTCTCTCGAATGTGCTGTGGCTCTGTCGCCGGTTCCAGCTTAGGAGGTCAGCTTGAGCTTGGCGAAGATGACCACCGTGAAGTGGTCACTGTGGAGACAACTGTCGCCTCTGCCTCTCTCTTTCTCTCTCTGCGTCCTAGGGAGGCGTCACCCCCATGCCATGCCTGTTCGTTACCCTTAACGTCACGAATAAGTCCATGAAAAAGTTTGAACTTCAGACTTACGTCACTGGAGAAAACTGAAATCCTTTCACTTTCATTTAATACTTCAAGACGTCTTTAATGGATGGAATACTATTTTCTGAACCTGGTCAGAAGACAACTGTTCATGCGACCATGTCCTTTCGTTGAATGGTTAGTTAGGTGGTAGCCCATTCATTCAGTCTCTGAACCGCTTGGGTTGTACATTGAAGAAGAAACGGATGCAATTTTTTTTGGAATTTTCATAAGATTTTATGTCAAGGCGTCAATTGAAATACAAAATAGCCCATTTTCAGTCAAAAAAATTACCCATGCAGGTGATAATTTTGTTATTTTTATATTTTTCAGGAAGGAAATCCAGATATTATGGACTTGGGTGATGCATGGATTTTTCTCGAGGAACGACGAGGAGCACCGCTGAAAATAATTGACGACAAACTCAGAGTACGTTGTATCTTGTTCAGACCATTTGAAGCTGTTCTCAGCTTGCTACTTGAATAAAAATGTTGGTGTGGCCCATTACGCGTGAAGTTGCTATGGAAGACCAGATTCTATGTCATAGGAAATGTGAACATGTTTTCGGAATATCATCTCGTTTACCTTCAACATATCTCATTACCGATTTCACATTTGGAAAATGAAGATTGGTAGACTCGTACATAAATCAACATACAATGCTGAGTGAATGTGCACCACCTAGCCTAATATTTGTAGGATCAGTCAAAGATCAATCAAAGATCAATATATACTTTTATCAATTGAGGCAACAACGTTTTGAGCACGATTTTCTAGAGAGAGAACCTAGCGTCAAGAGTGATGTGGAATGGAGCCAAGGGAGAATACCAGCTCAAATCACACTAGATCTGGATGTATGATAATTCATCTACAAATCAATCAGAAGAATTTATAATGTGCAAGTTCCACATAAGTTTAAGAAACATAATGCAACAATAACAATGTTTTTTGAGGAGCTACCATTAGATTAGGGTGATAGCATGTGATGATGGGAATCATGTGAGAGTTCTCTTATTCAAACTACAGAAGTTGATTAATCCCATTCACAGAGACTAAACACTACGATTCGAAGCTTAAGAGCAGTTTATACCTGTACCGAAAGGGATAGCTCCACAACTCTATCCGTCGATGTCGTATATCCATTGAATGAGTATCGAAATCTCGACTCGTCCGCCTTCACCACTTCACGCGCACAACAATTGCTGCCTCATGTGTTCATGTACCTCTAGAGGGGACGCCTCCCACGGCGTTAGTATGCCGTCGTTGGCGGGAGAACCTGGTGCGGCTAGAATCCAGGCCGGCCGTAAGATACGCGTGGTAGGATGTGGGAATCGACATCTCACGGAAGAGGATCGATACTCTTCTGTTCGAGTAGCTGGTGCACACAAGAGGCGACCACGGTGGCGAATGGGGTCACCAGGGGAGAGGGCAGGAAGAACATCAGACGAAGAAGTGAGAAGGACGGGAACCGACGTAACAGGAGAGCCTAAGAGTTCGTCGCAGTCCTATGTTCTTTACGGTAAGCGTGGCAAGATCGGGATGGGTCTCGCAACGCGATGACCGCTGGTGAGGCCGGGACCATTAAAAGTTCACTGTCTTTACGACCAGGAGATCGTTTGTCCTTTTCTCCCCTTCCGAAAATGAAATAGTGTTTAAGGTCGTATTACGTTCTTACTCAGTTCTATTTCTTTAAATTCCTATGCATGCATCTTAATGGAGTGACGCCGTGTTGGGCTGTGTACGCTTCCACCACAAAGCCGTGTATGCACGCCGAGAAGACGTAGGCGACAGCGTGGATACATTTATTGCTTCGTTTCCCAGGTTGCGTCGACGATCGATATTATCTGAAGATCTCTACCTTCTTGGACGAAACCAAAGCCAATGGATTTAAACAAAACTGAAATATGATCGGTTGACGGAAGTATTTGGATGTTCGATGGTGTGGAAGAAGCGTAAGATAACGAGGAAGAAAGCATAGGAGATAATATAGGCAACAAGCCAGGCAAAACAAGTCACCCAAAAGGTGTGACCAAACAAGAGACAGAGAGAGAGGGATGAAAGGCAAGGGATTATGTCTAGATTACTGAGAAAACGGGAAAATCGCGTCTCGTTAACATCTTTACTCACTTGGAACCATGACCATAGCTCTCTACCATTTCCTCCTCTTGTCTTGGTCACAGGATGCGTAGAGATATCGCTTCCTGGGGGGTGAATCCCAAGCGGGACGGCTCCGACGAAGAGCATGGGGCATGATACAAATCAAGAGCGTACAAAGATTGGAATTTTCCTTTGGCCAGCTATCCTCTACCAAACCCAGACTGAATTCGCCCTCGTACACTCATCTGGGTCCCAAAACATGAAAGCGCTGGGCAACAATTTTTGAAGCCCAAAATACTTTCAAGACACAAATTCAACCTAGTAGGCTCAAACTATGTGGACGGCTTTAGTTTTGTAGAACTAGTCATTTTTGTCCTTTTAATCTGCTTTTATATTCTCCTTCGTCATCAACTTCACCTTCCAGAGAAAGATCCTACTGTCCATGAGAAAATCTGTTCGTAAAACTGACGTCACAGAAAAAGAAGATGAAGAAGATAATGGTGGTGATGATGATGATGATGATGGCAAGAACGAAAAAGAACGAAAAGTATCCAAAAACCGTGTATTAGAGTCCGATCGCTCGCCTTCTCTCGTTGGGGAATAAGTGGACATTATACTTCGGCGAACCACAGATGGAAGCAAAGGGCTATTTTCTGATGGCCCCAATCAGAAGAACGCGAAGACGGCATGCGACTCTGGTACACGGTTTTTGGATACAGTTCTAGACCAATATTTTGTTTCAGAACTACCCTCAAGTTTACCTTCGTTGCTTCTTACGCATTCGATAATCTGGATCAACCCAAAAAATAATCGACATTCTATTCCATTCTTTATGTCAGCGTTTTAATGAGCAGGAAATCATTTATGATATTAAAAAATACGCCCGACATAAAAGGGGGGGCAACCAACATTAACTCCGCTCACATTTTCCGTTATTTTTTACAAAACCATAATTCTACTTAAAACCATCAACGATGAAAGTTCATTTTGGTCAGAAAAGAAAGAATGAAGGGTCAAACCCCTTTCTGCTGCATGCTAGCATACCTTTATGTTTTTACCACATGCGAAATCTTTATGATGTTCATGAACTCGAGAAAACAGGAGAGAAATCAAGTGGAGCTGCACGCGGAAGTCTCTTCGTCCTTCGCTTTGTTTCGTAGTAATCTTCTCACCTGTCTGTATTTATTATCGTACCAGCAGGAGGAGAGAGAGGGAGAGATGACGTACGTGTTTCCCCGTGCGCGAGGATTCCTCTTCTTACCCAAGCTGCAGCCAGCTGTCGTTGCTTGAGGGTTTGACAGGTCCCTCTCAGGGGCGTCCCTTCCATCTACTTCACGGTGGGCGCGCCGATTGACCAGAATTTTAGGTGGAGGATCCTTTCATGACGTCGGAATGGACCCCTTCTGCCCGCTGGCGGAGACGGTAAGCGAGTCGCCGAATCTCCGTTTTTCCTGCTCCTGGGTGTTTCCTGAGCTTTTCCATCTCTCTCATCTATCGAAAGATTTATTTATTTATTACCGGATTTCCTCTCTCCATTTAACTATATCTATCTCTCTCTCTCTCTCTCTCTTCCTATTGCCTCTGGCCTTGTTTGACTTTCTTCATTATGGTCTAGCCGCTCGGCGGAGACCCCTTGTCCTGCTGACGCTGGGGAGCCTTTGATGGTTGACATGGATCCTGCCTGCCCAGAGCTTCGTGGCAAGACCAGAGGACACCAAGAATATTTCCGGTATGGAGCCGCCGCCCCGGGCATCCATCCAATGCATTATTTTCGATAGGAGCTGAACACCAAAAAAGATCTTGGAGAATAAATCATTCTAGGCAGTAGGAGACAGTTGATCTGTAAATATCTTAGAAATTCTCTTATAAACAAAGTTACAGAGAGGGAGAAGATAAGTTTGATGAAGTCCGAATGATTTACAGATCATTCGGACCTCGAGAAGTTACAATTCATTATGGCCTGAGCTCTCAGTGGGTTGTGAGGAGGAGGAGAAGGGAACCGCGAGAGGCGGGGTCTTCTCACCCTTCCGTCTCCAGCATCGTGTCCTCCCTCTCAGCTCTGGTTCGCGTTCGCTGATAGTCACCTCTTGGCAGGTATTCTCCCTCAAGTCTTTTCCCATGCAGGATGGATTACTGATGCCTTTCCAGCTTTATAATTAGACGGAGGGGGGTTAATCTTCTCTCCTAAAGAGTCCTATTTTCTCGCGGAGGAATCGGAAAACTCTTCTGACTACTTTCTTGTACTCCATTTGATACCTCCCTGACAGTTTTCGCCTTCTAGCGAATGTTTTTCGACGGGCCAAAGGAGCGATTCCATAGATTATTTGAGGACGCTTAGAATCCTTTTGTTCTTGGTACTAACCGCCAGATGATTGAATTAGCTTAGATAACGGGCATGTCGCTATGTTTTTGAAGAGCATGCTTGCGATGTTATAAGCCCGATTTATGCTCGAATTAAACATGTTTTTTTGTTCAAAATTCCTTTGACAGGCGAGGATAAAACGGCGTCCCTCCTTGGAAAATGACCGAGAAACAGAAGATCCTGGCCTCCCGAGAGAGACTCGACAGGACCTTGGCCTCTCCTGGCCTTTCAAATGAGGATTCGATCAAGTCCCTCGTCAAGAATCAGCTTCTGCGTTCACCGTTCCCTGGAACCGAGGGTCAGTTGGAATCATCTGGGCTCATGGTCTTTCTTCAGAAAAAAATAATGAATTAATTCAGTAAATCTGTGGGAGAAAATTTTGACGGGTTTTACAGCTCAGTTATCTTGTCTCCTCTGTCTTCCTTCTAGACTGAGGTGGCCGCCATGAAAGGGTTGCCCGAACCTTTGGAGGAAGAAAAGCTTATTTATCATAAAGCCTTTGCCCCAATAAACAAGATACCTCATCTTAACCAGCCTAAATCAGGATGCGATCATTAAATAAATTTCTTTCTTGTCAAAAATGTGCACATGAGATCACTGCTACCGCCTTCCTTATCTCCCAGCTGCCACCAAAGAATTTAAGGAATGCTGCTCCTCTGTTTTCAAATGATGGATATAATTTCCCCATTTTGCCCAGGTTACTGACCAGAACAAAGAATGATGTCAGAATATCCCCGTGTGTGTCGAATTGTTAATGATGCGATTAACCTTAAGAGATGTACACTCACGCATTTCCATCCCAAATAGCAAAAAAATTCTGATTGGTAAATCGCGCATGTCTACTATTTAAATGTTCATTTTAATTTTTTTCCTTCATTTCTTCGGTGACCAGAAGATAATAAGATAACAGTGTCTTATTTGGTGGTGCGAGTTATTCGTTCCTTGTCGGTGTCTGCCTGTACTAGCAATATTTTTCCAATTTTCAGGAGATCTCACGAATGTTGTGGAGAACCGTTCAAAGGAGGTATCCAATTTTATCGACATGCTGAGGAGTGCTTCATCAGGTGATAATGTTTCAACGAAGGTTTCAAGGGCCTCATATGGTAACTGGAAGGTGAGCCCGTACAACACGGAATACCATTCTCTTCCTGAGTTGCAGATGCTTGTGCGACTTTCTTTGTCTTGTACAGCAAAATTAAATGATAAGCTTGTTCATAGAAAATCCCCCATAATTTGTTCAACTGCCCTCGTTTAGTACTATTCTCAACAGTATGGCTTACAAGAGTAATTTTCCCTGTTGGCCAACGATCTGATCTAATCTGCACATGTACGCGAAATCTCCTTCAGACACTTTGACCATCTCCATCAACCTTGAGATGGCAAGTCACCACCCTTAGAGCTCCGAGGGGAAGGCTTCCTTGTGGTGATTCTGCACGGCTTTTTGAGATTCAGCTGGTCTCAAGCTGTGCATGTAACTTCTTGAGATTCTCTACCATTGAGTGCACATTCATCACTCTTGGACGGCGCTTGAAGAGGTTATCCAGACCCTTCATGGGATAGAATATCTGTTATCTTCTCCAGGCAGTCACTGTCACCCTTGCCTTCCACAATATCAAGCGAGATAAAATCATCTCTGTATATTAGTTTGGAAATTTTTTACAAGACTACTGAGCCATTTAAACTTAATTTTCGATGTTATGATGCTAATCATAGGTCTGTATATTTTCCCTCGAAGGTAAAGAAACGTATAGGTACTTCATAACACGTGATATGCGGTTGATGGTGCGAGTTATTAGATTTGACATGTCGGCGGACCTACTTGAAGACTGTTTTATGAGTTTGGGTTCACTGTACACATCTTCTTCCGCAGGGCTCGACAGATGGGCATCCAAATGGAATACAACCTCATAGTTTAGCTCATTTTCACATCTTTAGGTTTAATTAAAGGAAAACAAAATTGGGTAAGTTTAACACTACATGAAGCTATGATTATCTGGCACGTGACTTTCATCTGGATAAAACTGTTAGCCTCAACAGCTCATCGCTGTGCTCTGAATTTTTGATAAGTTCAGCATGGAATAATTTTATCTCAACCCAACTTTTTTCTGTGCGGCAAAGTCGCACGTTTTGGGCTTCCGGTTGCAATCGCTTGACCAGTCCTGGGTATTTTTCCAGATAAAACAAGATACAGAACAACTCCGAGTAATGTACCGGGAAGGTCCCAAGGGCTCCCCCTTCCATACGTTGCTTGCAGAAGGATATGCAGATGGTCCTATCGATATCTGTAAGTTGAAAAAGGAAATACCTTTTACCATATCTATACACTCTGTATCAGAAGTGACGCTGATTACAAGCTGAAACTTTACACAGTGCACATGTAGTGAATTCACTGCAACTTTCTTTGACTAGAAATATTTTTTTCAGGTTTATGTGTATCATGGGAGACCACCATTTACAAAAAATGGTAACGTATAATTTTATGGTTTGGCTCCACGATCTTGGTCCATTTTTATTCAGGCTTCCTAGGTGAAAATGTGATTTTTGGATATGATTCTATTTAATCTGCCCAATAATGTTCCCAACTAAAAACTTTCGAATGCTTCATTGACTTTACGGGAAATTATGGAGGGGTTGGGTCGTAAGTTTGGGTAATAATACCCACGTGGAGGAAACGTTAAAGTGGGTTTTTGTTTTCACTTTTTCTGTTTGGGGGAGCTGGAACGCTGACTTTTTCAGAGAGTCTGGGAAGAACAGTCTGACCTTGACCCTGACCCTCCGGCTTCCAACTAATTTTTCTGGGCGCTGACTTTGATTTCCAGGTGGCCCCAATACAACATTCCTCCTTTCAAGATTATCATGTCCGCCTTCTTGAAGAGGGTTCGAATTGGGGAAGAAATATCTCTACTGAGGTTTGTTCATGTTTCACGAAGAAGACCAAAAATTATAATCTAATTTAGTTCGTGTTTCATCATCTCCTCTTTTAGATTTCCACCGTCTCTGCCTGTCAGAGGACGGAAAAACTGGGAACCAGTCTATTTTTGGGGTATTGATTCATGTTTTATGTCAACTTTTTGGAAAGAAAGAATGAAGGTTCCCTGGCCAATGTCGGATAGAGAAGCCCTTCTGCACTATTTTGAGCTGGAATACTTAGAAGACGATCTCCTGATTGTTCTCATGAAGACGGTGGGTAGTACAACCTGGATGGAGCTCTTCTGCACTGTTTAGTCCAGAATCCTTAGGGAAAATATGTGGTGATTTGTTATTTCTTAGAAAGTTTGTTTGCTCTTTCTCTGTATCATCTTATCCCAGATTCCCGATGGAGAGCCCGTTGATCCAAGTACCCATGGGTTCGAGAAGGATGGAATCCCTGAAGCAACTGATTCAGTACGAGTGGATATGGTTGGAGGCTTCGTCTTACAGAAAGTCAGCCCAACAAGATGCTTCTTCAGGTGATCCTCTTTTCTTCTGTTTTTCAGGGATCTTCATAGAATTTTTTCCTCATCATTTTGGTATTTTCTTGTAAATGGAAGAATCTGATTTTATTTGGACCAAGCACCACCCATCAATGAAACCATTCTAAACTCTCTCTTTGGGTGTAGATGTTTCATTTAAATGCAAAAGAACCACTCAATCCCAACCGATTCAAGTCAATATATGAGCGGCCGATTCTGTATCGTTTAACTCATGCTTACGCACAAGATAAATGAAGGCATCGTGGTCCATGATTTAACACTGACTTGTTCTCTCCTGCATGCTTTTAACCTGAAATTTCCGTCAAAAATCCCGGTTTCATTCAATCTTGGGAGAAACACTAATGGGTCATCGGAACCAGTAGGAAGGAGGGGTCCTGGGTCAAGGGAAAAAAATAATATCATGAGCCTGAGATTAGCTGATTTTCTCAAGGTATTCTTTTTGGGTTTTTTCTTTTCTTTTTTTATTTTTTTTTAGTGCCAATAGATCATCATGGGTTTCATGATGATGATGATGATGAAGCCATGCTTGATTAGGTTGGGTTGAGTTCCTGGTTTTCCAGCGTGCCTCATGGGGGATATCACGGTTGGGAGGAGTGATTAATGAAACACCAACATCACTGAAGATGAGATATAATCTGAACTGGGTTTGAGCAGAGCAGGGCTCCTTGAAGAACGCTCTAGAAGAATTTTCAAGCATTTAATTTCTGGAAAATCTGTTGAAATATCCGCCTAGATTAAATCTTTTCTTATGAGAATATGGTGGCTTCGGAGTTTTCTGAGGATGAACTTGTAATTGCGCAGAGCCATAGCAAATCTGGACATGAAGCTCGACTTTATGCCTCCATCTCTTATTAACTTCATCTCAAGACAGCTTATCGGCAACGGACACAAGCTCTATCAGAAGGTCAGATTTCTCCTTCTTGCCCCATGGTCACAATGCCATGGATCAGACTGCTGTTTATTCTTTTATATTACCCTGGTTTAGTTGAAAGATCCACACAAGTTCCTCATTTAGTGAAGTCTCTCAGAGAATTTTCATTGGTTTATTGAAATAATTCGACTATATATATATATATATATATATATATTCTGATCCGGGTCACTTTTAAAGATAAAATTGTTCCATTTTCTTAATTTTAAAAACAGAGCAGCTGATTTAAGCAATCCAAATGGTAGTCTTTTCATAAAAAATCTGAAAAGCATAGATTGATTATAAATGGAATAATATGAGGGGGGGACTTTTTTTTTACCAGACATCGATTTTATTGTGAAAAGTGATTCCAAACTTTCCACATATAGCAGGTTTTCGATAAAGAACCCCCAATTGTGAAAATTCCCCAATTTCGATAAAGACTATGGATTGAAATTGGGTATTTTTTAATCTTCAGTTGTACTTTTATTTTTCAAAAGCACCACAATTTATGGTGGAATTTGATTCCAAAATGTCTATAAAATGTAATTTTTTTAAGAGTGAAGATCAATAAGCATAAATAGTATGCACTGAAATGATTGGGAAATGTGTAAATTTTACTGGTAAGTTCTCTTTTAAGTTCTGAAACCTAAGCTTTCATAAACGAAGCAATTGCTCGACCCTTTCATTACGTTTAAAGTTGCATGCATGAACACAAATGTACCCGCGTTCATACATATATTCATATTGTTTGTTTACGTATCTCCTCTGCGTCGAAACTGCTCTTGTTGGCTCCTTCATTCATCTACATTAATACCCCGAACGGAGATTACACCAACTGGACAGCAACAGCACGAGCAACCCTTTCCAAACCTGCTCCTAAAATCTACCCATTTCTATATACACCCAGGTTTTTTTTTTTCCTGCAATAAAGGCGGGGTCTTTGATTCTGCAGGCGATCGCTTCTGTCGTCGCTTCTAACGGGGACTACCGCGATGCTCTGAAGCGTCAGCTGTACGCGAGGTTGCGTGGGCAAGGAGACCCCGTCTTCTCGAAGCCTTTGACAATCTCAGAGGAGCCGGTCGACGAGAAGTCAACCTTCGCCGAAGAGGAAGCTGAGAAGACCCCGGCTGTCGCAGAGGCCGCCGGCGAGGTCGTGGAAGCAGCGCAGGAGCTGCGCCACGAGGTCGAGTCAACGGCGAGCGGGAAGAGCGCCCGTGCGGTCACCGGCCAGAGGTCTCGCAGTAGGATAAGCCCGGAGGTGGAGAGCGCGCTGAGCATGATGAACGAGGTCATCGGCGTCTTCCGCGGCCTCGGATCTCAGCAGGGTGGCCGGAGCTTGCCTATCTTCGCGGAACGTCAGACGTCGGCCATGGAAGAGGGCTACGGAAAGCAAAGGTTCTCCGACGAGAAGCTCGCTAAGAGTCAGCTGTTCGCGGAATTGAGGTGACCCACGTAAACTACCCATGTTTTTATCGTTCTTCATTACGATATATCAGAATATCAGAATATATGTTGAGATAGTTTCTGGTTTGACTCGATATGTTGCCGGAGCTCGCAGTCATGGCGAAGACGACGACGGAGGAGGGAGGAAGCCAAGGAGCTCTGCGCCGTCCCCGTCGCCGGGCGAGAGTCTCGGTGCGGGAGGACTGGAGAACCCGACCATGGCCATGGTGGGTGAGACGGCCGGTGGAGGGAGCCGGGTCAACGACGCAGCCGCTGATCGAGGGAAAGTCGGGGAGGAGGCGGCCCGGTCGAGGAAGGGGAAGTGGTGGCGGTTCTCCTGCCTGAGCTGCTTCAACTGAGGCATGAGTCAACGCCCTCAAGCGCAATTAAAGAACACCTCTGAGCGTAGATATATACATATATATAATGCCGAAGGAGATGTTCTTATCGCCAGGTATGGCGTCTTGTGAGCAGAACCCGGCGTAGAACTTGATTTTTCCGACTTCCAGATGGGGTGATAAAAGTTGGAGAACGAGAAAGGAGATGTTTTCATTACCAGTTGCGGCGTCTGGGAGGAGGATCGGTGAGAAACCCAGTCGTAGAGCTTCATCTTCCACCTTCCAGATGGGGCAATAAATAAATCTTTGAAGACGATGTGGGGTTCGCGTAGCAACACTCGCCAATTTCGGGCAAGAACGGTCGGCCCATTAGAACAGTACGGGAGCCTGTTAGGTGTATAGGAGGAGATCACAGCCCATGAAAGAAAGGCCTTGCCCTCTTCCGCCGGCGGCGGGAGCTCGAGCTCAGTCTTGTCCTGCAGATTTCGGTTCTGAAACGAAATCTGATTCAGTGGAGACTATGTGGAGGAGACGGGTGAGGGAGCTCTTCACAGCCCCGTCCCCCGCCGCCCCAACCGCTGCCCTGCGACAGCCTCCTTCCCTGCAAAGAGGATTAAGGCCGCACGGCGGCGAAGCAGTGCTGCAGACCTTTGCGGCAGATCTCCTCCGCCGCCTCCAACTTCCCTGCGTGGCAGAACCGCCGACTGTCGCCGGAACTGGCCGCCGATTGAGCTCTTCATGGCGTCTCTATTCTGCCGCGGTATCGCCGGACGACGGCGGCGGCGCCTCCGCCGCGTCGGCGGGGTGCTGGAACTGCGGCGCCGCACCGCCATCCTCCTCCTCGGAGGCGTTCCTGGTCTGTGCAGCCTGTGGCAGCGTCCAGCCGGTGGACTCCTCTGTCGACTTCTTCAAGATCTTCGGGCTGTGAGTATCATCATCATCATCATCATCATCATCATCATCATCATCATCATCATCATCATCATCATCATCATCATCATAATCAAACGCAGAAGAAGAGACCCCCGAGATTCTATCTGTTTCCCTCAGTCGGAAACTCGAGACCCTCTCTCCCTGCCGCATTTCCGCGATGAGAACTCTAGGAATGCGGAACCATGGAGAATTTCCTGAAACGGGTCGAGCCGAGAGGTTCCGCAGTCTCAGTGTCGGACTCTTCCTGCCGCGTTTCTTCGACTGATCGTTCGTTTTCTGTTAGGGAAAAGGAGTATGAACTGAGAGGCGATGATCTGGAGGGCAAGTACAAGAACTGGCAGAAGAAACTGCACCCTGATCTTGTCCACACAAAATCTGAGGTTCGAACGAGCATAAACACCTTCGGAGGGGCTCAAGATTTTTCTCTCCATATCATCTTTTTCTGATCTTTCTTCTTCTTCCCGATCCATCCCAGAGAGAAAGATCTTATGCTGCTGATCAGTCGGCTCGGGTAATCGACGCATTCAAGACTCTCAGCGCACCTCTGTCAAGGGCAATATACATGGTACAGCTTCTTCTTGCGCCTTCGATCTTGTGATTCGCCAAGCTTGTTTTCTTTTCTTTTTTCGATGAACTTTAGTAGTGCCTGTGAAATCTTGAGTGCATTAAGTCTGTCAAATTAACAGAGAATAAAGGGAGAGAAGAGGAAGATGAAACAGTTTCGACGACCAGATGTCATGGTTTTCCGTAACACAGAAATCAGCAGATGTGTTGGTGATTCCGTCTATTAATTTCTTCAGCCCCGGGGCAACTAATGTCAGAGCTGGGCCTGTCAAAATAACTATGTTTTATTATTATTATTATTATTATTATTATTATTAGTATGATAAATTGGTAGAGTGGTAGGAAAAAAAAAAATGTGGGTAATTTTCCGCCACAGATGGAAATGAAGCAATGACCTCTCTCCATGAGATCCAGATCTACGGACGAGGACGGCTGAAAATCGTATTATTTTTTCTAACTTGGGAAAGTGATGGGATTTTTTATGAGGAATTTGCCACGACAGATGGATACGAGTAGAGTGATGGTCCTCAAAATTTATGGATTCCTTTCTACATGAGATCCAAATCCATGAATGAGGATAGTAAAAAGCACTTCGACACGACTGAAAGGAATGAATTGACGAGCCACTTACAGAACTCGCCCACCCTTGTTGCCCTTGTTCCTCCATTAGCAAATAGCTTCCTAAGCTCCGGCCTAATGAGCTTGCCTTCTGGGCATGTTGCAGTTGCAGCTCGAGGGCTTGCATGTGGATGAAGAGGGGACTGTTTCAGACCCAGACTTGCTCGCTGAGGTAGTCTGGACTCTCTAACCCATCTTTCTTCTTCATGAACACTTGAGGCCAAGATTGTCTATTCTTCACAAAGAATCAGGTTTTTTTTTTTTTTTTTTTTTTTTGTTCAACTGACATGAAACATTTACTTCATGGCAGGCTTTATTCATTAAGTCTGTAACTCTGGGCTGCATTATTATTGCGTGTAGGTCATGGAACTCAGGGAGGCTGTTGAGGAAGCTAAAGACTCACAGACATTAGAACAGATAAAATCCTCGGTGTGTGCACGTGTCGGTTTTATTCGGATTTCTTCGCGGAAATGTGGGCCACGACGGCTGTTGACCTAGCCATCTTCCTTGTTTCTATTTCTGTAGTGCCAGGAGAAACTGGAGCTTTGGTCCAGGTCATTTGAAGGAGCATGCAAGGGTCGGAGGTTCAAAGATGCCACGGCTTCGATCCAGAGGATGACCTATTATCAGCGTGCGATTGAAGAGATTGTGAAGAAGCTTTGACTTACGTAGTCCACCACGGTCAACCTCCGTAGGATAGGAAGAAATTCATGCAATTTTGGGCCATATTTGTTTATTTATGTATTTATTTATTTATATTGTTGTAAGCAAAAAACTAGTTTTGGCGACCTCAGAGAACTGATGAAATGGGCTCCATGCAAATGTGTAGATAATATCATACCACTTTGAATTTTTCATTTTTAATACACAATTTATTTCTTTCTTCGACTACAGTTATCTTATATGAATATTATTTGGTTTTATCATATATTTGTCATGCTCACTTATGTGAAGTGTCGGTGTTGACTGCGTCAATTATCCCCATGCCCTCAGACTCCATTTTTTACTGTTTTATGAATTTTAATATTTGAAAATCCCGGTTCTATTTGACTAGCAGCGCCAATTTTATTACTTTTACGGTTTTTTTAATTTTTATACTTGCGTCAATTATGTCCTCGAAAGTCTTATTATTTTGACAATTTTTAACTTTTGAAATTTACTGTTATATTTGACTATTATTTTCCCAAAAGTTAATCATCTCATAAAATCTCTGTGAGAATAGTTTCCACAGCTCGTAGAGATCATTAATTCGCATTGGTAACGGCTCGGAGAGGGCACAGAGAAGATGAAATGGATCTGCCCGTTGACCACGAATAGAAAAGAAATATGCACAGAAAGAGGAAAAATCCTGGTTATCGTAGAATTCAGGCCAGAAATCTCCTCTTCCTAGAAAAAGTCCACTTTTTTTCCAGCAGAGCGCGAGCAAGATCATGCTTGCCTTCTCTGTTGAGCCCGTAGAACACAGTCCGGAAGTTGACCGCGCTCGGAGAGATCCCCCTCGCCGCCATCTCCTGGATGAGCTCCATGGCTTCCTCCGACCTGCCGGCCCTGCACAGGCACGCCATGAACGTAGAGTACGTCTGGAAATCCGGCGGCGCTCCCGCCGCCGCCATCCGCCGGAAGATGGCCCATGCGGCGGCGACCATGCCGGTGCCGACGTAGCCACGGATCAGCGCGGAGAAGGTGACGACGGTGGGCTCGCAGCCCTCCTCCTCCATCTTCTCCAACACCGCCATGGCTTTCTCCGGCCGCTTCTCCCTGAAGAAATGGACCATCAGCGAGGTGTAAACCTGGGCCGTCGCCGGTATACCGGCCCTCTTCATCTCCTCTATCTTCTCCAGTGCCGCCGCTTCCCGGCCGCCTCGCAGGAGCCCGTGGATGAGGCTCCCGTAGACGAACTCGTCCGCCCTGCAACCCCGATGGGCGACGGCGCTGCCAGTCTCGCCGACGAGCTCGAGAGCCTCTTCCATTCGCCCCACACGGCAGAGAGACTTGACGAGCAAGGAGAAGCCCACCTGCGCCCCAAAGCCGCGCGTGATCAGAGCTTCCACGCAGCTCCTCGCCTCAGAAATCTTACCGGATTCGCACAGACAGGAGAGGAAGCTCCCAGCGAGCTCCTTGTCCGGCGAGATTCCGGCGGAAAGCATTTCATGGAATGTCTTCTCTGCTTCGGCCACTTTCCGGCCCTTCTTCCCGCAGAGGAAGATGATCAGGAACTTGAAGGTGCTGGCATCGGGACGGAAACCTTCAGACTTCATCTCTGCGAATTTCCCCAGAGCCATCTCCGTCAACCCTGCTCGTCCATACTGGGCGATCATGGTGGTCCAGGTATCGACCATTCTAGGGCAACCCTTCCTCTTCATCTCCTCATGGAGATGCCTCATGAAAGAGAAGTCCTTGCCGGCGCCGGCGATCTTGATGGCCAGGTTGTATGCTCTCGCGGTGTGCCTGAAGCCGGCCGACTTCCCGACCCACGAGAAGAACCGCAGGGCGGCGCCGCCGTGCCCCCGGCAGCGCTGGAGGACCTCCTCCGCGAGTTCCGGCGAGAAAAGGATCCCGCTCTTCCTTAAACCCTCCGCCATGGAGGCCCAGTCGCTGCAAGGAGATGCTAAAATCCTCTCTACTTCCTTCAGCTCGTCGTCGCTCCACCTTCTTCCTCCCTGGCTCTGGTTCTGGCTCGGGTCCAAGTCCTCGGCGGCGTCTTCAATGGTGGAGGACAGACCTAAGCGCATCTGTTCAACCATCGACGCCTTCTCCGGCAACCCCTTCTCTCTCAGAGAGTTGCAGAGCAGGTGGAAGATGTCCCCTCCAGGAGGAGCCAAATCCGAGCGGAGCATCTCGGCCAGGGCCCTGAGAGCCTCCTCTGGTTCGCCGGACTTGCAGAGCTCTCTGATGAACACCGAGTAGGCCTTCCTCGTGGGCTTCGTCCCCTTCTCCTTCTTCTTCATCCCCTCGAACAGGCTCCACGCTTCTCCAACCCGGCCATTCTGAACATGGCCGGCCGCCATAGCCACGACGGCGACCATGTCCGGTTCTGCACCGTTGGCAACCATCTCGTCGTAGAGCTCGCAGGCCATGCCGTGCTCTCCTGCCCTAGACAGATGCTGTATCAGCTCCGTGTAGGTGCGTACCCCCGGCGAGCAGCGGCGGAGGAATTTCATGGCCAACTGGACATCTCCCAGTCTCAGGTACCCACTGACGATGTGCCCATAAAGTTTGCTGTCTAAAACTCCGTTCTTCTCAGCGCCGGTCACAAGTTCCAGAGCTTCGGAGACTCTGCCGGCCTTGCATAGCGCCACCGCCAAGATCTCCACTTTCTCTGGATCAAGCCGTTGGGTCTTCGTCCTCATCTCCTCGGCGAGGGCCATGGCGGCTTCGAGGTTCCCCGAGATGCAGAAGCTCTTCAGCATGAGAGAGGTGGAGGAGGAAGCGGCGTCGGAGGCCTTCGCCATGTCCTCCCCGATCGACCTCGCCGTCGTCACGTCCCCTGATGCGGCCAGAGCAGTCATGAGCGCCTGGTACAGGTCGCCGCAGACGGGGAACATGCCGCCGCCGGCCATCTCTCTGTAAAATTCCACGGCCATCTCGGCCTTTCCGGCATCGCACAGAGCACGGATGATGCTGCCGTAGGCCATCTTGTCTGGTCCAGACCTGCATTTCTTCGTCTGCTCGAAGGCCCAAAGGGCCCTTCCGACCTTATTCCCTCTCCCGAAATGGTGGACGAGGATGGTCCATGTCTTCACGTCGGTGGGACAGGAATCCTCTTCCATCCAGCGGAGGAGCTCGTCCACTAGATCGAACTCCCGGGCTTCGCCGGCGATGTATAGCATGGCGTTGTAGGTCGCCGTCGTGTGGCGGAACCCTGGTTGGCGCCTGGCCCAGGAGAAGAATCTGAGGGCGGCGCCGCCAGCCTTGAAGCATCTCTTCACCACCATCTCCGCCACCTCCGCCGTGAGCTCCACGGCGGCGCTCCCTAGACGCTCCTCCATGGCCGCCGCCGCCCCTCCTCCTCCGGAGCGGACGATGGCAGTGATCTTCTGCACCGTCGGGCTGACATCTACTCCTTCCTCCTCGTCTTCCCCCTCCGACCAGCGCACCTGGAAAAGGCCCGCAGGAGCATTCCGTCGAGCACCTCGCCGGCAAATTTTAATCCCATCGTCGGCGAGCCCACTTTCTTCTTCCTCTCCCACCTTCTCGGCGCATACCGCAGGATGAGGAGGTTTTCCCCCCTCCGGAGCTATTATGGCGGAGATGTTCTGAAGCAGAGCGTCGGGAGAGGAGGCCTTCGACTGCGGCGGCGCTGACTTCCTCCTCAGACTACCGTTGCGGCGGCGATGAGGACGGGATGAGCTGGGTTTTGGAGCAGCAGGAGGAGGAGCTGGCCGATGGCCCGACGAGAAGCGGCGACTTTCTCCGGCTGAGAACCGGAAGGAAGGGGAGAAGAGCTTCCACCAGAAGCTGCTGCTGCTGCTGGTTCTGATCGCCGCAGCGGCTTTGCAGGTCCCACCTCTCATCGGCGAACACCACCTCAGCCACCATTGGCCGGAGAAAGCTTCTGCCTTTCGGTACTTCCTCCTTCTTCCTCCTCCTCCTCCTTCCAGAATGGCAACGCGAGGAGAGCCCAGAATGGCGGCGGCAGCGGCGGCAGCGGCGGCAGCGAGTGAAGCCTCCGATCCCCCCACGGATTACGTCCGATCTGGACCCGGTTTGACTCGTCATGGCCCATTGTTCCCATTGGTGCGGGTCCCACTTCCTGGGGGCCATTTAAGTTCATCGATGGCCGACCTTCCTGTTTCTCGCTTGGAAGAGAAGAAGAGACCGAGAGTTCCGTGGCTTCTGCGATGGGTTGGGGCAGGGGATCGTCATCTCCCTCGCCATCTGCGGCATCTTCTTATTTGTCGTCTTCGTCTGCGACCGGTGCGGCGGAAGACGGCGCCGGTGAGAGGTGTGCGACGAGGAGAATGGTGACCTCGAGTTGCAGGACCGAGGAGGTCGATGGGAGGCTCATCCGAAAGTGCGAGAAGACAGAGAAGCTCCTCCGCGAATGCGTCGGCAGGTCGGTGCCCCTGGATCTATCCTCTGACTCTTCTCTCTCACTCCCTTTGATTCTTTGCGGCATGGATTCGCGACCTCCGCATCCGTTGTGCGGTCGGGAATTTCGTTTCCTTGGTGATGAACTATTGGTATGCGATTCTCCTCCCGGATAATCATTCTCGAGTTAAGTTTCTTCATATAGATCGATGTTCTAGAGTGAGTGAAGATTCCTAGTTTCTTGATTCCGGTGCCGATGAAGAGAAACCAGAGTTTCTTTCGTCTTCATCATCCCTAGTGCGGGAGGTTCAACCGATGGATCCTACCTACAAATTTCTTTCGAATTTATTAAATATAGGGGTAATTGTCGACGATCTGTGGTAGCTTAGACCTAGAACTTCGTCTGTTGAGACCAATACAGGTTGTGATATCAGATAAGCGTCAGTTGTTGCTTTTAGCTTCTCTGTTTGAGAATAAATTGAAAAAAGATGTATGGAAACCAACACCAGGAATTAAGAACAAGGCTTATCTTGTGTGCCATTTGCGACTGTCTTTGGTTTAGATACTGAAGAGGGCGAACCATTCAACTGAACATGCTGAACATGTACTTTTTCACAAGTTGAAAGATCACAGCTGACAAAGTTACCATCTATTTCTTTATTTCACATATGGTTGCGTGGCCCCGTTGATCTTTTTTTCACTACTTGTCATTTTCTTCACGAAGCCTAAAAATTATTATGATGAGTGGTGCTTGCCCTTTCATGGACTCGGAATAAATTCATAACCCTAACAGGGGCTGAACTTATTCGAGCCCAATTATAGATGGACCAGTCTTGGTCAAACCGCCGACCGAGGTCAAAGCTCGGGGTTTTGTCGATGCAACCGGAAGTCGCCCACTGGCATCCTGAATATTGGGTGATCAAGTAACTTGACATTTGTAAAAAGCAGTCATCGAAAATTTTGTGCACCGTTGGTTAGACATTGTAGGTCCTCCCCCCCCCCCCCCCCAGAAAAAAAATAAAAATAAAAAAGACCTGCTGATCAAAGTGATGAAAATGTTGATTAATTAGTGCTCAAGCATGATAAAAGCTTTTGCAAGGGTTCAGGATTTAGCTTTTTCAGACCACAAGTCGCGCTCTGATATCCATAAATGGTTAATTTCTGTTGGTTTTTTTTAAAAAACTTCTGATCAAAGTGATGAAAATGTTGATCATTTACTGCATAAGCATGATAAAAGCTTCAGCAAGGGTTCAAAAGGTTTGATTAGACTTAGTTTTTTCAGACCACAAGTCTCGCTCTGATTTCCATAAATGGTGTGCGCATTATGTTGGTCAATGTTGTCTTCTGTAACATCTCGTCCAAAGGATATCGAGTTCATAAAAAGGTTAAAAGAGTTGGTAGCTATGAACAAGTCCATTAGCTCAGAAAGTGCGGTGATAGAATAATTCTGATGCTGATACCAAGCTGCTTCTGGACGGTATATCCGCAGGGCGGGTTTCTACAAGAGGTTTTTTATTCTTGCTGGGCATCAATCTTTCAAGAGACGGCCGCGTATGTGATGAAGGTTTCAAGTCGTTGATTTTGGGTAGCTTGCAGATCTTCCTTCTTCTGTGTGAGAATAGTTTTGATCCGGGATTGTTTTCTGACCGGGATCAGCTGGTTTTCGGCAGAAGTCTTTATTTTTTATATTTTGTTATAATCTGAGATAATCATATGATTCTTCACAATTCGGATGCCCTCTCCACTTGAAGGAGGGATTGGGATCGTACTGTTTCTTCCAGGCCGCTCATTATTCATTCCAAAAACCATGTGAAAGTTTGTTGACGTCTGGAGCTCTCTCTGGCAATCAGAGATGGAGGCAGAGGGAATGGAGGCGCCGGTAGATGCTCTCCAGAAGATGTCTGAGTAGTAACCGGTGGAACGTGGAGAAGATGACAGAAAGGGCTAGAAGATGACTCGAATTCATCATCTCCGCTTCTGTTCAGCCGGAGCGAATCCTCTTCTTGAGCATTATTCAGAACATGTTCCAGTGAAAGATGATTCCTTTCACTGGAAGGAAGTTCGTGGTACTCTCTGTCTCCTTTTTGCTGTATTTATTCGCGGGCTATTTGCCTCAGGCCCGCGGAAGTCGTGGAGTCGACCACGGAGCATACGGAAGACGACGTCACGGACAGGCCCCGGTACGCATTGGGCGGCGGCGGAGGCGTAGGCGGCAGTGGCGAAGGCGTATTTGGGTTCCCGGGGCTGCGGAGCGACGTGGAGGCGATACAGCAGACCTTGGAGGGCGGTCTCAGCCACTTCCTCCAGATGGCGGAGGAGATGACCGGCGAGTTCTTCGGGGTCCCCTGGCACCGCCACCGCGACCCGCCGCCGCCGGTGGAGGACCGGGGGGGGTCTCCGCCGGGTCATGCTGTGTACGGAGATGACCTCCCTGGCCAGCTCACAGATGTTTAGGAGAGAGAAAGTCAAACCTACCTCTCTCTCTCTCTCTCTCTCTCTCTCTCTTGTAGGCCGGCCCTGGTCTTCTCCTATACTCATGCACATGGCCTAGAGAGGAGAGAACAAATGTTTATTGCCCTCTCTCTCTCCCTCTCTTTATACGTCTGTGGGCGTTGACCGGGGGGATAAAGGAGCACGTTTGTTCAATGGGAGAAGCTACCTGAACTGAGGGCGGAGCGTCGGCGCAAGGGAAGATAAAGAAAAGAGAGAGATGACGACTACGGGAGGGCAAATGGGCCGGCTTCCTAGACTGGATGTCGTTGACCATCATGAACAAGAAGACACCCTACTAATCATGCAAGCACTTCAAATAAAATTGCTCCGGTGAGAGAGAGAGAGAAACCTGGTGGCTCTCTGACCCAATCTAATGAGGAGGTAGATGGAGGGAAGAAGTTGACTTCTTTGATGAGTCCTTGACCAAGTCTAATGAGAGAGAGAGAGAGGGAGAGATAATCCTGAAGCTGCTTGGTGGGTCCTATAGATAAAGTCTGTGGGGTAGATGTGGAAGAGAGAGAGAGAGAATTCCGGAGTTGCTTGATTGGTTGATCCAGTCCAACAGCGAAGCTCGTAAACGCGTGTACTTTCGTTGAATGACGAATATATCCTCATCCCCTTCGTCCCCACGTCCTCTCTCTCCTTGGACCTGCAAATAACTGCTCGGCCCCCCCTCTTCCCTTCCCACCCTTTTCCCCTCCGGATTCTCTCTCCTTGGATCGCGTTCGTTCTCTCTCTCGGTCGCTGGACGATTACGCAGCGGAAATCTTGGCTTCCTGTTCAGGGGATCGATCGATTGATGCGGCTCTGGTCCTAGTGTTCGCCGCTGGTGTGTGCTTCTGCCCGGTGATCGGGAGGAGCAGATGGGAAACACCTGCGTGGGGCCGAGGATCACGCAGAACGGGTTCCTCCAGTCGGTTTCCGCCACCCTGTGGCGCATCCGGTCGACGGACGGGACCAGCGCCGACTTCCCCCAATCCGGGGATCCCAAGGCCAATGCGGAGCCCCATGGCCCCAAGACCAGTCCGCCGGAGCAGGTGAAGATGGCGGAGAAATCGCCGCCACCGAAGTCCTCCGCAGCGGCGGGGGATCAGCCGCCGCCGAAGCCCCACCACGTCGTTAAGAGGATGCCCAGCGCAGGGCTGCGGGCTGGCTACGTCCTCAAGCACAAGACGGAGAACATGAAGGACATTTACAGCCTGGGGAAGAAGCTCGGGCAGGGGCAGTTCGGTACGACGCACTTCTGCGTGGAGAAGGCCACGGGTAACGAGTTCGCCTGCAAGTCCATCGCCAAGCGGAAGCTCACGACGCAGGAGGATGTGGAGGATGTGCGACGGGAGATCCAGATAATGCACCACCTCGCCGGCCACCCCAACGTCATCTCCATCGTCGGCGCCTACGAGGACGCTGTCGCTGTGCATCTGGTGATGGAATTATGCGCCGGAGGGGAACTGTTTGACCGGATCATTCAGAGGGGTCATTACACGGAGAGGAAGGCGGCAGAGCTCGCCCGAATTATCGTCGGTGTCGTGGAGGCTTGCCATTCTATGGGTGTTATGCACCGGGACCTGAAGCCGGAGAATTTCCTTTTCGTTGACCAGAAGGAGGAATCGCCTCTCAAGACCATTGACTTCGGGCTTTCCATGTTCTTCAAGCCAGGTAGAACACAATGCGGACCTTTACTAATTTCATCTTGCTGTCGGATTGTCCATGCTCTTCCGCTCAATCTGGTTTCTTTGGGGATTCGGGTTGATGCTTCTGGTTAGATTGGCCCGGAAGAGTTCAGCTTTTGGGTCCTTTCCTTGACAGAATTTCAAAATTATATAGTTTGTCATTGGATGAGTTGATTTCCACGAGGGCGGTGGTCGCCTTCTTGGAGTTTCATCACTCCCACCCTGCTGTCAGGTTTGGGTAGCTGCGACGAATATTAGGCAACTGAGAAGAATAGGCCTAGGAAAATGAAGATGGAACTGCCAAGAACAGGAACTGGAGGGCAGAGATGCGCAATCAACTACCATAAAGAAGCCTGAAACTCCTACAGTAGCACAAGCGAAGTCTCTTGGGTTGTTTAATGATGGAAGATCAATAATTTAAAGAAGAAATTCCTCAACATCCATGAAGGCAATAATTGAAGCCATATGTTCACACAACAGCTTTGCACAGGTCTTTAGAATTGTAGTGCTAGTCATCTTGATCACCTGGAATGTAGCTATCCTACACAGTGCAAAATTATTAGGCGAAGAAGCATTTTTAATAGATTTCCTGTTTCCACTGGTGTCATGTGTTAATGTGCTATTTCATTATCTGCCAGAGTCTACATTCTTCATGATGACATTTGCTTATTAAATCTTATTTTTCTCTCCAGGTTCTAAGCGAATGTTGGGATGTTTTGATTTTCAAACTAAAATTTGGCATTCTCTGTTTTTTTCAAAATAAATCATTTGAAAATCTCTATTCGGTATTGTAAGGCATTAAAAGTAATCTAGTATGTATGATGTAGGCTATTGATGATCATAGCTATACTGATAGTGGCTGGGTCTGATGGTGGATATCGGCATCCCCTTTTGGCATAGCTGATATTGGTGTATGGTTGGATGCTTTTCGTCACTTTTAATGTTTTTTAATGAATTTGCATGATCTATGCAGCTGTTACGTTATACTGCCTTTCTAATAGTGGCTCTTCTCTAAGATTCAGACCACCTGGTTTTGCCACCCTGCTCGTGGGAATTAAAAAAATAAATGCTCATTTCCTTGAAGAATTAAAAAATAAATGCTCATTTAATTTGTAATTTGGAAATTAACTTTTATGCAACCCTGATCCAGTTTATTGTCACGCCCCTGATTCTTTGGCGTCTGTTTGTTGGGCACCAGCATACACCATCACTGACAATTATCTTCAGTTTTCTCATCTATTCTTTATTTAATAATTTTGTTTCATTTTTATAGATTTTTAGCCCTGTGGAGAGTTCACTCTCCAGTGTAATTAGGTTCTACTTAAAGGGGTTTTTTTCCCTATACGTCTGAACTGACCAAGAGTTATTTTCTTCCAGGAGACATATTCACTGATGTAGTTGGTAGCCCTTACTATGTCGCACCTGAGGTTCTAAGGAAGCATTATGGCCCAGAGGTCGATGTATGGAGTGCTGGTGTGATTATTTATATTTTGTTAAGTGGGGTCCCCCCATTTTGGGCTGGTAATTGCCTCCTCTCTTCACGCTACCTGGTTTTATTATTTTAATGTTGTTTATCTCTGGAAACCATATAATTCTCTGGCGCTTTCATCCTCATTGTGTCCAGAATCTGAGCAAGAAATATTTGATCAAGTTCTACATGGTTCTCTTGACTTCGAGTCTGACCCGTGGCCGAGCATATCAGACAGTGCCAAAGATCTAGTAAAGAGAATGCTAGTCCGAGATCCCAAGAAGCGGTTGACAGCACACGAAGTTCTGTGTGAGTTCTCAATTTTTTTTCATTTATCCTTGTTAAATGTAGAATCACCAGGAAATTCCATTCTGAGGATGTGTACATTTATTTTTCAAGTAATATCCAAGGGAAGAGTACATCTTTTCTTAGCATGGATCTCTAAACTTGTTAATATGGCGTTCTTCGGTTCTTACTATGTTTATATTTCTTTACAATTGACTGAAAGGAGCTGCAATGATTTTTCTGTTTGGATATTGTTCTTAAGTTAATGGTGCCAGTTGGTTCTATGAATGAACCCAACCCTTTGGAGCTAACAGGTTATCATTATGCTCATGATTAAGAATACTAATAAGCATTAAGTAACATATATGCACGTCTTCTGTCAGGTCACCCATGGGTTAAAGTCGATGGCGTGGCCCCTGACAAGCCCCTTGACTCTGCAGTCCTGACACGGTTAAAACAATTTTCTGCTATGAATAAGCTGAAGAAAATAGCTTTGAGGGTAAGTTTCCTGAGACTGTTAATTTATCCCGTCCCAGGTTGAAGTTTGGGTAATTTGTTGGTATCTCTTCTTACTGGCTCATAGGCCAGAAAAAAATTAGTTTCTTTATTAATACAGCAGAAATGAGACAACTAGTCCACCAGTTTTCACATCAGCCAATAGCTGCCAACAATACAAGATGGAATAGCTGTCAACAGCCATTTTTACTTCCCATTTTGATGGGTATTAGAAAAGGGGCCCCATCTACATGCATATGCCAAGGGGAAATAGGTGCCCTGAGATTTGGGACTTTTTGAGCTGTACAGTAACAAAAAAAATAACTATGTACTCTGCCTCTTCTGTTCTTCCTTTCTCTGCTACAACAATATTTCGCCTTATGTTCCAGTAAGCTCCCTCTGGTAATATTTCTTGAAAGGTGTGTTAAGAAGCATCACTCGACTCTTATTTGTTCACTCTTCTACCAGCACCAGCATTCCGTGGCATTGGCTGACCAAACATTTGATTCCTCTGTGTGTAGTGCCATGATTCGACGGCTTGAATTTTGTATGTTATCAAACTCTTAGCATTTATAACTAGACACTTAGACGTGATAGCACACAAAAACTGTAACTGATTGATTGTGGATGGTATTTTTGTTTTTCCTACTGGTAGTATTATGTTATTCAAATAAGAGAAACAAGGTCATCCATGTGACAAGACAATATCTTAAAATGGAGATGCATATGATTATTGTTGGAGGCTACAGGGCAGATGAGGTGCTGAGAATGGTAGGGTTGGGGTAGGGAGGGGTGGGGGTGGGGGTTCTTGGGAGGCTGATTGCCCACTGCTGATATGATTTACGATGTATGATCACAGGTCTAGAGGCTCCCTATTTTGTGTTGTTTTTGTCCCACAAAACATTAAACTGGATTGAAGTTGCGACAATGACTCTGATAATATTCTGCATTTATGTACAAAAATTATTTCTTGCAGGTAATCGCAGAGAGCCTATCTGAGGATGAAATTGCGGGCCTGAAAGAAATGTTTAAGATGATAGATACTGATAACAGCGGCCAGATCACATATGAAGAGCTCAAGACTGGATTGGAGAGAGTAGGTGCTAAGCTGAAGGAATCTGAAATCTATGCTCTGATGCAAGCAGTAAGCGTTGTTTTCCCTTTACTTTTTTATCTTTCTAGCCATCCATAATAACCATATGCTTCTATTCTCTCCATAAATCATACAAGATATTTAAAAAAAAAAAAAACAGTAACTGGAATGGACTCGTGTTAGGGCCCTGCCATTTGACGAGTCGAGCATATGAAACATGAGAGTTTTATCGGAAAAATACTACATTTAGTGGACCTGCTCTGACTTTTGGGGATTGAAACTGCAGGCAGATATTGACAACAACGGCATGATAGACTATGGGGAGTTCATAGCAGCAACCTTGCACCTGAACAAGGTCGAGAGGGAGGATCATCTCTATGCGGCTTTCCAGTACTTTGACAAGGACGGGAGTGGGTACATTACCCAGGATGAGATTCAGAAGGCCTGCGAGGAATTCGGCATTGAGGATGTGAAGCTAGAAGACATGATTCAAGATGTGGACCAGGATAACGTAAGAGTCTCTAACCCTTCTCAGTAAATTCCGTAGTTAATTTCTATTCTCACCATCAAAAGAATTTATCTCATACTTGATAGTCACTCTAATGATTTCATCAATGTTCTTCTCACGCAACTGAGAAATTAAAAAAATTGAGGATTTCAGAGTAAAATTGCAAATTTTGGTTCTCTAGATAAACGGGCTTATCTAGAGCTTAAAGCTGTCCTTAGGCTTGGATTCAGTTTTGATTGAGGACTGGAATCTCAAGCAAGAGAGCACCTAGAACTCGCGAGTTTTATCTAATAGAATATTGCACGCTTAGTGGGCCTGCTTAAATGATGGAATTGGATATATGGACTTGCAGTATCTATTGTCAAGCATATGAACCCACGCTGGTCAGAATTCCGCGGCTGGAGATGATCAAACTAATTTCATTTATGTCTTCTGATGTTCCCCCAGGATGGACGCATAGACTACAATGAATTCGTAGCGATGATGCAAAAAGGGAATGCGGGCCTTGGGAATAAGGGTTTGCAGAATAATTTCAGCGTCGGCTTCCGAGAGGCACTGAAAATCGGGTGACTCTTATTTCTCTTCGTGAATATCACAGATTTCCTTAGCTTTTGGAAGAGATCAATGGCCTGGTCGACTTTCTACTGTTCATTTATTGAGTTTGTGTAGATCCTCACTGGACATTACAGAGAAAAGGTATAGTAAAATGCCCTAATCGTCTTATACCGTGAAGGATGAACACAGAACTCCCCATTTTGTTACTTCCTCTGATCGTGTGCATCTTCATCCGCCGACTCCTTGGTGCTGTTAGAGTTCCTAGTATAGAACGATGACAGACTCAAATGTTCATGCACATAGGTTTTAAGCGTATGGCTGTGTAAGATATCATCATAATAATGAGTGAAAGAGTCAGTTTAAGAGCTACAGACGCACAATCTTACTGAACTGTTTTTAAAATCTGCAGATTTGGAAGCCATTTTAGTTGCTGCTAAAATGCATGTGTATTTTTCTTCCAACACTTGGCCCATATTTCTCCTGTTCTGGTTATGTTAATAGAAGGGATGGCAGTGGATGGTGAAGATATAATTTTGACAGTGCTCAAGTTGTGGGTACTATACCATACTAATATCTTTGCTATGTTAGCATAAGCTTCTACTTTGATGTTGCATGGTTACGTGTCTCAATTTTTTTTTCATTTCAGTAAGCAAACTTACTATTATTACGAACGGTGATACGACCCCGGTGCTTCTGCCGGAGTAGAGTTTAAGACAGAACAAGAAGAAGAGAGATGAGAAATAGGACTGGGATCCCGCTCTCCTTCGTTTGCTGGCATACGTAGGGAACCCTCACACTTGTTGGAGTCCCACCTTCCTCTTGAGGGTGCAGCAGCCCTGTAGGAGAAAGAGAATCATACTTAGTTTGCTGTCATACCTCGCAGCTTCACATGTAAGCCTTTTGCCGCAGCTTCAGTCTATCCCAAAACATGTCCTCCTGGCGCCCATCATGGTATTCCTTAAGCAATTACAGAATAAATGGAGAATTCGAAGGTATCACCAGACAGCCTTTATCACTAGTTGACCTTGGTGAAGACCTTGGGCCAATCGGGCTACCATTGCTTGATGTCTTCTTGTATTCGTTGCAATTTCAGATCCTCCTGTGCTTCTTGGACTATGTTTTGTATGGTGAGGACTGTTGAGTATTGGAAGATGCGGGTAGGTGGGACAGGGCATCGGCTCAACAAGGGTAGAAGTTTTGCTAACCATATTTGCTACTCTGGCTGCACTTGCTACTGAGTCAAGCGAAATTTCAAGTTGAGCTGGTCAGTATAGATTAAAAAAAATAATGGGCCAACAAGTGATGCCTCTCTGGACGACTAACAGTACAAGTATTATTTCTCTTATGTATATTAGGCATAAAGGCATTATAAGGTGAGAGGACTCTGGCTAAAATCAGCTGTGGCCATGTATTGTCGCATTAGGACAGCTCTCAGTCCTGTGCTTGAGGCACCTATCTCTTACTCAAACGAAGTTTGTTAGGGACGACTTACTATCTCTATAGCCTGGGCCCTCGAGAAGTTGTCAAGCCATCTTCATGCCTTGGCGGGGTCATTTGTCTGCCCATTGGTTATTGTCAGACTTGGGTCACTCTTAGTACTATCTCCTTCATTGTATTTTCAATTGAAAATATCTTTGCTACCACCGTAGGCAATTGACTAAGCCCCTCCTTCAATACCTCAAAATATTTTGATTATTTTGTTACCTCATACAACTCACAGAAAGATCATCACATAACGGATTGTTAGAAGCCCATCATTAATTTTATTTTCCCCCCCTTTAGCTTTAGTTTCGCTCATTCATCGTCTCCTTGTATAGTAAATTCTACTCAGTTTATAGCCTAATGTTTATGTTTGATTGTAAACCAAAATTCAGGTGTTGAACACTAAAATTGTTGAGTGAGAATGTCTGTCATTTGTGTCAAGTACCTGCACTTGTAAGAAAAAAATTGGGGGGTTGACCAATATCCATACCATTTTTGTGCTCATTTAGATGTCCTGGTAGAGATGTCCAAGGAAAAGCACATAAGAGGGCTGGGTTTCGATAAAACAGTACTAAAAATAAATAATTTACGCATGCCATTTATGTGCTCAATTTATAGATTGACCCATCAAATACGGTTGACCCTCTTAGAGGCTGCTAGATTAGTTGACCTGACCCATTTGTAAATCTAAAAGTCAAAAGAGAGTTGGATCCTCAATCCTCACCGGAGACCAGCCACCGGCCAATAGGAGGAAAAGGACTTTCCCTTTTATTTTGAAGTATTAAAAAAAAATAAGTCGTAGGTGATTACTAAAAATGTCGGCACGTGTGCCTAGAAAAAGAGAGGGCGATGGTGGTTTGCTGTATGTCCAATCGGAAGTGGACACCTCAACCGTTAGATTCTGGCCAAAAATCGGACCGTTCACCTCCCAGAAGAGGAGATGCCTATTGGGAAAGGGACGCCCTGTCCGCCACCTGGCGCGGGGGCTAGCTAGCGCCGCCAGCTGGGAGCCGCCCTCTGCTGATCCGACGGTCGATACTCGTCCGGTCGCTCTAGATGAGAGTGTAGTTACCGCAAGACGCACCTCCGTATAGTGCACTATTATCCGTTCGCGAAAGCAACGGGAAACCCGAGACGGTTGGTGTGCTCGTAATTGCCTAAAACACCCTTCCCCTCCTTTTGAACAGTAGACAAAGGGTGATTTCGGAAGTCCGCGGTATCTTTCAATAGCATTCCGGCGTAAATATGTCCGTCAGTGTCCTCCCGCCATAAGCATTGGCCGGGCTCTCCATTGCTTGCTCTCCTCTTCCAGCTCCTCAGTCAGAGAGAGAGAGAGAGAGAGAGAGAGAGAGGGAGGGAGGAGATTGGCGAAGATCTACGGCAGCGGCTGGAGGCCTCTCTGTGTTCATCGGTAGGAGCTACTGCTGGTTCTGCTCGTGGAATATAGTTTTTCTTTGTTGTTTCTCGTTCGCCTTGTTGTGGAATTCGCCTGATGTGGCCGAGGGGTGGTGACCAGTGGATTGTTCCGGTTTTCTTCTGTTTCGGTTCCAATCGAGCGCGGGTGGAGCATTTGGAAAGCTTTGATCCAGTGATTTTGCTTTTGCTTCCCCCGCAGAGCGTCGCGGAGAGGTGAATTCTGCGTTGTGGACGCGACCGCGTTGCTCGATCGGAGCAGGAAGGTGAGCTGATCGATAGTGCGTATATTTTTCCAGGTGGTCGTCTGATCCATGAACTGAGTCACTGCAGGACAACGAAGCGTGCTCGATTCCTGGTGATGGAGGCTGATGATGATGTTCAGGTGGAGCACGCGAACGCTGCTCTTGAGAATGCTTCAGAGACGAACGGGCGGCGTGCTAATCTAAACGACGCCGGCGCCTGGAAACGAAATCCAGCACCGGCGGACTCTGTAAATGTCGATGGTCTCCTCCCGCGTGAAATTGGGGGCGGGATCTCTGCGATCACAACGAAAATCGAGGCAGCAAAGGTGTGTATGCATAGATATCTCTCTTCGACGCTCGATCCGGTCGGTGATTGAAGACGAATGTGATTGATGCCTTCAATGCCTTTGCAGAAGCCCGCTTCAGACAAGCGGGGTCGACTGCAACAGAACGCCGCAGAGATGGTCCCTTGGACCGTGGGAGCGGCTCTTCCTCTCTCAACCAAAGGAATTCCGGTCGCCGGCAAGAACAGGGGTACCACCGGGTGGAAGCAGCAGAAGCCTGAAACAAACGGTGACCACTTCGTTAGTTAACGAAGTCGCTGCATCTTCTGAATAAAACATAGGTTCTTTGCGTTCTCCAATCTCCTAGGTGCGTGCCTGATTTTGCGATTTGAGTGCAGGGGCGGGCCCAACCCTGAGCAACCTTCCATACTCGGTAAGCTACACTCCCTTTCTGCAGATTTAATAGTGGTATCAACTGTCAGTTTTGCCTCTGCTTACTCTTCCCATCCTTCCTCTTGGGCCCGAACATATAAATCATCCTGGTTTGGGCTCCCAGGATTATGGGTCAGCACGTGCGGCTCTCGGGTCTGATGCATCTGAATCTCCTCGGTAATTTCTCCCGAGGGATGCAACATGTTTCCTTTTCTTTTCTCTTTTTTCCCACTCTATTTACCCATCTCAAATGAGATGGAAGTAAATTAGATGCCCTGTTCATATCTAAATTTCGCTGTGCAAACTTGGAGATTGGAAAATTATTGCACTCATGTGGATTGGATGACGCCGTCTTCCCCATGCAGAGGCGCTGTTCTTCCAGTGCCGCCGCCGCCGGGAAAGAACGGTGGCTCTGGTTTCTCTTTCAGGTCGGAGGAACGTGCAGAGAAACGGAAGGAGGTGTGTATATCATTTACTCCCGACATCTTTTTCCGGTGGAGTTTATCTAGGGATAGTTTCTAATTTAGGTGATATTTAATCTTCAACGTGAGCCGCAGTTCTTCCAGAGGCTGGAGGAGAAGTTTCAGGCGATAGAAGCGGAGAAAACCGACCTGGAGGCGAGGTCAAAGGTCAATTGCTGACTCCAACACTCCTCGAGGAGAACCTGCTTTTGGACTCCGCGTAGCGGGGATAGTTGACTTTCCCGCTATCTTTGGGTGGTGTAGGAGAGCCAGGAGGCCGAGATCAAAGAGCTCAGGAAGCGATTGATATTCAAGGCGGCGCCCATGCCAAGCTTCTACAGAGAGCCTCCCCCGCCGAAGGTTGAACTGAAAAAGGTAGGTAGTTGACCCGCAGAAATTATTCGATATTAAGCTGTATATTTTTCTGAGTACAGATACCTTAGAAATCTGCCACTCCAACTCAAACTTTTCTACAAGTAAATAATAATCTTTCTATCCCAAGATCACAATTTTTGCTTGAGTGCAATATTAAATATAATCTCTCTCTCTCTCTCTCTCTCTCTCTCTCTCTCTCTCTCTCTCTCTCTCTCTCTCTCTCTCTCTCTCTCTCTCGATATAGATGAATATTTATTGTTCTCTCTCCACACTGATGCTATCCATTGATTTCTCGGTCTGTTTGACGGTGAGTGCTGAATGCGGCAGATACCGACGACTCGTCCGAGATCGCCGAAACTGGGACGCCACAAAACCTCCTCCATCGCCGCCGGTGCCGATTTAACGGCGGGAACCTCGCCGGAAGCGGCTAGAGTCGTGGCCCGACCCGCCGCGGTTCCCGAGAAGTCAACTCGGAGGTCAACCTGGGGGCTGCCGCCGGGGGAAGTCGACGGCGTTGACCTGGTGGGTCGTCGCAGGGAGGCGGCGTCTTCTGAAGGCAAGACGAAGGCCCGGAAGCCCCTCAGCTTCCCCAAGCCCGCCCATTTTCAGGTCCCCATCAAAGGTTGACCCTGCCTCCAAGCTCTCCTCTTGTTGCTTGTCTGTGTGACTGTGTGAAGAGAGAGAGAGAGAGAGAGAGACTAGTTTCTGGCGTTCAAACAGCACTGGTTCACGGTCGAGTGTTCATAAAAATACCATATTTACTCACACATCTTCCCCAAAGTTGCCTGCGCCACCATTCCAATTTTCATCACCTATATTCGAGCTTCACAAATACCTGGTAATAATATTACTCTCTCTCTCTCTCTAGAGAAGCTTCAGGTCGAGGAGGAAGACCATATACATATATAGAACTAGATATATTCGTATATTTCATTGGACGAGGAGAAGCGTCGTCGCCTCGCTGCGGTCTGTCATGTGAAAGCAACTCTGCGCCAGCTCTGGAGTCCCCTCACTTCTGATCATCGGCAGGCGCTGAAACTCCACCGCCACCCCACCGCGGCAAACACTCCGCAGGCCGCCTCCATCAACCTCCCTGCCGCAGAGAGTCCACCGTAAGAGCTCCCATAAAGAGAGAGAGAGAGAGAGAGAGAGAGAGAAAGAGAGAGAGAGAGAGAGAAGAAAGGGAGAGGTGGAATTGAGTCAACGGCTCGAGGGTTTTATGAGAACTGGCGGGGTTCTTCTCCCCCCGCATGATCCGGAGGTTTCCACGGCGATGGGGAACTGAGGGCGGTTGCACCAGAGGAGAGAGAGAGAGAGAGAGACCAAGGGTCGGCCCCAGCCTTCCTTCTTCAAGAAAATAAGAACCCTAAACCAGAAACAATGGCAAAGAGCCCCCACTCTCTTGTTCCACTCGTCCTCCCCGAAGAAAACCAGAAACAGTGACTAGGGACTCCCACTGAATCGGATCATCATCCCAACCCAGAGCAATTGTGAGCGAAGAACATCCCAAACTGGTCATTTATCCTTCGGAAAAGAACTAAAAAGAATTGATACGCCGAGAGACCAAAAAATATGCAGAACCCGGAGATGATACGCCAAGAGCTCTGAAAAAAGTTGACTTTTTTAAGGAAAAACAGAAATCTTCAAGCAAAAAAAAAAGAAGATGCCAGAGCATGCATGCAGAGAGCGGAAGGGAAGGGAAGGGAAGGGAAGAGAGGGATTAACGAGGATACTGCTCGCTGACTGATCTCTCCTTGCCTTGACGGCGGGTTTCGCCGCCGCCGCCTGAGGCCGTTCCTCCTCCGGCGGGGGGAAGAGCACAGCGTCAATGCCCTGCACGGAGATCCTTCCGTCGGTGTAGATGTCCGGGCCAACGAGGTAGGCGGCTCCCCCGCCCCCTCCAAACTTCACGGAGCCGTCGGCCTCCCGCGCTGACACCCGGTAAGGTACCCGCAGCGTCTCGTAGCTCACCTTCCCCCACCGGCGCACGGCGGTGTACATGCTCTCCTCCGTCTGGTACTCCGCTATCAGGTGGTAGTACACCATCTTCTCCGGCGCGCCGGCCTCGCTCAGTCGCTCGCCGGCGGCGACCCTCCCCATCGCCTCGTCGCTGGGGACCAGCACCGTCAGCACGTACCCCTCCGCCACCAGCCGACCCATCTCCGCCGCCACCGCCGTCAGGTTCACCAGCACGTCCGCCATCTCCCCGTAACCCCCGTACTGCACCAGCGCATCCATGAAGCTCCTCACCCGCCGCCTCCCGCTCCACCTGTTGCCGCCGCCCTTAGCCGGCCCCGGCGCCGGCGACGGAGTCACCACCAGAGCGGCGGCGGCGGCGGACGTGGAGGAGGAGATGGGCATCGCTGGCAGCGGCGGCGGTTGAAGGCTTGCTGGACGGAAAGGGGGACGAGGAGGCGGTCGAGGCCGTGGATGACGCCATCGGGGAGAAGGAAGGCGTCGGGGAGAACGACGGCGGCGAGGTCGACGAGGAGGAGGCGGCGGCGGCGGCGGCTGAGGAGGAGGCGGTGGGAGGGGTTGAGGGAGAGGAGGGGGACGGCGCCGGCGCCGGTGGGCCAGGCGGCGGAGGGGAGGCGGAGGGGGAGGAGGTGGGAGAGGAGGAGGGCGCGGAGGCACGGGAGGTTGCCGAGCTGGAGGAGGAAGCGGCGGAGCTCGGGGTGGAGGACCTCGTTCAGAGGGGCGAAGATGGTGAGGTTGTGCTTGCCCACCAGGGCCTCCAGCTCCGGGAGGAGGAGGGCCTTCTCCACCAGCTCCGCCAGCTCCGTGTACGGAGAGTCCAGAAGCGCCGCCAGCATCGAGGAGCTTCTTGAAGAAGAGGAGTAGTTGGAAGGCAATGCGGATGCGGAGAAGATAAGGAGGAGCAAGGCAGCGGCGCCGCGGGTCCCCATCGCCGGCGGCAAATGTGCTTCCTGTGCCCTCCTTTCTCCTTTTCTTCCCCGGCTCCTGCCTGTTTCTTCTCCTTCTCCTCCCTCCGCTGTCCAGGGCCAGCGAGAGAGAGAGAGAGATTGCCAACTCCGTCGAGGCGAGCTGAAGACAGGGCCCAGCGTGCAGGCGATGCTTGCGGCGAAAAAACAGGGATTCACAGCTCTCCCTCTCTACTGTGTCCTACATGCACGGCCCAGATGCCATCTCTCTCTCTCTCTCTCTCTCCTCTCTCGATATATCTTCTCTCACTTCTGTGTGTACTCCCGTGATCTAGTGGAGGGGGGAAACGTAGGCTCTGCTCTTCCGCCGCAGGAAAAAGGGAGCATGCTTTTACCAGTCATACCATCCCCTATCAGCCCACGGGACTTCCGATTGGGGTCAATAAGGTCATTGTCCACCTCCAAAAAGGCCCCCCGTAATTATTCTCTGCCATCTCAATTAACACACACACACCTAGCGAGAGAGAGAGAGAGAGAGAGAGAAGTACCTCCCGACAAGTGTTCTCGCGTGCCGTCTGGTCAGACCGCTGACCGCTGGTGGACGGCCAGATACACGAGCGGCAAGACCCAACGGTGGATTTCAGATGGGGCCCGCTCGCTTGCCACGTCCAGGCTCACAGGAAAACCCAACTCGGTTAGCAGGGATCGTAACGGCAAATAAGACATTTAGTGATTTATATCATATATATATCATATTTTTCAAAAGGGCGGGTTTCTCGGGAAACACGGTGAATAAATTCCGGCGAAATATTTACACAGAACCGAGAGCGTCGAGTGTCCTCTTCTCCTTCTTGTTCTCCCTCTCACCGTGGAAGCGAGAGGATCAAACTAAACCCTCGCTCGCTGCCTGCGGCACAGTCGTGAGAGAGAGAAGGAAAGAAAAGGAGAAGAAGATAGCGAGGGGCAGACATACATACCTCCTCTGAACGGAAACCCGTCGAGTTTCAGAGACCGGAGGCGGCGGCCACCGACGACGACGACCCGGGGCCGCCGCTCTTCTCCGGCGCCGCCGCCGCCGCCGCCGTCGGCCCGCTGGAGGATGAGGAGGAAGCGGCGGCGGCGGCGGCGCCATCGTCGGGGGGGGGGTGGGTGTCGCGCAAGTCGAGGCGCTCGATCATCCGGGAGACGGTAGTGATGCCTTGGTTGATCTCCCTCCTCACCTCCGAGCCGAGGTCGGACACGGAGGAGCCCCGCGAGAAGAACCTCTCCTTCCACCCCCTCGTGCTCTTCGTGATCGTCTCCTTGTACCTCACAGACACCGCGTTCAGCCGAGATTTGAGGCTCTCCGAGAAGGACTGCAGCTCCGACGACGGCCCCGGCCCCCCAGAATTCCTGCCATTAATCAGAATCAGATCCAGAACAAGTCACTACAGTTAAAAAAAAAAAACATGGCGTACCAGTTCATGGCGGATGGCCGGGATGAGGAAGAGGACGACTCCTGGGTTCCTCCACTGGGCAGCGGCGGCGGCGGCGGCGGCGGCGCAGGAGGGGAGGGGCTGGCAGCGGAGGAGGCGCCGACAGATGGGTGATCGCCGTCGGTTTCTCTCTCCTCGGAGGAAGGGGGAAGAGGGTAGTGGGGGTGAGCGGGGAAGACCAGGAACTGCGGATGGTGGCCCTGGCCGCCGGCTGGCCTCCGGCGGCCGCCGTCACGCCGGCCCAGGTGGCGGGTCCTCCCCATCGCGGCGGCGGCGGCCAGATGCTGGATGATCCGTTCCTCCAGCTCTGCGTCGTTTACCCCCACCGGCAACTGCCGAGGACCACAACAAGTACTTGCAGATGAAGATGATGATGACGATGATGATGATGATGATGATGATTGATGACGTTGAAGAACGGGGGAGGGGTGGAGAGAAAGGGTTTTTACGTGTTGCAGTTCGAAATCGCCGACGACAGGATGATGGAACAAGGCCGTGGTACCCCGTGGCTGACTGAACCTTAAGCTCCTTTCCCTCTCTACCGCCTCGAGAAGCTCTTGGCTGAAGAAGAAGAAAACGGGGGGCCAAGAAAAAAAGTTGTATCCGATTAAGTGACCAACCAACTGATTGATGATAGCGAAAGAGATGAATATGGCAGATGAAGCAAACCTCGTAGGATCCTTCAAAGTGATCAGCTGCCAGCACATCGGGCATTGGGAGCTCCTCTGGCACCTACAAATAGATTGACAAGAGAAAACGAGAGCTTGTTACCAAGAGGAAAAATCATCTCTCAGAGATGAAGAACTGTGACTCGGAATCCATTCCAGAAAGCACATCACCTAATACATAACTTTTCCCTTTTATTTAGCACAAAACGTCATGAATAACGCAGGGTGCACTGGTTTTCGAAATTATGATGAATAACTTAACTTCCCACATTTTATAGTCCTTGACAGCAAGCACCAACTTTGAGATATGGATCTCTTTGATGCAGCTATAGTTTCTGGAATGATGTCGGAGTACTATACACACAGTTCAGAGGAAATTATTTTGGCACGGCAAGGTCATTATCTCCTATTGTGATCACAGTGAATCCATGACAGGCCAAAGGCTCTAACGAAAAAAACGATTTTTCTACCAAACATCCAGTGAAATGTCAGTCTGATGTCTACCTTCCCACGATGAATGTCGAGGCCTCTTGTCTTGGCAATTACATCTGTTAATTGCCTTGCCTCTTGGCACTTTTTTCTTGTTTTTTGCTACCAACCGTTTCTGTCGCTATCAAGATCATAGGCTCTATGTCAACTCCATGCCTATTCGCCTCCTCAGAGGATAGGATTAGAATATTATGTGATATCGATCAACAAAAACAGCAAGGTAATTGTCGACAAACTTAACTTGCTGAGGAAGGCTATATATAAAGGGTAGGCGATTCAATCTTAGTCTAGCTAAAAATAGGCTATAGATATCCCAGAAATGTCTTCAGCCAAACAGAAAAGACTTTTCCATTCGAAGAGCAGAATGCAGGGAGCCTAAAGTCGTTAAAACAGCAACACATCAGAGATGCCATCACTTCACCGAAGAAAAAGAGCAAGGGACGTGAGAATCTTCACTCAGCCTATCCCAAGTGTTCTTAAAAGAGTCTTCTAATTTTCCATGCTCACTGTGGAAATACCCTAGGACCCATATATCAGATAATCCAACTCATCTAGTAAATGGTGTATTACATCATATGATGGAAGAAACTTATGACATGAGAAGTGCTGACTCACGTTACAAGATGAGAAAGAAGAAACTTATGACTGGAGAAACATGTTTAGGATTCTGAGAAAATCCAATCATACATTAAAGATAGATTGGGTACTCCACAGGTGAGGTACATTTGATCCGTAATTCATCCACTAGATTCCCCATCGTCTTTCATTCGGATGATCAGAAATCTCTTTAAAAATCTTGGATAGAATGGTCCTATATCATCAATCCGTATAATTTAAATATATAAAAAACATTCTTTCTGGAAGTGACATGTAATCGTTAAATGATAAAATGTATGTAAAGTGTCTGATTGATGAGCCCTTCCAAATTAAAACAGCCACTATCATTTGTCATTGATTAAAAGGGATAAAGCGCAGATATAGTCTGAGAAAGTGATCACTAATATGGGAAAAGCACCTTAAGAATTGCCATCAATAATTGTCAGACGACTGAACTGGTCTAAGATACCTAGGAGAGGGCAGTACCCTCGAAAACATCAAACAGTAAAACCTATAGACCGGAAAAGACTATCTAGACGCATGTTATAAATAATGTTAGGCAATTGAATTAATCCAACATAGCTCTCAAAAGGTGGGAATTAACCTGCTGAGACACAATATAACAAGAAAGAAAACAACTGTCCCAAAACTGAACCATCAATTAGCATCTAAACCATGACAACCAGAAGAAATCTGGTAGCTAGTCAAGATAGTAAGCGGAGAAATCAAGGAGAAAGTGTGGCATGTATAAAGCCAATGCGAACCATTCCAGAATGCACTGGAGATGAAACTCGTGTTTGCACCCTGTCACCTGCACCAAGTGAAAGAAAAATAGGATTATCAGAAGACACTAGCATCATCAGGTAAAAACTGCTAAAATTATAGTGACTATAACTCAAATTAAACTCAAGAGGCATTCCACATCGAAAAGACAAGCTAAAATTTACCGTTGAAGGATCACTCTCACAGAAATTTTCGAGGCATATGCTACATGCGTCATCACAAGCATCTTGTATACCTCCTTCCACAAATGCAGCAGCCGATGAGAGCTTCTCCATTATCACCGTCTTGTCCATGAACCAATCTGCACACCTGAAAATATATATGAATAGAGGTTAAGCAGAGACAAACACCCAGCGTTCATTATGACCATCATAACGTTCGAAATGACGATCAAAGAAAAAATCAAAAATAGGAACCAAAGAATTATAAAAAATGTCTCAGTAACCTCTGTTTGACAGATATTAGGTCCTCGATCTACAATTTGTTGGAAAAGGATATATGACGCAAATTATGGCCAAAAATTTGACGACATATCCAAGTGTTCATCGTTTCCACTGCCTTAGAACGTGTAACAAGGAGTTCCATACATATTAGATCCCCGGTGTATAAACACGAACGCAAAAAATACATGAATCAGTTTCGGCCCCAAAATTGACAACTCAAACAGAAATAAACATTGACGGAATAAATCACCTATCACGAGAATGATTTGGCAATTTTTCAATCCGTTAACCAGGCAATCAAACAGACAGAAACGCGCTCGAGCCTATGACATAGGATAACGAAATCATTCCCTTTCAAAAGCTAGCAGAGAGAATCTCGGAAACGTCATTCAGCATGAAAAGGCACGCAATCGCGGGATGGAATTGAAGGTAAAATGATAATAAGAAAGGGGATACAGAATCAACGATCTAATGATTACAACAAATCGTTGCAGGCCAGATCCCCCGTTGTCAGGGCCACAGAATCAACGAGAAGCATCTAGATAAGCATGGAGAACGCACCTAACGGAAAAGATACCTCCCCTTCCCCCTTCTCACCTTCCCCCCTTTTCCTACCAGAGATAGTCCATGATTCCAATAATCGGCCGCCGTCAACTAATGAGATCGAACAAAATTTTCGCTCACCGGCGCGATCAAACTACCCCGGAGACTTTCGTGGCGCCACCGCCGTAATCAACCAGCAGGGCACCGGCACGCGAATGGGAGAGAGCGGACACCGTAGGCTGGAAAGCGATGGCCGAAGAGGAAACGAGCGCGTTCCTCTCTCTCTCTAGAGCCTCTTCCTGCGCCTTGCAGCCGAAGGGGAAAAAGTATGAAGAAGCCATATATATAGCCTTAGCAAACAAGTATTTACATTTACGTCCCTATTCGATCTCTGCACCACATTTCTACTCTGAATTTATATAGTACTAAACGTCAACCGGAGGAGGTGAAAAAATAATGAGGTCATCTTAACCGCGCCTATCGAAGACATTTGGCCAGGACTTCGTCACCGCCCGGTGTTTGATATGTCCTCCCCGCGGACCCCAGGCTTTTTGCAAGGCCCACGGACCAGTCATTTTAAAACCCATTCGGGCCAATCCACAGGCCCAATCAGCCCCCCTCGTTGACGTAAAAGAAACCAATCCCGTAATTCTCTAAAGCATCTTTCTCTCTAAATATATATATATATATATAATATTACATAATTTCGGAATTCTAATTTTAAGGAAAATTTGGAAGAACCATGATCAGAATTTTCGGGCCGGACTCCACCATATCAAAACGGGGCCGTTTCTCTCTCTCTCTCTCTCTCTCTCTCTCTCTCTCTCTCCCCCCCCCCCCCCCCAAAAAAAGGAAATCAGAAGAGAAATTAGGCGTATTGGCCTATTGGGCCTAGATGACCATAAGGCGAAAGTGGGCCCCATTGGGGCAACGCACCCACTAACAATCTACGGGGGCCTGTTTGTATAGTACGCACACCCTCTATATAAAATAAAATTTGAAATGTATATCAGTTCCTGCTCCCCTTCCTCTTTTCCTCGTTAGGACGGTATGTATGTAAATAAAAATTTAAGGTACTTTATGATAGCATCGATCAGTAGAAATGGTATTTACAGAAATATCCAATAAGGCAGTTGAGCAATAAGTAATGAGCTTTGGGTTGGTACGATAATTTCGATCGACGGAGAGTCAACCGTCGGGACGAACGACAATGAGTCAACTAGCCGTGTGGAGAAGGGGCGAGGAATTTTGGCGGGCTCAGAACAAACCCCACGACCAATTCGAGAACCTTGTTGGGTAGTGCCGACGGGAGCTCCTTCCCAGAGAGCTGATATAACGGAGGGAGGAGCTCGTACATGGCGCGTCTTTCGAAGAGTCGCTCCTCACTGTTGCTGAATCGGGGGCGCCACAGATGCCGGAGACTGCGTCACAGCGACCTCCTCCATGGTTTGATTTCTTGCTGCTCACATTACTGCAGCGGCGTGCGTCCCCTCGCGCTCTGCTATCTGCCTCAGGGGGGGAGAATCGGAGGGACAGGGAGGGGTCGGAGAATCGCGGAGGTACACTGCTTGCTTCCTCCCTCTTTATTAATGAGAATCCCCCCTCTGGAGACTGGCCGGCGAAGATCTGGCGATCGTTTGATCAGAGCAGGAAGAATCGTGCTGCGTCCACACCATACTCTCTTAACTGGCCGGAAAAGCAGCGGCGATTGTTTGATCAGATTGTGTGTAAGATGATGAAGAGAGAACAAGAGATGAAGAAATTTGGACGATTCTCGTTCTGATGCGGATGAGCAATCACCGGAGAAGAATCGGCATAGATCTCTGACGGAGGGAGGAAGAAGAAGAAGGAAGAAGAAGCGAGAAGCCAAATGTTGGACGATGAGAGAAATGTTGACGGTGTTACTGCATCGTCTCCTTTCTGTCCGTGAAGGGCCGGTATTGGTATCACCACCGCGCTCGACTGCCGTCAGGCGTCCCTCTGGGAGGGGCTCCGCCAGAATCCAGCGCCGTAGAAGTGGGACCACATCTCCCTGTCCATCTCCGAGACCTCCACCGACGGCGACTTGTCGGCCGGCCACCCCAGCAGCATCCCCTTCACTCCTGGACCTAGAACCATCTGTCCGCTGCCCAAGATGATCCGTACATCGTCCTTCTCATCGTCCTCCGCGCTCCCGATCTTTGGCTCCAGGAGGCCCAACCGAGTGATCGCGCTGCTCCCGCCGCCCCCGCTCTTCCTTCTCCTCTCCGCGGTGGCCGCATTCATCTTCTTCTTTTGTTTCAGAAAAGCTTGCCGGCACATCTCTGCCGGCAACTTCACCACCGCCAGCAGCAGCAGGTTCAAGATACCGCAGGGGCAGCAGCAGCAGACCGCCGCGCAGTCCGCCGCCGTGCCGCCGGCCACTTCCGCGCACAGCGCGCCACGAGAACGCGGAGGCCCGGTGAGCAGCACCGGCTGCCTCCGCTCGGGCGGCACAAGGATCGGCGGAGGCTGGCTCACCCCGGAAGGCGTGTTGGGCGGGGCCTGGAGCGGAGGCGGAGAAGCTGGTGGCGCCGTCTCAAGGGAACTCGCCGCCGGCGCCGTCGCTCTCTTCGCGATCGGCCGGCGACGAGCCATTGTGTCCCAAATCCGGCACCGGTCAGCCGACCAGCCGACGCCCCATCGTTTCCTCCGGCGGCGCGATCGCCGAAACTGATTTGGATTGGCAGAAAGATGGAAACCGAACCGGATTCTGCTTCTTCGGCGGCGGCGACGACCTCCCCCGGGGTTTTGGTTGCTCAGAGGAAGGGGGCCACCCCCGGCATTGGCGCCTCCCCCGCGGGAGGACGAAGGAGAGGAAGATGAAGACGATCAACAAGCTAAAACTAGAGAGAGAGAGAAAGCGGTGGAGCAAGTGCAGCCAACGCCTCTCTTCCGCCTTTGGGTTCTGTGGTGGTGGTGCTCTTCCGTCGGCCACGGCCCCCTTTTCCGCCTTTCCCCGATTTTTCCTTATTTCCAGCCGGCGTTGACGACGGTTTCCAAGACGCCCGTTGCGAACCCTCACCCTCCTCCGCCGGCTCCACTTAGGGATTTCCAGTATCCTAGAGAGAGAGAGATGCTAAGTTTAGGCTTTACAGAGAAACAGTTCACAGAATGGCGTGGAGACCGTGAAGGGAGGAGGGAGGGAATGGGGGTCGTGGAGAGAGAGAGGTGATCACTACAGAGACATCAAGGGAGATAGAGAGAGAGAGAAAGAGCCAAAGTTGGAAGAGGAAGAGAAGCCCCCAGTTCTTGAGGGGGAGGATGGGATCCGTTTTTATCATCCCTGTTGGTGAGCTTGATACGCTAACCCGCCTTCGCACGTCTAGTCAGTCCAAAGTCTTCTGGTGACGTTACCGCCGAGTGGTGGCTGGCTGCTGCTCTTCAGGTTTTTTAAAGTCAGCCGCTTTGTTAGACGATACGCACCGGGAACGTGCGCCTCGTCTCTTCGAGGCCAGCACTAACCGACAAGAAAAAGGGCCCACGGCATCCCAGCAAGCCTCCACGTGGCGCGCCCCGGATAAGCGCTGACGAAGAAAGTCCCTTCTCTCAGACTAACCGCATCTTTCTGGGTTTCTTTTTTTTTTTTTTTTTTTTTCCAGGGATCAATCGATCCTTCAAGTCGACCGGGGGGGATTGCCGCCGACATGAAGTGGAGGAGCTTGGCTTCGTTCACTCCATCGGACAAGAAAGTAAGTCGTGTACAGATTTATTTACCCGTTGACCTTTTTTTTTGGAGAAAGAGCTTTCCTCGAAATGGTATGATGGCGTCCTTGGAGATCTCATACGGACCAAGTTTGGCTCAACCGATGGCGAGAATGGTTATGCGGAAGCTTTTCGCGTCTATTCTCCGACCAATGAAGGGCGGCATAACCGGTGTCTTTACAGGAGGAAAAAAAAGAAAGAAGAAGAAAATGCTGCTCGATATAAGATATGGCGGTTCCGACCGTACCCACCCAGAGCACAGGAGGGAGGACCTCAAGGGGCAGCTGTCGAAGTGCTGTCAGTCAGTTCACGCGTGATGATCCTGCCCTGCTCTGGAGTTGAGGAGGGGTTGGAGGGCCTTGACGACAATGGTCATGTTAGGTCGGAAATCTGCTTCATACTGCACACACAGTGCTGCAACCGCGGCCATCTGTGGCAGGAGGAAAAACCCTTGGATGATCAGGTCAACCGTTAGATGAAGATTCAACCCCCCAAAAGAACCAACCGCTCTTCAGAAAGGACCTTGGCAACAGCCTTTGGAGGATATTCGTTGTTCAGCTTAGGGTCAACGCATTGCTTCACTTTGTCCTCACTTAACCTTGGAGTGGCCTTCACAGAGGAAGAAAGATAGAAAGGCAACGATCAGAGAGTGTGTAGTCAGAGACCCACCGGTTGACATTTCAGGCAAATCGATGGCTATCTATACAGGCGGGAAAGAAAACCAATACACCCATGCTCACCCAAGTGACCAGACTCTGCTGCCCTTTGGGCATGGTGTGATCCACCGGCTTCCTGCCCGTGAGGAGCTCAAGAAGCACGACGCCAAAGCTATAGACATCGCTCTTCTGGGTCAACTGGCCAGTCATAGCATACCTGGCAGGTAAGGTAGCAACGAACCAACCCCCGAAAGAAAAGAATTAAAAAATTAAAAATTTAGGTAAGGTCAAACTGGGAGAATGCAGAGGAAGTTTCGGTTGACCAAGGGGGAGACAGACTTACTCGGGGGCGTGATAACCAAAGGTTCCTAAGACCCTGGTTGAATGCAGGCGTGCGGATGAGTCTGGAGACTGGTTCGTCAGATTGAAATCGGCAATCTTGGAGCTGTAGTCATCAAACAGAAGAACATTGCTGGATCTGACGTCCCTGTGGACGATCGGGGGCTGAACTTTCTCGTGGAGGAACTCGAGCCCCCTGGCGGCGCCGTACGCTATCTTCACCCGTTGACTCCAGCTGAGAACAGGCCCGGGCTCCGCACCCTGGACCCCTTTCCTCCCTGCAACCCAGGACAGAGAAGAATCCATGGAAATCAGTCACGGAAGAAGGAAGCGGAGACCGAGATCCTCCCCCATTAATCATACCATGAAGAACATCATGCAGAGAACCCTTTGTCGCGAACTGGTACACCAGGATCCTATTGTTCTCCTCCAGACAGTACCCAATGAGCTCCACAAAGTACTCGTTCTTGAGCCTCGACACCATTGACAGCTGCACACAGTGAGTGATGTCAGCGGTCGTATTCTGAAAAAGTCTCCGGAGCATGACGAAGAAGAAGAAGAAGATGATGATGATGATGATGATGATGATGATAATGATGATGATGATGATGATGACGACGATGACCTGAACGGAGAATTCGGAGTCGGATTCCTGGGAGACGCTGGGATCGAGCCTCTTGATGGCGGCGGGCTGGCCGGTGCTCAGAGTGGCGTGGAAGACCCGGCCGTAGGATCCTTCGCCGATCAGGGCCTTCTGACCGAAGTTGAAAGTCAACCTGCCCAGCTCGTGCAGAGGGATGGCGGGCGTCTCGATGGGCAGTACCTTCTGCGGCGGTCCTCCCCTGGCGGCAGCGGTGGGCCCCCTGGAATCTCTGTAATCACCTGAAGGGACAAAGAATAAAAATCTCCTCAATGACGGGCGTAGGAGGAAGGAGATGGATGTACCATGGGGGTTGTTCCTGTTGGGCTGGGTCGTCGACTGGTTGGACGGCTGCGTGTAGGGCTCCTCTTCGGTGCCTCCGCAGCAGGACATGGCGGTGGAGGAGAAAGAGAGAGAGAGAGAAAGAGGAGGAAGAAGGCTCTCTCAGGTGGCCGTAGGATCTTTTAAAGAGAGACCATCGCCAAGAGGGAAGATCACCGGGAGGAGGATGGTGATCGGAGGAACACTCCCTCTCCTGGGAAGAAAGGCAGAAGAGAGAGAGAAAGAGAGAGAGAGAGAGAGAGAGGAAGAGGAGGGGAGAAGGGGCGAGTCTCCCGCGGGAAAAGCGTTGTTTAAGTTTAGAGTGTGAGGGAGGAGAGACTATGGTGGTGGTGGAGGTTGGCCCGCGGGGCGACGGAGGTGGGAGGCGTCCCAGCCCTCCGATTGGGAACTCCTCTCCCTCTTTCTCTCTCTCTCTTCTCTCTCTCTTTCTCTCTCTCCCCACCTCCCCTCCTTTCCGACGAGGGTGATCCCCAACTCAGGGGAGGAAGAAGATCCCGCCGCTAAAGATCCCCCCACCCAGACAGGCAGCTCTCGCCTCTGCTTGCTGTGATCAGACATTATGTTTATAGAGAGAGAGAGAAAGGAGAAATGGAAGGAAACCCACGTCGGTTCAATGCTGCCAGCCCAAGAAGGAAAGAGGGAAAGGGGGGTGAGATGAGAGAGAGAGAGAGAGAGAGATGCGTAGGTACCAGGGTGACGCTTCCCAACACCGCCACCAGGCCCACGCAGCACGAGCCCTCCATCCCTCTCTCTCTCTCTCTCTCTCTCTCTCTCTCTCTCTCTCTCAATTTAAAATTGCTCGTAGAGCATCTCCGTTTTCTCAATGGATGGATGAACCCATCTATGTTCTGCTCTTAATTCACATTTTCGTACATTTGTTGTATACTATTTCTCAAGTGATTTCTTTCCTCTATTTTTCTCTCTCTCTCTCTCTCTGAAGCACAACGAGCTTATCTTGTCCGAGCCTTTGAAGGAGTCTAGTGAGGAGCTGGCTTTTACTCTAGGCATCGAGATGGGCTGACGAGACCTGGACCACCTCCGCAAACCCCCCCCCCCAGCCTTTGTACATTTAATTCATTTTTTTACTAAAAAAGGGTGGCAACCTGGAGCACGACACGTGTCTTCTGTCCCGGTCAATGCAAGCTTAAAACCGGGTCAACCTGTGTGCCAACGTTGTGGAATGGACTTGATGTCGAAGTCCCAACCCGTGCCTCTTGGGACTGCTCTCTCCCCGTTGACTTCCGGCCCAAGAGTTAGAGCCGCCGGACTAGTCAACCGCATTACCGATGAAGACCACCTACCAAGAACGTCCCCGACAGGACGCCAAATGCCCATTGGTTCGACCCCCCCACCTAGCATCCCGACCCCTCGTGTCGTGCCGACCCATCTCTCTCTACGCTCGATGATTGGCCGCCGCCGGCCCCTTCGGTAGACAGATAAAGAGATCGGGAGATAGATAGCTCGAGAGAGAGAGAGACAGGGAGATCCCTTTATGGTGATCTACAAAAAAGAATATGGGATCCATGGCGGGGAAGAACAGGGGACGGAAAGAATCTGTAAACTTAGGAAGAATAGTTAGAGAGAGAGAGGAGGGCTTTTGGGGGGGTGGGTGGGAGACGATGGTGGCCTCCTTTGTACAGTATTTCGCGGCGGGATCTTCCTCGGCTTAGTGGGAGATTGCCGGATTGAAGAAAGCGCCGCCAGCCGACCGCCGTCTCCTGTACTCGTCGTTGTTCGAGGACGGCTCCGCCACGTCGTCGGCGAACCTCACCTTCTTCGGCTTCTTCCCTCTCATGCAGCAGCTCTCCCCTCCGCCTGCTGCAATCAGACGTTATCTTTAGCGCGAGAGAGAGAGAGAGAAGGGGAGAGGGCGAGAGAGAGAGAGAGAGAGGTCGGCTTGTGAGCTTTTAGGGAGGGGGAGAAAGGGGGCAATGGCCCGCCCAGCAAGAGGGAGGACGAAAGAGAGGACAGGAGAAGTGGGAGACCGGAGGAACCCACCTGGTTCAATGCGGCGGGGGTAAGAAGGAAAGAGGAAGAAAGGGCAGATGAGCGAGAGAGAGAGAGAGAGAGAGAGATGGGGGGGAAATGGAGGGGCTTACCCAGCTCGAACTTGACCTTCTTCATGAACTCCGACGACAGCCGCCGGTGCAGCTGCGCGGTTACCAGGGCGACGCTCCCCGACACCGCCATGACCGCCACCAGCCCCACGCAGCTCGAACCCTCCATCTTCTCTCTCTCTCCTCCCGGTATACTGGAAGAGCCAACAGCCGACGATGGGGAGAGGGAGGGAGGAAGAAGAAGAAGAAGAAGAAGAAGCAGAAGCGGAAGAAGCGGAGGCGTGTGAGGATTCCCTTCTGCCTCCTCGACCTCTTAAAGAGGTCCCCTTTAAAGAGAGTAACAGTATAGAGAGAAGGTGGGAGGAAGGAGACGGAGGACCAGAAAAGCGCCGGCCACGAAAAAAGTCTCCTCATCCTCGACGAACTACGACCAACGACGAAGGGGGATTGGAAGGCAATTAATGGCCTTTTAAGGGTTTTCTTCGTAAATTCCTGACTGGCCGTTGGCCTGGTCCCAACCGTGGCCCTTGTAGAAGCCATCCTTCGACTCGGGCCGTTACTGATTTCCCCCCCCTTCTTTTCAATTTCTTTTTCTGCGCAATGACACGTGGCCGCCGCTCAGCGTTTCTCCCCTCTCTCTCACTACTTTTCTCTCTCTCTCTCTCTCTAGACTTTTCTATTATCTGCCCTTATCCCCTGTCTAAGAAGTGAAGGTCGTTTGGATAAGAATATAATGCGGTTGACCGGTCAAAATAACCGCCGAAAAGTATTAAGTTCAGGGGGGAAGTGATTTTATTTTATTTTATTAATTCCCCTCATTATTCGGAAAAAAATTATAATATACTATGATGCGTCAGTTACTGTTTTCCCATTTTCCTTATGAGCTTGTTAATGGGCCAGTTTGAGAGCGGGCCTTGATACTCTTGGACCAATTTGATTGGATCAGTCTTGGGCCAATTTGATGAGCGAGAGAGAGAGGGAGAGGGGGTGCCATCATTTTTCAAATAATTAGTTTGCTTACGTCATAAAAATGAGGGGGGGGTGGGGGGGTAATTCTTGAAAACTTTTATGCATATTTTTAACGTGACAAAATTATTTAGCAGGAGAGAATATTTTGCACGTGGCGTGGTCCCATGCTTGGAAAACAGGCTCTTTTAAATCTATTTAGTTTAATGATGGAACAATTTGGGTAATATTTATGGGGTGGAATTCGTTACTTGGCGGCAATGCCGTCGACGAAAATATTTTTGTACTATAATAGTATTTGTTGGGAGCATTTATGCCGAGATGTTGACGGCATTTTCTTCAGCTCTCCGGGGGTTAAAACGATGAAGTGAGATATTTTGTGGGGTTTCACAAAATCAGATGCTGATAAATAAAAAAGCACGTTTTTTTTTATTTTGAGCTCCTGTACAGATAGTCTCCCCTTCTCTCTCTCTCTCTCGCTTCTGTCACTGGCTCCAGCCATGCTTAGCGTAGAGTTCCTAGCGACAGTGGCAGCTTTCCCTCGAGGCATCGCTCGCCCGAAGACTCCTGGGTCGCCTCCTCTACGGGGCTGCGGAGAGAGGAATGGATGGGAAAGAAGCAGGGGAATCGAAACCAGGAAGAAGAGAATTGGGGCAACTCCCACAGCGATGGCGGGGGTTCTGAGCGCGAAGGAAGAGGAGGGGGGGGCGGTGGCGGCGGCGGGAGGAGGAGGGGACATTTACGACGCCATCGTGATCGGGTCGGGGATCGGGGGGCTGGTGGCGGCGACGCAGCTGGCGGCGAAGGGGGCGAGGGTGCTGGTGCTGGAGAAGTATCTCATCCCCGGAGGCAGCTCCGGGTACTACAAGAGGGATGGGTACACCTTCGACGTTGGGTCCTCCGTCATGTTCGGATTCAGCGACAAGGTCTGAGCCCTCTTCTCCCCCTATTCGTTTTTCTTGCACATCTCCTCTGCCCTCTTTATTCATTCTGGTCTCCGGATGATGATAATCTCTCTCTCTCTCTCTCTCTCTCTCTCTCTCTCTCTCTCTCTCAGTGACGATATGCTTTTTGGGTTTTGGATCCTATCCAGTTCTCTTAGTTAGCTCATGATTCCTCGTTAAGATCCTCGTAAAACACCCACCCCCAGTTCCTATGTTTTTCACTCGTTTCACATATTTATACAGTTGATTTCTTGCTCTCCTTTTTTTTTTCCCCCTTTAGGGTAGATCTTCTTTCCTGCTCAATCGGTTCAATGCTCCAAGGGGGTGGGCCTAAATCAGCCGCCTTTGGACGATCTTCTTCATTCGATTATGCTCATGATGTCAGCGTTCGATTTTTGTTTTTTTTTTAAACAATCATGTGTGAAATCCCATATTATACTGCGGGACATATAAATTTAGTTCATCTTTGTATCGTTCTGGGAAAATGTCACATGAGGGATCAGTTCGGTCCTCCTCTCTCGCGCTTGTTCATGTTTCTGGAGCAAAAAAAGAATCGACTCAGAGCCATCCCATGATTGACCACCATTTCTATTACCATCCACTAATTGGCGCATGACAGCCGCCTGAAAATGGTGATCATCGATTGTTGTAGCTGTTTAATCCACCATGGTAACAAGATCTTCCACCTGCCTTGCCCTTTCATGATGGTGGGTTTATGTTTCTCGGTTTGTGCGGTGAAAGCAGGGAAACTTAAATCTGATCACTCAAGCGCTGGCAGCGGTCGGGTGCAGGATGCAGACCATACCTGATCCAACGACCGTCCATTTCCATCTCCCTTCTGATCTCTCTATTCGAGTGCACAGAGAGTATGACGATTTCGCCGCCGAGCTCATCAGCAGGTTTCCCCACGAGGAGGAGGGAGTCCTCGGATTTTACAGCGAGTGCTGGAAGGTCTATTATCACCGCTGAATATATTTTTATATTTTTTATTATTTCTATTTCTATTTTTATTTTATGGGTATAAATTGTTTTTATTTACATCCATGGAGTAGATCTTCAACGCACTGAACTCGCTGGAACTGAAATCCCTGGAGGAGCCGATTTACCTCTTTGGGCAGTTTTTCAGGAAGCCTCTGGAATGCTTGACACTCGGTGATCCCTCGACTTTGCTTATATTTTTTGCTGGGCAACTCTCTTTCTTTGAGCATCCGCCGCTTCAGACATGCACTCGCTCTCCTCTTGCAGCCTATTATTTGCCTCAGAATGCTGGGAATATTGCCCGAAAATACATTAAAGACCCTCAGTTGCTCTCTTTCATTGATGCCGAGGTAGCTCTCTCTCTCTCTCTCTCTATCTCTCTCTCTCTAAAAATGTAGGTATATATTGATACTGATATAAATGTGTGTGTATATATATATGTATATGTATACATATGACGGATATTTTGATCGAGTCCCATTTTCGTCTGGTCTTCTAAGTGACTTTCTGGTGCCCACAGTGTTTTATAGTGAGCACAGTCAACGCGATGAAGACGCCTATGATCAATGCGAGCATGGTAAGCGCTGACCCAGAGGGGAGAAGTCAACAACATTGGTCTCCCCAGCATCGGTCTCTCATGCCCACCTCGTTCTCATGGCTCTCTCTCCGGGCCAGGTTCTCTGCGAGAGGCATTTCGGGGGGATCTACTACCCCGTGGGGGGTGTTGGCAGGATACCGAGGGCTCTGGCGAGGGGTTTAGTGGACAAAGGAAGCAGAATCCTATACAAGGCGAATGTGACCAAGATCATGCTAGAGAATGGGAAGGCTGTAAGCAAGCTAGACTTCCATTCAGAGCATTCATGTGATCAGATTCAGAGCAGTGATCGTCATCAAGTTCCATCATTTTTTATCTGGGTCGCAGGTTGGGGTGCGGCTCTCCGATGGGCGAGAGTTCTTCTCCAAGACCGTGATATCAAATGCCACCAGATGGGACACTTTCGGTGTAGATTTTCGTCGTTTTCTTCATTTTCTTCATTTTCGTTGTATCTTCGTAGTCACTAGCATGAACAGTAGTGGGGTGGGCGGCTTCTGTGGTCTTCTTCGAGTGTGACAGCGGCTGATGGGTATGTGGATCGCAGGAAAGCTTTTGAAAGTGGACGAACTTCCAAAGGAGGAGGAGAACTTCCAGAGAATCTATGTGAAGTCGCCGTCTTTCCTCTCCATGCACCTGGGGGTCAAAGCTGAGGTCCTCCCTCCCGACACGGACTGCCACCATTTCGTTCTCGAGGTAGGAGGAGCTCCAATCTCTCTCTCTCTCTCTCTCTCTCTCTCTCTCTCTCTCTCTCTCTCTCTCTCTCTTGATTCTCTCTTTTGGGTCTGCGCAGGACGACTGGGAGAGGCTGGAGGAGCCGTACGGGAGTATATTTCTGAGCATTCCGACTGTTCTCGATCCCTCGCTGGCTCCAGAGGGCCACCACATCCTTCACGTGTTCACAACGTCTTCGATCGACGATTGGAAGGTCCGCTTCGATCTCTGAATCCCGGCAGGTTTTCTTCTTTTCTTTCTTTTCTTTTTAGGATCGGAAGCGGGGATGGGAGATTAAAATCGGGCTCGATCGGATTTCAACGACTCCTCGTCGGTGTGAAGTTCTAACCCCCAGAGATCACTGGCCCAGGGCCTCTCCCCGAAGGAGTACGAGGAGAAGAAGCGCCGCATATCGGACCAGATCATAACAAGGCTTGAGAACAAGCTCTTTCCGGGGCTCAAAAGCTCCATACTTTTCGAAGAGGTATCAACTCATCTCTTCAGCCATCATGTGCTAGATAGAAACAAGGAAAAAGTTCTCTGTATTTATCTCCCACTTTCTGCTGATTTTGCGTCTATTTATTTCTGAATTTCTATTCCCATTCTTGAAAAATGCCATCTTTCCCATGTGGGTCGTGAATAATTAATTAATTAATTTGCTCCGTTAATTATTGTAATGGATGCTCAGAGTTTCAATCTCCTCCGACGCCATGCTCGCTCCCCCTCGCCTTGAGAAGGTCTGGTCCTTTTGCAGGTTGGAACCCCGAGAACACACAGGCGTTTTCTTGCTCGCCAGGACGGCACCTACGGCCCGATGCCGCGGCAAATCCCCAAGGGCCTTCTGGGGATGCCTTTCAACACCACAGTAGGATGAACCTCTCTCTCTCTCTCTCTCTCTCTCTTTCTCCCTCTCTCTGTAACATGTGGGCTTGCTGCAGTCTATCGATGGGCTGTACTGCGTGGGAGATAGCTGCTTTCCCGGGCAGGGAGTCATAGCGGTTGCCTTCTCCGGAATAATGTGCGCCAACAGGGTCGCCGCTGATATCGGTAAGAATCCATCAGAATCCTTTTCTATGCGGCCGATCGCAGATTCCTGATCGCAACAATCTCTCGCATCCCATCGGCTTCTGTTCTCTTCTGTTCTTGGTTTGATTGCCTACCAGGGTTCGAGAGGAAATCCCCGGTGATGGACGCCGCCCTGCTACGGCTACTGAGCTGGTTCCGCTCCATTGCATGAGCGGGCAACGGATCTCAACTCATTTAACCATCATCTGGGAGGGACGCAGGGAGGCGCTTCTCCAGCGAGCAGGGTTGAGGTCCAACGGCTGCTGGAATCATGGAGTTCCACCTTCTGCCCTAATTAATCGCGCACACTTGCTCCATCAACACTCTCTCTCTCTCTCTCTCTCTCTCTCTCTCTCTCTCTCTCTCTCTCTCTCTCTCTCTGTGTACCTGTGCCCGTGTGCTGGGCCTGGAACAACCTGAATCAGATGTAGCATGGATCCGGGGCACGAAGAAGAAGATAATGCTTGGTTACAATATAACAAAATTCTTGGAGTCTGGCTACACAGCAAAAAGCCCGATTTGATCAGAGGCGCTGTAAATGATAATCAAAGAGGAAGTGGGTAGGTGGGTAATCGAGCCCGTTCTCCATCGCATGGAAGATTGTCCTCCGAACCCATAAATATCTCATCAAGACTGTAAATAATGCTAGTCAACGCCGGCCAGACGGCGGAGGGTCCTTCAGTCACGGCGCCGAGGACTGCTCTGCCTTCTTCTTCCTTTCCTTCAGGAGCTTCACACCCGACCTCTTCCGTTCCTTGCTTATCTGCGAAACAAGTGGTGGAGAGGCAAGAAGAATCAACTCCCCATTTCGTTAAAAAAAAAAAACAGCTATGTCCCAGATGGGTTCTCGTCCAATCTCCTCCTGCAGATAGCAAGACGGATCGGGAAGCAGAGAAGAAGAGCAGAGGGAGGCGGGCGGGCTCTACCTGCATCGCCTCGTAGAGCTTCCTCTTCTTACGCGACATGACAACCTTGGACATGCTGGTGGCATCGGTGGCTGCCATCTCCTCGGCATCCAAGCCATCCTCCAGCTTTTCCTCCGCCCCAATGCTGCTGCTTTCTGCCTTCTTCGATAATAAAGATTCAGAATAGCTGATTCCCTGAAGCTCCATGTTCAGCTCGTCATGGTACTGCTTCTCGAGCTTAATCAGCTGCAACAAAAAAATACGGCCAACATTTGATCCGTCTCTGTCAAATCCCCCGTGCAATCTGCGCAATTTCCAAACAGCTGACTGGCTTGTGTTTATCTATTTATATACCTCTTGCTTTTTCTCAGAAGCCTCCTGGGCTTGAGTGCGGTCGATGACGCCTTCAGCCAGCAGATGCTGTGGGTCGTCCAAGTCTCCATCATCCGTTCCTGGCACGGGTAGAACTCGCCTCCTTGATGCAGACTGCAACCGTTTGATTGTCTCTGCATACTCGGGCACATAGCCTTCGGCCTCATTGTCAACAAAAGGTGATAGGTGTGGTGGAGGGACCCTACCAAACAGCAATTGGTTCTCGAATTCAGATGTTGACCAACTTTTATATGATGATGCACCGGAATAACCAGAACCATGCACTTTAATGTAAAAATGATCCGAGAAAAAGAAAAAGAAAAAAGAAAAAGAAAAAGAAAGAAGAAGATGCCCCTCGAGTACCTCCCAACCATGTACGCTTCTGTTGGCAGGATAATCCGAGCATTCACACAATCATATATCCACTGCGGTTGAACATACTCTCTGGAGAGATAGACATGACCCTGACTGGGTCTGTCAACAATCTGAAACATCAAAGTATGAGAATATAAGCCAAAAGCGTCCCGGTACGAAAAGCACCAGCGAAGAAACACGGAATCTGACAGCTGACGCTATTGAAGCTGATGGATGCTTTGTTGTCGCAGAGGTCGCATGTAATAATGCTATGCGCAGAAGGTGGGAATATATCCACATTTCATGGTGAATGGGATATAGTAATGATCATCACAGCATAAGCATATGTCCCACAGATGCTAAGAAACTATGCTTAAGATTTGCCTATTTAGGCGTCAATTTTTCATGCTATAATGATACTGGCAACAGATAAAAAATTATCAAAATAACTGAGAGACGTGGTGATCTTAACGAGCCTCATTTGAAATACAAATCGAGAGTAAAACTGCTGGAGGGCCAAAAGGGGCATGCACCTACCTGATGGGTAATGCCTTCATCAGTCTCTCCAAAAGGCGAACCATCACCCTCCCAAGAGACAGTCCCTCCAAAGGCAGGGATGATGAAGAGCAATGAGTCCTTCGGAACCTGTTTTTTTAAAAAAAATAAAAAAGAAAAAAAGAAAAAGCAATCCACAATGAGATACGGGTTTCCAACAAAAAAATTACCCACGGCATGTGTTGAAAACACCAAGTCACACAATACCAAAAGAAATCAGGCTCTCACCTCACGACCCAAGAAAAATTTCAGGTTTTTGAAAAGAGACTTGCATTCTTTCGTCTCCTTGTCATCCTTGTCATCCACACTAGCGTTCTCAACAAGATGCATCAGTGCTCCCGGTTCACTGGCAGGAAGTAGTCGAACTTCATTCTGTTCCTCAGATCCACCGATTTGAGAATTCCCAAACGTCCGTCTTGATCCGGCAGAAAAAAATCGATACAATGCAAACAGATCTACACAACGGAACAAGGTCAATCATGGCATAAAGTGTGCTCGGGACAACGAAACAGGTAAACATAATGAAGAAGAAGAGTATGATATAAACGATCCAATTTGAACTATTCCCTCAGGCACTGGAAAAAAAAATACCTGCAGCTTCAGCTTCGAGAAAAGGGTCCAGTATGGGTGGATACTCCACATTTATTGAATGGTAAAGCCTAAAATTAACAAAGGCAAGAAGAGTCTGCAAAAGAATGGAGGTTAGGAAAACTGACTAGATAGAGAGAGCTTATTAAATAGTTCAATGATTGATAAAAGCATCCAGATGATTGTCAGGAAGTATGAAAAGAAATAAGCTTCCTCTAGTTTAATCTCACTGAAATAAAATCTATACGAAAAATACCTATTTTCATACTAATTACAAAATCTGAGTTTACAAGCTTCCCATTAACAATATAAACGATAGACAACTTCTTAGAAATAACTTAGCAACAGTTCCGATACATGAAATGTCATTATTTAAATAAAATATTTCACGGGAGAGAAAGCAGCTCTCATCAAAATAATATTGAAGTACTAGACCACTGAAGTTATGGCAAAATATAGATATCAGTAACGAGAAATGCACTAAAAATCAGTCTTATGGACAAATAGTTCCAAATTAAAAAAACAACTCCCTTTTATTTCCATTTACAAGATAGAATACACGCCCTTCCAATTACCTCTCATCAAAAGATGATAAAAATGATAATAACTTCACACTTTACAAGAACGAACCATTTGGACAGAAAAGCTGGAGGTATATTGGGAAGTTAATCAGGAATAATCAACTAATCCTAATAGCTCATCAATTGGCTTGTTGTTGTTTATCTTGATGAAATCTTGGTCTAACACCGAAGCTTTTAGAGGAGCATATAAGATCACCTCTGAGAAGCGCTTTCTGAGTTGAGAGCACACATCGTTATTCAAACAAGAAAATTGTGAATTTACACTTGAAGAAGCATCCTCTGACCACAGTGGGGTGGGATGGTGTGAGAGTGGACCCTGCCAAGGTCCACACCATCAATAAGTGGTTGCTGGTTAATTATTACAAGTTTTTCGAGGTTATCTGCATCAATAAGTGGCCTGTTAACAGACCTCATGAAGAAAGGTGTGCATTGGCAATAAATGCCCGAGTTCTAACAAACCTTTGATAACCTCAAACTGGGAATGATCAGTGAACCCGTCTTATGGCTACCCAACTTCCATCAAACATTTGAGGTGAACACAGATACATCACTGAGATTACTTATCTGGCTCCCTCACTGTTTTGGCAGGGAAAATGAAGAGAACCTCAGCTATCCGCTTTAAGAAGATAGTAAGAAAACTACTTGTCAGGGTTACCACTTCCATTCCCAAGATCAAGAAAAACATAGCACATTTTCCACTTAGCAGTTGATGTACGCTGTGAATACGCCATCGTGTCAAGGATTCAAATGATAACCAGTGAATCAGGGTGAAGTATGAAGAGTATACAGCAATAGAATAAAGGTGAAGGTACATTCATTTCTTAGTAAAAGCTGCTCTAGAAAATAATGTATACACTGTGCATCACACCACAAATGGTAAACCACCAACGGAAAAGAATTTAACATTTCAGCACTGCAACATGATTCTTCCTTCTAAAAAAGAATCTTTTTGGCTCAAGGTGGGATAATTCTACCACTAGATTAAAACTCTTGAAATTACATTCTTTAAAGCTCACGGGAATTGGTTCCCCCCCAAGATTTATATTCAAGTTGCAAAATCTGTAAGCAAATCATTTTACACACTATGATCCTTCAGTTGCTCGACTAGATTGATTATAGAATTCACACTATGACCACTCATCCATACAAGTCTAGACAGATGTTGAAGGCCATTTTCCACGAAAATTGAAAAAAAAAAATTGAGGTCCGAAACGCTGAGGAAAGAAAGAGGGGAAGAAAGTGGCTTTACCTCATAGAATTCCAAAAAGGTAAGCAGCACATTGAAGTCGACATCATCAGGGACTACTTGCTGTAATGCATGAGGGGTTAGCCACGTAATTTTCTGACCCTCAATCTCTGCCTGCATAAACGAAATAGACGATAATGAACCATACTCAGTGCATAAAAAAGATATATTGTGAATTTCACAATGCATTGTGGGTACAATTTGTCCATCTTACCTGATAATATATACCTTTCACAGATATGAAAGTCTTCCTCAGGCTGTGTGTTCGAGCAACATAGGCCAGCCATTCGTGACTTAACCTGCAAGATGAGACCATTTTAAATATCGACCATTCGTTGTCCAGAGAAAATAGTAAGAGGAACACATGCCTATCGCACATCCTTTTCAAAATAGAGTTCCAATAATGGAAAAAAAAAGAAAAAGAGGCAGCTATATGCTGCCCATCCGACACCTGGGTTTCTAACGAGTCAAAAAGAGAGCAAGAAGAAGATATAGTGGCATCAGGAAATTATCATGGCTCGTCCAATTTCATTGAAAAAGAACATGCCGAAAAATAAAGCCAATAGAATATTAATGACAATTGTATTTAGAGTCAACCTGCGACAGTTGTGGATCCTCTCAACATCAAGGCGTGTACTCTCAGTAGCCGGTAAAGCAGCAAAGAGGTTCACCATCGTAAGGCAGTCGTCCAGGTCCCGTAATGCGTCAATGAACCTTGGGTACCTATATCAACGGGAAATATGACAGCTAGGCATCATTATTGAATGTGACGAAAAGTCTTTAGTTATAGTCAGCGATCTGCACCTCTGTCTAATCAGTGGATCAAGTTGGTAGTTCGGACGGCGGCTCTTTAGGCGAATAGCTAGATCCTTATTCTTTTTTGCCACAGCTTTTTTTATTTTCCTGTCGTAGGCCTTAATATCCCTGAAGCATCACCACAAAACATCAAAAGACATTTATGATAGATGTGGAAACATGATGGAAAGTGTAATCAGATTACCACTGTACAAAAAACATAAATCAATCATCTTTTCGCTGCCTTTCTTAACCAACTATGTTAAACAGATGAGCAAAGTGTGGAGATGATGGCAACCACAACAGAACATAAGTTCTGTCTCACAACCGAAAAATTCTCAATAAATACAAATTTCAATTGCATAATACATGGTAGTAGCCAACTGCTTCGTTAAAATAAACTGATGCTAAAAGTAGCGAAATTTCAAAAAAACAACAACATATCGTTTCACATTATTTCTCCATAACTTCTGGCCTTAGGTACACAACTCCATTTAGAAACATGATAAAAACTTCAGGGGCTGATACGACAAGTTTCTAACAAAAATAATGAAATTAAATAAAAAGGATAAAGGGCGTGATTGAGACACCTGAATTTATCAAGCAACGGTTCATGTGCCAGGAACATGATATCTTTCATGTGATAATAGGTCTTGTGATTTCCTTCCACCTTCTTCTTCGGAACTCGAGGGAAAATGCCTTTGAGAATGCATAATTTCCTATAAAAGAAAAGAAGACAACAAATCATACCACCATCTTTATGCATAGAAGAATAGCTTATATGCATCACAGAGACTTACTTTCCAGTTCATTGCATAAACAAACATAAATGAGCACCCAAAGCAACGAAAAAAATAAAGTGCCAAATCTAAGCATGACGAGAAATGCTATAAAGGTGCTGCAAATGCCACAAAAGTCATAAAACAAGGAGAAAAAAGAAATTTCATCATAACCTAAATGCAGGGAGCAATCTTATTCGTCTGGAGACGTAACTACTGTTTTATGATTATAAATAAAAAATGAAAGTCAGACACCGTCTCAGATTATTGAAAAATTCAAAGTGGTACGACCTGGAAATATATCATGCCATATATGGAGGACTAGAAGGTCCATAATCCGCAAACAACTTTGCCAAACTTTCCTAATCACCGCATCCGGAGTCAGGGGCGTTACATATTGATAACAGTCCGCAAGGAAAGATAACTCAAACTGTAGGCTTCCACAATCGCACTATCAAACCCCCCCCCCCCCACCACTCCCTTGGTAGTACCTGAACATAGGCAGACTAAGCTGGAGATAGTGGACGGCGCGCGTCCTCGTGATAAACTTGGCGGCATTTCCCTCCCTCTTCTTCCCCTGAAAAAACGAAAAACATCAGAACAGGCACGAGAGCAAGTCAATCGTCCTTCAAAAAACAAAGAAACAGATGACCCGAAAGGGAGGGAGAGAGAGGGATTCGAAGGTATTACGGAGGGGCGGTAGTGCTTCTTTCTTTTCTGCTGCCCGGAGAGCCTCGGCATCGCGGCGGCGGAGAGAGGACCTGTTGACGGCGCCGCCCTGTCAGTTGCTCTGTAACGCGCAGCGGCAAACGAAGAGGGAGAGAAATCGAGGCAGGGGATGAAGATCTATGTGGCCTCGTTATAAATTATAATTAAAAAAAATGTTTTTCCTAAACATCCCAGCGCCTGTAGCTCAGTGGATAGAGCGTCTGTTTCCTAAGCTGAAGGTCGTAGGTTCGATCCCTACCTGGCGCGATTGCTTTTATTATTGCATTTTTAACTCTTTTGTTTTGCGCCATTGAGGGTTAACCCCGTCCCGTGTGATAATGGAAATTTGACCATTAAAGCATTCCCTCATTGGATCGCAAGCTACTAACTAGCACCATGACACAATAAGGTTCTAGAACCGAAGGTGGAGATTTTTAGGTGTTCCATATTATAGAGCAATTATTTTAGGCCATCCATACTCTAGATCTAGAGAAGGTCACACTAGAAAGTATATACCTTGTTGACTTTAGAAGCCTTCAAACCTTTTATGATGACAAAATCACATAAAGTTAGAATTTTACTTTACTCCATTTTTTTAAATTATTTTTCTAACACATAGTCACAACTTTTTTCAAGATTGATTGATTGATTGATTGGCTTAGAATTTCTCTTTTCTGATTATTTTTTTAAAAGGTTCACTGAGTAGACAAGTAGTTAGATGAGTTTTACTTTGGTTACCAAGAGCATGCATCAAAATAGCAAAAACAATTCAATAGTAAGATAGTAATTTAATATTTAAAATATTTTGAACATATTAGTGACTTAAAAATATTTGTTTACATTCTAAATTTTATAATCTTATTTATAAAATTATCCTATAATTTTTAAACCTTATTTTCCTATAAGATTATATGTTTTTTTCATACTATGAAATGTGTCAAATCAAGCAAGATTTTTTCTTACATAGGGACTGAATTTTTCTTTACATCATGAAAGTAGTTTAGCAACATAAGACAAGATGACATAATTAACAAAACTGGTAAAAATCTATAGTACTCATTAGTCTCCAAGGCATGCAATAGTCATTGGAGACCTTTTTAACTCCTCAAAGTATTAGATGATCAGAATAAATAGTTCATATATAAGAACATTCTCCATGGTGTCCAAACTGATGAAACAATATTCAAGGAGCAAAATAAATGAATCTCTCCCAAGAATTCAATGAGCCTTCACACCTCAAGATGTTTATGTAACTTCAATTGAAGAGGTTTATGTTGATAAAAGTCACATGCCAAATGTGTAAATTCGTTCTTGATTTATAACATAGTGATTTTAGTATGCAAGATGACTTAGAGTAGTTGACTTATAAAAATATTAGCTAGAAGTTAATATAGTTGGCCTCCTAGGGTTATGATTTGAAATGATCAATTTACTTCTTTTGAATTCTTCTTTTGTAAATATATAACTCTAAACATTATGAAACATAGTATCAAATGCAAACAAAGCTAAAATGAGCAGTTTCTCATAGTGTGAACAGTGCTAAGGTCCAATAAATATTCTATTAGTGGACTCCATACGATATAATATCATTCTATACTAAATTTTTGAAAGGGTTATGTAGACCTAGTAGAAAGTAATAACACATTTAATTATTTGAGACTATTAGTTCCATATTACTTAATCATATTCTTAAGTACAAGGATCCATAATCAACTTTGATTAAGTACAAAATAGGAGGTATGATTTTCATCCATTCTTTGCATGACTTTGGCATGTGTTATTATTCTTCTTAAAATTATATATGATAAGTTTAAAATGAGTGAACTACAACTTATTTTTATAGAATTGTAGCCAGATGATGGTTCGATTAAACAACCATATGGATTGTTAGAACATGTCATAGTTAAAATCAAAAGTTGTTATTTGTCAATAGTTTTTGTTATTGTTGATATGAAGATGACTGAAACTATCAATCATGGTCTTATAATTCTTGGTTGACTTTTTTTAGTAATAGCTAAAGCCATGATGGATTAGGGAAAAAAGAACGTAGAGTTAAAATTTGGTCAAGAAAAAGTAGAAATAAATATGTCTAAGCTAATAAAATATCCAAAAGAATTGAGGATTGTCACCATGTAGATGTATATGATGAGGATTGTTGCCATTTTTAGTGTGCTGCATGATAATTTTGAATTTTATAATACTCTAATGCATACCCACAATCAACAGCTTGAAATGTCTCTTTGGCACTTGTGCATCTAGAAGAATGCCTTTTGGTTTATGCAATGTTCCAATCACATTTCAACTATATATGTCTATCATGTTTTCAAACTTAATTGTTGAATATTTAAAAATATTTATAGATGATTTCTCATTTTTTTGTCAATCATTTGAGTGCTATAAAATTAAATTAATAAAGGTATTGTAGTTGTGTGGATAAAAACTTAGTGCTAAGTTGGGAGAAATTTCATTTCATGGTGCAAGGAGTGATGATAAGCCATCTAGTTAACAACTATGGATTTGAGGCAGACATGACCAAGATAGAAGTGATCCAAAAGCTCCCCCTCTCTAATTTCATTAGACAACTTAGAGCTTTTTTAGGTCACATTACTTTTTATAAATATCTTATTAAAGATTTTGCTAAGGTTTCTAATCTTTAACTAACCTAATATCTAATGATGATTAATTTTGAAATAAAGGCTGCATGTCAATAAGCTTTCTTGTAGATTAAGAAGGTGTTATAGAGATTCTATTTTTTCAACCGCCTAATTGAAACCTCTTTGATGAACTAATGTGTGATGCCTCAGATTTTATAGTAAGAGTGGTGTTGTTCAATAAATTGACAAGAAATCAATGATAATTTATTATGTAAGTAAGACATTGGTTGAAGTTCAAGTACATTAAACTATGACAGAAAAATAGTTATTAGCTATTATTTTTGCATATGATAAATTTTGATCCTATTTGTTAGATAGAAAAATTATTATATATTATGATCATTTTGCCCTTAGATATTTACATAGTAAAAAAGAAGACAAATCTCAATTAATTAGGTGGGTTTTATCATTACAAGAATTTGATGTAGATGCTAAGGATAAACAAGGGTGTGAAAAATGTGTAGCTGATCATTTATCTAAACTACATATACAAATTACAAATCACATTGTTGATTTTTTTTCGAATGAATAACCCCTTATAGTACAAGTGAGAAGATTATTTCGGTATGCACATATTGTGGATTATTTAGTCACTTGTCAAATTCCAAATGAGTGGACTACAAATAATAAAAAGAAAAAAATTAAGGACATTGAATTTTATTTTTGAGAAGAACCTAAATTATCTCACCTAGAGGTTGATCAAATCTTTGGATGATATGTCCTTAAAGATGAACATCATAACATATTAGATTTTTGTCATTCTTCTTCTTGTGGTGGACATTTTGCATAAAAGAAAATTACTATAAAAATTCTTCAATATATTTTTTTTGGCCTACCATATTAAAAAAATTATATGATTTTTTAAATTTTTGTTTGAAGTGTCAAGTTGTGATCAACATAACTAAGAGAGATTTTATGCCACCATAATTGATTATTAAGGTCAAAAAAAATTATTTATAGGAAATTGATTTTATAAGACCATTTACTATCAAATGGTCATAAATACACATCTTAATGGCTATTGATTATGTTTCTAAGTAGATAAAGGCCATCTCTACTAGAACTAATGATCATAAGGTACTTCTTAAATTTATTGTGTAGTATATTTTTTCACATTTTGGTTATCTAATAGTTATACTTAGTGATAGTGAGTTGTATGTTAATAATTATCATTTTAAGACTTTACTTAAGAAATATGATGTGCAGCATAAGATGACCATGCCATACCACCCACAAGTTAACAACCAAAGTAAAGTGACAAATAGAGAAATAAAAAAAATCCTTACATTAAATAGTTAGACTTAATGATAAAAATTGAGTAAATAAACTTCATGATACATTATGGACATATAGAACAACTTAAACAAAATTATATAGGAATGTCTCCTTCTAAGTTGATTTTTCACAAAATTTGTCATTTACCCGTTGAAATTGAGTATCAAGCTTATTGGTCTATCAAAAAGTTCAATTTATCATTGCATGATGTAGAGAAGAACCACATCCTACAAATCTAAGAATTACAAAAGTTGTAAAATGAGGCTTATGAAATTTCTTTGATTTATAAAGCTAAACTTAAGGCTTTTCATGATCTACATTTGAATTGTAAACAGATTTAAAAATCAAAAAAATTAGTTCAATAACTCACACTTGAAATTATTTCTTAGGAAACTTAAATCAAGATGAGATGGACCCTTCATAAATTGACAAATCAAGATGGGATGTAGAGTAGTGTTAACTGCAAATCTTAAGACATGTCAACACTTTCAAGTGCATGGGCAAAGACTCAAACCGTACATAAAGCACAAGCAACAACCACCCATCATCTCTCTTCAACTACAAGATCTATAAGCCTCTCCAACCTCTTTGTTGAAAACATTGTGATCAATTGATGAACAATTTTTTGAATTTTTAATCTAATCACCTTTTAATCAATGGCATCTTCTCTTTTACTTTTTTTTGTAGTTGTCTTTTAATTATATTTGGAGTACATGTATGAGGTTCATCACACAATCATTGAAACATGGTGATGTATACAATGCACAATAGCAACACACATTCTCTTGCACTACTAAGTTTGTACCTTCTTTTCCTAATACTTCTTTTCCTTCACATGCATTAGGGATGATGTATGGATCAAGTTGGGGGGTGAGAGGATGTTTAACACAATCTATGCTCTTGCAAGATTAATAATATGAATCTTTTTTATCTTCTTTTTGCCCTACTAAATTAAAACTAAATCAAAATAGCTCATAATTAGATTGTGTTAAAGCTAAACTTTTTATGTTTAAATAGACTTATTATTTTACTTTTGTGTGTTAGTTTTTAGAATAAATATAGCAATATATTATTATTTTTTAAAGTTTAAAGTTAAAGGACAATATAATTTTTGATTTTTTAAAAAATAAAAAAAATAAAAAATATCACCACTTGCTAATAAATCAACACTCGGCAACTGACCTAGAGGGGTGTTGAGCTCAAGTGGGTGGACTTAGACCAAGGGAGCCATGAGTTGGAATCAAGTGGCTAAGGACTCACTTCAAACATGTGTGCATCACTCCTTGCCACATCTCAAGGGCCAACCAATAGTGAAGGAAGGAGTGTAGTACATGATAACATACGAATTCCACATGTTGAGTATGACATAATTTAGACAATTAATACTAAATTTTATGTAAAACTACATTTAACTATATATAAAATAAGCGAAGCATAATTTTTGACAAAGTTTCTAAATACATGCTTAATTTCGTGATTTCTTTATATTTTCTACAGCATGTGTATTTATTTATTTATATGTTTCACTTGAGTAATAATTATAAATAAAATGTCATTTGATGTCCAAATTATGATTCAAATATTTTCTAACAATGTAATATGATCAAAGTATTTTTCCTGAATTTAAGAGATTTTTTTATTTTTCAAAGTATTATAAGATTTATTCCAAGTTCAAATGAATATTCTAAAGGTTTCTCTATTTTTTTGAAATTTTCTATTAAATATGAATGAATATCAGTGCTTTGAGTCATGATTATTACATTATAAAACATAATCCATACAATATTTATGATTTATTATGCATCTCTTAAGCCCTAAGTCAAGTCATGCATAAATGAGTTTATATTTATCATGTTGATTTCTCCCTTATACCTAATTTATTATATTTATTTACTTAAAGGGGTAATGGGCTCTATTTTAATATTATGTTTCAGGTCATATTAGGCCCATGGGCCAGCTGAACAGCCCACATTAATTAAGGAGGAGACCCAACAAGAAGGATGTATTTTCTCTCCCCTCAAATTAAGGAAACTGCCCACTTAAGGTGGGCCGTTCATTTCATTCCTAATTAGAGGGAGGGGTATGTGGCACGATCTGATCAGCCACGCCACTCTCCCTCATTAAAAAAACCCTTGGGAGTATCTCAGCCCCTCAATCAACACAATCCAAGGGCTGAGATAAGTCTTAGGGTGAGGGAAGGTGACGAGACACCAACCTCCCTTTGAAAATAAAACAACAATTTATCAAAAACAGCATGCAGATTAGGTAATAATTTATGAAGTGAATTCTATAATATATTTTGACATTTTTCATTTGATGTTTGACTACGTAATGTGACATATATCATCATTACCGATTTTGTTTGTTGACGAGAGGAGAGTGGATAAGCACTTCCCTTTCTCAAAGCCCGATTTTTGAAGCTTCACTCTGTCCTTTTTTTTTTTTTTTTTTTTCTTTCTCTCTTTCATATGCGGACAGGTAACTTTTTCTGACGAGAGGAGAGAATGGATAAGCACTTCCCCTGTCTTAAAACCCGATTTTTGGAGCTTCACTTTGTCCTTTTTTTCTTCTTTCTCACTTTAATGTGTAGACAGGTAGGTAGCCTTTCTAATGAGAGCTTTTCACCTCTTCCTATGATTACTTTGACTAAGGAATTTTTAACTTCAACCACTCTAAAATGTTCAATAGGACTCTCAGTACCCTTGGATTACTAGCTGATATCTACTAAAATATAAAGAGTAGATCTCAAAATTCAATTTCATGAAAATTTAATACGTAAAGTGTATGAGAGATCACAACGATGTTAGATTCTTGCGAGCGGGACCACATCCTGAGCAGAGAACTATGATGTGGGTTTACATCATAGTTCTTGAGGTCATCTTCTCGTCATAGAGATTGGCGAGGCCGAAGTCGGAGATTTTTGGGTTTACATCAGCGTCGGGGAGCACGTAGCTGGGCCTCACGTCCCTGTGGACGGTCCTCAAAAAGCAAAAAAAAAGAAACGGAAGGAAGGAAGGAGGAGGTGATTAGGCTGCTTCACGGCCACCCTCCTCCCGTCGGAGAGCTTCCCCAGCGGAAGGCGATCAGGCCACGGCAATGTGCTTCTTCTTCTTCTTTTTCCTCTCTTCCTCCCTCTCTTTCCTCTCTCCTTTCTCCTTTTTCCCTCCTTTCCTTCGGTCTTCCGTTCCTCTCTCCCGTCGGGAACTGTTAAGATGGTTCGCGGTGGACCTGTGGATCGGGCAACGGTCACGGTGGAACGGCCAAATCGGCCGTTGGATCGGGCGAAGATGCGGACCAAGACGGTTCGGCGGATCAGCAGACCGCTTTTGGGGGGAAAAACCGGAGCCTCTCCTCTCTCCCTCTCCCTCTCCCTCTGCCCCCCCTTCTCTCCCTCTCTGTCTCTCCCTCTCTCTCTCTCCCCGGCTCTGTCTCTCTGTCTTTCTCTCCCTCATGTCCTTTTGAAATCACGCACACATCTCCCCGAGGGCCTCCTCCACGTGAGAAAGTCGAGGAGATGGGCCTCAACCGCCAGACGGGCTTCGTGTGGCTCGCCCAGAAGAAGGCCCTCTGGAAGACTTGTTCGTGTACCCCACCAAGATCACCTACCCGGCCTCGGCCTTGGAGCTGGAGGAGCAGGGTCATTGATTTGATCCCGGATTCGATGCCTTGGGGGAGTTCCCATGAAACATGTCAAAAGTCCGGCTGTTCACCATTCATTTTATCCCAGACTCTATTTGATTGATCCCTTTTTGTTTCTGTGCTTATTATATAAGATCAACGAGTATGCTTGATGAAACATGGAAAATCATTGGGGATTACGCAATATAGAGAGAGAGAAAGAGAGCTACTGAGACAAAAACGGGGGGAATTACCCCGAGATGGAGGAGGCCATTGACTCGAGCAACACAAGACGCTTCTGGGTCAGACTGATCTTCTCCTTCGCTTCCGTTGCCTTCTCCTTCACCCCCAAAACAACCTCAGCCGGCGCCTTCTCCACAAACTGCAAAAATGGCAGCATATGATCTCACAGAGCATCCAAAATCTGCTCTCTCTCTCTCTCTCTCTCTCTCTCTCTCTCCACCAAGAAAGGGTAAAAGAGAAGGGCCCTCAAGCTTGAAGACGTACGCTGGGAGAATTGAGCCGTGCGAGGAGGGATGCATACTCCGACTGCATCTTGGTGAGGCGCTTAGAGAGGCGCTGCATCTCCGAGGAGATATCAACCATGTCTGACAGAGGGAGGTAGGCCTCGAGCCCCTCCCCAACTACCAGGTGGACCGACTGGTTCGCATAGACTAGAGCAGCAGGGCAGCAACGGTCATTAGTAGCTGACCATCGGCCACAAGAACGACTTCAATAAAGAGGAGAGTGCAGATGAGCACAGTGGGTTTGGAAGGTCACCTGGCGGGGATTCCATGAAGTGAACGTGCTGCAGGTCAAGCTTTGAGAGCAGTCCTAAGACCTCTTTCTCACTCTAGAAAAGGGGTCAATGCCAGGGTGAGGAAACCAAATAGGACATGAATGCCCCCAGTAGTAATAGACCACAAATCGAAAACCTTCAAAGAAATGAAGCCCAGATAGTATACAAGCAAACTCAATTTAAAAAAGCTAATTTTCGGGCCCAATCCAATTTAGTTTTTAATGATCAATCTTATTTTTGAATGCTACACAATGCAATTCAATTATAGTTATTATAGCTCAGAATAAAGAGTAAAACGCAGTGTGTTTTACTTATTAAATATATCCTATACCTCTATAGAAATGTAAGTATGAAGTTCTTGGGGTTTCTAATCAGGGGCTTTGGTTGGACAATAGTTCAGAAAGCAATAAGGAAGCTGGGGGGCAAAACCCACAATGAAGCAGAGAAAGGTGTAACAAGAAGACTGAGCTCACAGATATATATTCAGTGACATCGGTGCTGGCAACTATCGCTGCAGATATACGTTTTGCTGGCTCAACAGAGTATTCTGCTCTTGCATTCCGGATAGATCGAATCTGCGACAAGCATATGAGGAGACATCTGCATTAGCCACAGGAGGAGGTGGAGGGATAATGGGTGATGGCATTTTTCTTGGAAAGAAAACTGTATTTCTTCTGGGGAGATTCAAACTTACCAAAGCCTGAAAATTCTCAAACCTTTTCACAGACTTTGCATCCCTTGGAAGGGAAGTCGCGGGCCAATCAGCAACAATGAGGGCTTGTTTTCGATGGGGAAGTGCCTGAATATTATGCATTACTTTTAGAAAAACAGCAGACGACTATGAGAAGAACAACGGTTCCAAATAAAAGCATCACGCATAGCAAGTGATGTGCTGCTCAGGTTTGTAAAGGTGGACCAAACTCTTGGGCCATTCATTGGAGAAGCATCAACGATTTTAATTAGAAATGTAATTATCAAAGGCAATCGTGTTACTAATGCTTTCCTTTACCATGAGGCTAAGGATGAGGAAAAATGGAAATACTAGACCTCTACAGTCATATCATCCACCAATTACAAATCCTTGACAATATCCAGTCAGAATGAGAAGCCCCGTATCCATGGACTATAGAGTACGATAATTATATGGTGCATAGGACAGAGAAAACCAACTAGAAAACCTTAGTGGTTTTCACGAGAAGTTTCTAACAGAAAGAAGTCTATGTTCTCATCGACAATAAGAGGTTTCCTGACAGCTGTCTCCCTGTTACAGAGGGAAGATACCGTGTCTCTTCTGCTGAATCTGTACATGAAACTGTGTCTCTCTCATGCACTGCCCCAACATTCTGGAGGAAACCTGAAAGCCCGCCAAAGGGCAACATTAATTCATGGTAGGCAGCCATTTGTATCCTCAGACTAGGAGAAAAGAGGGGCAAGAAGAAGGAAGAAAAGAGAAGGGTCCAACCCAACTAGATACCCCTACACATGGGGATTCGGATTTACATGGTTCATTGATTGCGAATGTATTATGAAGCTTAAAAATAGAAGCATCCCACTCATTTGGATAACCACTAAATGAAATAAATGGCCACGCCTAACAGTTTACAACTTGTCTCTTTTATGTTTAGGTGTTTTTTGCATGTGCATTTAATGCCAGAGATCCACGATACGTTTGTTAGGAGGTGACCTCTAGTTACTAAATACTGACGAATGAACTGCGGTATATACTTCTGGCATTTTTCTTCGTCCAGATAATTTTGGATGTCCCGTTTATTTTTCTTCAGGATTATCGATTTTTTTAGATATTTACTTTCACAGTTGTTCTTCATTTTTTTTTAGGTACAATCTGATTCTGGGCCAGGATTACCAGACAATGGTCGGTTCCTATGAGGTTATTTTACCAAACTTCAGAACGCTGATATTCTAGCATATCTTTAAAGAGGCTGGTCAACAGTCAATCACCACTCTGAAGCTTAATTTAAGCACATTTTCTAGTAAATATGAAATTGAAAGTCTTACCTGCCACAGGGCTTCTGTTACATACGGCATAAAAGGGTGCAGCAGCTTTAGAATGTTTTCAAAGGCATATAGAAGCACGGCTTGTGCAGTAGCAGAAGCTGAAGGGTTTTCCAAGTGGTAGTAACGAGTTTTACTAGCTTCGATGTACCTGCAAGATCAGCAACCTGACTGATGACTTAAAAAGTATATAGTAGAGAACTGATACGATTCTTATGCATAAGTTTAGCAGTCAACAATAAAACCAAGGATTTAAGGCAATCACTTCATTACCTTCTAGCAAGCTAACAAGACAGGGTACTTAGAGTACACCTAATTTTGAATTTAAATGTTTTTAAAATATTACGGCGTAAAATAGCCATAAAATTATAAAAAATAAATGTTCACCAATAAATTTCTGTAGAAAATAAGGACAAACATATTTAAGATTTAAATCTTGTCTTCAACGAATCTACATATTTCAGCTCATTTTTTCCCTCATCTTTTGACAGTTTATATATTATTCTCCCCCTAATCAGCTTGACTTTTTTGCCAGATTTCTATGTAGTGAAGACAATTTTACCGCTCTCTGAACTCTGGTGCGTTTCCAGTTCAACTGCGGTTGCAAAAATCCTGAAAGCTTTTTGCCAGAAGATTTTTCGGAAAGTCTTTGAAACCTCAGTTTCGAAACTTTACATTGCAAGGAGTATCCCAACAATCAAATGTCTCCAAGGACAGGGAAAAGAAACTCAGATGCCAACTTCGAACTCGCACTGCCATAGCAGCAGTGACCCAGATTCTGACATCAAAACGTCAAAACATGCAAAATATGGCTAGAAAATATTATTTAAAGTACTCGACTAATTTCGAGATGTTCAAACAGCGTCTACGTGAATGCTGAAAGAAGTGACGAAAATTAAATGGACAATTATCATCAGGAACCATCTTACCAATCAGCAAAGTCACTCCAAAAAAAGTCATATATTTCTCTACCAGCATCTCCGAAGTAAAGCTTGTCATAACTTGAAGTAACGGTGTCAATGAGCTCATGGAGTTCTGAGATCTAAACAAGGCATAATACCTCTGTGAGTCACTAGAGCTATGGACAGAATAGAATAGTAAAGAATGAACTTACCACCCAGCATTCTGGCAATGGTAATATCTGAAGCGCTTCTTCTGTATCACACTGGATTAAGCAGCAACAGAGATTAAAGAAATAACAGAAATGCTAAAAAAATATTAAATTGAAACCTAAGAAGGTCGTAAAACATGTGAACACTATACGAACACACAACTATAGACATAATAAATTTATTGGGTTGGCATCACTACTGCAGGAAAAGAATAATATCAATTCTCTTATCAATAATGGGATGGTAACCAAAAATAAAATACCTAACGAGAAGAAAGCAGGAAGAGGGAAAACATCCTCCAGAGATTAATGGCATGTCTTCGCCACATTTCATGCTATATGCTGATCCACAGATTGAGAGCAAGAAAGCATACCTTAAACGCTAATAAGTTTTCCCAGGAGTCGGCATCATTTTGTTTAGGCAAGTTCTGTAAAACAAATTTGCCTGCATTCCAGAGCTTGTTCGTGAATGCCTTATTTGCAGTTAATCTCTCAATGGATAAATTGAGATCCTGCATATTACATGTCAGTAAACAAAAAAAAATTGATGCCACATCTACTCCACGAATCAACTAATCTATACGTGAGTCAGTGTAAAATTTATTTAAGCTTGAAAGCAACATTACCTGCCCTGCAGTTCCCAAGGAGAGGGTGAATCTCAGAGCGTCTGTCCCATACTCTTTTATTGTATCGATAGGATCTATGACATTTCCTAATGTCTTTGACATTTTTCGTCCCTGAAACGGTTTGTAAAGACATCATATTCAAAATAACATCCAACCATCAATCTATTACATTTCAACAATTGTTGGTGAGGCTAAACATTAAATATTCATCTAGAGCATGCAACTCCCAAAGGTTTTATGTAATGGGATAGGGAATAATTATTTACATGGCATGAGGATCATCAATGAAAAAATAGTAATCACAATTCCACAGACCAATTTCATTTATGCATGTGCCCACAGCTGGAGAATTCAGTCAAGAGATGCAGTGATGAACTGTCCGTCATTGATGCGGCTAAAGCTGAAGCATACAATCCACAACAATCAAAAGTTCCCGTCATGGATCACAATTAAAGATCCTTTTCTACCATGGTATTGTACTGATAACTTATCACGAACTATTTATCGTTAGTACATTCACTTCTCTCATTCAATGCTTATCCTCACCCTTGAAGCCTTTTCAACATATGTTAAAGATGAATCTATTGAAAGGAAACTAGGTTCCTTGAAGCACGACCAAAAGAGGGACTTTTGAATTCTAACAATAGGGTGAAGGGGTAGATGATCAAGAAATCACTATATCTAAAGACAAATGACGAGAAGTTTCATTTTTTAACATGACCAGTAAATTAGCAGATGGTCTATTGCTCAGCTTTTGACAGAATTCACTTCCAATGAAGTAAAAAGGGAATGCTTTGATAATTGCTCGTGCTAGGAGAAAGTAACATTCTGAACATGAATACTATGATCTTTTAACAAGATGAAGCTGGAAAAAGCGGTATAGAGGAAAAGGTGATAACAAAAAAAAAAGGAGCAGCTGACATCCTCAACCTTAAAAGAATCTATCCAGGCAATCACTCTGTCAGCCCTGTGCAATTTGATATTAAGTATATAAATGGTTGAATGTGTTTCACACTATGGAAGGTGATTTCCCTCTGCTCTTTCCCAGACGAAGGGAAATGTTGGATTCTAGCAAATACTAGTCAGAAAAGGAGATTCAATTGGAGAAAAACAACTTTCTCTTCATCAGAACCGTTTAACCGATGAGGCACAAATGGATCAGTAGTATGCATTCTTTTTCAAGTAAATATAAATTTCAATGCACTTTGTTAGCCAAAAATGATTATATTGAAATAAAATAAATTGAAGTAAATAGAAAAATAACAACTCACTTGAGGGTCACGAATAAGACCATGGAGATAAACAGAAGAAAAGGGAACAGTCCCAGTAAACTCAATTCCCATCATGACCATTCTTGCCACCCAGAAGAACAAGATATCATGTCTGCCAGAACAAAGAAGGGGATCTCAAATGACATTATTCACTAGTCAAACTGTATTCAATATGAGAAAAGGAAAACTGGGTCAAAAAACTGCAGTACAATTTAGACAATTTGTTTAAGATGTGCTCAAACAGAATCATCTTATCTTGGTAATTTGTATGGAGCAATTAACACTGAAATCGACTGTCATCACATGCTCAGCAGTTCAACAAGGGCCAGCTGCACAGGACTAAACCAATTTGTTCCATGGCTTGGTGAAAAGGGAATAACTGTACTTGGGAGATAATCCCTGCCTTACATCAGCTGTCGGCAGTTTTTTTTAAAAAAACTGAAAAGATAATGAGTTCTCTCTCTGAGCATCTCTGGGCACAAGTTACAATGATTCAGCAACAAAGTAACTTCAAAGTTCCAAGACACAACAATTACCAATTTCAAATCCCCCAGAATGAGTTCAATTTTTTTATATCTGCAATTTAGAATTTTACAGCAAGATCTCAGTGACAGGGAATGGAGAAGTGGATATTTACTGCCTATCTATTTTGTTTATGTGCTCACAACCTGTCTGTGGGGGTTCGATATCTTGCAATGACGTAAGTATCATGTGAGGTATCAATTTTAGCCAACAACTTACTAATATCATTATTGACGTAAATAGCTTAATTCTAGCCAATGACTCATGAAGTGCCTATTTAAACTGTTGCAATAAACACAATAAACAGCAAGGACTTCATTGAAACTAATGATTGAAAATAATTTTAAATCATTTCCGTTCCCAAATTTATACCTTTTTTAGTTATGTTTACTAGTGAAAATTGGAAACATTACTGGTGGGTAACGTTTTCTAAATTTCAGAAAATAATTTCTTGCGTAGAGGAAGCTAACTCGTCGTCCATCCAAGTTTTAAAATTAAGAAACATCATAAAGGCTTTGCCCTTCAAGTTAGAAATAGCACCCAATAGAAAGAGAATTAAGACTGTCATTTCTTGCTTCTGAACATTATAAACAGCAACCAGGCCTCAATAAAACCTCACAGAACAATAACAAACCGTTGATGCCAGGATAATGAATGTAGCCAATGTCACTTTTTAAATATTAAAGTTCAACGAGAAAAATTACAAGCCGTCGATGCCAGGATAATGAAGAGGGAAATGCTCTGTTCAGGCAACTACCACGAAACAGTCACATGAAAATGATATCCCGTGTTCGACAATTTTTAATCTTTGCCGGGCCCTGTTTCCCAGCTTAAAATCATTATTCTTGAATATAATACTCAGAGAAAATGAAGGGTATACAGACCCAGTTTCCAGAACGGTTGTTGGATAGAAATGCTTGAAATCCTCCGCTGAAGCATCCGGCCAACCAAGCGTACTGAAAGGCCACAATGAACTATACGTACAAAAAAAAAGGGCCTTGTCAGTGAAAGAATAGCTTTGTAATATGAACATAATAAGTTCAGCAACTAAAAGAGAAATTGTTTTAAGATACACAATACACTAACCGTGCATCCATTCATAGTAATATGCCACGGAAATGAGTCACACATTTCAAACATTTAGCCACAAAAATAAAATCACCATTTTTGATTTCATAAAAATTGTAGACCCAGCATTCATTTATCAGACGTGCTGACGTGCACAGCAACAGAAATTTTGGTCTCCTTCAGAATGGGAAAAATGAAGAACTCACAAATTAGAAACTTATGAGTAAAAGCTTACAACCAACCGAAGATGTCAATAAATCTTAACATAAGGTAATTCGATCCCTCGGTTCACATATAAAAAGCACATGCATGATCGTCTTTCTGTAGCCTAAACAAATTGGCTCTGTTTTACCTATACAGGCTGGTTAGGCTAATTTTTTGTTTCCACCCTCAGTTAGGAATTTAGTCTAATTAGATTTCTATTCGTAAGGAATGGAAACCAAAAATATTCCTTAATTGTTTTTCTTAACGTGGCAACTCAACTCTTTTTTCTCCCCCAGCATTTTCAAGATTATAGGATTAAGACGTGGTTCCAACTCACATATAAACATTCGTCAATCTAAACATTCTAAAAGATATGGTTCTATGTTTTAAAGTTTGAAGGCAACAGATCTGAATTGTCTGGGCAGTACATCATATTGAGTCAGTCAATTTAACTTTGTTTCAAAGAATGAGTCAGACACCAAGTAGACTCATACAATCCCCTTTTCATCCTTTCCTTATGTTTCCTCTTTTTCGAAGTAGAAAGTTGGAAGGGTATCGTGCACATAAACATGACATCTATAATGTCTTGTACATGTTTTGACAGCCTTATACATATAATGCCAGAAAAAAATAATAAAATGGTAACATGATAGGAGAATCAACCTTGAAAACCATGTGTCGAGGACATCAGGATCCTGGTATATTTCCACATTTTGCCCAAACTTTTCACGAGCTTTTTCAAGCGCTTCTGATGCATTCCTCGCAACAATGTAGTCATCTTGACTATCGTTTCCAATAATGTACCAAACTGGTATGCGGTGTCCCCACCACAACTGTCTGCTTATGCACCAGTCTTTAATGTTTGATAACCAATGTCTGTATATCTACAGAAAGGGAGCAAAAAGAAAAGTAAAATAAATGTTTGATATACATGAAGTCTACTCATTCCCACTATGCATTAAAAGCTTTTTTTTTCATTGAGATCCACTCGAAATTAAAAATAATTTGCAGAGATGAGAAGAAGTGGAAATATGACAAGAACATAAAGTGAAACTTTAGTAAATGCCCATTCTCTATTCAAGAACAAAATATCTCCATCATCATGAGTGAAACAGATGATAACACACTTTTTATAAGCGAAAAAAAAAGTTAGTTTATGATGATCAATTTGATACCTTTTCAAATCGGTCAGGAATGATGGTTAATTCCCCTTTGTCAACTGCGTGGAGGGCCTTCTCGGCTAATGGTTCCATTGTTACAAACCATTGCTTACTTACAAGTGGCTCGATCACCTGATTGAAAATATGAAAAAGGAAAGTATCCACATAAATAGTCTATACAGAAAAAAACAGCATTATAAATTCAAAACACTCAGATTTAAATGATCTGGCATACTTCTCCACCCCGTTGGGACCTTGGAACTCGCATGGTACGCGGTTCTTTCTTCACTGCTAGACCTGTCTCTTCAAGATCTGCCCACAATTTCTTCCGTGCGTCAAACCGATCCAAACCACTGGCAGAAAAGGAACAGCTTAAAATGTCTAAAAAGGCATCAACAAAATAGCCTATGAGGTCAACAAATATACTATATAGTTCGCACATGCCTGTACAATCCAGCCACCTCATTTAACGTTCCATCCTTGTTCATGATATTAAGAATTGGAAGGCCCAGTTTTCTAGCAAGAAGGTAGTCGTTGTGATCATGTCCAGGGCTTATCTTCAGGACTCCAGTGCCAAATTCTTTGTCCACATACTGTAAGTCTCCGATTCTTTAATAGTTAAAACCAAAATAATCAACACGAAAAAGAGATAGCACATATAAACACAGTAGATAAAAAGAAATTCTGATGAGGAATGCCTGCCATGTATAAGAGAATGTCCACAAACAAGGATCCCCATGAAAAGACTAAACTACATACCACAATAAGAATGACATAAATGACATTTAGATGAAAGTCAGATGAACATGGAGATGGATTGCTCGACATCAAACCAAATCCACTGGAAAGGAGAAAAAGAAAAGAAAAATGCCCAGGCACGTAGGTTAAAAAATGATTGTGAATTGAGGATAAGTTACTTGAATAGTGTTAAAATCGCCAATACACTAAGAAAAACAGACCCTGTAAAAGATGAGTTAGCTAACCTATAAATAAAAATATCAATGAATTTCCCAACAGTAGAAAGAAGAAAAAATGCAAATTAAGGTTTCGGAATCGCACTCTTTCGGCAATGATTGGAACATGCCGACCAAATGTCATGGGTACAATGGCCATTTTGCCTACATACTTGGAGTAACGCTCATCCTGCACAAAAATGAGGAACAAAATGAATATCATAATCCATCGAGTAGATGAATTACATAAATTCGCAAAAAGATTTATTTCAAAAATCGAAATGTGAAACTTCATGCAGGAATAAAATATGAATATCCAAACCAAATAATCAGAAATGAAGAATAACATAAATGTCTCAATGATACACGAAGCAGTAAAAAGGGATAGCTAAGGCTCTTGAGAAAACAGAACCAAAATGGAATCAATATTACTACGGGACGAAAAAAATTCTAATGCTAGTGACGTAGAAACTGCTTTGAAATCCATTGCCAGCATGACACAGAACCCCAAAAAATACTTCAGACTTCACAAGGGTTCCCAAGCAAGGATCAATAATATCTAAAGAGAAAGATTAGTTGCCTCACATTATTAACTACATGCTCAGTGAATTTATGTAGAACATACGAAAATAGATTTACCTCAGGATTCACAGCAACAGCAGTGTCACCAAACAATGTCTCTGGACGTGTGGTTGCAATTGTCAGATAATCACTCCTAAAAAAATGAGCATAACAATATGCAGTAAGGCTCATTGGACCACTGCCTATATTAGACTAGCGATTCTATTTAAACTTTACGAATTAAAAGAGTTCAAGTATTGGCAGTGACATTGACATATATCCTTCTGCGTATAGTGATCTAAAAAATGATGACCAAGAAATATGAGTATGGTCGTATTCGAATTTGTAGCACAGAATTCGATTATCTGCCAGAGAACGTTTCTCAAAGGTTCTTCATAGACAAACTTCAATCAATCAAACCAATTCAGCCCAAAAGAAATCACAACCTACAACAAATAAACTGAAAAACCTCAAGACTTTTTGACAGCATCAAAAGACAAATCTCAATAAGCGGTTCCCAATGACCAGGTAAAGAGGGAATCTTGATGAATTTCTGGACCTAGAAAATGAAGTGAAGAATAATACATGATTGATAATACAAACATAAGATAATAGGGGGAAAAAAGCATGGCTAAATCTAAAAGATAAGAATTGATAGATTACATCCAAGTAACCATCACAGGAGCAAGGAAACGCTTAAATCAATACCAAGACGATAGACTAGTGAAAAGGAAGTTCTCTTATGTAACCTAAACCCGGGTGCAAAGTTAGTACCCTCCAGCAACCCGATACTTGATATGGTACAGAGAACCAGGTTCTTCAGAATACTCAACTTCCTGGACATAGGAAGAAGAATGATGCATTAGTTTTAGACAAAAATAATTTTTTGTTCATCAATAAAGAAAATCATTGAAAAAATAAAATAGCAAGAAAATAAAGAAATAAATCACTAGTGATTTAATGGTTGTGGAATGATTATAGATCATTTGAGACATGTAACAACATGTACCATGCTGTGCGGTTTTCAACTTGGAGTTCATATGCCTTCAGGGACATCTAAGTTAATAAACTCACAGGGAAGCCTTGTTATGTATCCATGAAACTTGAGCAAACCACGTCAAGAACGTAGGCATGAAATTGTCAACCCCAAAAGGCAAGGGGACAATGTCCTTATGTAGTTCTACGTTTAGAAGTTTTAGATGGGTGTATGGATGACTTTTCCTAATATTTATGAAACAATGTATGCAGAGAATCCCGTTTTCAAAAGGAAAATATGAAAACACCCATGTTTCCTTTCAACACCCAACATCAGCCGAATTATAGGGAACCACAAAAGGTGGAAGCAGCGGAAACAGTCAAGTTAACTCCTAGTGCTGTTCCCTCTATTCTCATGAGCAAATCTATTCACCCACTCCCCCAGCAAAGGTGACAAATGCAAACAACCTCTGCATGTGCAACCTCAAAGCACAGTTCATGACTTCCTGGCGGTTCACTATCCAATTCCAATTCAAACACCCTTCCCTACGATCGCCAGTTGCCAAGATTCATTCGAAAAATATGTGATTCCCGAGCTAGATATCCATTCTTCTGTACCGCATGTATCCATTTATATGGTGCATATAACGAAGCTCAATAGTTGACTTACATACGAGGGTGCAAGTCAGGATAGTTTCATATTAAAAATAGTAAATAAAGATAAGGTAGTTATAAAGATAGCTTTTCTCCCCCCATTGCCCGTTGAACTTGACCGTATATAATTTGGATTGGAGGGAGGATGGAGCAGAACCTAGAAACCTTTGGGTGTTGGGAAAGATCAGAGAATAAATGGAGCAGCACCTAGAAACCCCTAGTGTTGAGAACGGTCAGAGAATAAATGGAGCAGCACCTAGAAACCCTAGGCACTGATGGTAAAGAAAGACTACTCTCATTTCAACAAAATAAGCCTAGCGGGCTGAGTACGTTCAAGAACTAATGGGCTCAACCAACCATAACAAGAACAATGAACAGCACTAACTAGTTTCCAACATTTCTTAGCATTTACATCGGATGAACTACTTCCATAAAGGCCAGATAATGCCATGTTAAGATATTGGGCAATTAATTTCAAAATCAATTAGGAATTAGGAGATTCAGACTCTCTCTAACCTCGAAAGTTTTATTTGTTATTTTCCAATGTGCAATGATTCTAGGTATGCCTGTATCATAATATATGACACTGTGTTAAAATTAATTCAATCCTAGGCAATGATGACTGAAGAGCTTTATTTCTATTGAGGGTTCTTATTTGTATTTTTCCCAAATAATGATGGATTTTTCCATCATATATACGAAAATTTGGAATTTCTTGGTAGTACTAACTCACCCTAAGGCAGGAACTGAGTGAAATAACATAAATGTATCATATAAGCATATGACTACCTATATACTTAGACACCAGTCAATGATGCCACATACACAACTGTTCTACGACTAAAAAAAGCTTTGGGATTCAATAAAAAAAAAAGATTGGAGCAATCTAATATTTTAAAGCTTTATATCCTAAATATAATGTTGGATCTGCGGCAAAGCTGTGCCTCTGTAGGCATGGAGACCTGTGCTATCCCATCATCTCCTGGATAAATTGTCAACTACTGATATACTGGTGCCAGAGACGGCATGTTTTCTGCACTTCAACTTCTTCAGTCTTTTGTGCCATGGTGAATGAACAGAAAAAAAGAAGAGGGCTGTCTCAGTGGGAGGACCTGCTGTGGCAGATGTGACTTGCACTCTTTTTGTTTCTGGTTGTCTGTGAGAAGTCCGGGAAGACAGGATCTAGTTGTCTTTTTGTTCCTGAGAGATGGTCCTGGATCTAGGAATAATCCTTAGGCCTAATTTTAAGTATAGGGCAATTGGTTTTAGATTTTCACACTAAATAAAAATTTTGAAAAAAATAGAGATAACGTGTCCTTTATCCATCAGTTGTGTTTGCTTGTAGAGATCTTTCCACACGAGGGAATTTAACCACAATGGAGTAAAGCCCTCGTTTTCCTTCCAATTTAAAGTTGCTTCGTGCCCAAAAGGATCATGGAGAACATGTTGGCAGCGTACTGAACATGATGAGTGTAGAAGTGTATGTTTTGATGAGTGTACACCTATTGCTGCTGTTTTTTTTTTTCCAAATTTACTTTACACATTTTGTATAATACAAATTTTATGAAGAGGCTTTGAGATCCCACGTTGGGGGCTGGGCATTACAGCCCTCCCCTACTGCCTACTTTCTCTTAGTTCACTCGTATCCTGTCACATGTGAATTTGAGGGGATTCACAAAGATCAACGTCAAATACAATACAAAATGTTTTAAGCTCCTATTTATGTAGGAAGAATGGGATCCACGTAAACTGAAACGCTTTTTATTGGATTTATTGTAAAACAAATACCACGTGATCTAGGTTTTGCTACATCTAGTCCCTGATGTATCTAAAGGATATCAGTCGCAAATGAAGCATTGACCGTTCAAAAAAAATAGCATTTTAAAAAAAGAATCAATAATGCATGACACAATTAGAGGAAGTATAGGACTTAAACATTCTTCGCTACGTAACATCACTATTAAATAAGTACAAGATCACTACTCATCTTCACTTAACAAAGACCAGGTCAGAACTAGTATTTGGGCCAAATGCAAAAGTGGGCCAGGTGAGTTAGGCTAACCCTACTAAAAAAGAAACGAATGCTCTGGTACCAAAACATGACATACCAAGTCAGAAACTGCAGTTTGAAGGCTAGGAGACCAGTTCACCATGTAAGAACCTGAAATGAACAAATTTTAATGGTACAAAATCACATTATACAATTGAAAGAATCGGCTGTCATTGTTTCCAAGCAAAACCAGAGCCTAAATAAAATGGACTTCAGACTAAACTTCATGCAATTGGAATACTCAAATACATCAACCCACATCAGGGTGAAAGGTTGCAATAAAAATCTATGTTTATTCGGGATACAAAATGCAAAAGAAGTATCGATTTCTCAGTTCTATGAAATACATTGATCTTATGGATCAGAAAAACTGAATATGGAAATTTCTATGATATTTTGCTGCATATATACCGATATCAAAGGTCAAGGCTAACATGCATGTCAGACAATAAACGTGCAAAAATTAGACACAAGGAAAACAATATGCAGATAGAATACATATATGTGTGCTTCTCTTCAGGAATACAACAAATCACACCATTATAAGCTCTTGAACAGTAGAAAAAAACCAGACTTCGCGTATCAGAAAAATCTTGCATGCCAATGAGCTTATTGAAACTGAAGTTCGACAAATCATATGATATTTCAAAAATGAAAACTTGATCTCCAAACTTATGCCAAACATAATCACGTCAGTGAGACTACTTTAAACTTTCAGGGATCCTTAATTCATACAAAAGAGGCAGTAGTCACGAATCCTACTGAAAGAAATAATGCTCAGAAGACTTCAAACGGGATACCTCTAAAAATATCTGACGATTGATTAAGTATGTTATATCTAAAAATCAATATTAATATTTGTGTACTTTAAACCCATCAGGTGGATAGTAAATTTAAAGAAGAAATCGTAATTTTAGATCATACAGACATTAGTCCATTATTGGTTAGTGTAGCGCTAGCAAGGTCATCACAAATTAACTGCCAAATACTCCATTTAAGAAATGAAAGTCACTCCACAACAAATAAGAAACCACCCAAACCGAGAAGCAAGCCTTCTAAAGGCCTTTAGAATTCAGTAAACAACAACTTTATTTTGGTTCAGAGTGATTTAACACTCTATTATTGAGTATACCATCACAACATTATCTTCAACCTCCACTTCATAAAATAACACTCGAAACGTAGAAGCTGCCTAAAGTTCAGGTCCAAAGAAAAAGGAAAATTGAATTCAACTGATTAAATCAAATTAATGTCTGAAACTAAATTTACAATCGTCTATTGCAAAAATAAATATGATATTTTTTTTGCGATAGATAAATGAAAAGTGATTTCTTGGCACTAAGAAATAAATTATGATAATAAAAGCCACCAGCCGCATCAACTAGGCGTGACTAGATCTCTGAATGATGGTGGCGTAGGGAGAAATAAGCATAGCAAGCATAGACATTGATAATACCAGAAATTAATGATCAAGAATGCATCACCGACAAAATGATACAGAGAGTTTTCCTTGTTAATAAATAAATGAAAAGTGGTTTCACAAGTGAGAAGCATGTGATGATCGGATAGTTCAAACCTTGATATATTAGACCTTTGTCATGAAGCCTAATGAATGCCTCAACAACGGCTTCTGCAAACATTCAAAAATAAAGATTCAGAAACGTAGGTATGCAAAATATCTAGAATGACTAACATAATACAAGCATGCACAAGTTGAGTGAGAAGTAATGACAGCAAGAATTTTGTACTTAGAGATAAATAATTGAGTGGGTGGTACAAAAGAAAAGTTAGAGTGAAACATACATGATAGAAAATAAAGGGTGCAATGATGAGCCAAATCCATGGGATGGTAAAAAATGTGCTCACGGATATCTGTGTGACACAGTACAGAGTGATGTATACATCCATATAGACACAATGCTCTAAATTTAGACAAACTGACAGAATTGTTAGAAGTATGAGAAATGAAAATAGACACAATGCTCTAAATTTCTCAGGAAGCATTTTGTGATAGTATTTCACATGCAAATGTGTCCACCAATGTGATTGTTTTGGTAAATATAAAAAACTACTACACAAAGACACCAAAACAATATGTAAATGCGCATGCACAAAGATAAGATTGATAAAGAAGATGGTTGTAGATTTCAGAACAATACAAACTACGTGTTCAATGGTGCCCATCCCATAGAAAACATAGTAGGTAGAACCGGCATTGGATCCCGATTTAGCCATTTGTAGGTAACTTTTAAAAAGAGTAGTTTAAGGCTTTAATTATCTTTTAAAAATGAGACTTTTGAAGAAAACCCATCTCCTCTGGCAACCCTGCCCATGAATCCCATTCTTTCATTTATTTTTCAGCTCAGCAGCACATGTAAAGGAAATAAAAATGACCAAGAGGATGCAGCAGGAAACACTGTCGAAGGAAGTTTCAAAGGAATAGGAAAGTCAAATGTCATTCTCTTTTTTATTTCCAAATGCTTTTATACCTTTTGAAGGTCTTTACGCTCTCTCTATCATTTTTTGCCTTCTCTTGCACAGCAACAGAAATCAATATCACAGACTAAGTTCCTTTATGAGTCTTCCAGTAAATAATTATCAACAAACTTAGGGGGTGTATCAAACATTTTCAAAATTAATCAAATTAATTTACAAGTGAAATATCTCCCAAATCTATGGGATTATTTTCCATCAAAAAATTAAAACTGTGAGGCTAGCTATTTTTTATCTAATATAACTTTGAACAGCTCTACAAAATCTTCAATAGTAATGGCTCACTGAACAACGGCCGACAAAAAAAAATAATTTCTGGTCTAAATTTTATATCATAGAAAGAGAATTAAGATTATGTCTCCTGTTTCTATTAAAATGAAAAAAGGACAACCAATACAGAAATTCCTTACGACTCAGTCGTTCATCAAGTGTGAATCGTTCCCTGGACCAATCACAGGATGCACCCAATCTCTTTATCTGCCTTGTAATTGTTCCGCCATACCTGACGTAATTAGAATAGACTGCATCAGTTGATGTCAGAACATAGTTTCAGCAAACTAAAATTGATACAACTCAGGGCCTGTCCAGTTTAAATGTACTTGCAAAATTTGATTGGCAGCAAAGTCATCTAAAACATGAAAAGGAAAACTAATAAATTCAAAATTTTATCTCATAATAGCTCCAAAGACTAATGAAATAAATTGCCAGGATCACTTACTTTTTTTTCCACTCCCAAACTCGATTTACAAAGTCCTCTCTTTTCATGTCAACCCTATTTATTCCCTCAGATGCAAGCATCCTTTCAACAACCAGCTGAAAAGAATGCCAAGAAAAAATTGGGAGGAATGTATGAATACACAGCGAGTTCTCAGAAAGATCCTCCAAAGAATACATCTAAAAGCATCCTTTATTTTTCATTTGAGCTAACAAAACCAACCTGAGTGGCAATACCAGCATGATCAGTTCCTGGAAGCCAAAGTGTAGGCTGTCCTTTCATACGTGCATATCTAGCCATGATGTCCTGACAGAAAGAAAACAGATTTTATACGATTTAAGTCTTAATTTGCATTCTATGAACTCTACATAACATCACAAAATCACAAAGTTAGATAGAGCACAAAATCGCAATGTTGGTCAGAGCATAAAGAATAGGAGCAAGTAGTTTACCATGTAGTGCAAAATATTAAGAATGTCACAACTGTTATCAGTAATGGAAATATCAATCTAAACAAATCAACAAAAATAAGCTAAGGTAGAAGTAATATGTTGAATTACACGGCAAAAGAAAACTCCCACGCCGATCTGAAGCTTTTGATTAGAGTTACCACCAATTCTTTCATGTTACTCAACTGCCGCAAATACTAGAAATTCCGTATGGATTTTTGGCACAAACTCAGGTCAATTTTCACAACCAATTTCCAACTTTCAAATAAGGAAATTTAGCAGTGGAGATATGGGAACAAATTGATCTTTTTATAAGTAAAGCACTAAGCTCTAAATGATTTTATAAAAATCACAAAGCTCAGTTGCAACTTATTATCAGATCATGCCCATCCTCATGTAAGTGTTACTAAAAACATACATCCCACTGAAAACAAATATCTTCAACAATAAGCTCATTACTGAAAACATCCATCCCAAGTTGAAGATATAAGGTGAACTTTTCATATGGTGAACCAAGTTATGATTCCTCAAGTAAAGAAAATAGACGCTCAAAGATATGTTTACCATAACACACATCAGCGAGTTGTATCGCTCCAAAATCATTCAAGTCCAAGAAAAAGAATTTTCATTTTCCGAAAAATGTTTTGCCTTCAACTCTCTAACCTCGAGTGTCACAAACATTGCATGGCCCATATGCAGTGAGCCGGTAACATTGGGGGGTGGCATTGGAATTACAAATGGATCTCCTCCGTGATCAAAATTCGGCTTGAAAAAATCTTGAGACTCCCACCTAATATCAAAATTTATTCACGCAAAAGGAAGAACATAAGCATCATCAAAAAAAGGAAACTGGAGGATATGAAGGAAATGAAAATCAATCACGACTGAAACATTGAGGACCAGAAAACAAATGATTTCCATCATGTACGCCAGCTAACTTTTTATGGCAGACAAATCTATGAATCACCGACATGTCAGCCACCCCTATATTTGGTTATATCAAATTTATATTGGTGAAGGTGGCAGTAGTGGTCAAATTTATTTGGACAAAGAAGCAAAGCAATTATCCAGGGAAAAAAATTGTTCTTGTGGAAAAAGTATCACGAAGCTTGAGTGTCAAGCACAACATTACACGGTTTCCCTTGAAAAGGATGATTGGTTCTCTCCAAGGGATGATTTTTTCTCTGTAAGTTGATAGTAAAACATCATTCGTAACTAAAAAAAAAAGAGAGAGCGTCATCAAGTGTGCACCCAAACAAAAACCCTTAAAAAAAAAATCCTCCTTTATATCAAGCATGTCCTACACTTAATAGGGTGGGGCAAAAACTACTAATCCAACATCTCCTCAAAAACAAAATCCTCTTCTTTCTCCAAGCCAAAAGTCTTGCCTACGCTTCAACACTCTCACACAAGGAAAAGAAAAATCGACCAATACAGGAGCTTCCCCTTTGAAAATTACACATCCTTCTCATTTTCTGTAGCACAAAAGTTAAGAGAGGATGAGCCACCGAGTCTATGATTTCCTTTCCTTATCCAATTTCAGTTCCATCTTTGCAAAAAATCATCAAACTGAATTGGATGATGCGTTTATATATAAAATGACTGAGATATAAAGGGAGGAAGAGAAGGCTGAATGCATACTCCAAAGACACTTCTTTAACCCCACATAAATTATAACATTCCACAGATGTTAGTAGATGATCTCAGGTGGTGAGAGCCTTCCTGACATTCCCCAGGCCGGAATCTTACCTTTTAAAAGAGAAACAGGTTTCCAAAACTAGTTTTGACAGTGTTTCTAAGAGTGATTGTACTGAGAAGGTCCCACATTTCTTAAATCTCCAATACCATGTTGTTGCCTTACTTCCATTGGAGACCCCCCTCCTGCACTCTATACAGATATTGTTCGAAAAAGCACAGAATTGCTTTAGTCCCAGAGCTTGTAAAATTCGTCGAAAATGCTTAACGGCCTTGAGATCGCATTCCGTAAGCTATTGGCTGTTCTGGTGTATTTCTGACAACAGGTGTATCCTTTAACACGAGAAACTTAAGAAGCCACGTTATTACCAAGCAAGTTGCACAGAGCAGAGCGCCGAAGTCATGCCACACTCTAAGGTGGAGCTAGTAGTTTTCGCAATGGAGATGAAGGTGCATTCTAGAGTGCAGTTACATCTTTCTCGTTCAGTGTCTTCTTCACAACTCTTCATATTATCCTCCACCATGAGGAAACTATCTTCAGAGAATTCCAGATGAAACCAACAGGAGTATTTAGGAATATTTTTTTTAGGAAGGGACGTGAAATGAAATTACCATTTATATATCCTCTCTTCATCTTCAAAGTCGAAGGACTTGGCGTCCGTCGGAGAGTTGAATACCTCTTTCTTTTCAGCCGCCGCGGCCGCCACTGCAATCCATACAACGTCCAACCGCAACCTAAGCCAGAGAGCGGGACAGAGGAATAGAAAAGAGTAATGGAGGAGGGTCCTCTCGTGCCTGAAAGGAACCTCCGGCGGCAGGGATTGGTCCTCCGCCTGAAGGAGCCGCCGCCGCCGCCGCCGCCGCCGCCGCCGCCGCCGACGACGAAGCCGGGCAATGTAAAGAACAAGATAGGCTTCCACCGGGTGACCGAACGGGACACGAGGAGGGACCGGTTGGGCAGCAGCGCCATTCCTCTCCACCCTTCCCCCCGCCCCCACCTGGCGATAACGCTCACTCCTTGGCGGGAAGGAGGGAGGAGGAAGGAGCTGGGAGTGGATGGGACGGATGGGGAGCGAGGGGGAAGAATAAGGAGAAGAAGATCGATGCTGATCCATTGTGATGGAACGGACGTGATTGAATGCTGACCGTCGATCCCGAGAAATCCTACTGATCTCCCCTGTCCCCTCTCCAACGTCTATATTCTCAGAGACTCACGGAGTTTCTCCATGGAGAGTGTTTGGATTGCAGGAATTAGCGGGATAATGGAAGAAAAAGTTTTAGGACCATGAGGCGGATTTGTTGCGTTTGTATTGCAAGAATTAGCGGGATAATGGAAGAAAAAGGTTTAGGACCCTGAGTCGGATTTGTGTTTGTATTGCAGGAATTAGTTGGACAATAGAAGAAGCAGTTTTGGTGCCCTAAGGCGGATAAGTTTGATGTTGGATTGTAGGAATCAGTGGAAAACCTCGGTAGAGTATAGTAGTACTATTAGTTTGATATCCGATTGGGGTAAAGTTATTGAATGAGCATATAAGTAAGACTAAAAAATATCAAGGCTTTTCACCAATGCTCTTCAGCAAAACGAGTCCGTACGCCGCGTCTCAAAACTGTGACGTGGATAATTTTATATGTGCCACGTGGCAATTTTACCTGACTCTATCCAAAGCGTCTGATGAGGCAATAAAAATCGGGCCGGGCTGCCAACAGATTCGGCCCGCAGACACATGAACATTCCGCCCACCCTGATTGAATCAAACGGTTAGCACTATGATAATGTCAATCAATCGGACGGCTATCTTTGTACCCTAATTGAAGTGAGAAAGAGAGAGAGCCACAGAGCGGGCCGGGCTGCGGTGACTCGGCCCGTCAGAGCCACTAGTTTATTAATTTATTTTAAATGGCTGACTAAATCTTTTCGAGCCACTCGTTCACCGGGAGAATCATACGGTGAAGAGGAGGGACGAGGTTTGCGCCCTCCCCGCTTTTTGGGAATTTTACAGGGAAATTAAGATTTGAGAGGCGGGAGGTAGAGGACGCTATCATGGCGTCCCTCTCCTCTGTATCTTCTCCTCCATCGCGTTCTCCCGCAGGGCAGCTGCTCTGTTGCTCCTCCTCCCTCTCTCCTCCTCTTCCTCATCACTCATCGCCGGTTCTCTTCTCCAGATGGCTGCTGCCAGCGAGCCAGAAGTCCTTGGTCGCTGGCTGCCGGGGGCGGCGGCGGCGGCGGCGGCGGCGCTCCGTTGCACCGGTGGCGGCAGCGTTTCTGCTCTTCGATGGCGGTGGCGGTCCAGTGAGGTTCGCGTTGGACACTCAGACGATCATTGTGTCCGCTAGTGTGCTGGCGGCCGTGTCTCTTTCTCTTCTCCTCGGCCTGAAGGTAATTTTGCGTGGCCTTCCCTGACCCCTCCTCCCATCCTCTGACGATTTTGTTCCAGCTTGTTGTGATTTATTCATTTTTGTATGATATTAGGGTTAGAGTTGTGATTTCGGGGCGAGATTGACGAGGGGTGGTGGTGTTGATGCTGGATTTTGCAGGGGGAGCCCGTTCCTTGCGACCGGTGCGCAGGAAACGGTGAGGATTTTCCACTCATTTTATCTAGTGATTACTCACACAGAAATCCTTATTTATTTTCTTTTTTTCTTTCTTTTTTTTTTACACTTGGATCGAGTTTATTGTGGAACTTTGGGGGGTCATTTTATCTAGTGCTGGAGTTGCTCCTTCTCTTTCAATGTGCTTCTTCTCTACAGATCAAATCATCTTTCTTCCTCCACCTATTTGACACCATGAATACTCTCTTTGGTGATTGCCACGAATCTTCCCTGGTTTCGTTGATTGCATAATATTTTGATTCGCATAATGTTCTCTGTGCCGTCATTCTGTCTGGGCATCTTCAATTCGTCACTCAGTGAGGCAGAAAATCGCAATGATTCTTGTTTCCCTAGTGTGTCTAATGCCATTTTGTGCCCTAACAAGACGGTCGATCGTTTAAACATCCCGTTAGTCCTTCCAAAGCGGTTTGTCTACTTGCTTGAATATGAATAAAAAGATTTTCATCCCAATCGCCAGTAAGTTCTCTTCAATCGCCATATCCATTGCTTCCAAATCGTTGAGGAAGAGGAGGGCCTTTTATCGTGCTCATACTCTCCCCTAGTTGGATGAACCCCCAGGCTGATCTAGCTCAACCCTCTGGTTTTGATCTCCATGACAGGTGGGACGAAGTGTATTTTCTGTGTTGATGGCAAGATGAAGATGGAAACAGGATTGGTCGATTGTCGGGTATGCAAAGGCTCAGGTATTCTCCTCACTCCTATAAATATTGAGAGCCATTCGATTCAACTTCTATAGTTATACATGGAAAATGCTTGTTCATGTCAAACTGAGCCGACCATCATCAATAAAACTTTTTTTTTGGGGGGGTTTAATAATGCCAAATGCAGTAGTTGTGTGAAATCGAATTCATCTTCTGATTCGCAGGTTTGAATTTATTAGGGAATTTATTTTGTAAAGTGTTATTGCTTATTATGTGATATCCATGATAGTTGACCTCATCTGTTTGATTTATTTCCATTGACCGATGCCCGGTTAATGGATCATTTAAAGGTGCAGATTATTTGAGCCAACTGATCATATCTGCGTCATAATCATCAGTATTTGATCTGATTTGGTCATCAGAATCTGCTCCATATGAACTAGAACTCCCATGCACGAACATAAGCTCTACTCTGCTGCATATCTGACAGATTCTGATGCTCTGCTCGTGTTCCTCACTTCCCAGGTATGATTCTCTGCAAGAAGTGTGGGGGCTCAGGATACTCGAGGCGCTTGTGAGCTGCCCATGGCTCATCCTCTCTCTCTGTCTGTCTGTCTGTCTGTCTGTCTCTCTCTCTCTCTCTCTCTCTCTCTCTCTCTCTCTCTCTCTCTCTGCTTTGCTGCTCTTGTAGCTTGATACCTCTACCAGAATCATTCTTTGAAGTGAAGCCTCAACATCAGAGGCTGAGCATGATTTGGAAAATATCACAATAAATATATAAATATATTTCATGTATTTATATCTATTAATTATATGTACCTAATGTGTTCAGAGATTTTGGTTTATACACACGTGGGTACTTGTTCAAAGGATGATAATGGGCCAGGTTGACCTTTGCCCAGTTCTTCCAGACCCATTGTAATGAATTCTCTTCATGATTTAGAAAAATATGACAAGTTTTTTATGAATACATCGTGATTATATATTTTGATAAATAAAAATTTAGCCTAAATAGATTTACAATGAAATAATAATAGTTAATTATTATTGTTTTAAGAATTAAAAATAGTATTATTATTATTAAGTCTCTATTATTATAAATTAATAATGTATTGATAAAATATTTTTAAGTTTTAATTTATGATAAATAGATGTATAATTGTGTTAAATTGAGAAAAATGGTTTTTGGTTGGTTAATAACAATTTCTAATTAATTATATGATTTTATGTGAATTGGTATAATTTATATAATCACATTTTTAAGATAAAATAAATAGAAATAAAATAAAAATATATAAAAAGGAGGAACTCGTCTAATGTGAGTCATGAGCATGGGGTTAAGCTGCTAAAGAATAGTTGGTAGGATACATGTGAGTCATGAGCATGGGGTCAAAAGTAGTTGTATAAATGTGAGAAGATTATAATAACTATAGAAATAGGTATTACTATATATTCATCTCTAAAGTTGAAAAATAATTAATGTGAGACTAAACTTACGTCACTACTCACTAATAGATTTTCAATAATTTTAATACTTAAAATACCCCTAGTTTACAAGAAAGAAATATCCTTATGACATCACTTGATAAGAGCATTTACATATTTATTTAACTCTCTTTCATTTAAATAGATCACTAATGAGGATCTAAAGCTAATAAAGCCAAATTTATTTTTTTATATGATTAAATCATAATTTTTCAACAAAGTACTAATTAATAATTAACTCACCATAATCACTCAATCATTTTTTTGTAAAAATATTATCAATATAAATTAAAAAATATGATTACCAACTATTTAAATTAAAAATATCATTTTTTTGTAAAAAAATGATTACACAATAATCTTCATAAATATAAATAATTTTGATGATCACCATCATAAAGCTAAAACTCTTTCTTTCATAATTTAAACTTAATTTTTACCTAATTTAGTAAAATTTTGTGTGATTTTAAGTTTTAAAAAATATTCTTCATTCAATTAAAATTATTGTGATTTTTACATATCTTAATTTGATCAATTAAATTATTTATAATTATTTATGTCATCTTCACATCTACATCCTAATTTCTTTTTTTATGAATTTTAAAATATATTTTTATCTCCATTAATTAATAAAAATCATAAAAATTATATTCTTTGAGAAAATTATAAACTATTATTATATATTATCTTACATTCATGTGAACGACTTAAAATTTTCTTATTATTTTTGAAAAAAATATAAAAATTATAATTAATTAATTTTATATTGATAATTTTTCTAAAAATTTAAATTTTAGTATTTTTATTTATAAATTATAAATTTATGTGATTTATTATACAGTGATTAAGTCATGTCAAATTTTGGCATCATTGTTGGAGATGTATTACATAATATTTGATATTTTTCAATCTTTCATCAACATTTATAAAAATTTCATGTAGTATGTGATTTATCTCAAGTTACACTGAAATTATTCAAATAAAATTATTTCCTCATAAACTCAAAGATAAGATTAACTATTGACTATTTACATTAGATAAAGAATTAACTACTTGAAAAGACAGAACATGTATTTCTTCAAATAAAATAGCCTTAAGGAAAAACTCAAAACACAAAAAAATTGAGATGAAGTTTTACTCAAATGTTGAAAGAAACTTTACATGAGGCATATGAAAAAATAAAAGATTTACTTAGCCATCATTATGTCATACCCAAGTGGTAGCTTAATAGATTTTTTTTGTTAAGTTATAAGAAAAATATAGAAATATAGTTAATTTTATACAGAGATAAACTTTTATAGAGAAAATCTTTGATGAGATTTATAGTCTCTATGAGAATTTAACTGAAAATGATAAAGATCAAACCTCTTTTGAGTTATATGATAAGGATAAGAAGAGATAAATTTATGAATTACATCATCAAGATAATTCTAACCTAAAGAATAAAGTAAATTAGATTAATCAAATATTTAAAAAACTTGAATTACTTATTAACAATATTAGAAAACTTCATAACTCTCAATTTAATTCAAATAGTGGTTATCTTGTATGTGATGAAACTAATAATTTTAAAAGTAGTGTCGTATATTAAATCAATCATTTCAACTTAAGTAAGAACAACTGTAATTAGCTTATGATTTTAATAAAAATAAGAACATATTTTAATTTTTTTAATCCTAATTGAATGAATAATTTTTCATGAATAAATTCAAATAATATTCAAATTTTATAAGCACAAATATATTAAATCAATCATTTCAACTTAAGTAAGAACAACTGTAATTAGCTTATGATTTTAATAAAAATAAGAACATATTTTAATTTTTTTAATCCTAATTGAATGAATAATTTTTCATGAATAAATTCAAATAATATTCAAATTTTATAAGCACTTATACCTAATTCAAATTTTGAATTTTGCCTAAAATAAGAAAATGTATTTCAAAAAAATCATTCACCTCAAACTCAACTTAATGCATATAGAGATGATGTAGAAAATGAGTTAAATGGTGTAACAAATAATAAATCAAATTATGTTGCAACAAAAATAATTTATAAAGGACTTGAAAAAAAGAAGAAGAGGGACAACTACCAAGTGAGCTCATAGAAAATCTAAGAAATCATCTAATAATATGATTTCACCAAAGAAAATCTAACATGATAAATTTAAGAAAAAACTCATAAAATAAATATATTATGGTAGAAAATATATTGAGGTGTGAAAATATATTACCTAATCCTTATCCTCAATCCTTAGAAGAAGAGAAAATAAATGAGTCATTAGAAGGAAATAAGAATATTAGGTTTAAAATATAGTAGTATAAAATTTGAGTAAGATCATTTTATTACTCACAATTGATGAAGAAAATAGTGAGGATGATGAGGAGAAATAAAATTTAGATGAAATAATAATAATTTATTATGAAAGAATTATTTAAATTTTATTAGAAGGGAGTAAGGTAGGAATGAAGAAAAATAGATTTCAAGTGAAGAAAAATTAGTTGCTTTGAGAAATATAGGATAAAAATTACTAAAGTAAACCATTATTTTATAGTAATAGATTCTGATATTGATGATGATGATACACATTATATACAAAAAATATAAGATAATAGTTATTTGGAGGATGAAGAATTTAATGAATTAACAAAAGAAAATTTAGAAAAAGAGTTGACTCAATTAATAAAGAAAAATTAAAATAATTAATATAATTATAGAGATAATTTGAAAATATAAAATTTAAATTTTAGTGAGTTCATTAGATCTGAGATTAAAGTAGATAATTATTCCATCCTTCAAAACATACATCCCATTAGAATTAAGTCTAAGCAAGTAATATTTCATTCATCACAAATTGAACAAATATGTACGAAAGATAAAATAGATCAAGAGTGGATTACGTAGATAAATGAATGTATTAAGAAATGGGTGAATAGAGGAATTAAATATATCATTTTTTATGAAAAATAGCTAAGTTGTGTAAAAGTTAATTTGAAAATTATATGATCCGATCACATTTTAAAAATATTTACAAGTGAATAGAAAATATTTACAAGTGAATCATAGCCATATAAAATGAGATAAAAATAAGGACATATTATTTTAAAAATAGAAATATTATTTTTGGAAAAAATAATTAATTTACATTCTTATTTGGATGAAAGTATCTTAAGGTATATGTATGAAGTAAATGAAATTATTCTAAATTTGAAAAAGAATATCACGAGTCTTACCTTGATGGGATACAAATCGTTTGATGGCCATAGATCATCTCATAAGATGAACTAAGTTATGTTTAGTCAAAGACTTTAAATCGGACATTGCATGGGAGGCAACCCATGTTTTTTTTTTTCTTTTACTTATTTTTTTAGAATTTACTAGATTTTTTTATATTTAGTTTTTTGAATAAAAGTAAGAGGAAGGATGTAAGATGAAGTAGAAAATTAAAAATGAGCTTGATGTGTTGTCTTTTTAAACTTCATCTTTTATGACATAATTTTTAGTACATAAATTTATATATATGTATGTTTTACTTAAAAATTATATTTTATGTATATTTTGTTCTGATTTTTTTTGTGTCATTGAGGACAATGTCATTTTTAAGATGAGTGGTAAAATATTAAACTTTAATTCTGGCTGTAGAATGATTCAATAGATGTGTTTGGATCTATTTTTGTGCTCACTTAAAAAAGAAACTAGAGAAAAAAATTGTAAATTTTATAGCATATATTTTTTATTTTTCTACCCAAAATTACAAAAACAGTCCACTTGTTATCAAAACAATAGAAAAATCATTCAGAATTCAAAAATTTAGAGACCCTTTTCTCACATTTCAACCCCATAGAAAAATATAGTTGAAATTAGATAATTAAAGCTATAAAGAAGAAATCTTGGTTTATTTTTCTTTTACAAATTTGTAGTTATTGAAAATAAAATTATGAAATATACTTTTTTTTATCATGAAATATTAAATCAATTAAAATCATTAATACTAAAAGATATTAAGATAATTATTATTCAGTTAGAAGAATGATTTATTAGGATGAAATGTTAGAATACTCCTTAAATACATGATAGATAACATTGATTTTATTTTACAAATTTTCACTTAATAATTTTGATAGATAATATTTACTTAATATGAAAATATAATTGATCATTTAAATTTAATGAAGATTTTTACACCTTGATCTATAAGACTTTTAAGGAGAAATGATTTATTTTGAAATTTAAAAAAAAATAATGTAAAAAATATAAAAACGAAGAGTACACATTAAGAGTGTGAGATATTATTCTCATTGTTGAAAATTGTTCATAGAAAAATACTTATTACAAAATATATAGATAATATAAATGTATTGAAAATGAAGAATACATATGGAGGGTGTGAGACATCATTTTTAATATCAAAATTTATCTACATGAAAAGCCACTTATCTACTATAGAAAAAATATAAGAAATATAGTATAAAGTTAAAAAACTCAAGTAAAAAAAAAAGAAAAATATAAGATCAATTTTATTATTATAATAATATTAATAATTAGAGCATCTTGTGAATTATATATAAAAGTGAATAAGTAATAAATATGTGAATAGAAGAAGTAAAATTTATATTGTTATTTCAAGGAGTATTTGAATATTTAAATACTTCACATGATTTTTTCTTAAATAATTAGTGTATTTTAAGTCTTAACTCATGATAAACATACTTATATTTATGTTAAATTGAGAAAATATAATTTAACTAGTTAATATGAATTTTTAGCTAATTATGCTATTTTATGTAAATTTATATAATTTTTATAATAATATTTTTGAGATAAAATAAGGATAAATAAAATAAAAATTATAGAAAAGGGGGGACCCATTGACCAATAGGCCAAAGTTGGAAGCACAATCGAGGTACTCATTGGCCAATCATATTCACAAGTGGGTTGAAAGTATAGTTTGGCAGAGGTACAAGTAAGGGGCTTGAGCAGCAAAGGAATAGTCAACTAGGTATGCGTGTATCACTCCTCTTTCATATCATTGATGGTCAATAAGGCATGAGACAAGTAGTGGTTGTATAAATGTGAGAAGATTACATTGATCTTAGAAATAATAGGTTTTTAAAAATCTAAATATATCAAATAGTCTTAGTTAGAAAAAAAAGATACCCTTATGATGTTACTTGACAAGGGTATTTATGTACTTAGTTAACTCTCTCTCATATAGTGAGAAACTAATGAGAGTTTGAATTTTATCATAGCAAAAAATTATATTTTATCTGATTAAGTCATAATTTTCTTATAGAATGTGGAGTCAATGATTAAGTCACTAGAATCGTTCAATTATTAATGAAAATATTGTCAACATAAATATTGCCAATTATTAAATCTTCAACATCAAATGATTCTAAATAAAAATATCACAAATTTATTTAATAAATCATCTTCAATTAATTGATAAATGAGCCGTTATTAGAAAGAAGATGATCTATCATGAGACGAGTAGTCATCTTATAAGAGTATACTAGATGTGATGAAAAGACTCTTCTTACTACACAAACATAAGGATGAACCTCATTAAGATGTGTCTCACCTCTATTTATCTTATCTTTATTGAATAATAGTTTTTAGAGATTCACAAGTTATTATATTTCTACTCTGTAAAGTGACAACTAACAAAAGTTATAAGAATATCTAGAGATTATTCATATCATTTATATGATCAATTTATTTTTTTATTATTTTTAAAATATGTTTTGAAATTATTTTTATTTTTTTATAATAAAATATATTTTAAAAATATAAAAATGGATAATTTTTAGTTTTATAAATTTTAATTTTATATGATTTATTATATAATGATTAAGTCATGTTAGTTACACAATCTTTTATATTCATCAAGGCTCATATGTTTTTTTAAAAATATATGTTTATATTAGAACTTAGTAGATTAATATTGGGCCAACCTTTGACCTTTTGGCCTAGGCTAAGGGAGTGATCCATTGCTTGGTGTTCTATCTATCTAGGCTCCTTACATCCACACTTGAAGTTTTCTTTTTCGTAAAAATTTAAATATATTTTATTTTCATGATTTTTTAAGAAAATCATATTATTTAATAAAAATAAAAATATTATCATACATTATCTTACATCTATGTGATTGATTTAAAATGTTTTCACTACTTTTAAAATATTTTATCGAATTGTAATTTATTTATTTATACTAAAATATTTTCTAAAAATCTAAATTTATTATTTTCTAATTTTATAAAATTTAAATATATGTGATTTATTATACAACGATTAAATCACATCAGTCACATAATATGTTCTATTCATCCAAACTCAAATGTTTTTTTAATTATATATATATATATGTATTTATATTAGAATTCAATGGGGTTCTACCCCCCTGTTCTTTTTAAATAAACTCATATAATATGTTCCTGTGCTGTTTCTCTTTCTATCTCTGTCTGTCTCTCTCTTTTTCTCTGTTTATTTCCCTTGCTCTGTCTCTCTTAACAAACATCTTCTCGTCCGGCGGTTTTGTTAACAACTATGGGGTTCCTCTTTCGCGTGTCCTCCGCTTCTGCGTCCGCTAACGGGGCCAGGCGCCTCCTCCGCCGAGCAATCCAGGCTGCCTACTCGTCTTCATTGGGCTGGCAATCTGATTCAGGCTATAAACCTGGGGCCATCGGCAGGGCGCTCAGAGGGGAAGGGGGAGGCGGCGGGGGACAGCGCGCTGCTCTCTGGCCCGGTTCTTTTATCCCTCTCGCTCTGGCCGCATCTGCCGGTGCTGTCGCTTTCGGATTCGGCCCACACGCCGCACTATGTGATGCCGGGGATGATGTGAGGTATGCTGAGCTTGTTGATGTGTCATTCTTCGTGTTATCACTTCGATCACTGAGTTCACACCTGTATCATTTTTCTTTCTTTTGGTGGGTTGTAGCATGGGAGGGGAGGGGAGAGCGGAAGTGCTGTCACGGGCTGCTCACAGGGAGGCGCCGATGGAGTTGATCGACGAGCTTATAGCTGTTTTTGGAGTAAGTTCTTCAGTCTATCGGCTTGGAAAAATGAAGAATAACACTATTTTCTATTGACTGATCCGCTGTACGTGAAGAAGTTGAGCAGTTAAGGCAGTTCTCCGTATCTATGAATCAATGCAAGATTGTGACCATAATAATGGTAGAAAAACCAGTAAACCATTTCCTGCTGAATTTTGTGATTCCGATATCCATCTCTCAAAATTTTAAGAAAAAATGATATTGGGTTGTCATAACAATACCAAAAAACAGAGTGAGAATTACCCAATAAATGCTCAGTATGAATGAAAGAAGCAGAATAGGCCATCGTTTTTGATTTTATGACTGAACAGGAATTGAAAATACTGAAGTAGGCATTTAACAGGTGCTTCTCTATCATCCATTAGATGCATTGGTTGATGGACGATTGACGTTGTTGCACCAATGAACTGGGTCACGATGAACCAGTTTAATGTTGAGCTCTATTTTCTGTACAGGATAGCATGACGCTGGACTACGAAGAGAGGCATTTTCATGGGAAGCCACAAAACAGTTTCCACAAGGCTGTGAATATTCCTGATGTTGTTGTCTATCCCAGGTAAAATGTTCCTAATTCCGTTGTTTATTACATATCATTGTAACCATATTTCTTGTCGTTAGTTTCCTATACTTTTTCAATCCTTTTTCTTCCTCCAGGGATGAGAAAGCTCCTCTTCTGAATTAGCGTTCTGGAGAAATGGTTTTTCTAGTTTCTATTTCGTCATAGAAAATTAAAATTTTTTAGCCACTTGATTCAATCTACCCCGAAGACCCGAAGAAATCAAAATCCGGAATCTGTTCTTTGTAATGATAATGCAAAAAAAAAAAGAAGAAGTTAGCTCCTGTTTGTTTTCTACTATCATAGGTGTTTTTTATAAACATTTTTCTTTTTCCCTGGTAGTATGTCTAGAGAGTCCTTAAAATTTCTCCATCTAGATGGGCTTGCATCAAAGGTTCTGACCTGCTGTGGAAATGATTCAGACATTTTTATTTAGTATAGTTCCATTTTTTCCGAGTTTCTAATTCTGATGTTGTCTCTAACAGTCTTAGCTGTTTTATCTATTAAATATTAATTCCCTTGGAAGATCCAATTCTCTAAGCATTTTACCGAAAACGTAGGAAACATTATTAAGAAGCGTACACACCTTCCTGACCGTTGAGGCAGTAGTAGAAGTATGGGCATTTATTTCCTAGGAGTTAACCGTGGATAGCCAAGGCTTTTATTTGTGTTGAGAATTGATCTTGATTGAGATTCTTGCAACTTGGAGAATGAAAGGAGTTGATCTTCAAGATCCTCCTCTTCCAGGAAGATGAATCAGCCACCACTTCTTGGACCTGAGTTTCTGCAATCCCAAATTCGTACATCAATTATCATGGTTTCCCGCTTAAGTACAGGCTATATGAGTTAATGGGCCAGGCCCGTTACATTAGTCTTTAAGTGGATCTGTTAACAGTCTAATGGATCCACTTAACATAGGGAGGAAAAACAATCCTAGAAAGTTCAAAAATTTGCAATATGGAAGCTTTTACAAATAAAAGTTTAAATATCCTTATGAATATAATTTTTATATCGTATTATAATTCGTCATCGGATTAGTTGTCAGAGGTGTGCACCTACCATGAAGAATTTCCTTCACTAATACTTAGATGGTTTAGAGATTTATGTTGTGAGTCAACTAGACCTTTGTGGACTATCATCTCTATGGCCTTCAAGTCCATTTGTTGTTTTTTTCAGGTCACAAGAGGATGTGGTAAAAACTGTAGCTTTGTGTAACAAGTATAAGGTATGGGTTCTCAGTTCTGATTTAAATTCTGTAGTAAAGTATTTAATGGTACTTCTAACTAACAGGTACCCATTGTTCCATATGGAGGGGCCACTTCCATTGAGGGTCATACGTTGGCTCCCCATGGAGGTGTATGCATCAACATGTCCTTCATGAATGTGAGATAAATCCTCCGACATTCTTATGATCCTATGATTGGTTTTTTTAATTATCTTTTTGGATGTTATATAGCTTTTCTCTTTTGGAGAGATTACGGACTGCCTTACATTTGTCCCTTGCGGAAATTGTACCAATGAGGGCTGGATCTCCTTGCTCCATCTCAATTGTTTGAGAATTAAACCTAAAACTCTCCGTCATAAGATTTTAGAATTTTAAGTCGATATCAATCTTATGAAGATTCTAGCTTCCTGTATCCTCCTATCTGTTTCCAGAACTCCCAGTCCATTCGTTTTTCTCAGGTTACATGCCTATTTATGTGTAATTTAACATAGATGGGGAAAATGTCACACTAGTATATTCAGTCACCTGAGCCTGCTCCTGCTGGCAGGTTCAGTCGAACTGAAATTCAGAAACCACCAAACTATGGCAGATGTAAAGTCAATGCGGTGCATGCAATGTGAAAACTTATGCACGAGAGCAAACCAGCTGCAATTATGTGGACTTGATTGTACTCCAAGGGTAACAAAAAATGCTCATGCAAACCAAGCCACCTGTCTTGTCATTGTATATACCCACTTCGGAGCAATAATCTTGCTGGATGTTTGGTCATTTGTGTTGCTTTCAACCTCCTACTAGAGGTGCATGGTAGCATCAGGGTATGGTAGGACTGGAGAATCCATGTCGCTTTTTGCTTTGAAGGTCTTGGGAATACATTGAAGTGCATTTGACTTACGTCAAGGAATGAATTAATTGGATGTACTTGAGATATGGTCGGAGTGTCTTGGTAGCTTGTATTCTCACTGAAGTCTATGCTCACAATACCCTCGAAAATGAGATGTTTTCCTCTAAAGATCTTAACCATGTGACACAATGTGTCTTAATGCATGTTCGGGATCAAAACCATGGCAATTGTGTTCGTCCCTGAAGGTCTTGTGTTTAATAAGATGCAACCGTGTTGGTTGAAGAGAATTATCTTCTCCCTGTTAAATTCGTTTGTTCTCCTGCTAGCTTCCTTATTTATTGTTTCCGCAATCTGAGAATATTTTTATAAACTTTTTAGTACATTATAAGCATTTTTGATCAAGCAAAATCAAACCGATTTAGTGTGATTGTCATTGGTTTTATATAGAAGTTTTCACTGTAACTGTTTTCCTCATATGGTTATGCTATCGTAACCAAACTGTTTCCGACTTCCTGTACCAATGATACAGAAAGGCAGGCTGGGGGTCTCATCACTCTTTGTTATTCTTCTTTAAGTTCTTGAATATATTTTGTTCAACTTTGGTACGCCCCTCATCTCTTCACACTAATTAAATGTATCTCCAATCCTCTTTAACTAATGTCTTGTACTGTGGACTCATGCCTGGACAAGCTTAATCATTTTTCACGAATCTTGTTATCTGTAAGTGCAAACCATTTTACTTTTTCATTATCCAATGGAAACATTCTCAATTATCTTCATTGAATAAAATATTTTTTTAACGAAATCCCTATTTCTGAATTCCAACCACGATTTGGAGACTCATCGCCCTTTATTCAGAGGTGTAGAATCAAAACTTGGCCACTCTTTTACGCAGGCTCAAAGTAGCTTCTCATCTGGCTACATTGCTTTGTCCATGAATTTACATACTTCTTTTTGGAAAACAAATTCTATTAATATTTTGGCGACGAAATAGCAAATTTCCTTATCATGAGCTAAAAGTTTACTGTTTCTATGTTAGTTTACATTTATTAGGCTCTTTTTTGTTTCAGAATGTAAAAGCATTGCATGTTGAGGACATGGATGTTGTGGTGGAACCAGGAATCGGATGGATGGAGCTTAATGAATATTTGAAGCCGTATGGCCTTTTCTTTCCCCTTGACCCAGGTTGGTGGTTTTAGACTTTGTTCTCACTGGTATATTCTGACATGTCTTTTTGCTTGTTCTTGGATATACGGAAATAATGGAACCACGGAATTTTGAATGAATACTCACGGATCTGGATAGGTGGTCGTGTGATAATATGGTTACTGAGTTGTGTCTTTAAATCCCAGAGCTGATCAGTGTAGAGTTTAATCGTTTCCATGTGGACTAGGGTGAGAGAGTTGGGCTTGAGCTTTTGTAGTGAGGAAAGATTTTATTCCTTGATCTTGTTGGGCTTGGGGTCCGAAAATAGTCAACATCTCAAAATACTCTATAGAATTTTTGAGTGCTTATTAATGATATATGTGGTTACTATCCACTTTAGGAGAAACATTTAACGTCATGCCACACAATGGCCACCTTCTGTAAAAAGTAATTTCTAATTAAATGTAAATTACATCCAGTGTTCTGTCAGAAGGAGATGGACGTCAATATATTTTTGCTATTTCGTCACAGCTGACAATAGTTGTTGTCGATGGTATCTTTGATGTTCAATTAAAGATTGCTGTGTGTCAGGCAGTTGCTCGATCGTGCAATAGTAGTTTCAATGGGTACTGTAGTAGATGTGGGATGACGTCCTTCGGCAATCCTTTGTGTTGTGGTTCTGCCTGAATTTGGCCAACCTATATTGGCCTTTGAGCGACTGATTTGAACAGGCAATTTCATGCTTTTAGCCATGGCTATAATTTAATATGGATAAGGTCAAATCTTGATAATGTGGTTAGTATAGTAAGTGTCAAAAGTTATCCTGCCATCAATCTCATTTCTTAATATTTGGAGGTAATTAGAACAAGACATTTTTCTATACTTGTTTTCGACGTGCATAAATGATGATTCTAAACAATGTAATTTTGGCTTTGACCTTAACCTCTTTGAATTTGATTTGGAATAAAGTTAATATTTTCCTGCCCTTTATGTACTTCAGGGTGCACATTTTCTTTTGTAAACAGGCCCTGGTGCTTCCATAGGAGGCATGTGTGCTACCCGCTGCTCAGGTTCTTTAGCTGTGAGGTATAAGTTATGTATATTTTTCAATTCTTGCAAAAATAATTCAAAAATGATTTTTTCTAGTGGCCACTGATTTTTTTTAATGTAAATAAATGCCATGTTCATTGGACTCAATAAATCTTTAGCGTGTAGGTATGGTACCATGCGAGACAATGTCATCAACATTCAGGTCTGGGAGCCAATTCCTATGCTTTAATGTAGTTATCCATTCTGGCTGCTTAGATGTTATCCACCTGCAGGCTGTTCTAGCAAATGGAGAAGTAATCAAGACAGGTTCTCGTGCTCGAAAGAGTGCTGCAGGGTATGAACTTAATGACTGGGTGTTAATTACTGGTTTTCAGAAACGGATGAATTTCTGTAGCTCTGTATGTAATTGGTAAATTGATACCTGGATGATTATAGGAGGATTTCATGTATTAGGTTTTTTCTATCATGGTACATCTGATATTGGAGGGGAGCTTGTATTCTTGCCTTAAGAGTTTATAAAAATGACACTAAATTAGCCTAAATTGACTGGATTTTTCTGATTCCGGACGGATACTACCCATTTTCTACAAAAATAGTTGTCAGTGAGCTCTTATTTCTAATCATTTTCTCAGGTAGCCTGTAGAAATCATTTTAATATTTCACTTTAAATCTCAGATATGACTTGGCTCGTTTATTGATCGGAAGTGAAGGAACCCTAGGAGTAATAACAGAAGTAACTTTGCGGCTACAGAAACTCCCTCAGTATTCAGTGGTACTATATCTTTTGTATTAAATCGTTGAATAATATTCTAATCATTTATTGAATCTTTCGTTCATGTGTTTATCTACTTGTACTCTCTTCTGTAGAATTCTGCTTGAAAATTTTATGCATGTATATCCCCGGTGATGGCCATTGTATGGGTAGTTTTTACTCATGTTTATCAATTTCTTAAATCTACTTGTAGGTTTTCTTCAGTCTAAAGTGCTTATTTCTGGTTGGATACGTAGTGTCTAAGGATACCTTTATATTCATACCTGACAGATTGCAGAGTGCTGTAGAAGGATGTACTAAGAGCACGCCATGATTTATGATTTCTTACATAAGATGCACCATGCTTCTTGGAGATGCAATATATAGTAGTTTCATGGACCGTTCCTTGTTATGGCTTTACGCCAGTCAGCTATTAATAATTTTCGTTGTAAATTTTGCGCAAATACCTTAAGCTGTTCAAGGTATGGGTCAAGTGCTTGGTCATATTTGTTTGAAGCAGGAATGGGTCTGGCCTGGCTTCAAGTTAAGCTTGTCTTAGTTGGCCCGGGTGGAGCCCATTGGAAGGCCTGGCTCTAGTCCTACAGAGCATTCCCCTTGGTATTCTCTGATCTAATGGATAGAGTCAAAGCCCGTTTCCATCCTAGACACCCACATTCACCTGATTTTTCATGCTGATCATTCTGTTTTTTGCGCTGTTGAAGCTGCATGTAATGGGTTTGAGTGCACAACCTCTTATCCCTATTGCCTTGATCCTAGAGGCAGTCATTCCTTTCTTTTTTTCGTGTAAAAACCGTGTCCTTGACAATTTGGAATCTAGATTGAGTTTTATTTTGAAACTCTAAGATTGAAAACTATTAATGATTAAGTTTCCTCAAGGTAGTGAAAAAATATTATTTTAAAAGCAGGTGGGCATGAATTGCTGCTAGGTAATGGAGAATAATTCTCATAAGGTCTCCTTTGTGAAATATAGTCCGTAGAAAATTACAGAATAAAGTATGCTTCATCTTGACTGGCCAGGAGGAGACATACAAGATCCGCTGATTAGGAGAGAGGCCTTATGCAGGGAGACCATTTACCCCTCACTTAACCAGAGGATTGGGTTGGGTCACAAGCTTCTGAACTTAACAAGAGGACACGTTCGGTGCCTGGGAACGCCATTATGATCCCACAGTGTAGGATGTGGGGATGGAACTCTCCCATATCGTATTTGTCGATTCCATATTCTACAACTATGTTACATGTCAGAGATTGGACAAAACTAATGCAGAAATTTGAAAGCAGAACGAGAAGTGTAAATCCAATCTATACAGAATAGAATTTTGTTAGGTTGTTGTATCAAACTTACTGATGTTGCGTATTCCTTTGAGAATTTTTATAAGTTTACTAACATTACTTATTTTGCTCGTCATCCTTGTACCTTGTATCCTTCTCCCATTCTCTATTGAATCCTCTCATCTAGGCTTATTTTTCAATTGTAGAACTTAGTTCTCCTTGGATTCATCAATCTGATTGAACACCCTAATGCCTTTCTCCACTTTGGGTCTGCACCACAGCCCTGTGCAAGTGTTGCATAGTCTTCTGGTTCACCAATCTCTCTGTCTGCCGCTGCTCCCGTTCGCTCCTTTGATGCACCAGATCCTGCTGATACTGACTGCGATTCACTGGTGTTAATATACCTGCTTATTAAGTATGATGGCATTTCAGGTTGCAATGTGCAGTTTTCCAACGGTTAAAGACGCTGCTGATGTAGCAATAGCTACAATGCTATCCGGGATACAGGCAAAGTCCTTGAAATCTCAATTTTGTTTCTCTTTACATAATATGTGGGGATATCTTCTCATCATTTTGTTGTGTGCCAGCCGTCAATCACAATTTTTTTAATTTAACTTCGAATATATTTCTCAAGCCACATTGGGTGAATAATGCTGAGTCAATGCTGAAATCAGTTTAAAGAACATCTGAACTTTTGTTGTATATAACATGAAACTTGACGTGGACTGGAAGTAATCTATATCTTTTCTTTTGATTTGCATATTCACAGCATATTTTATGTTCTCCCTGTTTGCTCATTATTTTTTCCTGCACATTCAACCCTGTCAACTGCGCCAGCGAATCTTTGGGTGGATCTGACAGATATTATTTGGTTAGAATTCGTAGCCCCCTCATCTCTTTGTATGTAGAGAGGGGAACGGGCATTACGCCACAAGACCTAATTTGACTCTTAACTGAGGCTATCGTCAATATTTTATCAGTAGAGAGCTGTGGAAGCGTTTTTATTTTTGGTAAAAACCAATGATATGGTGCAATCTTGAGAAAAGTAATTTTTTTTGTTTGTAGAGCCATTTGTATGAAGAATGCTACTTGTATCTTTTTGTATTATCCCTTGAAAATTGAGAGGGCGAGTCTAAAAAGCACGATTTACAAGTTTGCTCCATAGTTTTTTTTACTTGAATTAAAGTTTTTGGAATACAAACTGGACCACATGTCGGGACAACCATTAGGTCTTTGCGTGAGTCTTTCCGGCCCAGAATTTTAATTGCATAGTAAGATGTACACCCATCTTTAAGGACACGATGGCTTTAGCAATAGAAGCACCGCTGCAATTGCTCCTTGATTCCCAACTTATTCTCTAGTGTGCTTCCGCAGCTGTCTCTTGTCTTTCTGCGTACATTGATATCCCCACCATTCATCATTGTCACTGTCATGGCAACTATGGCATAAATATGGCTATAATCCAGAAGAACTCTATGCACAATTTCCTCGACATGCATGCGGATCAATTATCGTTTCCAACTTCTTTCTTGTCAAATAATTCATCATTTCATATTTTGATTATTTAAGGCATGGCTCATGATGTTCGTCATTTCTTTTCATTGCTGTCAAACGTCGTCTTGGACTGTACATTTCAACTCAGAATATTGGTTGCATTTGATCATTTGAGTCATAGGATACTCATATCCTTATGTCTCCATCTTATTTTTTTTCACCAGTCATAACCCAGAAAATGAGGACACTAAGATATTATTTCAATGCAATACAGTTTGGTGCATTGTGCTTAATTTTGTAATAACTAGTGTCAGAACGAGAGTAATATTTATGTAATTTCATTCGTTTACAAACTCTTGCATATTGTGAAGTTCCATTATTATTCTATTATGTTCACGTATGTGTAGTCATGTAAAAACAAAATTTTAAGATATAACGGAGTTAAATTTGAAACTTTTGTTTTCATTTATTGCATTCACTCGAGCTATTCCCAGAAAGAAACATGAACTTCAATTCAACTCACCTGTTCTTAATTATTTGAAATTTACGAAATTAAACCTTAATTATGTTTAAATGTTTGCACTTCTTGATTATTGTTTTTGCATGATTGCTTTTAATTATTGGGCATTGCTTAGAATGAAGCTTAGTAGTTGCTCAGCTCGGTTTGAATATTATCTTAATTTCATTTCTGCATTAATGCGGAAACGCAGCCTTTAGAAACCTACCTGGCTAACGATAGGGCTATGTGTTGTAATTCAGACACTTCATTTGCTGGTTACACAGTAGAAACGGAGTTCAGGTTAATTCCAACTTGGGACTAGCTCACCTTGGCCGATTTTTTCTTGAAAGTACCTCAGTTCAAAAGGAATTATATACCTCCCTTGAAATTGATACTGGCTTGAATGACTTTTTATTCCAATGGGGTCTAGTTTTCCTACCATGTTAGGGACATTATCTTTGTACGCTCTTCAAAGGAATTAATCATTCTTTGGATTTTTTTTCTTGTATGTTCTAATCTTCTTCTGTTGAATTTCCTCTAGTTCCTTCGTTTCTTGAAGAACGACAGACCTTCTCGTGGAAGGGAAAAATGGAACTTCTATTCAAAACATATGAGGGAAAAACTCCTTCAAGATTCATTCACGTCGAGACAGGGATCTGTTATTTATAACAGATCCATGGGAGAAGGTTCTAGACATAGAGCCTTACATCCCGAGACATACAGGTGTTGTTCGCGTGCTTCTTTAAGTGAAGCACGTGATACACCTCACCTCAACCGCTAACGCAGTATTTACACTGTATTTCAACATCTTCCAATGAGGGATTTGTGTTGACGCTTTTCCATAAAAAAAGTATTACAAGTTATGTAAAATATTGAAATTTATCAGTTTTTGATTTGGCAAAAAAAAACTTTCTCCTGTCAGAATGTTAATTTTATTTTCTTTTATTTTGTCCTTTCTCTAGGTCTCAAGGGTGGAGCTTCTGGACGAAGTTCAAATAAAGGCTATTAATATGGCTAGTGGAAAAAATTTACCTGAGGTCCCAACATTGATGTTTGAATTTATAGGAACCGGTAATTGTGCTTCTTCTATTTTTTTCCATGTGCAGAATCCTCAATTTTGCTTCATCTTTTTATGCTTGGAGTTCAATTAAGTCAGGTAAAATAAATGTGAATAATTTCGGCTGTAATGTATTTATTGTAGAAGCTAGTTTGAATTTTACTTTTCCTCGTGAAAAATACATTTATTCATTAGAGTAACCATGGGAAGTTGTGCAATTGAGGACCGGTATTAACCTTGGCATGCAATGAACCATATATCCATCTTGCTATTCATTGAAATCTCCAAATGCGGACCTTGCTTGAAAACCCCTGTCCTGGCTGTCAAGATATGAAGCCAATGAGCATACTCACAAAGGTTTCAATTAGTATTGTTTATTTCATTCCTTGGGGTATATTGCGGCATTTCATGGGGACGTTAGGATTCAAATCAAAACGTTCCCAAATTTGATCAGTGCAGTCAAGGTTTTTCCAGAAATCAGTATCTAACTAGACATACCAGTTACTATCAATGTAAATTTTGGATCTCACTGACCGCTCCACTACTAGGTGAGGAACAACAATGGTATCTGTGCTTGCCTTTCAGCTTGATGTAAAGAGGGGGTACTTCTCTCTCAGAAACTGTGTGTCAATAAGAATGGAAAGACAGTATGTCCACTTCCAACGGATAGAATGGAGAGACTTGTTCACTTGGAAAAAGGAAATCGTAATGTCAATGGTATTACATTGTGCTAATAGAGTTCTATGTACTGGAAATACATTGGAAGGAAGTGCAGTGGGGTAGAGCATCAATCAGGAAATATAGCACAATTTGTGGCATACATAACACATCCGGTATTTACAGTTGCTTGCTCTCATGAATAGTCTTGAAACCCTTCCTCTTTTGATTTGTACGAGTAGGTAAATTTAAGTGATCTGAGTCAATTTATTGTGGTCCCAAAGTTCAAAGGGATGGTGACAGCAAGCTACGTCACTTTCCACAACCTCATTCACCCTCTTCGCAAATGTGGTAACTTTCTAAATGTCACATTCAAAAGGCTCTTTGGAGATATCCCGGATTTCCTCAGCATGTTTCTCGATGTCAGATAAAGGTATTTAAAGCTCTCACATGCCTATTGTGGTTCACAGCCGGGACTGGATCCTCCATCTATGTTTTGATCTGAATGAATGCACTCGGATAGATTAACTGAATCTGCTGTTTAAGGACAAAATCCAATGTCGTTAGTAATTTAAATAAAGGGATGTTTACACAACTTTCATATTTTGGACTTAATATATTTTTACTGATAAGTATATAACAAGAAAAAAAATATGCATAATAAGGTTGATAATGCCAGAACTGGCTCCTGGTAGATAAAAGGGCAAAGACAAACTTTCAGCGGATGGCACTGACCATCAATGTATTTTTCAGTGTTGAATCATGCCTTTGAGTCATCTTTCTTAATACAGTCGGTAGCATGTATAAGCCATGAATTAAAGTTGAGAATGGACATTTTATGTCTGTCAGACCCTTTTTCCAAGAATTTGATGGCTCTTCTACAATTTTAGTAATGACTTTTCATTGAAAAGAGTAAGAATTCCATTCTAATTTATATTGCTGCTACACAGTTTGTGACCCATTCCTGAAACCCTGCAAAATTGTTTACTTCTATGTTTATTATATCAGAGACATATTCACGAGAACAAACATTGATTGTTGAAAAGATTGTTAGTGAACATAACGGCAGTGATTTTGTTTTTGTTGAAGACCTTGAGGCCAAGGAAGAACTATGGAGGGTTAGTCAACTATTTCTATTCAAATGTCTTGAAACCTCATTTTACTAGAATTATGATCTACTTGGTTTGTTCACAATGTATCTTTTACAAAATATATTATTTTCTGCTGTCACTGGAGATTGTATAAACTCTCTCTGAGAGTACTTGCACTCTAGTAATTTTTTCTGATCATGCAGTACAGTGTTCATTAATATGATAAAAAATTATTACAACTATACGTTTGTAAACTTGAATACGTCAGAATATAAAAGGAGCATATTTATGACTTGAGGCTGAGAAATCTGAAAAAAACCTTTGGGAAAGTCCGAAAAGGAACAGCACAGGACTTTCGAACCACCAATCCAACCTGATTCTTGATCTCTGATAAATAAACATGATAAACCATGGTGACTCTCCTTACATCCACAGGTGTCTCATTTGATAAGGCTGTTCTTTAATTATTCAAATGGGTAAGACAGAATCTGCCTTTCTTTCCTCTTTCCAAAATTCAGATAGCACTGGTAAGAGGTATATCAAAACCAGAAGGATGTTGCATGCGATATTGGATTAGTGATTCTCCTGATAGCTTCTAGAGGACTATCCAATTTGTCTTCCATCAATCTTTGATTTCTTTTCCCTAGTTGACCCATGGCGTAACTGGTGAAAATATTATCCTAAACTATTTGCATCCTATAGTGAATAATAAGTGCTTCCGAGGATCCTTCAAACCAAAACCTCCCCCGAACCATTTATCCTCAGTCATGGGGTAATTTCCCAAAAGAAAATATCTATTGCTCTTGGCATCCCATTTTCACGGCAAGCTACTTTCAAAGATCCACACTCTGGTTAGATGATGCAGCAATATACGAAATCATCAGTTTCAGCCCATGCAAGATTCCTTTATTGTTCCTGAGAATGTTATCTCACTTTTCGAATGGATCTTCATTTCACTGTAGTTTTTTCATGAAGACTTCTTTACTTGAAAATGAATCATTTAAACCCTAGGGATCTTCCCCCAAAAGTGAAAATCCATATCTTCAATTTATTTGTTGAGAATAATCACTGTTTCATGTACATGGTATCTAGTTAATTTCCTTGCTAGATGGTGTGTTCATGTTTAGAATTCCAACAGGTGGCTTACATGTGTCTGTTGCAGTTTAATTCATTATCATTGAGTTCATGGTCAAGATATTTTCTGCTCAACAACACTCATTGTCCATTTTTAATCGAATACTGCATTCTGGGAAATAGTGTAGTGCACTGGTTAGTTTTGTGGATTCAATAGACCACTGAACCAAAGTGCACTTATCACAGTGTTCATCTGGTCAGTGAAAAAAGTTTGATTTAAGGAGAGGACTTGCCTATTTATATTTGGGTGAAATGTCTATATGTTTTGGGCCTCTTTCAATTTTCTAATCCATTATCGACGGGAAGATGTGTATGCATCCAAATGGGAGTCGTGTATTTCCTATGGTCATTATTCTGTTCGTGATATGTTTTTAATTACTTGCTGTAGATAAGGAAGGAGGCACTTTGGGCAGCTTTGGCTATGGAACCTGACTCCGAAGCAATGATTACGGTTAGGATATGGCAAGCTTTTTGGTTTAACTGTTCTGAACCGTTTTCATTCCATGAAATTTTATTAGGAGGACACTTGTCCTAAATACCTTTTCCAAATATTAGTAAGTCAGCACAACTTTGAAACTTTCTGTTTTAATACACGTAAGCTAGGAGAACCAAAATTTGCTTTAGCGGTAGCGTTTACCATGGCATCACACAAAGTTACCTTTTGTTATCTGTAACATCTATAGACATTTTGTACTAAAAAAGTTTCGAACATAAAACATTCAATATTTCGAACATTGAAGAGAATAAACTGTAATCCATCTATGATAGTTTGCATATTCCAAAAGGAATAATGGGGATGGTTATGACTAGATCTTGAGTTAAGAAAACTATGGATACCAGAAATTTAAACAGAGCTCAACCCAATACAGAACTTGGTGTTTCTCAGATGCCAAAGTAAAAATTCAATATCAACGACTAGAAAGCCATGTAAACCAGAATTTTAAGCATAAAAGTTTGTATTTCTTAAATGTATGGTTAAAAGTTGATTAAAATTATGTGAGGGCGTTGTGATAGCAAGAACATTTGTGTCAACCGGAGTTACCTAGTGTCCAGGGTGGAGGCACACCTCTGTACTAACCTCGTGCTCTGTGGTAACTTCCGTTTTAAAGCTACCAAACTATGTATTTCCCACACTTCAGTTCGAGATTTTCTTATTAGGAAGATACTGCTTCAGCCCTTGTTCATCGTTTCTAATTGTATTTGTCCTCTTCGGACATGAGTTTGTCTTCTTTGGTAGCTTCTCAGTTCGCCGTCACCTCTTGGATTATTGTTCCATGGTTTTTAGTCTTTTTCTTTCACATATTTTACACCTGCGGTCGTGAAGATTCAGTGGAAGCATTATTTTCATGGATCATTGGTTTTTTACAGAACAGATTGGTGGGACTAAAAATGGCATCCGGCATGTTCCACTTTGCATTCTGGTCTGCCTACTGTTCCCACATCTGAAGCCAGGAGAATCACCATTGATGTGCAGAAGTATCGTGTGCAACCTTGTTGGATTCTCTGACAAATAAATCAATATATCCTCATCAGTTCCTCATTAGGATAGTCTGTGTCACTATTATTCCATCTAGGGTAAGTCAAGCCGTTTACCTCTTTTGTAAGTGAGTATGGTTCTCCTAGTTCATGCTATAAAACACAGAGAAGACACGAAGGTCCTAGACTCCGCAGAATAGTCCCGGAATGCTGTCATGGCTTCAGCTGTTTGTACTTAGGATGAAAAGGGAATTCTACATATTCTGCTGTTTAGTATTTTTTCTGATCTAATATAGGATTGGGCTAGTGCACTTTTTTAGCAAGTCCGAAGATTTAATTTTCCAGGGCCTGTGTTTGATAGATTCTTTCTTTCTTTCTTTCTTTTCTTTCTTCCAGGATGTTTGTGTTCCTCTATCACGGCTTGCCGAATGCATATCTGTATCAAAGAAAGAGTTAGATGCCTCACCCTTAGTGTGGTATTGCCCTTCTTTATCCATAGGACAAACCTGCAAGGGCAGCTAGCTACGGGTTTGACGGATAGTATCTGATCACTCTTCCCCACTTCATCCAGCGCGGTTATTGCTCATGCTGGTGATGGGAACTTCCACACTGTGATCCTGTTTGATCCGAGCAAGGAGGACCAGCGGAAGGAAGCAGAGAGGCTCAATCATCTGATGGTGCACACTGCCTTATCCATGGAAGGTTGGACAATCTCTTCTGATACACTGTTGAATCCGTTTGCTTAGAAATGTCTGGTAGAATCTTATTTAACTGCAATATATTCAGGTTTTTTGGTATATGCTCATCGGCATATTCATAATGTCTTGCTCTTCAGTGCACTGGCCAGATATAATTTCCAGCTTGCCGATTGCAGTAACCAATTTCCGTGGCCAGTTTTTCCTTATTTTATCAGATTGATTACCTTTGATGGGCATCTCGTTTCAAAATCTGATCATCAGTTAGGAGAGGATTTGAATAAAAAATGAAGCGTGGTCTATTACGGAGGCTTGGGAGATGATCCAGTTGTTTGCTTGGCAGCGAATGGCACCTCATTCATGCACAGAGATTTTTGACTTATCCTCTGAATCTGTTTTCTAATGGGGCCACCGCTTTACAGGCACATGCACCGGAGAGCACGGCGTGGGCACCGGGAAGATGAAGGTACGAAGCTTCCCTCCCATCATCTTGGAGGTTTCCCATGATATATAGAAGCAAAGAGGGGAAGCCCTTTCCTTTCTTAGGGCTTGACCTCCATCACACATCTTCTACAATTCCTGGGCGAGTGGATGGAACCATCCGTCTATTATATTATGTGTTCATCTTCATCTTGGTCTCCAGGATGCTCAGACTGACTCTCTCTCTCTCTCTCTCTTCTCTGATAATCTCTCTGATAAAAAAACTGCATGGGGGAGAGGAGAGCCAGAGCTGGGCCTCATGGGGGGGGGATGTCCAGCAAAAATCCCATTTTTTTCCCGTCCCTTTCCTGGGTCAGACTGAGCTAGGGAGACCCTGACCTTCATTTTTCTACCTGGCTTGTGATTCCTCCTCTGATCTAAAAAGTTCGGCGAGTCATTTCTCTCTCTGCCTTTCCAGTACCTGGAGAAAGAGCTCGGTCTGGGAGCGCTGAGGACCATGAAGAGGATCAAGGCCACTCTGGACCCCAACGACATCATGAACCCTGGAAAGCTCATCCCCCCCCATCTATGCCTCTGAAACTCCAAGATCATGGATCCCCTCCCCCCCCCCCCTCTCCTTGAGCAGACAGTGGCCATTGATTGGGAGGTGATGATGATGTTGATGTTGATGTTGATGTTTTGGGGATCTGCTCAATAAGAACAAGGCCCGGATGAAGACGGGCCGGGCCCGGAAGCCCGGTGTTGATCACTTTTTTCTCAAAGTTCTCGGTCTGCATTTATTTATTTGATTGTGAGCTTTTGTGTTTATGAGTCTGCCTGGCCCGTTTTCCCGGGTTGAAGTATGAAGAAAATAAGCCCGGCCCGGTGAGTATGGGAGCTCAGGAACAGGTTGGCCTATTCTACCCCCCAGGGCCCAAGGAAGTTTAGAGGCCCGAGGTCCGGTTTCTGTCGCATTGGGTGAGATCTCTCTCTCCGGGCTTTTTCTCCGGGCTTTTTCTCCGTGCCCGATTGGCCCCGCCCGGCCTAATGACACCCTTCAACCGTTTCTGGTAAAACCTTGCCAATTTCATTTTACTTACAAGCCACAGAGAGAGAGAGAGAGAGAGAGAGAGAGAGAGAGAGAGAGAGAGAGAGAGAGAGAGAGAGAGAGAGAGAGAGCTCTTTGAGCAGACTACGTGAGAGAGTGTTGATTATGGAACATATTTCTTGGAGAGAATAATGGAAAGGGGAGAGATGGATTCTCTCTTGGAGAAGATGCCCAAGGGAGATGGATTCTCTCATATACTAAGAGGAGAGAGAGAGAGAGCAGTGGGGGCGTGAATTGTATGCAATGGAATTTGGCCTGTGAGGCCCAAAATTTAGGGGACTTGGACCGGCCCAAGTTCAGCAGAGGCCCTCCTAGCCCGGCCCATTGGTTTAATAATTTCCCTTTTTTTCCCGTTTATATGCTACGAAAATGTATTTATTTATTTATTTTTAATCCGTCGGATCGGTTGGGGGTTTTCGATCGGACGGTGTACGCTGACGTAAGTATGAATATGACCTCAGCATCCCCACAGTGGGGACCACCGCACCTCCAAAGCAACTGCCTAGGTGGGGGCTTTATTCTGTCCACGAAGACAATTATGTTTCTTTCCCTTCCGAGAAAACAAATCATTCGGGAATTCTCCTTCTTCACGGCGCAACGCGGCCGAGCCCCCCCGGTCGCCGACGGCGCTCACCTCCGTTGTGTAAAGAGAGATTTAGAAATAGATAGAGAGAGAGAGAGAGACAGGAGGATATAGAAAGAGAAAGGGAGATAGAAAAAGAGCGAGAGAGAGAGAGAGACAGGAGGATATATAGAGAGAAAGGGAGATGGAGAGAAAAAGAGCGAGCGAGAGAGAGAGAGAGACAGGAGGATATAGAGAGAGAAAGGGAGATGGAGAGAAAAAGAGCGAGCGAGAGAGAGAGAGACAGGAGGATATAGAGAGAGAAAGGGAGATAGAGAGAAAAAGAGAGAGAGAGAGAGAAAGAGAGATAGGAGGATATAGAGAGAGAAAGGGAGATAGAGAGAAAAAGAGCGAGAGAGAGAGAGGGAGATATATGTATAGAGAGAGAGGAGGAGATAGAGAGAGAGAAGGGGAGATAAGGAGAGAGAGAGAGAGAGAGAGAGAGAGGGAGGGGAGGAGCAAAAATAGCAAATTAACAGGTGGATTCATGGGGGGAAGATCTTTCGGGAGGATGGCCAGCGTAAGAAGAAGGTGGTGGTGGTGGTGGTGGTGGTAGGGTTGGAGGGAGGAGCTCCGTCCCTCCCCTCTCCTCACCTATCTTTATCCTCCTCTCTCTCTCTCTCGCCCCCCCTCCCTCCCCCTTCCCTCCGCCGGATCTTCCGGCTTGCTGCAATTCCCTCTTCCCTGATCTCCTCGAGGTTTTCCGGCCGACCGGAGGCGGCGGCGGCGCCGCCGCCGTGATGGGATCAAAGGCGGTGGTGAGGGGCTCCGGCGACGAGGACGATGAGGACGGCCGCGCAACTTGCTGCTCCTGCGACTGCCGGCCCCGGTGGCAGCGATCGGTGAAGCGAAAGCGGGAGGCGATGGAGGCGGAGGTGGCGGCAGCGCGGGTGGAGGTGGCGGACGAGGTGGCGGCGTTGCGGGAAGCGCTGGCGAGCCACCAGCAGACGGTGGCGGAGCTGTACACGGAGCTCGAGGAGGAACGCGCGGCGGCGGCGACGGCGACCGACGAGGCCATGTCGATGATCCTGCGGCTCCAGCAGGAAAAGGCGGATGCTCAGATGGAGGCGCGCCAGTTCAGGCGCTTCGTGGAGGAGAAGATGTTCCATGACCAGCAGGAGCTCGCCGCCCTCGAGGACGCCCTCTTCCTCCGCGAGCAAGCCCTCCAAACCCTCTCCGGCGAGATCCAGTCCCTCCGCCGCCGCTCCATCGACCTCCCTCCCCTCGATCCCGGCGGCGCAGAGACGACAGCGTACGACCACCCGGAGGTCTGCGAATACCCGCCATTGCGGTGCTCCGAGCATCGCCACTGGGAGGATCGGGGCCTTGAGGACGACCACGATCTCGACAGTTTCCCGGAGGAGCACCTGCAAAATCTCGAGCGGAGGATGGAGCAGCTGGAGAGGACGGAGATGGAGAAGGACGTCGTGGTGACGGAGCCGCCGGGCGCCGTGGATTGCTCCAGGAATTGCAGAGCCGATGTCGACGGCGGCGCCGGCGCCGGCGCCGGGGACAGGGTTTACACCGTCGACGCCGTCCATGGGGACCCGCTGCCGCCGCCGCCGACGGCGGAGGAGGAGGAGGGGGTTATCAAGAAGCTGTACATGAGGTTGGAGGCACTGGAGGCGGACAGGGAGTCCATGAGGCAGGCCATCGTCTCCATGCGCACCGACAAGGCGCAGCTGGTGCTGCTCAAGGAGATCGCCCAGAATCTCTGCCAAGACGCCTTCTCTCCTCCTCCTCCTCCGCCGGGAAGGAAACTTTCAATTCGGCCATCCACGGTGGAGTGTTCCTCGTTCATGTCCATGGTCAAGGTAATCTTCGAGCTTCCAGTCAAATAGATGTGATTTTTTTTCTCTTTTTGGCAAAAATGGGGTTGACCTTGATCGTTCTTGGTCCTTCAAAAAATCATTCGTCCAGGTTTCAGATCAGTTCCTGTAATCTTGATGTAGAATCATCTTGGGTGGGGGGGATCCAGAGCTCAATCACGTATGCCAGAATTGCTTTCTAAATAAAAAAATCGAGGGCTACCCACATTTTTTAACCTGCCCACATTTACTTTCTTTTTTCTTGCTTTGGTAAACCTGTGACTGTTCATCGTTGACTTAATCCCTGTTCTGGGGCACCCAGAAACTGACCATTGTCTGCCAGAGCTGCTCTCTGGAAGGAAATGCAAAGCCGGCATAATACTCTCATTTCAGATCATATCATATAATACTCTTCTTCTCGTCATCACCCATTTAACCTGCCCGCGTTGACTCTTCGTTTGTCCTTCGGTGAACCTGTCCTCGTGATCATCGTTGACCCTTTTTTTCTTTCCCCCCTTTTTCCAGTGGATCATGTCGTTTGCTATCTGGGAACAGAAGGGCCAGAGGAACGAGTAAGTATCTCCATTAAAGGGCAAGAGATCTCTTCTTCTCCCTCTTTCTCATTCCAGATTTTGTGGAGGTTTTCAGGCGCGTCTTCGGGGTGTCGAGCTCCGGCGCCGGCTTGTCGCTGCTTCTGGAGAAGCCCCCCCATTTGCGGCAGCTGAGGTGCCTCTCAAGAACGAGTAGTTGACCGCCGTCTGACGGCTGTCTCGCAGTGTTCTTTTGTGTGTCAAAGGTACTCTGAGTGCTTGATTCTTGGTGGTGGTCGGATTTAGTTGGATCAAACCTGTTGTGGATCACCACTTGCTCAGATTCCAACTCTGTTCCTCTCTCTCTCTGTGAACCATTAGAGAGAGAGAGAGAGAGAGAGAGAGAGAGAGAGATGAGAGTAAGAGTAATGATTCTCTGTGTACAAAAACCTGGGGGGTTTTCGAGATTTTGTTGGCATTTATTTCACTGAGTATGAGACTCATCCTGTGGGTGGATTCGATTTTCCAGGAGAAAAGCTGTGGTCTTTGTTGCATTACTTTTCAGCTCCACAAGGTCAACGCACGGAGTCTAGAGATAGGGAGAGAGAGAGCCTTTTGAGACCCTGGGTGTATTTTTAGATGCATGTGGTTTTCTGGTGAAAAGATGCGATCTTTTTTGCATCCCTCGTGAGCCCAGCAAGAGTCTAGAGGGAGAGTAAGAGTAAGAGAGAGAGGGAGAGAGAGAGAGAGAGAGAGAGAGAGAGAGAGGGTCATAATTTTCTTCGGTATTCTTGTTTCATACCGTGGGTGTTCCTATTTTGTTATCTGACGGAGAAGATAAGATGGGCAAGGCCATCGTCGGGAAAATCTAGTGAGTGAGAGATAGAGAGAGAGAGTCAGAATTCTCTGGGGTATTCGTGTTTCATAATGTGGGCTTTCCTGTTTTTTATCTGACGGAGAAGATACAAAGGGTGAGACCAATCGTCGGAAAAATCTAGTGAGAGAGAGAGAGAATGCTTTTCGCTGACGACCATCTGTTAAACCAGGGCTCTCGTCGGCCTTGTCTAAACCGCATTCCGCTTACCGAGGAGCGCCTCCAAACGCTCTCTCTATCTCTCTAAACGTCCCTCCTGGAAAGGACGGAGGGTCATATGAGTAGCCTCATTAACCCACCCACTCCGAACCCTGACTCATCTCATGACCTTCATAGCTATTATCAATCATATTGACTGCTGGTTACCGTGCCACGTACGCTCATCATCTCTCTCTCTCTCTATTACCTGTATATATATATATATATATCTCATATTCCCATAATGCCCTCAGAGCAGAGCGGGCTTCGTTTCTCCCCCGTGCCGTGGTTTTTCCTTTCGGTGCCGTCGATCGCTGCTCTCCTCTCTCCTCTCTCTCGGCCGAGAATTCCCCGTCCCTTGCCGGAGACGGATCGGCTCGGCTGCCAAAGGCTGGTAGCCACGGCCGCCGTCGACGCAGGCATCAGCGGGCGCCATGACTAACGTGACCCCTCTTCCCCCGGATGTGAGTAAACAGCGGAATTCTTAGTCCTCGTTCTCCTTCGCCTATGTTTTTCTACCCAAGCCTGAAGAATTCTTTTCATTGGATTGTCGCACGCTGATTTTTCACCTTTTTCCGTATGACCCTGTCGCAGGAAGGGGACGAGATGCTGTTGCCTCACACGGATTCAGCCGATGCCCCCCAGGCCATGGAAGGTACTCTTTGGCCTCGCATTTGCTTAGGCTACATGAACTAAGGAACCTCTGATCCAAGATTTTAGTGTTGCACCTTTTTGGTTTTAATATGCTGCTGCTACATGTGGCTGGTTCCTGAGTCAGCTCGCATCTGTCTGGTTTGCCGTCTAATCATTTTGTGATTTCTCTCCTTATGTCGTGCTCTAAAGTGGTGGGTCCACAAATGGAGAATGTTAGTACCTTGGAGAACCAGCTAGTGGAGGATCCTCCGACGTTTAAATTCTCCTGGACTGTTGAGAATTTCTCCAGGCTGAACATGAAGAAGCATTACTCTGAGGTTTTTGTTTCTGGCGGATACAAATGGTATGCCGACTGACCACTACCATCCGTTTTTTGTCTGTTCCCTTGTCATTGTTAACTGTCTTCATATAGGCGAGTGCTCATATTTCCGAAGGGAAACAACGTAGACTTTTTGTCGATGTACCTCGATGTTGCTGACTCTACAACCTTGCCCTACGGATGGAGCAGATATGCGCAGTTCAGTTTGGCTGTTATCAATCAAATGGACAGCAGATACACCATAAGGAAAGGTAGGCAGTCTGCTGTTTGATTACTTTTGATAGTCTTTTCTCCCTCATTGATTTGATGGGTTTTGCTATCATAAAACTTTGATTAATACCAAAATGATATCATGTCCTTTTTCATAATGCAATTTTATGGATTAATCTTGTTTGGAATGTTGGTCTGGATTGATTTATCCCTGGTATCTCATGTTTTCCTTTTTTTTGACTGTGCATCTCAGCTGACAGATAAACCTTTGTTTCTTTCTGAGACCGAGGAGACAACTGCTCTTCCCTACATAATCGAATTGACCAGTCTACCAAGAAATTATTTAGGCTAAATATTTTATGACACCCAAACTGTTTATTATTTTATCGTCTTGTCGTAGATAACATTATTTCCCCCACATGACGGGACAGCTGCGTCTTCCATTCTGTCGCACCTGCATATTCGTGGGTCATATTGTGCTGTTGATTTTGACTTTCATAACTCCCTCAGAGTAACTCTTTTCACCTTGAAGTGTTAAATGTTCTTCGGCCACTTTTCCTCTAAAATTAATGGATGACGATTTTAACCTTGAGGAAATAACTCCAATGTTATGTCACCTTTCAGAGACACACCACCAATTTAATGTTCGGGAGAGCGATTGGGGTTTCACATCATTCATGCCGCTAAGTGAACTCTATGATCCTAGCAGAGGTTATCTTGTTGATGATACTTTTATAGTTGAAGCTGAGGTTACAGTTCGTAAGGTGTTTGACTACTGGGCACATGATTCAAAAAAGGAGACGGGTTATGTTGGTATCAAGAACCAAGGAGCCACCTGTTACATGAACTCTCTTCTGCAGACTTTGTACCATATTCCTTACTTTAGAAAGGTTTGTACAATTTTATGCACTAATTCTCAATATCATTCTTTTTTAAAACGTCATCTATTAGCTTATGCTTATTTGAGTTTTTATGTAGTCTGTGTACCACATGCCCACAACTGAGAATGACATGCCCACTGGGAGTATCCCTCTAGCTTTACAGAGTTTGTTCTACAAGCTTCAGTATAGTGAACGTAGTGTTGGCACGAGGGAGTTGACAAAATCTTTTGGATGGGATACATACGATTCATTCATGCAGCATGATGTCCAGGAGCTTAACAGGGTTCTAAGTGAGAAACTGGAAGATAAAATGAAGGTAGATTATCCGTGCTTGCTGTTTTTTTTTGCCTACTCATTCATGTACTTCAATCATGTAATCTTATTTATTCTACTTTTATTCTCTCCTAGGGAACTGTTGTTGAGGGCACTATTCAACACTTGTTTGAAGGACACCACATGAACTATATTGAGTGCATCAATGTCGACTACAAATCTACGAGAAAAGAGTCATTTTATGGTGCTTTTTTATCTGACATTTTTTTCAATTTTTTTTAGGGACAGTTGTGGTCACTAATCCTCCTATATTTACATTCTTTTGGCAGACCTTCAACTTGATGTTAAAGGATGTCGGAATGTATATGATTCCTTTGACAAGTATGTTGAAGTTGAACGTCTTGAAGGTGATAACAAGTATCGTGCAGAGCAACATGGCTTACAGGTAGGTTGCATTACTGCCCCTGCTGATTACTCAATTCTTAAAATAGTCAAACGATAAGATGTGTAGATATGCATAGTCAACTTGATAAAATTTGGAAAAAAATGAAAACAGGGAGAATAAAAGCGACACTGCTTAAGATGTATCCTGGTTTGTTACAGTGAAAATAACAATTGCATCATCCAGCAAACATAAATTTTGTCCTCAACAGCTGTATATCGTATACCCTTTTGGAACTTTCTTGGCATCAATCTGTATTGATTGTTGTTATTCAAGCTAATATTTTGATTTGTAGTCTGCTTCTTTTTATAAAACTTCTTAAACTTATTTATATGTTAAAACTCAGAAAAAATATTTTCTGTCACAGGATGCTAAGAAAGGTGTCCTGTTTATTGATTTTCCTCCCGTCCTGCAACTTCAGCTTAAACGTTTTGAGTATGATTTCATGCGGGATACAATGGTAAAGGTTGGTATCCCAAAAACCTGTGCTAGATGCCTTATTCTTCCGAGTCGTTTCATTTGCTATGATTGATGAATTGCTTTTGGCCACTTGTTTCCTTATTTTTAATGGCATTCTTCTGATAATTTTTCTTGTTAAAATACTGCATGTGTTACCTTTAGCTGAACCACCAAACTTCCTGATAGTTTGTTGACAATCTACTATGTGGTGATTGAATATTTGATACTCGTCTTGTTATTTTCCATTTTATATCTGTTATTGTTTCACAAATAATATCACATATTTGCATATAATAACGTATATCATTCACACTTGATATTTCGATGGCTATTGGGTCCTGGGTACGCCATGTAAAATCCCCTTCATTTGGGATCTGGCTGAATGTTTCTGATTTTCTTGCTCATCTTAAACTTCGTTGTTCTTCTCATGTTGTGACTGTTGTGCTGACTGCATGTATGTTCTTGAAGTTATGTCGAAGTTACTCCAAAGAAAGTTGTATAAAAATCCTGCGACCATATGAAGAAAATTGAGCATGAAAATTATAGCAATGATTATTTATGTTTTCAAAATATTACAACAATCGAAGGTGTGCGTGAATCAATCAAGAAATAATACTTGGGAAAGTGAATATGGAGGTTCTTAATGATTGTTTCTCAGTACAAACGGAAGCTCTTATGTTATGTCTTACATTTCTTATTCATATTCTCTGCATGAATCTCTGTTGTTACCGAAACTTGTAGAATCCATTTGGGATGTCAAGTGGTTTTTGACAATCTGGTTGTAGGGAAGAGATCCCAGCTATTATATTATGTGTAACATAATTGACCTTGAATCATGGAATCTGTCGATTCCTGGCCAATTACGATCTCAATCTTGATTGGTTGGATGTTCTTTATCCAATTCCATAGACCGTGGTTTCCAACTCTTGATTTATGTGCCTAATGTCGGGCCCACACTAGCATTTTTAGTTCACTAGCTCTCCTCTTCTTTCCTAGTTCTTCTTTTGACGTTAATTCGCGTGTATCTCTGCCCTTTTTGACCTCTGTGACCTTGGGCTGCTTAATCAAGTACTTTGACCCTTTTCTTGGGAAATGGACTCTCTTTAATCATTTTCTTCTGTTTCTTTCTACAGATAAATGATCGTTATGAATTTCCATTGCAACTGGATCTTGATAGGGAGAATGGCAAGTATCTATCACCTGACGCAGACAGAAGAACTCGGAATCTTTATACTCTACATAGGTACCAGTCCTGACAGTTTTATATCTAATAAATTCGGGCTAGATATGAAAAATAAATTTCTTATCTGTCATGGATATTTAATATGACACTATCTTATACATACAGCATATCTCGTTTCCTTTTGATATTTGTTTGATATCTAATAATTTTGCCCGAATATAAAAAGATAATGTGGTAATGTCTGTCATGGGTATCGTCATGACATCTTGACCGTGTTGTGTATCTTCTTTCCTTTTATTTTTTTCACGTATCTGTTATATTTAGGCTTGTTATGAAAGAATAATGTTATAATTTCTACTTTTATATATAATATGGCATTGATCTTAGACATGGAGCATATCTTATAATTTTTTAACTTTTTTGGGCCCGTAGAGTAGATGTAATCAATGTTAATTTCATCATTTATGAAGGGAAGCTTCAGGAGTCTATCCTTTATTTCTTTTTACCTTTTAGACGACTGACTCAGAGATGGTGCTATCAATTTGATGGACGAGTTTTACTGCTTTTTGACATGCAATTCCCATTTATTTGATGCATTCAGCAAGATTTCAGGTGATTTATGCAAAAATTATAGTGTATATTAATCTCTCCCTCCCTCCTTGCTCTCTTTCTCTCTTTTCAGTGTGCTTGTTCATAGCGGTGGGGTGCATGGAGGCCACTACTATGCTTTTATTCGACCAATGCTCTGTGACAAGTGGTAGGCAATTTATGTTTAGCAAAAAAATAATTTCTTCAATATAAGTGGATCCTATTTTATATTCGAGCTCAAGTACAATCATGCAAAAACAATGCAAGTATCTCTACTGTCAGTAAGGTTTCTTTAATAAATGTATGGTACTACTATCAAAATGATGGAAAACTCATTAACAATGCATTGCTTCTACATATTTGTACTCGTGCTTGTATCAATGTTTTTCTCATTTAATTAAATAGTGTCGATGGCAATTTTTAAAAAGAAAAGGAAGACACTACACATCATAATGAATGAGGTCAAAGGATTCAATTTTTATTTATGAAATAGGGTATTGTATTCTACAATGTTTAAGACGGAAATGGTTCATGACTAAGTTTACCTTACACAAAAACGCAAGAATTTTAGAGACTGATATGGTAAATACTGGTCCTGTCCTTACTGATCTTATGTTGAACAGCTGGGCTTCCTTCAATTGTAAAATAATAGAGTATTCCTGCTTCACAATGACTTGCAATTATTTGATTCATATCCTAATCCTGACAACAGTAGTTCGTGAGTCATTTGTAACACTGATGAAAATGGTGGGGAACACTGAATAGCATGTGGGCAGTGGGAGGTTGTCCCTAGTTGGTCAGTAGTTAGAAGGGGAACGACAAGGAAACTTACTTTAGCAGTCATGGTGAACAAAGCGGTAAACCACTGCCTAATTATTCAGAGGACAGGGATTACTATAAACCTATTTATAGAAACGAAAATCATTCAGAAACATAATGCAGATCAGCATCTCCACATTTTATAAATTACCATGAATCTTGAGAATTTTAACTCTTTTGTTGTTATCCTAATCTTATCATATATAAAATAAGATGAATGTGATTGCATTGGCCCAGCTGTGTGATGCCTTGAAAAACATGATAATTGACTAAGTTACGTAAGATCATCTTAGTGAAGGCTTAGGGAGAGTAAATTTGGACTGTTCCCCCTGAGACCTTTAATAGAAGTAGTGGATATGCTTCCTAAACATTGCACTTTCCTTGTAGTAAACTTATTCTACTTACCCTTGGATTTTCGGTGCTTCTTTCTTATCTAGCCCTACTATTGTCATTCAAATGGTTTTCTTGGCCTCATAGAGGGTATGGTCTTTTTTCTTTTATCCTATCCTTGGGAGGTCCACTTCTGCTTTAGCTGAAACTGTGATTCATACTCGATAGCCTTTGGGATATTCGAAAACTCGTTATTGTCCCTCTTTCTTCACTTAGTATCCTACAGTACACCTATTTCAACAATGGGAAACTATTCATGCTTTGTAGCTGGATTTATAATGATTTAAATTATGGATTCAGACTGTTAAGCAACTTCAGGATCTAGGTTTTCTAAACATACGTGTGGTGCCTTCCCCAGTCTACAATTATGTTCCACTCTATAAGATGTGGGAGTTATTCTCTTATTAACCCTTTCTGAGCACTGAAGTAAGCAGTAACCATAGGTTCTCCTTGTTTTAGCTCCTGAATCTGAGTTGAGTATATAAATTTAACTAGCATCGCCCTTTTGTACGCATATCCCTTCTGACAACATCCATATTTCTCTCGTTATCATTTTTTCTAGCACAACGTTTTAGATATCACTACAAACATGTTGTTTCCCAACTCCCAATACCATAATATGCATCATCTTTTTTAGGAGGTTGGAATTTTTTATTTAATACCATGCTTTGTGTTATTAGGTCCTTTTGAATGCTTAATGTAAAGAAACTTGTTGTCATTTATCTTTTTGATAGACTTAGGATAGCTACTTTTCATAGAATCGTGGCAGGTAAGAAATCTACCATATTATTTAAATTAAAAAAATCATAGAAAAAATATCTGAATGATATATTTTCCTCAGATATTTTTAATTGTACTATATTTTAAACTTCTTCCATTTATAACTTTATATTGTATTTATAGTTCATAACTCCAGCACATTCGCATTAAGGCACAGCAGATCTACTAGTGCTTTTATTTCAGTTAGTAGGAGGAATCTTGAACTAAGAAATAGACCCTAGAAGCTAAAAGAGTGTATCTTGAGCAATTCCAATAAGCTCATTGATGTGATTTTTGGGTTTAATAAAATTTCGATCCTCCTCACTGACGATTGATTTGATATAGGTTATGTACATTAATTTAGGATACATGATAATGGTTTCATAGCTTCTCTATACCTTATTGTCCACTAGTCAATCCTATCATTAGGGATTCAATGTATGCATGGTGCCGGATAATCCAAGCTTAATGATGACATATCCATAGCCTGATTTGAGCCTTGACTTATTATAAGATCTAGTGGTCTAGCCCAATGCATATAAGGGAAATAAGAACTTATGTGGACCTTATGTCAAGTAGTCAATCCCAATGCAATTGAGTTTGAGGAAACTTTGTGGGCTTTGTTCAAAATGATTAAACATAATGCAGAGGGAGCTGATCTCTTAAAGTCATCAAATAAGATTTAATCCATTAAATGCTACAAGCATTTAAGAAACTTTAGCATATTTTAGACATGTGCGTGATGATTTATGCAATAGAATTTCATTGATTTCTGATATCAGTCCTTATGACCATTCATCAAGGCTATTCTTTTGTCAAAATGATGCAATCCACCGTGACTTCGAATTTCTAAACTAATTTATCTCAAATATTTTGAAAAAAATGAGGTCTCTTCAAATTAAGCATCCAACAATCACTTTAAAAACATCTTGCCTTCATCTATGATTCAAGCTTTGAGAGTAGTAGACCTAGTTTAATCTCCACCGCTTAGCTATTTAAATATCATAGGAGTAACCTTGAAACTCATTGGCTAGCCTCATGAGGTGCTCATGGAACTGTTACTGGATGATATGATGACCAACTGTGCATACAATGGATGATGATCTGATATCTTGCTACTCCATAATCAGTCATATCATTCTAAAGGGGAGCTCCATTTGTCTAATTTGAACTGGGGGCTTACCAGAGGATTCAGTGATCATACGAAAAGAATGAGGAGTTAGGAGATTAGGACAAATGAAAGGGTAGAAAAACTTGAGCCGTGCATCTGCCATACACAATTGCCAAGATATAGGACCCAATGCTCTCTGTCATTGGATAAGAGGAGAGGATCGGATATGGTCAGAGAGAGAGAGACTGATGTTATGTGGTTGTGGAGGGAGAGGGCCTGACATCCCCTGCATGAGATCTTCAGCACAACAAGAGAGGTCCCCAGGATCAGGCTTCTTACGTTTGTTGCCATAAGCTGTTTTTGGGGGAACGATGATGCGTTGATGCTTGTTGTCGGCCCAATATCAAAATACTTCGCTTTGGTACCATGTGTCACGATAAGTGCTTGTAGATGAGTGGTGGAATATAAATGAGAGCAAGAAGGTTCCGCAAAACCATATCTTTTATGGCTATTCCTGAGGAAAACTGTCGCACACAACACACCCATTGAGTGTTGTATTTGATCATGGAGTACACAATGACCTTAATGGACGCATATGATATATGAGAACATGGGGACAATATGAGTATTAAGGAAAATCAGACATAAGGATTATTGGGTCCTGTCTACGGTCTCTGATAGTCTTTCAATGGTTACTACAAGATAAAGAGCTATCAAGGAGAGTGCATCTCACTTGTTGTGTCTAGTATTTACTCTGAGCATTATCCAAATTTTATCTGAACTAAGTTTTGTCTTAGCATCGGCATTATACATGTACTGTCCGAACAAACTAGTAACCTCAATTAAATGTTAATATTTCATGGAGTGGGGCCCTTTTGTGTTTAGGTTCAAGTTTGATGATGAACGAGTGACGAAAGAAGATGCAAAGAGGGCATCAGAGGACCAATTTGGTGGGGAGGAGGAGGTGAGAATGTTGTATTTTTTTATTTGTCTGTATGTTTTCTCTCCCTGAATAAAGTGGGTTCACAGTGTTGTTTTTTTGCAAGCAGTTGCCTCAGGCGAATCCTGGATTCAATAATGCTCCTTTCAAGTTTACCAAGTATTCAAATGCGTATATGCTTGTGTATATTCGTGAAAGTGACAAGGAAAAAATAATGTGCAGTGTTGATGAGAAAGATATAGCTGAACATCTCAGGGTAAGAGAGGAGAATAGTTTCTTCTTTTTAATAGTTTCTTTGATGAATCAAACCTATCGAAGTCCAATGCTTTTCTCAGGTGAGATTTAAGAAAGAGCAAGAACTAAAAGAGCACAGGAGGAAAGAGAAAGCTGAAGCTCATCTCTACACCATCATAAAGGTCTTCTTTCATAGTGATCTTTTTTTTCATTTTCATTATTTTTAGCTGATTTTAATCTTCTGATGGAAACTTGATGACGAGATTTCATTTAATACGTCCAGGTCGCTCGAAATGAAGATTTGGCACAGCAAATTGGAAGGGACATGTACTTTGACCTTGTAGATCATGACAAAGTCCATAGTTTTCGTATTCAAAAACAGACACCTTTCAATCTTTTCAAGGTTGCCACTGACCTTCTGTGCCGTATGCCTTATTGATTTTTTTTATTGGTGCCTGAAGATCTTTGTGATTCAAGCAGTTGGGCTTTTTTAGCTGATAACTTTTCCTACTGATTTCTCTTGCAATTATCAAATAGGAAAAGTTATCTGCACTAGAGGATTACTATTAACTTCTTATTTTCTTTTGATCTGCCTTATCTTTTGGCAGTGGCTTTCTGAAATTAATTGGTAAGATGGAGCTTGCCCCTGGAAAATCCATCCTATCAGACTTGATAATACAACGATGAAGTCTAAAATGGACACCGTAAAACATGGTGTTCTATTTAGAATGTTAATAATGTAAATAAACAGAAACAGTGATATTTTTTCATGAACTACTATGAAATTTGATAGGTTCAACATTCTTGCATCTTTGTTGATCTGGGTTTGAAACACTGCTACAAATTTTTATAAATTTGACGCATCCTATTAGGCTTCCATTTCTTCTTCAACTAGACACATTGGGCTGGTTGGGGTGACAGTAAAATCAATGGAAGTCTGGTATTCGTATCTAGATGTGTACCTTCAATGGCGGGTTTTCCAACTGTGTTTAAATTTTATGATGACTTTGTGAAACAGTGTGTAAAAACTGCTTTCAAGAACACCCACAAGGAAAGCTGCTAACTATGATACGAACTATGAAAGGAAAGAGAATACCTTGACCATCTTTTACATTTTTCTCACTTCCATGGAGCTTCAACAATGTTTTGGGCGATTGATTTTATTTGAGGTTGGAAATGTATACACAAATGTACGATGGCCAAATCGTATACATCCCTTTCTTGTCAATGTGAAGCAAAAACTGGACCTAGGGGGGTATAGTTGTTTAAGTCTCCCTGATGTGCCTTGAAATTAGCATTGGTCATTGTGTTCTAAAATAATGGATGCCTAGAGCTCACGCTGTGTGAGATTATTCCTGTTTATTTAACTATATTAAAAATTATAAAGGCTCATAAAACTTTCGTGTCTTGATATACATGCATGCTTTCTCCTGTAAAGAAAGCCCTCTAATTCATGTTCAGACAGACGCAATGGGTTCTTACCGTGGTTCTGTAGCATGGTTTTAAGGCTTTCTTGACCTTTTCGGTCTGCAGGAGCTTCACTGAATTCATTTATCAGGCACTTTGAACTATCTTATTTAACTAATCCTGATGAAAGGCATTCATACCGTTATCAGAATAATATCCATCCTAATAGCTTCAGTCAGTGCTCAATAAATCCCTCTTCTGCCCATAATGGAAACGATTAGAAGATTCTCCCAGAAAAAGCTAACATAGGCCACGACAAGAAAAAAGTCTTCTCCATGGAATTATAAACAATGGTTAATGTTTTTTTTTGCAGGAAGAGATGTCTAAAGAATTTGGCATCCCAGTACAATTTCAGCGTTTCTGGCTGTGGGCTAAACGTCAGAACCATACATACCGTCCAAATAGGCCTTTGTCTCCACTTGAAGAAGCACAACCTGTACCTGCCTCTTGCACGATTTTTCTTGAATAACATGTGCGAACGTTTTCACCACTAACCCCATTACTTTTTAGGTTGGGCAATTGAGGGAAGTATCAAATAAGTCTAATAATGGAGAGCTTAGACTGTTCTTGGAAGTTGAACTCGGACCGGTAACTATTTCTTTACCTTTGTTATTCCTTTCCATCAGTGATTCAATACTCTATAGTTATTCAAAAATGTTTTTTCCCGAGTTTATGATGATCTTGACCCCTGATTCTTTTCGAATTACAGGATTTGGGTCCTATTTCCCCACCTCTGAAGACCAAGGAAGATATACTGCTATTTTTTAAGTTTTATGAGCCACAGAAAGAAGAAATTAGGTGCCTACTGCCATCTTGTTTTTCCAAGGGGAGTCTAAGATATAAAGAATTTTTTTAGCATTTATTAATTTTTAATTTTGTGAATTCAGGTATGTAGGAAGGCTTTTTGTGAAGGCTGCGGGAAAACCCATAGATGTCTTGCCAAAGCTCAATGAGATGGTCCACTTTGATCCCAACGAAGAGATTGAACTTTATGAGGTCAGCCCTCTAGGAAATGCTTAGTGTTATCATTCTTATTTTTTTACTTGTTTGTCAAATTTTTGTTGTACTATTTTTTCTTCGTTATACATATTCGTCAAGCTTTTATTGTGTTCCCAGTGTAACGACTCTGTAAAGTGGTGTTTTATATTTTATTTTGGAAATGGTCTGCTGATCTGGGTTCTGTAATGCTTAGGAAATTAAATTTGAGCCAAGTGTGATGTGTGAACATATTGACAAGAAACTTACTTTCCGATCTTGTCAGGTATGAAGTGTATGTTTTCCAGCATTCTTTTTTGGGCTCCTTTTCTTTCATGTTCCCCTATATTATCTTCCTTTCCCTTGCATCTTTTAATTTTTTTTGTCTTTCATTACTGTAGATTTTCTCATCACATGCAAATGTTTGCCTTTTATTTTCAGCTTGAAGATGGTGACATCATTTGCTACCAAAAATCTGCTTCGGCTGATAGTGAAGAAATGTGTCGTTACCCAGATGTACCCTCATTTTTGGAATATGTGCATAATCGGCAGGTGTTCTCTTTAAATCGTTTTGAAATTTGAATTCTGACTTTAGTGAGCATTTGTATCTCTTGCTTTTCTGCATGTCGTTTTTTTTGAACCTGGGTATTTGTCAAACGTACCAGCTAACCCGATCTTCTGTGTTCAACATAAGCACACCGAAGATCAGGTGCTATGCCAGTTATTTTCTTCCAATCCGATTGTTGATTTTCGTTATGTCTAACTGTGAAAATAGTGTCGGTTACTATTGGAGAAGGTGTTGGTTGCGTGAAAAAAAGCTCCATGTGAAGGCTAAGCCCATCAGTTAATATAATAATACATTTAAACGAAAAATGAGTTGACCATTTTATATTTCTTGGTTAGTGGATGACCATTAGCACTCTGGGTATTGAAAGTTTGTAACATTGTGCTGGTGAAACAGAAGTCAACGTAATTCTTGTGAAGAAAATGATGAATTATTCTGGAAAATTCACCTTAGAAAATACTAATAGACATTTCAATAATCATTTTGATGTGAACTTATTATTGCTTTGGAATAATTGACAGCTGATAACATGAAACAAGAACATGTTTCCCCTTTTTACTTTTTTTTCCTGAGGATATATGACTTAACTCTGGGATTATACTTACGCCTCTGAATCTTCTGATTCGTCAGGTTGTCCATTTTCGGTCTTTGGAGAAACCTAAAGAGGAGGATTTCAGTTTAGAGTTGTAAGTACCTCAAAATTATATTATTATGCCGTCTTAATAAACTTCGTTTGATTGTTCTTTGACTCCTTTATTGAAGGTCAAAGCTCTCAACTTATGATGACGTCGTGGAAAGAGTTGCTCATCATATTGGTTTGGATGATCCAGCAAAAATTAGGCTTACAGCTCATAACTGCTATTCTCTGCAGCCAAAACCGCAGCCAATTAAATATCGAGGTGTAGAGCATTTGAGTGATATGCTTGTGCATCATAACCAGGTCCATTATCCCTTGTCTCTCTGGCATGTACCGCTTGCTACTCTCTAGTAAACTATTACATTTTTAAACTTTCCAAATAATTTCTTATTAAACAGACTTCGGACATCTTGTATTATGAGGTGCTGGACATTCCTCTGCCAGAGTTGCAGTATCTGAAAACTCTGAAAATTGCTTTTCATCATGCTACAAAAGATGAGGTTAGTCTGTTGGTTTGCATCATTTTTCAACTTTAGCAGTTTATTTACTCATGTCCAATGAAAACTAAATTCAGTGAATTTAGGTGGTGATCCACAGCATTAGACTACCCAAAAACAGCACTGTAGGTGATGTCATTAATGACCTGAAAGCCAAGGTATTCTGCCGTCATAATGTTCATCATAGTTTTTCCATCTCCATTGGGTTGACAAATGTTTCTCTTGAACCAGAACAGGAACAAATGTTTGGTACATTTCTTTCTTTTTCTTTGGTACATTTCTATGCTGACTCTGTTTTTGAATAGGTTGAATTGTCTCATCCTGATGCAGAACTTCGATTGCTTGAGGTTTTCTACCATAAAATATATAAGGTATTCCTTCATTGTTCCTCACTTTGTTGCTTCCATTTTTCCAGGAAAATGGATAAATTTTCATTCGTAGATTGCTGCACCTTTTCACGCTAAACAAACATATTGGTATTTTCCTAATTTTTTTAAAGCCTTGATACAACTGACTGGCCGGCTGATCAATGTGGAAGTGACTTATAGAGCAACATTTTTTTTTTCTCTTTCGGAATTCGGATAGCCACCTCGTTTCCTTGTTTGTCCAGTTGTCTATTGCTTTCTGATAATGACTGGAAAATAATGTGGTTGACTGACTGTCTACACATGCCTTCCGATGAATATCCTTAATCAATTCCTGAATTGGAAAGAAAACGGCCTTGTTTTTCACCGAATTAGATACAAGCCTAGGAGCTAGAGAGAGTAGATCTCCAAAAGAATTAAAGACTGCGACTTTGAGATATCCAGTCGTCTGTACCATAGCACTACCCTCTACTGTAAGAAACCTAAGATACACTAGTCCTCTTTCTATCTGATACCCTGCGCACGGGAAATAGCTCTCCAGATAGTGTTTGCTATTACAGGGCTTACAAAGAAATGGTCTATATAGACTTTGGTTGTCTACCAAGAAAATGGTCGCATACTGAAGGCTTGAAAATTTTCTTGATCAATACTTCTGGTGCTAACTTTCAATGGGAAGTATCAAGTGCTGTTTCTCCTTGACTGCTCTTTAACATAAAAATTACCTTGCTTAAGTTGGAAGTTTCAATTCATCTGGAAAATTGATACATTAAAGGTTTGAAGTTTTCTATTCATGTTTCCATTCTGTGCCTGCTATCTCCAGCGGTATTTTCTCATCATTTGTTGCAGATTTTTCCAGCCAATGAGAAGATTGAAAACATAAATGATCAATATTGGACGTTGCGTGCAGAGGAGGTGAGCTCCCCTCCCCGTCCTCATATTTAATTTTTATGATGTTGCGGTGCGCCCCCAGAATAAGATTCTCTGATTCGTTACTGTCTTGAAAATGCAGTCGTATGTGATTTATTTATTACATGGTAGAAACGTGTAAAATGCTATATAACAACCTATTCAGTTTTATGGCCCTCTGATTCCTGTGAATTGATGCAGGTTCTAGAGGAAGAGAAAAACCTCGGTCCTCTTGATAGGCTGATTCATGTATACCATTTTACTAGAGATACCACCCAAAATCAGACGGTAAATTTGTCTTGACATTCTAAACCCTTTTATGGCTAATTGATGGAATTGTGCATTTCTCCTGCAGTAATCAGGAGACATTAACTCCTGTGATAAAATAACCACTGGCATAACCAGCCGTCTGTGTTCTTCTCATCAACACAAATATTGAACGTTGCGGACAATACGGGACATTTTCATTTTTTTTGCCTGTTTTCGTACAGCAACAGATTCAAAACTTTGGGGATCCCTTTTTCTTGGTTGTCCACGATGGCGAGACTTTAGCTGACATCAAAGTGCGTATTCAGAAGAAGTTGCAGGTCTCAGATGAGGATTTCGCAAAGGTTGCATCACATTCTCCCTTCACAACTATTATTCTAAGCTTTTTTTTTTCTTCTGGTCAGACTGTATCCCTCGTTTCTTCTAAGAATAAAATTCATATTCATAAGATGGGTGCTGCTCCATTGGAGTGGTTTGTGCAGACAAATATAGATAGTCGTCCTCAGATTCCACTCCATGGGCCGCAGTCTCTTCTTTCTTTCTCTCCTGTGGAAATCAGATCGTTGAATCTGGCTCGATAGTTCATGTTTGATTCTGATTGATCAGCTTTATCGCCCAAATATAGATAGTACTGAGTGTCTCATTCTCGGGTAAAAGTATCTGAGCAATAATGCTCAGTGATTTTTTATTTTCCAGCTAAATGCAGCACTGATCTAGCCATGGAAATTACGCTGGCAAGAAGGAGATCCTCCCCCCCCCCCCCCACCCACTCGGGGAAACTAAAAATCTCACACCATATATAAACCCTTAGTTAGATGAACGAGTATCAATTGACTAGATGTTACACTGGTTTCTTGTGAATTCTCTCCCTTCAAATAATACGGCGTTCACCTGATTTTGGCAGTGGAAGTTTGCCTTCTTATCCCTGGGACTCCCAGAATACCTCAAGGACTCGGACATCGTGTCCCACCGGTTTCAGGTACTTTGTCCTCTCCTCGTACTTGTTTCTTTTTCCATCCCTTCTTCTTTTTTTCACCTCTGTTTTCTCCCTCTTTTCGTGTGCATCAGAGAAGAGATATCTATGGAGCTTGGGAACAGTACCTTGGATTAGAGCATCCGGATACTTCTCCCAGGAGGGCCCACACTGCAAATCAGGTATTCTTCTCTCCGCAGCCAGTGCTCTCAGTGAGTTAGTTCTTAGAGAAGCCCCCAGCCCCTCCCTGGTCAATGTAGCAGTAGGTTGCTGAAGGTTGTGTGGAGTTTGGGCATATTTTCTGAGTTTCTCTTTCGGGGCTGGTTTTCTGGCCCAGACCCAGACAAACAAATAAATAAATAAATAAATAATTGCCCATAACTATTAATAATACCCTGTAAAAACTTTCAGATATTCTCTATTTATGGATAAGTATTGACTTTTATTCTTTGTTTTTTTTTTTCCTCGTTATGGGAGGTTGGTGGAGCAAACTGTTAAAACAAGCCATTAATGATCCGATCCTTTCTTGCAGAACCACCATGTTTTTGACCGGCCTGTGAGGATCTACAACTGACATCCTTAGCTGCAGAACACAGTATGTTAGGCCGCCTGCCGGAGCTGCTGCCTGTTCTTCCCAGGGAGATTAGATATGGAATTCACGACTTGCACAAGGAAGAAAAAAGGAGGATTAAAAAAAAAAGAGGAATATAAAAGGACCAGGTTGGATCCCCGCTTTATGATTGCATCTTTGACCTTGCTGATCGGCGGCCTTTCCTCTCTTGCTTCATGGAAGCAGGGTGGATCTTCCTGGGAGAAGAGTAGCTCACCGAAGCACAAGATTTTGCATTTAGGGGAGATGTATACATGGCTGAAGCTTGGGTTTTCTTTTTCTTTTCTTTTTTTCTTTGAATCTGTTCCTTTTGTTCATTCTCTCTCTCTCTCTCTCTCTCTCTCTCTGTTTCTCTATCTCCAAGTTTCTAGCCATACTTGGCAATGGGGCTGCTGCATACCCATTTCTGCACCTTTCTGTACCAAGAGCCCTTGTTATTTATTTGTATAATCTCCAGCTGTTTCCTTCTAAAAACCCTCATTGGATGATGCTATTTTATTCGATGGCCAATGGTTCGGAGTAAAAAAAAAAAAAAAAAAGCAAAAAACAAATGTTGCAGCTTCTCTCAAAAATTTTCTTCTTGCAGGCTTTCAATGTGCGGGTCAACGGGACAGCCTCAAACGCTCTGCCAAACTCAGAAAAGTTGATGCGGTTAACAGTCGTGATTCAGAGTGTTCCTCCCTCAGCACTGTTGATCCCAATGGGTTTGATTCCTGGTACTCGCTCGATCCTCCCTCTCTCTGACCTTCGCACATATGCTCGATTTGGCACCGCTATCCTTTTTTCTAGAGTCGACTTCTCTAGACCAGATCAGGAGACGGCACCAGACCTATGTGCTTGTTGACTTGCTGTGTTGTTCAGACATCGACATCATGATCATCTTTTTGTTTGGATCCTTTATTGTGAGGCCAAAGTAATTAACGAACGACAATTATATGGAGTATGGGGATGAAACTAAGGGTCCGACAGCTACTTTAAGCTGAACCAATGAGATTATAGAAAATGAAAAAAATTAATGAGTTTTATCTTACTTAATTTTTTACTATATATTAAATATGTATGAGTTGCTTTAGTTAGTAATGTAAGAAACATGACTGATGATATTATTGTAGCATGTAATTAGCGTAGTTTGGGGCAATATCTCAAGATTTTTTGTTTAAAAATATCAAAAATATATTTTTTTACCAAAGTTTTGAAACATGGGATTGGTGCTTTCTACCCCCAATTATTTTCTGTGTTTACACACCTTTTTAATCTCGAAGAAAATACATTACTAAAATTTTCAGCCTAACTCTCAGATCTTTTTCAAATAGTATGAGGGGTATAGAGAGAGAGAGAGAGAGAAAGAGAGAGAGAGAGAGAGAGAGAGAGAGAGAGAGAGAGAGAGAGAGAGAGAGAGAGAGAGAGAGAGAGAGAGAGAGAGAGCACAATATTTTCCAGCCCAACTTGTAGATCTTCTTGAGATGAAATGATGGGTGTAGAGAGAGAGAGAGAAAGAACTTTGCATTTTCTACCCAACTTACAGATCTTAATGAGATATTATGATGGATGTATGAGAGAGAAAGAGAGCGAGAATAATATTTTTTAGCCAATTTGCATATCTTGATGAGATGGAATTGCTGAATCTTCATAATTGTTGTAGACCTTGTCATCACCATGGTAAGCCTCTTAGTCATTAGAGAGAACTATTTCCCTTGATAGTTGAGAGAGAGAAAGATGAGATGAAAAATGACTTCATTAATTTGAAAAGAAAACAAATATAATCTTATATATATAACCAAATAGTTGAGTCAGATCTATCTTAATAGATTCTTTTATTCCAAACCTGAACCAACTAATGGTAAGATTATAATGACCTTCAACATTCCCCCACAATATTATTTAATCCTAGCTTGGATATAAGTCATTAGAAAGGAGGCTTAGTCAGTTCTTTAGTAATTATGTTTGCAAGTTAATCACTACTTTAAACATATGGTTCCAGTTTACAATTTCTCACTAAAGTATTGATCTATTTCTATGTTTGTAATATATTATATTAGATTATGAGTCATGTTAATGATTGATTTATCGTAAAAAAACTTGATGGATTTGTAAGTTAATGACTGATTTATGTAATAACTTGATAGATTTGTGTCACTTGATTTTTAAATCTTCTAAGAAATCCTACACTCATAATACTTTACAAATTAAGTGTCATAGCTCAAAACCCAAACTCAATATTAGATGTCACCACCACTTGTCACTTCTTACTATGGCATCAAGAAATGTTGAATGTTAAGTAATGTTATTCCCATCAAAAAAAGTGCAGTAAGTTCAAATAGTGTCAATTGACAATAAAACTTGTATAGTCAACATCAATGTAAACTTCAATGTTCATTCTTCTATGTTTTTAAATAAAATGTCTCTCTCATATGTCCTCTTCAATTATTACATAACTCTCTTAGAAGTCAAAAGATGAACTTCTCTTAGATCATACATGAATTAACTAAGGGTGTCTATTGCATACAAGATGTCAGGTCTAATTGTGGGAAGTATAAATTAACTTTCTATAGCCTTTTATACATAGGTATATTCAACTACTCCCTTCTACATCACTAAGTTAATGGTTCGGATCAATAGGAGTACTCATAGGTTTACAACCTATTTTTTTTACATCTTGTGAAATATCTAAGATATATTTTTTATTGTGAAAAAAATATTTCTTTTTTTAATATGTTACTTTTATACTAAAAATATCTAAGATATCTAAGATAAAAATACCTTGATTTTCCTAGCATCTTAACATTGAATTCTTTGAATAAGCTCTTTTTTAGGAGTTTCTTTTCATTGTTATCATTCTCAGACACTATTTTATTGTCTACATATATTAAAAGGGTTATGATTCTATCTGAAGTTGAGCATTTAATAGATAATTTTTTTCTGTATCACGTTGTTTATATCTTAATTTATGCATTAGTTTAATGAACTTACCAAGCCATAGTTGAGGTGGCTGCTTAAATCCATATAACGTCTTTATTAGCTTATATTCCATAACTCTTTTCATACCTTTGTCATAACATTAGGGAATATATATAAACATCTTCATCTCCATGTAAAAAGTTATTCTTTACATTGATTTTTGCATGTCCTAATCATAATTTACTACTAAAGAAAGTATTATTATAATTGTACTCATTTTTGCAACCAAGTTAAATATATGTAAATAATTTATCTCATGGGTTTGAGTATACCCTTTAGCCACTAAGCTAATCTAATACCTCTCTATTGTACCATTCGACTATATTATTTCCTTATAATAATTTTATTAATTACCATGTCTAGTTGTTCTTTATTATTCTCAACTCTTCATTTATGACTCGTTTCTATTCATCCCAACTTAATGCCTTTAAAATATAAGATGGGATCAAGACATAACTAAGAGTGATAAGAGATGTCCTATATGAGGGTGATAGACATTTATAAGATAAAAAAATTGAGATAAGATATTGTGGATTTCAAAAATATTTTCTTTTCCCTCTCTTAAATCTGTCATTATTCTTCTCTAGTGTAGAAGGTTGGTTGGAAGAGTGTATGTGTTCAAGATATCTTGAGTAAATTCTAAGAATCGATTAGGTTGTTCGTTTTTTAGTGAATATTGTGTTTGAGGTTATATTGATGTCACCTTTGGTGATGTAGTTATTTCTATAGGTGTAATTGGTAATACAAAATTACCTTTTTCTTGTTTTTTATCTTTCTTGACTTTGTTGGTTTCCCCTTAATGAAAGTTTTGTCAAACTAAGATTCATGTTCCTTAAAACTGACATCAATTGTAATGAATTTTTTTTGTCAATAGTGTGTGATAAGATTTATACTCTTTTTTTTGTATTTAAGTATCTGATAAATTTCTCTCAAGGGCCCATAGATCAAGCTTGTCCTCATTTTGATCCTAGTTGTGAACAAATCATACACAACCAAATTTTCTAGGGACTAAGTTATTCTTCAGTTGAAAATTGAGATAAAATTGAGATAAAACTTTTAATGAGCTTTTAAACCATGATAGTCTAGTTGGTAACTTATTAATGCAATGTACTATTCTTTAGACCACCTCACCTCAAAAATTCTTTGGTACTTGATTTTGAAATAGAAGTACCATTGTGAATTCTTAGATATGGCTATTTTTCCTTTTAGATATGTCTATTGATGCATAAGGATTCATGCATACTTTTTATTTATTTATTTTCTTTTATTATGTGATTTAATTTTTTTAATATGTCATTAATTGATTTTTTATTAATGAAAAAATTGTTGGAGGACCTTACTTTTTATTTGTGATTCAATAAGAATATCCATATATTTCATGAACAATCAACAATAAAAATAACAAATCATCTTACTCTTAAGAGATTATAAGTAGTCGATGGTCCCCAAACATCGCTATCAATTAAATAACATTGAGTGGTACTCTTCTCACTAATTAATAGGAATAAGATTTACTTATAAATAAAACTTCACAAACATCACATTTTACTATTTCTATCTTCACTTTCAAAACCAAATGTAGAAACATAAACTTCATAAGTGCCTAAGATGTCAATAATACAATTAAAATTTCTATAACTCTCAAAATAAAAGTTTGAGTCCCAAGGCCATGCAATTTAGTGGCACAACTTACTCAATCTTCTAAGAAAGTGGAGTCTTTCGCAGTCTTCAACTCATCTAATCTTCTTGTCCATTATCTTATTATATACATTACAGATTATTATCAATGACCACTTTAAAATTGATGTCATTAATTAATCTTTTTACATTGATAATATTTGTAGAAAGTTTAAGGACATGTATGATATTTTTAAATATGTGAATGGGTTCAATCTTCATATCCCCAATACTTGTTATAATAATTAATGATCCATCAATAGTTGTTACAATTTTATTATCTAAACAAAAATTATATGTTAGTAAATGATTGGAGAATTTGATCATATAGTCAATAGCTTGAGGAGCTGAATGCCATAGGTAACTTCATATTTTCAGTCTTAGCTCTAAGACTTTACATCCCCCTTGAGTGTTGGGTTTTAAAGATGTGGATGTCTCTAATGGTTGTGAGGTAGTTAATGAATTTGTTCATTTGTTTGTGTGGTTATAACATTACTCACGAGTATACTTCACCCACTTACAACATGTGCATCATAGGTTGTCTTTGTAGCACTTTTCTTCATTCCTTGGCCATACATTTGGAGTGGTCTTATATCATTCTTATGCTTTGCCACAGAAGTTGAATTATCAATATTTTGTGGTTATATCATGACATTCTTCCTACTCTTTTTAGTTTTTATTATTGAAATCACCTCCTCAAGACCAAGCACTCTCTCTCTATCTAAAATTTGGACCTAGGGTTGATCATACTCAATATTAAGACCAACTAAAAATATATAGATTATGTTGTTCTCAATATATTTTTTGAAAAATATACCATCATCTAGATTAATCAGTTAATATCTATCAAAATCTTATCATAAAGATTCTACTTCATTGATATATCATTAAAAAAAAAACAAATTACTTGGCTAAAAGTGATCACGGTAGATTTGAGCTTCATCTTTTTTCTTCAAGAAAGCTTTGTTTTCTTCTAAATATCTTTAGTTGTTAAGAAAAATAGAATTTGCATTAACTTCAAGCGTCATTATAGTCCACTTCCATATTTTTATAACACATTCTCTTCCTCCAACACTTTGAAGCATCGATCTAGTTGATTATGTGCTAATTTAGAAAGATGACTCAATTTTTCCATTATAGTTAGAACTACCTCAATAAATTCACTCTATTGAAAAAGGTTTCTCTTATCTAGTTTGAATTCATTTCATATATGGGACAGCTCTAAATATAATTTAGTAAACTCTGATGATGATGAAGAAGTTGAAGCTACATCAACCCCCTTTGACATAAGATTGCCTTATCTTTAGACAATACATGTTGTGCTGTTGCCTTCTATGTAGAATGATGAAGCTAAATAGAAGAGCAACATGGTTTGAGAATGAACAAGGGGGGTATCTTTCACCCAAGATGACAATAGTCCCTCTCCCTGCTCTCAAATAGGGCATTAAGCAGCCAAGACAACCATAAAATAGCTAGTAGATGGTTGCGTAGAATAAATCCCACATTAAATATACTCTTAACGAGACAAATCACGATTGAGGGCACACTCTCATCATCAGAAGTTTTGGTACTGAGAGGAACATTGTAGGCTTTCTCTGATACTATGTTGGATCTTCATCATCATCAAAAACCTTATCGTCACCACTGTAAACCTTTATATTGTTAGAGAGAATCATTGTCCTCAAAGATTGATGAGAGAGAAGAATGTGATGAAAACTAACTCGGTTAACCGAAAAGAAAATAGATACAATCTTACTATACATGACTCCATAGTCAGGTCAGATCTATCTTAAGGAGTTCAACTAATACGAGAAAGAAGGGGTAAGCTTATGATTAATAGAAAGAAAAATATTACTACAACCTCCAACATATATGATAGACGTAGAGAGAGAAAGAGAAAGAGAGAGAGAGAGAGAGAAAAAAAAACTTGAGATCTTCTTGAGGTAGTATAATGGGTGTAGAGAGAGAGTTTTGATCCCTAATAATATCGTATAACGGGTGGAGAGAGAGAGAGAGAGAGAGAGAGAAGTTATAAGAAAGTAAAAAAATAGGTAAAAGGAGAAGACTGTGAGCTACGAATAAAGTCCCACACGAGAGAGGAGGAAGGCTCATAATCTTTACGGTCCGAATACGGGCCCGCCATCTTATGCCCTTACATACATCCTGGGGAAGCGTTGGTTTTCCTCTTAAGCCGAAACCTGGAATGCTGCAGCGGCGGCGGCGGCGGCGGTGGTGAAGCAGAGCAGGAGCAGTGGGAGGTAGCTAGGCAAAGATGCTGGACATCAATCTGTTCAGGGAGGAGAAGGGGGGTAACCCGGAGCTGGTCCGGGAGTCGCAGCGCCGCCGCTACGCCAGCGTCGATATAGTGGACGAGGTCATACGGCTCGACAAGGAGTGGCGCCAGCGTATGCCGTTTTCCTTCGTCCCATCTCCTCCCGATTCTGTGATCGCCTCGTCTCGTGCATCTCCGATCGTTTCTCTCTGCGTCGGTCGGCACGGGTTTCGTGTTTTTTCCTCGGTTTCTGCGGTCTCTGTCGCTGTTGTTCTCGATGCTGGCGCTGTTTATCTCAACCATCCACCTGTTTCATGCTGTATTTTATTTTTTTTTAAAGCGTCGGATGTTGGTTAGCTAGCGTGAAAACGGCCGGAAATGCACAGGATGGGCGTACGATGCTCTGAATTTATTGGAGCAGATCGGCTGGTTTATGATGACGAGCCGTTCCTTCGAACAAGAGTATCATAGGATGAATTGGCCATAAGGGAATAATTCTTATTCGAGGTTTCCTGTAGAAGTAGAAATCTCTGAGGTCTTCAAGGCGCAGTGTCCTGAGTGATACTCCTATATTCTTTCTCCTCTAGCAAACATATCTCCTCCTGAAAAAAATCTCACCTTCCAGTGGAACTCAGAGCTATCTTGTACTTGAGGCAACTACACAGAAAATCATGTGATGATATGCGGAATGTCGAGAGATGGCTTGACTATGGAGACAGTAAAGAAAAATAAACCAAAAGAGTACCTATTTTTTGGGGGTGAATAAAGGATCAGTGGCCATTTTTTAAAATCTTGGTTCATTTTTTTAGAAGTGAAGCATCAACTCTGATGATGGTTGCGACCAAGCTAAATGGGCCTTTCCCCTTCCTTTTCAGGTCAATTCGAGCTGGATGCACTGAGAAAAGACTTCAACCGAATTAACAAGGAGGTGGCACGCTTGAAGATCGTGAGTTCTCCTTTCTTCCATCTCTCGACTCTTTCTTTTTTCTGTTTTAATTAGATTTTTTGCCATCTCTGCTGGTTTTTTGTATTTATTTTTTCTCATGTATCTTTTTCTCATATATTTTTACTTGTGGTTTGAAGGCGGGAAATGATGCTACAGAAATGATTAAGAGCACTGATGAGAATAAGCAGCTGACAGCACAGAAAGAGGCTGAGGTCCAGGAGGCGAAGTCTGCCCTGGACAAGCGTCTGGAGACCATTGGAAACCTTGTCCACGATTCCGTGCCTGTCAGTGATGATGAGGTAGGGTCGGTATCTTGTGCCTGGTCTTACAGACCCAGTGATTCTAATAAGGCCTCAGATGATGCACTCGTGTTTTGTTTTCTGGTTGGGATTATCGTGGTTCGTGTGTTTGACTTGCCATTTATCAGGCAAATAATGCCGTAGTTCGTAGTTGGGGAGAAAGGAGACTGGAAGATAAGCTCAAGAATCATGTGGAGCTCGTGGAGCTTCTTGGTATCGCAGATATGGTGAAGGGTAAGCCTAATTGCAGATTCAATCGAGCCAATAACAATGTTCTTCAAGATATTCATTCTTCATTGTTTCTTTGTGTTTCTAGCTGAGCACCTGCACCCCTCAGTACCTCCAAGGAGGGTGATCCTCTTTCCTTGTTCCATATCTACGTGTATTTCCTTTTGTCCCGCATTCCAAGGGGCAGAATTCGTGGGCTCCAGACATTTGGCATCTTAGAGAACTTTTCTGGGAAGCAGGATGTAATCTCTGTTCTTTGGACTATGATATAACCTAATTTTCTTTCTTCTTTTGCCCATTTCTTTTGATGGGATTTTCTGCATTGCTGCACTCTGCGTGGTATTCGTTTCCCCCTTCCTCCTCTGGTGCGATCACTGTAGACTCTGCTGCTTGATCGCCATTCATGGTTCAAGAGCCTTATATGCTTTTTTCCCTGGGAGATTTTACAGTACTTTGAATCTGTATTTGATCACATTGTGGGCTAGTTATCTGGTCTGACTCAACGGTTTCTGCATTCTCGCTTTAATGGCTGATTCTCTTTGTTGGCTCCGGGGGCTAACATCACCCTGGTGCACGTAGGTACCAATGTGGCGGGAGGGAGGGGTTTCTACTTGAAAGGTGCCGGCCTCCTTCTCAATCAGGCTCTGATAAACTTTGGTCTTCAGTTCCTGCTGAAACGAAATTATGAGCCGGTGCAGACGCCATTCTTTATGAGGAAAGATATAATGGGAAAATGTGCTCAACTAACTCAATTCGATGAAGAACTCTACAAGGTGAGCTCTTCTCATCCTTCTCCCTAATTTGGTTTTCCAGAGCCACACTCCTCCTTTCTTCTTGTCATCTGGCGAAATATATATGAGCTTTTTTTCTGGATTACCGTGTTAAATATTCCTGTGGTATTCTTCTTAAACTGAGATTGTTAATAAAATACCTACACCTTGGTGATTTATTTAATTATTTCTGAATCTTGTCTGTGATGTATGGTCTCATATGATCTAAAGAGTCCCTATGACATCGAAGAAGGCAAGCTACAACCATTGACTAAAAATAGAAATAAGCACATGCCACTGACCCCATAAATACAGTCTATTTACAGGTGTCTACTAAACAACTACAACCTCGCTTTCTCTCTCTCTCGCCTTCCTTTATCATCTTCCTTCCATTAGAGCATTCTTCACCAAGACAAACTATGGGGAGAAGTCTACCCGTTTACACTGTTGTATCCATTATAATGCAGAATAGCACATGTTGCAGGAAAGCATTCTTCCATTATGCTGTGCTAAGTCCCTAACTAATTATTCCTGAATCTTGTCTGGGATGTATGGTCCCCTAGGATCTAAAAAATCCCTATGACATCCAAGAAAGCAACCTGCAACCATTGAGTATAAATAGAAATAAACGCATACTACTTGCTAACTCCATAAATGCAGCCTTTTTACTGGTCTACTCTACCACAACCTCTCTCTCTCTTTCTCTCTTTCTCTCTCTCTAGACTTCCTTTCTCAACTTCCTTTCATTGGAGCATTCTTCACCAACAGAAATTATGGGGAGAACTCTACCCGTTTTGCACTGTTGTATCCATTATGCAGGAAAGCACATGTTGCGAATGCTGTACTAAGTCCCTAGTTCCCCAAGAAATGGGCAGTAAGGAACTCATTCAGGGCCGGATTCTGCTTCCGATCGTCGATTTAGTTTTGTTTCTTCAATTTTCATAGATTTTTTAATAGAAGTTTATTATTTTCTTTCCATACTTTTGGCAATAGAGATTTGACTGGGCAGTCTTCTTCAGGTGACAGGTGAGGGGGAGGACAAATACCTCATTGCCACTGCTGAGCAGCCGCTCTGTGCATATCATCTGGGCGATCGGATTTACCCCACAGATGTTCCAATTAGGTCTGGTTTCTTGTCCTTGATCACAAAAAACTTATAGAACCCATATTTTTTCTATGAGAAAATCAACAATATGGGCCCCAACTAGATCAAGAATAATTCATATCATCTTGGTTTTTTTCTTAATAAAATCCACAATGTGAAACCTCAATAGATGTCAGAAAACTCATGTAGTCTACAATGATTTCAACGATATGAACCTTCCCAAATGGATGACGAAAAGTTGTCAGAACCTTGGTGTTTTTCGCTGGGAAATATACCATAAGAACTATAGATAGATGATGAAATATTGATATGATCTAAAGGTTGTTTCTATAAATGAAACCAACATCATGAGCCCTAAATAGACACAATTTCTGCCTGCAGATACGCCGGATACTCGACATGTTTCAGGAAGGAAGCGGGCTCGCATGGCCGGGACACGCTGGGCATCTTTAGGATCCACCAGTTCGAGAAGGTGGAGCAGTTCTGCATCACAACCCCCACCGGGAATGACTCATGGGAGATGCACGAAGAGATGATCAAGAACTCTGAGGACTTCTACAGAGAGGTGAATGGTTATGGAGCCTTCATTCCCCCTCTTCCCACTAGAGCTTCGTCCATTGAAATCTTCTCTTTTTCTGCTGCAGCTGAAGCTCCCTTACCAAATTGTCGCCATCGTCTCTGGAGCATTGAATGATGCTGCTGCGAAGAAGTATGATCTAGAAGCGTGGTTCCCTGCATCTAAGACATACAGAGAGCTCGTGTCCTGCTCTAATTGCACCGACTACCAAGCCAGAAGGCTGGAGATCCGCTTTGGGCAGAAGAAGGTAAGATCCCCCAATCTCCTTAAGCCCTAACCACTCCCGGTGATGAGCAATTCACCCAAGTGTCGAAAAATTCATAAAAACTCACAGCTTCTTTAAGATTTATATAATTGCCATAAATTTTCTGTTTATTATTATTGTTATTATTGTTTCTCACGAGAAATTCACAAAGAACTTTTTTTCTTTTTTTTGTACTAGTTCTATCATTTACTGATTTTTCTTGTGCAGAATGACGAGCAAGCCAAGCAGTATGTTCATATGCTGAACTCCACCCTGACGGCGACGGAGAGGACCATCTGCTGCATCCTGGAGAACTACCAGAGGGCCGACGGCGTGGAGGTCCCCGAAGCCCTTTGGCCTTTCATGGGCGGCACCACCTTCCTCCCCTTCAAGACCAAGCCCATTGCTGAAGCCAAGCCGAAGAAGACCAAGCCCAAGGTGGGTGGCGAAAGGCTCATCTCATCTCTCCACTCCTTGTTTCTTATCTGGGATGATTCTAATTTCTCTCTCTTCCTGTCAGGGGAACGCCGCTACTTGATGAGTGAGTATGAACTTTATGGGAAAAGGAATTAGTCATGTATGTGTGTAGAGAGAGAGAGAGAGAGAGAGAGAGAGAGAGAGAGAGAGAGAGAGTGGTATCCAGATAACTTTTTATTTTAATTTTCTTCCCGACTGAAATCGACATTTTTACCGGACCCAGAATCCAATTTCATGGAGCACACTTGTTGGGTTTTTGCTGAATTATCTGTTTTTATTGTTTATTTCTTCGCCCCTCGGTCTCTCTCTCTCTCTCTCATCCTCTGTCCAACCTTATATCTACTAATATATTAATAAGTTCATTGCGCGGATTTATAATTGTGTAATGGAGATAGTGAGGGGCTATGCGATTCCCTGACGCTGTTCTTGGCCCTTTGTATGCCAAAAACTAAGAGAGAGAGAGAGAGAGAGAGAGAGAGAGAGAGAGAGAGAGAGAGAGAGAGAGAGAGAGAGAGAGGATATACTGATGAAAATATTTAATTATCGATTTTTAAAAAAATCCAGGGATTAAGAATGATTATTTTGAAAACCTTTACGGAAAATGGGTTTCCTGAATTATAGATTTTAGGTGCCTCCATAAATTATTTTTCAAAAATATATTAACGGAAAATATTCCTACGAATGCGATATATTCCGGGCGAACAAACGAGTGTTTCATTCCAACAGGGAGGGTTTCCAGCGTTATGAGCGGAAAAAGGTCTTGCGCATCGTACACACGGACACGGAAGACGAGGAGTATCGGGGAGCTCTCCGGCGGTTATGTCTCTTGACCCTATGAGCAATGAAAGATCATGAGCATCATGACACATCGCACAAGAGACACATGCGGGCCCCACTTTGGTCGCCTAGCCTGACAAGCCATGGCGTCATGGATTCACATCGTCTTCATCCTCGTCGCACAGATTTATTTTTATTTTTTAAAAGTCAAAATACGTCATTCCTTCCCCGGTAGACAAATTTCTGTCTCTTCTCTCTCTACATTCTCCCCGTCTCTTCTCCCCTTGTCTAGGGTTTCCCAGTTCTACTCTCGAGCCCTAGCTCAATCGTGCAGAGAAGCTCGCTTCAGCATCTCGGGGAGGCGTAGCGTTGGTGGGTGTGCTGCGTCCAAGTGCTCGATCTCGGTCTCCGATGGTGATTGGCTTCGCCGTGGTTGATGCGCGAATTGGCGTTGTGTGAGGTGGTGTCGTATTTGGTTGAAAGGCGGGCGTGTGGATGGTCCTCTCTTGGGGGGCCTTAGTGCTGATGGCCCTAATCTTGGTGGCGGAGCAGCGCGCTGGGGCCCCATTGTGAGTGAGATGGGGACAGGACTGCGGAGACTTGGGCCAGAGGGAAGAGTGGAGGTACAAACGTGGTCGTGGGGTCCCTTGGATCGAGCTATCCATCCTCTCTGTTCTTGGCAGTTGCAGTTCCATCTAGTCTAACGGGCTGATCGGATCCGCTCTTGAGTGACCATCTTTTTCGATGCTGAACAGAAATCCTCCCGTCCCAAACAGGTACAAGCTGCTCACTCTTTTATTGGTTCGATCAATCATTAGTCAACCTATATTTCAAAACTATCCTTGGCAAGGGAGACTCCACATGGGTAGGTTTTATTCCACTGCTGGCGGACTGCTGGTGCATACGAATCATGCGTGCCCAACTCATATGTGTCTGTCCAATTTGTGTACCAAAGACTTTCAGTGCCCTTCTTCATGGTAGTGGGGGTTGGTGCCTTTTCGTTTTGAAGCAAATGGTCTTGAAGTAATTTCTCTCTCACGAGGGATTGTTTCTTATCTTGAAGACTCTTTCATTTATTTTGGAGGAGTTTGGCAGGCCTAATGCTGCTGAGAAATTCTCTAAAAGAACGGAAGATGAAAAAAGTCTCGTGTTAAGTGTAGGGTTTCGGGTACTGCTTGAACATGTGGCTCGAGAGGGGTGAACGAGGACTTTTATTCTGACTGGAACACTCATATCAGAGGTTTCTTTTTCTCTGCTGGGGGAATTTTTTAATGGTCTGTAGTTATGTGAGAGGTTGTGTGAGCGAAGGATTCAGTGGTTCACGGGTATTGAGGAACATGGCAGGCCTAATGCAGCTATGCATCTGGGTGCATAAAGTAGAAACTATACCCTTTTCACAAAGCAGAATTAATGTTTGGTGCTACGAAAATTTTACCCCTTAGCTTAACAGAACACGTTCAGGCGCTATTTGCATTTGATTTTAATTCTTTTTCATATCGATTTGATCACTGTGAATTGGGATGAATATTGACATAATATGGCTTGGTGCTGTTTTTAAGATTTACCAATTTTCTCTATCTTTCTGACTATACCATCAATATCTTTTTTATAATGCGCTTCAAATAATCTTTACGTATCCTCTTTTTATCATCACCACTAAAGGAATAAAGATGAAAGTGAAATGTACTTCTGTGTTGTTAAAATTTAACTTTGTTATTTGTTATAGATCGGTGCATCTTTTGACAATAAAAATGTGACTGAAATATCCCAAGATTATTGAATATATTCTTACTGGTATGCTAGTTTTGCAGGCGGCCGTTACAACTAGCGCCTTACAAGTTAAAGTGTGAAAAGGAGCCTCTTAGTGGCCGGTAAGTGCTTTGTTTCTGCTTTAGTTCTGTCGTTTATAAGCTTTTGATGGTTTAATGTCATACTTTAAACGACAGAAGTAGAATTCTACAATGTTCAGAGAACATAGTTGATTTTTCAGGATCCAAAAGAAAATTTTCTACTTCTTCTTGACGCAGATGATTATTCATCTGCTTGCTTTCAGTGAATTTTTTGGGGGTTCAGAAAGATCCAAAGAAGTCATTTTGTGAATTAATCTGACACTTTTTAAAGTCTTGTTTGTCTTCTCAAAGAATGGCTTTTTTAAATCTTAATTTTATTACATGGTTACTCTATGTGGCGGTAGTATGCAACTTATTGTTTTTTTCTGAATCTGTTTAGAATTGGTCCACCTGACTTTCATCCTCAAACTCCAAACTGCCCTGAAGAGACATTAACCCGGGAATACCTTCAAACGGGATACAAGGATACGGTTGAAGGAATTGAGGTTTGTCTTGCAACAATTGCTCCCGTTTCTCTGTTTTTTTCGGTGCGAATTTCTACAATCGCTGTAGAGTTTGCCAAATGTTGCTGTGTCATTGATTCTGGTATCTCGTCTTCCCAGGTGTGTATACTCGAACAATTGTTATTCTGAGACTGTGACAAGCGAAACTCTAGTGTTACTCATTATCCTCTTGCAATTTTTAATAGTGATGATTCTATTATTCCTTCCATTGCTTGACTGTCATGCTATTCTCCCGTATGCAATTTTTAACGATTTGGAAAACCGTTTCTCCTTCACTATTTGCAAATTCCAGGGCTTCTAAAGAAAATCAGACCATTCTTGTAGTTTATCAAGCAAATTATAAGCGATTATAAATGAATATGGTTGATTATCTTGAAAGCTTTAGAAACTATGGTCGGATGAATGCACTTGCAATATGCTCCTGCACTAATAAATCATTGAGCTAATGTGTTTTTGAATCGTTACTTGACGGTTGATGAAAGAAATGAATGAATCTCGCACTCTTAAGGGTGTTGAGAACTTTGTCACAACTCATGAATGGCTCTGCGATTTGTGTCATTACATTATAAATGTGAGGATGGCTAAAGGGAGAAGGCTGATCTTGATTCAAGGTTAACTGTTTACTGGACTGTTCAGTTTGACCTTTTCTTTTAGCATCGCCTTTCTGCTTTGCGATGATGCAACTGTGTTACCATCTCAATAGTTTGAGTCGTCATTCCGACATAAGAAAAAACATAAAAGACAATAAAGGGAATGAAGAGACGGACTCAAAAGAGCTGGCGTTTAAAGAGCTGGGCTTCAAGGCCAATGCTGCTTGCAGACGCTATGTTTTCTGTTTGATGCTGATGGTCTCTAAAGTGTGCAGTTCTCACCAGTTCTCACTGAGTATCCATGGGCTTAACTGAGGGTTTTGGTTGCCTGGACTTGATCATCTACTTTCTGCTTCAAGTTTCACTATGTGGGTAGAGTAGGCTCCTAGTGCGTCAGGGTTCTACTTCTCCTTCCTGTTCATCAGATTGTAGGCTTGTCTCAATAAAATGCTATAGGTGCTGTAGTCGAGGGACACCCACAAAATGTGGATTCTAAACGCATCTGCTCCAAGGTTTAGGGGAGGTGCAAGGTATAATTTTTGCATTGAACTTCCTTAGTGCTTAGTAATGGGATGTAAGAGCTTCAGACATCAAAGGTTTATTTTGTTGAATAGATAGTTTGAATGGCTCAAGTTTGTGATGCGTACTGGATGTAGGTGTTTTTATTATAATCTCGCTTTCCTTCTTGATTAACAGTGTCGTGAATGTGTTATGGATGTTTCAGGAAGCTAGAGAAATTACATTAAGCCAAGTCGGAAACATCTCAAAATCTGTTGTCCAAAAATGCAAAGAGGTAAATTGCAGAACTAATTATTGTCATCTCTGTTGGATTCATCCTTCCAGATTCTTCTCCACAGTTATTCGGCTAGTGCAGTGCGTTTTTTTTCAATAAATAACACTTCTGCTTCATACTGTAAACTCATGCATTTTAGGCTGACCTTCCGACGGTGTATGGAAATCTTTCTCTTATCTCTCCAAAGTTTTCTTTTTGATGTCTATGAATTTCCAACGATATTTTTGTAATGAGCGTATTATTATCAATTTAGATCAATGTGCATATGCTTCGCTGCATGTGTTATCTACATTGTAATCTTCATGAATGATCTTTTGCTTTTGCATATCAATAGCGTTAGCATATTTTTCTTACAAAAGCACTACTGTACTCTGGGTTACTGTTGCCCTTATATTCTTGACATTTCTTTTTCAATTGGGATTACCTTTGATTGCACAACAGTAATCTTGGCTAATTATCTCCGCACTTGTTCTGCAAAATCCTCCACTGTCAATCATCTGCTTATCAATATAATAGCCGTATAGGATTGACAATGTGACAGTCGGATAAATGATTGAATGCTGAATTGGTTTGATATAATATTCCTTTTTCATCCTCCGAAGTGGGCAGCGTATTATAAGTGATTTCATTAAGAAAGTTACAACTCTTCGTGGGCAACTGTTCAGAACAAGAAAATCCTTCTACTACATTATGTGATGTGATCAGTCCGCCCTTGATTGAACTAAAATCACACGAAATATGGTCAGACCAATTTTAAGAGGTTGAACTTTTCTTTTTACCACAGATTTGAAAGTTAAGTTCTTTTGAAGTCAATTTCTGATTAGTTAGAAAGAGATCTAGTTAAATTTTTTATCTTAAAATAAATTGCCTTTCAAGAATATCTTTAGTTTTTGTATTTATGCATGTTGTACATTGTTAGATTTAAAGCATAACCCATGTTTTCTTCATTACTATCTGCTGTTACTCCCTCAGGCACTAAAGAAACGGCTCAAAGCTATCAATGAATCCCGCGCACAAAAACGAAAGGTGATAAGGACTGTTGTATTCTAATTTCTCTGGATTTTAAATTAGTGAAAGCGTGTACTGTGCTTCCTTTTCACGTACTGGTTATTTTTACTGCAATGTTTGACGAAGACTGACTTCATCCTGAATCTTTAATTTCAAATTCTAAAAAGGCTGGTCAAGTATATGGAGTACCACTCTCTGGACAACTATTAACGAAACCTGGAATTTATCCTGAGCAGAGGCCATATGGTGAAGAGTCCCGCAAGAAATGGATTGAGGTTTGTGTTTTGGATTTCTGATGAAGTTAAATTTTAATTTGAACCATATCATTGTTCACAATTCTCGCTGGATCAACTGAATGATAGCTGGTTACCATGTTGGCATTGCTAAGAGATGACATGGTTGAGTTCAATCATTATGTTGACATTTGATTTTCTGATCAGGGTTTATCACAACCTCATAAGAGATTACGTTCTTTAGCTGACCACGTTCCTCATGGATTTAAAAGGAATGCTCTCCTTGATGTTCTCATTCGTCATAACGTTCCACTTTTGAGAGCAACCTGGTTTGTTAAGGTTAATATTCTTAATCAGGTGTGTAACTCGACGAATTTATGCACATCTCTGTTGTTGATTACATATCTCGGTTGTTGATCCAGTCATAACGACAACTTTCTTTCCCTGGTTTCCCTCACAGAACAAGTCAGATAAAACACATTCAAATCGTACTGAACAGTGGACTAAGATCGTCATTGAAAATCTAAAGTGCCTCCTTGATGATTTCTTATCAAAAGATGGTGCCTTTTCTGCTGCACAAAGCAGAGAGCAGTCATCACAAACTCTTTTGTCTGGATTACCTCAAAATAGGAGTGAGGCAATTTCACTGTTGTCTGATGGGGAGGAATCTTTGGCACAATATAATTGGTGGTACATGGTCCGCATGTTACAGTGGCACTTCGCAGAAGGCCTGCTATATGCTGCCCCCATCATTGAATGGGTTTTCACTCAACTTCAGGTAATTGGCCATTCATTGGAACAGAAATAACTATACAGAAGCTTCATTTGATTTTTTTGTTTTTCTTGCTCTTTCATAAGAATGAATGTGGGAGAAAAAAATCATTTTTTTCTTTGTATCTGGGTTCAGGAGAAAGATTCGCTTCAAGCTTTGGAGCTTCTTCTGCCCGTTGTTGTCAATGTAATAGAGAAAGTTGCACTATCTCAACATTATGTTGGTTCATTTTTTGACATTGCTGTGCGTGCCATAAAGGCTCTGAATTCAGGAGGGACAGATCTTCCAAGTAATGCCAGGAAAACTCACCTTTCCTCTGCTCTGTGTGAGATGTTGCGATATTTGATGCTTTCTGTGCCTGATACTTTTGTTGCCATAGACGCCTTTCCTTTGCCGACTTGCATAGTTCCAGATATCTTCAATAGTAGAAATTCTTTTCTTAAGATTCCTGAAGGTTCAGATAGAGTGCATTATGATTCACGTGATGCTTATCACCGGTACCTGTCTTTTGGGCATGTTGTTTCCTCTCTTCGTCAGCGTGTTGCTAATCTTTCAAAAGTAGCAATCCCAAACCTTGAAGGCCATGGTGTAGCCAAAGTGATTGAGGCATTGGATAAGTCTCTGCTGCTGGGAGATGTGAAAGGTGCTCATAGTTGTCTCTTTGAAGAATTATCTGATGTTATTATCGAGGAAAGGTGGATTGGAGAAGTCAGCTCCTGCCTATGGTCTTCTTTGAAGTGGATTGGGACAGTGAGCATGCCTACGATTTGCGCTGTGTTTTTCATCTGCGAGTGGGCAACATGTGATTATAGAGACTTTCGTACTGCATTACCTCGTGACGTGAAATTTACTGGCAGGAAAGATCTTTCCCAAGTGTATTTTGCGGTTTCACTTTTGAAACTTAGAATGCAAGATATGTATAAGCAATCCCTGCAAAAGCGAAGTGGCTTGATGACTAGTAATGGAACAAAGGCCGATCTATCAGATGTCATACAAAGTCCAGGCCCACTTCATGATATCATTGTGTGTTGGCTTGATCAGCATGAAGTTGGGAAAGGTGAAGGATTTAAGAGTCTTCAAATTTTCATTGTGGAACTTATTAATTGTGGTATATTTTATCCTCATGCTTATGTTCGTCAACTCATAGTAAGTGGAATTATGGATGGGGATGAAAGTACATTCAAACAGAACAGGCAGAGAAACCATTACCGGATTTTGAAGCAACTACCTGGCTCTTACTTGCTTGATGTCCTGAAAGAAGCCAAAGTTGATGTATCAGTGCTTCATGAGGCCGTGTACATTTACACCAACGAACGCCGCCTATTACTTCAGGGGTTTTCTCATAGTAATTCTTATCCGTTGAAATCTGGAAATGACTGTGCCTCTAGTTTTTCCTCAGAAAAGATAAAAAACCATTTACCAGGAACCAAAGATGATGACTCGCCTTCTGTACTGGAATTCTGCAAAAATGATACTATTGCATCCACTAGTCTCTATACTAAGCTCACGAAAGCAAAGGATCCAGTTGCAGAGCTGAAGAATGCAGTCATGGCACTACTGCGTATTCCTAGTTCTTCATCAAATGATACACAAAATGATGAACTTCGTTGGAAGCGGAGCATAGCGTCACTCAGCAACAAAGTGGATGGTGTTGATGGGACGCCCAGCTCTGAGGAATGCAGACGGGCAAAGATGCAAAAGTTGAGCGATGAAAAAGGCTCCCCATTACCAGGATTTTCATCACATTCGTGTGATGATGAAGACTGTTGGTGGGTGAGGAAAGGATCCAAGTCTATAGAAACTTCAAAGGTTGAGGCAACTCATAAGTCTACAAAGCATGCATCCAGGGGTAGGCGCAAAACTCAGAGCCTTGCACAACTTGCAGCTGCAAGGATTGAGGGGAGCCAGGGTGCATCCACCAGTCATGTGTGTGAGAGTAAAGTATCTTGCACTAGCCATAAATCTGTTTCAGATGGTGATATGTCTAGGCCAAGTGAAGGAATGAGAACATCTCATTTGAGAGACATTGGAAAAGCTTTGAAACAACTTCGGCTGCTGGAGAAGAAATCAGTGATTATTTGGTTATTAACATTGATCAAACTACTTATTGAAGGCAATGAAAAGTCTTCTGTTAAACCAAATAATGGTAGTGGCCCTTTCTCTCCTCCAATTGACGAGAGAACTGCTGTACGGTGGAAACTGGGCGAAGATGAATTTTCTTCTGTATTATATTTGTTTGACATATCTTATGATTGGCTTTCATCAGTGAAATTTCTTCTGTGGTTGCTACCAAGGGTCCTTGGCGTGTCATTTTCTTCTATTCATGCCGGAAGAAACATGATTATTCCACCAAAGAATAAGGATAATCAAGTCATTGACATTGGGGAAGTTTTCTTCTTGTCAGCTCTTCAGAGGTAGATGTGATTTTATTGTAAAGTTTTTTGAATACATCGTGTTTATCCACATTTTCTGAGGACTATCCCTGCAAGGTTGCCCAGTGCATTCTTGTAAATTTTGGGCAATGTTGCACCTTAATATTGGTGCCGAGTTACTGTATTCATCCTCCATATTTCTTTGAATTTATAATAGGCTAGTTCTATTTTATTGTGTCAGTTACATTGTGCTTGTAATAGTTTGTGTTACTAGATTTTACTCCACAAGGATCACAGTTAGTGGCAATTGCTTGTGGTGACAATTTTCTTGAAAGAAGGATATTTATAAGTTCTTGGGTCCTGTTGATGGTGATGAAATTCAGCTTTTAGGGCTACAATGAAAACAATCCTCTGTCAGCTGATGCTTATTCTTTCAAATTTTGGAGAATAAAAAGAATGTTTGACAACATTCAGTCTTTATCTTTTTCCATGTAGAGTTCGTCTTAATTTAATGTTGCATCAGATGGCTATCGAGTTTCCACTATATAGCAGTCTTGATGGTATAAAAAAGATTTGCATGTTTCTGTGAGAGGATGTTCAACCGCCTTTATATGTTGGACCATGTAGGGTTTAGAAGCCAGAAAGGCTATTTTTTTGGACATTGTGGTCGCCTTTGGTGTTTTATAAGGAGAACAAACTACAGTTTCATTAGATTTCAACAGAGGATGTTCTCTCTGTTCTTGAAGTGCGATTGGCCTGAAAGTTTTTCATAGGATGTTGACGTGTCAGTGGCTACAAATGTATCTCTTAATTTGTGAGGACGAAAAATCCATAGAACGAACATCAGTAAATTTAACTTTCTGATCATTATTTGAGACTGAATCTTATGTTTTTTCCTTTTTGTTTTCCAGGACTGGAGTTAAATAAATTCCTAGTTTTATTTTTACCTGTATACATGAAATTTTGTTTGTGTTACACCATTTTTCTCTGCACCAACCCGTCATACATACATGTTCATGGACAATGTTATTGCATTTTTCAAATTATGTCCAAACTAGGATTCAATAATTTCAAAAATAGTGGAAAGCCTTAAACATGTTCAATAAATTAATCTTCTGCAAAATATAAAATATTTAATGTGATGATTATTCTAGGTACAATAATTCTATTAAGTCCACATAAATCTTGGGAAGGGGGTTTAGTATACCTCTGCCTTTTATTTTGGTACGAATGTGTAGATTGCCACCAGAATTACCTCTTCTCAGAAACATTGGGGTTCGCGGGAGTATTTTTTTCGTTTGGACGAGCAAATTTGTACTGATGTCACAAAGTGAGTCTAAGATTGTATTTCATTCACTTCGCAGTATCATACTCTTCCTCTGATAACTTTGAATTTGGTGTATTCGGAAGAATCTGTGTTTCGTTTTATGGCCGTTTTGTGAATCTGCGTTTTCAGTCAACAGAAGTGATCATGTATTTTGTGTGCCTTATTTCAGTGCCCTTTTAATTTTCAGGTTCTTAGTCACGTGATGAATATGTTGGAGTTGCCTGTGTTTTTTGACTGCTAACAGTTTGCAGTGGCTTTGTGTTTCTATTCTTTGAATCTAAGAGTTAATCTTTTTTGCAGGTATGAAAATGTTCTTGTTGCTGCTGAACTTCTACCTGAAGCACTTACTGCTGCCATGCAGCGAGCAGCATCGGTTATCACTTCTAATGGAAGGTCTTCTTGTCCAACTGTTTTCACTTATGTTAGAAAGCTGCTGAAAAGATATGGTGAGGTTCCTAGTGTGGCAGTGTGGGAGAAGAATTTTAGAACCACTTGTGATCCAAGAGTACTTGCTGAACTTGAAGCTGGACGATCCTCAGATGTTGATATAGGATATTCACTTGGACTTCCATCTGGTTTGGAAGATCTTGATGAGTATGTCCGCCAAAAGATGTCTGGAAATGGGAGAATCTCGAGGACTGGCCTGGGTATGAAAGAGATACTGCAGAGACATATAGATGAGGCTTTGCTCTTTTCCTATGGAAGAGAAAGCAAGAATTTTGCAGCTAATAACTCAAAAAGTGCAAACTTAGAAAAATGGGATGATGATAGTTATGTAGCACAGCAGATTGTGTCGGGATTACTGGACTGTATCAGGCAGAATGGTGGTGCAGCTCCTGAAGGCGATCCCTTCTTGGTTTCTTCTGCTGTTTCAGCAATTGTGAGTAATGTGGGACCTGCTATTGTGAATTGTAACTACCAAAATTTATCTTTACCGGAAGGTGCATTGAGTTGTGTTCAGCGGATTGTACGCATTCATATATCCTGCCTCTGCTTACTGAAGGAAGCTCTTGGTGATCGAGTTGGCCGTATTTTTGACGTTACTATTGCTGCAGAGTCATCTTCCATTGTTTCTGGGGCACTTTCTGCTGGGAAGTTTCCTCGTAGTCAATTCCAACCGTCACCTGAGACCCATGATGTAAGTCCAAATAATTCAAGTGACGTTTTGAACGCGAAAGTGTTTGGTGGAAGGGCAGTAAAGGCTGCTGCGGCTGTGTCTGCACTTGTTATTGGGGCTCTCATTCATGGGGTTTCTAGTCTTGAAAGGATGATCACTGTTTTCAGGTTAAAGGAGGGCTTGGATGTGCAGCAGTTCATCAAAAGTTCAAGGTCCAGTTCTAATGGGATGTCACGTTCTAATAAGGCTTTTAGGTTGGACCACAGCGTGGAAACTTATGTTCATTGGTTCCGAGTTCTTGTTGGGAACTCCTGGACGCTTTTTGATGGATTAGTTGGAGAGATAATCGGTGAATCATATATCTTATGTTTTTCAAGGATGCAGCGAATGGTTCCTCTTACCTTGACATTCCCTCCTGCTTATTCGATATTTGCACTGGTTGTTTGGAGGCCATATATACTTGGCAATAACGTCGCAACTCGTGAAGAAATTCAATTATTTCAGTGCTTGACATTGGCCATTGATGATGCTATAAGGCATCACCCTTTCCGAGATTTATGTTTCAGAGATACTCGTGTACTTTATGATCTGCTGGCATCTGATTCTGGTGATTCTGAGTTTGCAGCTATGTTTGACTTTCACGGGCAGGATAAACATTTTAAAACAAGGGCATTTGTGCCTCTGAGGGCCAGGCTGTTTCTGAATGCCATGATCGACTGCAGATTGCCCCCATTTACAGTAATGCGGGATGATGGAACATGGGTCTCCGGTCATGCGGATCAAAGGTCTTTCGACTCTGAGACAAAGCTTCTGGATGAGCTTGTGCATGTTTTGGACACTTTACAACCGGCAAAGTTTCACTGGCAGTGGGTTATGGTAAGACTCCTCTTGAATGAACAAGCACTTATCGAAAAGATTGAGACCCTTGGGATGCCCCTGGCAGAGGCCATCCGTTCTCTTTATCCGAATACTGAGAATTCTACACCATCTGAGAATGAAAGCAGTTTTACAGAAATTGTGCTGACGAGACTACTTGTGAGACCTGATGCTGCTTCTCTCTATTCGGATGTTTTACGTATGCTCGGAAGGTCATTGGAGGACAAACTACTGTTGCTGGTCAAATGGTTTCTTGGGGGCAATGATATACTTCTTGGACGTAAGTCTATCAGGCAGCGGCTTGTGAATTTCGCCCTACCCAAAGGAGTATCAACCAAAGTGCAATTCTGTAAACCGTGGGGTTGGTCAAATCCTGTCATTGATACATCACCAAACAAAGCTGACAAGAGGAAGGTGGAAATGTCTACTCTCGAAGAAGGAGAAGTTGTAGATGAAGTCATGGACATCAGGAGACAGGGTAGGTTAAACTCCTGTCAAACTTCTGATGCTGGCTCGCTGAATTCAAGCCAGCAGTTCATAACCGAGAAAGCCCTTGCAGAATTAGTACTTCCGTGTATAGACAGGAGTTCCAGTGATGCACGAGATACATTTGCCTCGGAGTTGATCAAGCAAATGTGTCTTCTAGATCAACATATTAATTCCCTTGTATATTCTGTCAAGCAAGGAAGTTCAATACAATCTGGAGTCGAGAATTCTAGCGGTAAAAGCAGCAATCGAAAAGGTATACAAGGTGGGAGTCCTGGCATGGGAAGGCGACCCAGTGGAAATATGGATTCTGCCCCACCTTCTTCGTCAGCACTAAGAGCATCTATGTGGTTGAGGTTGCAGTTTATTTTGAGATCAGTTCCCATCATTTATACTGATAGGTAATTCAGACGTCTCTGTAGTCTGTGGTTGGGAATTCGTCTTATCATTTATTTTTTGTGTCTTCCTCTATGATTCCTTGGTTTAATGCCCTCCGGCATTCTATGAATTTTAGGTCTTATTTCCTTAGTTTGCTTCAGAAGCTTAACATTTTGTTTGCTTATCTTAGGATGCTGTCTAGGTTCCTATAAAAGGGTGCGTGAAATGTCCATGTGATTAGTTTTTGTTAGGATATTTACCTGTGTTCCCATAAAGGGATTTAAAATGTCAATGATCTATTGCGACTGTGCTGTATCATTTCTACGACGAAACTTAATGTCCAACTTTGTTTGACATTTATTTGACTGTGTTCCAGAAAGCTTTGATGATGTCAAGTACAGCTTTTAATAATTTGGAAGTGTAATTTATCTCATGCTTCAGAAAATAATTCGGAATAACTATATAATTCAAAACACTTCATATTTGGGTAGAGTTGTATGCCTCGATTTAACTTATATATTGCCTTGTTTTCCAGTTTTCTGTGCTGGAAAATATTTCAGCGTTTGATATGGAATAACATACCTCTAAATAATAAGGTATTTATCGTTGGTTGCGAGGTGTTGAGATTTTCTAGGATCTGACAAACTTAATTACACCTTGTTTGAGTGGTTTCCATCCTGCTCTTGAAAGGTCAAAGCTGAGCACGGCTGACTGTTTCCTCTACCTTTAAATTTTACCCTATTCAAATGCTTTTTGATGCAAATGTGCAGGACAAACAAGCTTGGACAACGGAGATGATTTCGTGTAATTAAAGGATATATAAGCTGCAAAAAACAAAGCAGTAATACTAGAAAGAACAGTTTCAGTGTTTCCTATACGTTCCAAACCCAGTGGTGGGTACTAAACGCAAGAGTTGCGGTTGTTGTGGGGCTTATCCTAGTTTTTTCAATGTGATTCTCTCTCTCAACATGTGGGATAGTAATTGCATATTTGTTAAACGTGTACGAATTTGATCCTAGACTTTAAAAGCCTGTTAGACAGTTGGGTAAGAGCATAGTCATGGAAAAATAAATTCTCACATGAAACTTTCTGTCAGAAATATCTGACCTTGGAAGCTTCAATGAATGAGTGAGTAATGAAGATGATTTAAGCTGGTCATCATCAGGTCTGATATTGAGACAAACAATTTAGCGTGTAGTGCCATAGGCTCATTTGTTCTTCTTACTCTTTGTTTTGTTTTCATCTGTTTATGCCGTCTCACACATTTATCTGACAAACTTATATATATATATATGAAAGTTTTCCCGTGTGAGATTTATTTATTTGCTGCTGTTAAATTATCTGTTGTTGAATTGCAATTGTAGATATATTATTATTATTTTTCCTGTCGTCCTCTGATAGAACCTTGTTTCAGTGAAAGAGGGTTTTGACTGATCGATCTGATGTCAACTTATCTCTGTCCATGAAATGCCGTTTGTTCTACAGGGATCCAACTGTTCGGACTATGAGACACACACTTGCCTCTGTCCTTCTTCATATGCTCGGAACAAGGGTCGTCTACGAGGACGCAGACATAGCCTTTTCCCCTGCCACCAGAATGGCCAAAAGACAAGCAGAGTTGACAACGGAACCAATTCTGGTCACCTCAGTGGATTGTTCTGGGGATAGCCTGTTTGATATGTTTTTATATGTTTTCCACGGGCTGCTAAGTGGTTGCAAACCCAGTTGGCTGAAGCTGAATTCTTCGTCAAAGTCGCTTACTAAGCCGGCCAGAGATTTTTCTGTGGTTGACCGTGATTTTGCTGAGAAGTTACAGGTTAGTCCACTAGTGATTTAACACCATCATTCCTGTGGGCTTTGCGGGAAATACATGAAGAGACCTGGAATGCCCCCCGTCATGCTCTCTCTCTCTCTCTTTCTTCATCTCTCTCCCCATCTCTCTCTCTCTCTCCTTTCTCATGATGTGGCGTTTACTTTCTAGGAAAGCATCCCATTCATCCCAGAAACGAAAGAACATTAATCCTCCGGGGAACTGATGAGACATTCTCATCAGGCCCTCTCACCTGTTTTTTCCCACCTGTCGCCGCCCATTCCTCTGTGAAGCACATCCCTTTCTGGGTCCGGCTTTCAGCCGTATCATATTTATATTGTGATATCGAACTTACCGACATTTTTTTTATTTTTTATGATCACCATCTTTGCAGGCTGAATTGGATCACATGCACTTGCCTCTGAACATCAGGAAGAGAATCCAAGCGGCGATGCCGGTCCTTCCCTCTTCTCCCCCTCTCTCGGTCTCCTGCCACCCTCCAACCTTGTCTTCGACACTCCTGGCCGCATTCCAGGCCAGCACATCAGCAACGCCGCCCGGGTCTCAATCCACAAATCCCTCCACTGTCAGCCAGAGAGCTCCCTCTTCCTCCTCCGGCCGCCTCCCCATTTCTGCAACTTCCAGGAATAAGCCACTGCCCGCCCAAGAACCCGACTCGGAGATTGACCCCTGGACCTTGCTGGAAGATGGAACTGGGTCTTCCTCAACCTCCGCTAATGGCGCCGACACAAGCGGCACAGGCGGCGACCCTTCGAATCTCAAGGCCTGCAGCTGGCTCAAGGGCGCCGTCAGAGTTAGGAGAACAGATCTGACCTACATCGGCATCAGGGACGACGACAACTGACCGATCAAAGGGCGCACCCATTTTTCCTCATCTTGTGTGATTATTTTTGGCACGATGGGCAGGGAGGGAGAGGGGGCGGCGGAACCAGATCTCGATCTGTGAGGAAGCAAAATCCTTCCTCCAGTGTTGCAGCGCTCCCTCCCTTCCCCTGCTGCAGTGCTTCCCCTCTCACCCACCCGCCCATGCCGCCACTAGGGAGGTCGGCCGCTGTACATAGAAAAACCTGGAACGAATGGTTGGAAAATCCATTTCTTGATATGGGTCATCATGATCTCTCGCCAAACTTATTGTCTTCAGCATCAAATTGCTCCGATAAGTCAGTCCTTCTCTCATCATCGTATCGCTGTTCTTTGGAAAAAAACATTTTATCTTTGGAATCAGCCTGCAGCAGGGCCAATCTATGCTTGTTACTGATGCATGGCTCAGGGCTTCTTTTCTTCTTCTTTTTCTTCTTCTTCTCTCGCTTTCGTCAAAAATTTAGGAAGCGTGGATACTCCAAGGTAGAAAGAAGTTTTTTAAAAAATAAATAAAACGAATGCTGATTCTGATGATTTGGAGCGTCTGATTGGATCCTTCAGATTCATTGGAATAGCTCTTTTTTCCGGTTAATAAATATATTTTTATTCTTAATGAATAAAATAAATGATTCAGTTCCTTGATGGATCAATGACAGAGGCCAATAGATATTCTTAGGTAGAAAGAGGATTTTTTTAAAAAAAATAAAATTAATGCTGATTCTGATGTTTTGGTGGAACATTTGATTTGATCCTTCAGCTTCATTGAAATTTTTGGCAGTGGAATAGCTATATTTTTTTTGGTTAATATTTTTTATTTTATTTTTAATGAATAAAATAAATAATTAAGTTCCCTGATTTAGTATTTAAGTATCACATAAAGATAAAAAAAAATCCGTATTCCAAATTAAAGCGGCAGGTTGCCTTCCGTGCTTCGATCATTGCGATCGGTCCCTGGTGGCCGTCGGATGGGTGTGCCCGGCGCTCGATCAGTGGGCTCAGACGGTGAGCCATTGCTCGCCGTGTTGGGATAAATAGTCTCCCTCCCTCTTCGAAATTTCGATTAAGAGGGGAGGGAGGGAAAGAAGTGAGCTTTCTAGAGAGAGAGGACATGGCGGGGAGAGAGAGAGAGAGGAAGAGAAGGGGGGAGTAGAGACCTTGATCGATCTCTTTGAGTCTGCGCGCCCTTCCTCCCTGTTCCTCTCCTCGGGAGGCTGCCGGCGTGGTTTCCCGATGGAGGGAGGGGAACTGGATTTCGTGTCGCAGCTTCTGCGAGACCTGAGGGTGGACAGACCCTGGGTGCCTCCGAAGACGTGGGAGTCCATACCTTCAGAGAGCGGAAGGGCGGCGGACGCCAGCCCTGCTTACCCTCCGGCTTCTGCCGGTCCGGAATTCATGAAACCGAGCTGTGATCCCTTTGTTGTGTCGGTCAGTGTTTTTGCCTTGGCATTTCCTTCTCAAAGTAGCTTTACGTCTTCGTGTTCCTCTCGACACACCGATTTCTGGTGCATTTTGGGGAAGAGTAGTCGACGTGCTTGAAACTTCCGTTGCGGTAGAAATTGTCAACACTTCTCCATCCTAAGCACTTATTCTTCCCCATATATGTTCTGTTAACGTATTGTGTCAGGTTACCATATGACAGCCAAATTTAGTTACCTTCTTGGGCTCCTGGACCTATAATTATGCTTACCCGAACTAAATATGGTAAGGATGAAACTCCAAACTACAGAGCATGGTTAATATCTTTGGGAAAGAGCTTACATTTTTTTTTCAGATGATCGGATTGCCGAAGTTTTGCTCTTCAGAATGCATGGATTTCTCTGGATCCGTTTTTGGTGATCATTTGAGAGCATGGATGAACAGATTTCGTGGAATTATTTAAGGAGAGTATACGGTACCTTATCCTCTACTCAGGACGTAAGATGTCACATTTTTTCGAAAAAAATGAGCTTGAAATTTCCCTTTTAAATTGAAGCAGGCATAGCCATCATCTTAGTATATAATTTTTTTATTTTGAATTATGGAGGATAAAAACTCACGCCTTCATACTTTTTTCTTTGGTGTTGGATCGAAGTTTTTGAAGACGCGTTTTAGATGTGTAATTTATTTTCCTTAATTTTATAATTATGATTTTTCATATAATTTCATTTTATCCGTTTTATTTCCCAGGAGACAGTGCTTGTGAGGCTAGTTTTAAATGCACTGCAAGGAGTAAAGTCAGCTCTTGTTGACATAGATAAAGCTTCATCAGTATTTGCTTCGAGTCCAGCCGACAGGACTTTTCATCAGATCCCCAACCTGTGGCATCGGTCATCAAGCATGCTTAGCCTGGGAAGACTACTGAAATCCATTGGTTATTCAGGTCTTGTCTTCTTTCTCCTCCGTAAGTTTGTGAATCATTTTCTTGGTACGGAACAGAGTCTAAATATACCACATCAGGATAAGAATATTGCAAATAGGAATCAATATGGCAATGGATCCGAAGAAAATTATTTGAAATCACATATCCAGGATATTTCAAAAGAAGAATTTGCTGGAAAACCTCCTTATACTATTGTTAACCAGGCATTTGCTGTTGCTGTGAGGAAAATTTTGGAGGGATACCTTTGTGCATTGAACACCATATTTGCCTCTGTGAAGTTTCGTCGTTCTTTAAAGGGTGTTGACGAGTCCGAGCTCGTTTCCCACAAAGTAGGAAGTTTCCCAAGTGCTCTTTCAGAAATCACTCTCTTGGAAGTTTATCTACATACCAGAGAATTGAGAACACGTATAGAAACGCTGGGACACATATGTGGTATAAGGATTAATGATCTTGGATTTGCTGAGTTTTCTACAGCGGATTTTTCTTCTAGGATGGACTTGGAATATAATTCCTTCCCAAGAGGAGCAGATCTATTGACATATTTGTATGTTCAACTCCGAGTAAGCCTGATCCAACTGTTTCCTAATTATCTTTTCTTCAAAAACTCTTTCAGCGTATCTTGCGTACTGTTCAGGTGACACATACAGAAAGCCTTGATTCATGTTCGTTTGCTGTTGACCTGTGTAAGGGATTTCGTCCTTTTATTTTAGTACGTGAATGATTCCTTAACAGAAAGCAGCAACAATCATTCTGCACAATGCTATGGAAGTATAATAACATTTTAGGCTTATTACTATTACTTTATACTTTAATATTTTTTTCATTAACGTATCTTGTTTATTGTCCATTTTGGGAGGTTCAATAGTGCAGAACCTGGTCACAATTGTACATCCTTTCAAATATTTTTTGCATTTTAACGTAATAAAATTCACACATTGGATGTTTGGGGGAAAGCTGTATGGACGGGGTAAAGTCCATAATACCATTTTTTGATGAAATTAAAAGGATGCCCTGACTTGAGCCATACAGAGCTGATGCAACCTTTTGAAAGTCGGGTGTAATGACCAAGCTACCTCAGAATGCTATCGTTACCAAGGGTAATTGCATCCCATAAGACTCTTGTTCTGTGCGGTGTTCAGTCAGGGTAGTCCTTTATTTAGTTTCCTCACAATTGGTCAATCTTGAACCAGATTGGAGGATTTGAGTTGAAATCAGGATTGACTGGCTCAATTTAGAGGGAGAAATCTGATCTACCTTGAATATCAGGAAAAAAATAAAATAAAATCAGAACAAATCAACCAATTGTGGGCCAAATTGACCTGACATTGTTTGATTGAATAGAGGTCAACGGATTTTCTAGCTGATCTGATTCGATGCCATTGGTTTCTGATACCAGAACTTAATTTGGTTTTGTTTCTCATATATCCAATTTAGTAGACTTGGCCTCCTCTCTCAGACTAGACAATCTTGTTGGTCCGCCCTACCCAAATCCAAATATGATCTGATTGGCTGCAGCCTTCTTTGGAAAGTTTACAGGTGATAACTCGACTATCATGTGGTTAGTCTTATTCAACTTATTTTTATGGTAGGATTGCATGCGTCCTATCATTCTGAATGAGTGATATCAGTTTAAGTTTGTAGAATTCCCTCCATGAACCACATGAGATAGTGTTTCTGCAAGTTTTTTGTGCCCAAACATTACTCTGTGGCTGTGTCTCTCCATTTTATCATTATCTCCAAAATTCATTAAAGACTGCGAACTGTATAATATCAGATTGGTTGTTTCATAACTTATCCAGGTAACCTTGCTGATAAACTCATATCAAAGAATTATTTCCGGACAAATGGATCAGGGTGGCTTTATGCAAAGCCCAATATGATGGATCTGTTTCTCTATTCATTAGAGCACTGATCCAATGCACGCTCTAGTTCTTTTGTTCCTGTTTTCCCAACTGCATGATTTCGTTTGTATATTTTAATTGTTCCTGCCAATATGATTGATCCATTTGTCTATTTCTTCAGGATGCTGACCCGATACATCGTCCTCTTCTTAACTTCTTATTTGTTCGCTCATACGAACCCTATTCCTTATTCATTCGGTCATGGATTTTCAAGGGAAGAATTAATGATCCTTATGAGGAATTTGTTGTAGAATATTCTGAAAACTCATCATTCCTATCTGGTACACCCAGCCATTGTATTAAGGTATTATCAGCTCTCTTTTGAATTTTTTCAATTTTTATTGTCGTGGACTTCTAGCTGTTAAATTCGCCAGCATTCTTGACGATGACAGGACATCAGCATGAATATTTAAACTTCATTTTTTACTCGTGCTGTAAGTAGGCTCTTAATTTGTTTGTTGATGTATGCTTGCTTACTGCAGAAAACCTGTAGGTTTAATCCCGGATGGTACATGTGGTTGCTTTCCTCTTATTGTGGAAGCATTTATAATTCTGCTATTAGCATGGAAAGTGAAATTTCTATTAAATTAAATGTTAGATTTAAATGCTATTGAATTGCCAACTTTAAGTTTCTTCTAAAGATTAGCAATTCAGTCATCCAGAAAAAAAAAATGTTGTTGAATGGCCAAAAAAAGTGCTCAGTTGCTAAAGTGAGCATGTTTGAAGGACCCTTGCTGAAAAACCGGTCACGCCTACTGTCTAAAGACTGTCTCCACTAGTCAGAATGATTTTTGGATTACCTTTACAATATAGAGTTGAGTATAGCCTACTGGCTGGACATGAGTTTAAGCGAGACCAAAATCAGATTATGTCCCAGTGCTTTGATGGAGACTATTTCCAGCCATTGCATTGTCACAATATGTAATATGGTACTTACAAGAATAATTTATTTTTCAGGAGCGAGATCTTGCATCAGTTCCTTGCTTTCTCAAGCATGTTTGTACCCCCCTTCTTCGAGCTGGTCAGCAGCTCCTTGTTCTCATGAAACTCCAGGACTTATGCAATCCTTTTGCTATCAGGGAGAACAACTTTGGTCACATGAATCTCTGTTGTGATTTGACAAGTTTGGAAGATGTTCTTCCCCATTGGAGGGGTTCTTTTAGTGATTCAGTTCCCTGCTTTTCTCTATTAACTTTCAGCAACAAAGATGCAGAAGCTATGTTGCAGAAGAGGGAAATTATGTACAGTCTGTTGTATGAGAAACTTCAGAGTTACTTCGAGAAATTGGATGTCAGATTTCAACCGATTAAAAAGACGGTAAACTTATCTTTTCTGTCTTTTATACTGTTCAATAATTGATCCTCTTAGGAAAGAAACAACTATCGCCCAATACTTTTCAAGATGTCAAGAAAAAAAAAATCGTCTATTTTTTCATTGAGTAATGTTGCAAGACCTACCCAAGACCCTTGCTTGACTGGAATGACGAGTGATGATGTTTTACCCTCATTTTTTGGCCACGTGATGCGCATTGCATGTCTTTTGTGTCATACCTTAAATCCACACATTGCATGCCTCCATTTCATGTCTTGAGCAGATCTAGTTATTTAAATGTTCTACTTGATATTCCAGTGATGGAGACCAAAAGGTGGCATAATTTAATACGATAATGTTTTTATTGAGAGGGCAGTTGTAATTGATAATTATGAATCATCCTACTCTTCAATCTTGTTTTTAACATGGTTGATGAAGCAGGGTCTGTCCAACGACCTTCTTTTCTTCGATTGGGTCATAAAAAAACAATATTCCGATAATGAAAAGGGCATTTGAAGGGGTCTGGGGAGGAAGCTTGGTCATGATTGAGAAAGCTTTCATACCTATTAAAAATGGGATCCAGAAACAAGTGGACGGACGTGTTGAGTAATGATAATTGCAGAAACAAGCTTGGTCTGGGGAGTTGTTTTATGGAGGTTCTACTATTATGGGCAGACCGTGGGCTTCTTAGTACGATTGGTTAGGCATGATAATCGATTTCTTGATTAGTCAGTCATGTTCATGTTTTTGTTGTTCTGGAATGTGTAGCCCTTGTTGGAAGGCCGTTCTTTGGACGTATTCTGAAAAAGTTGGAATTTGTTGTTAAATTTTGAAGGTGCTTTTTTAGTAACCTCCATCAGAATGAAACTACAGTTGTGAATATGTTGAAGTAGCAGATCCCAATCTTCTTGTATCATGTTACCGCTCAGAAGAAGAAATGGAGGGATAAGTTTTATGCCAACTCAAAAGCTTTACAGAGGAATAGATCAAGGGAATAGTCGGAGGAGCCAGAGTTCTGTCAGATGCCATTGATTGGGAAATAGGCCAGAGTACTCTTACTGCAAGACACAGTTGATCCCGCTTGTATTGTTGGGAAGTTTATCGTAATGGATGATTATGTCAAAGGTTTGTGATGGGGACAAGCTTCAGAAGTATGGTAATGATAAAGCTAGTATAGGCTGTCAAGTTGGCCTAAGACTTGGATAAACAATACGAGGATTTGTCTTTGATCGGTCATCTGTAGTGTAGGTGCTCATTGTCTAAGCATGGCCATCGGATGGGATCCTGGAAGCAGGGAAGTAATGGTTTCTGTGTGGAACGGGAAAATTTGTAATTGACAGAAGATACATGTGATAATATTCATGATAATGAGTGATATTTGATGGTACTTTTGAGGAAGATTACTGGGAATCCTTATATACAGGTCTGATAATGAAATATTTTGAGTTGGAAAAGGTTTCTGAGCTTCAGAGATTTTGTTATGATCTCTTTGTTTCTTTGCTGTTTTCTTAATTTATCTCTCAACTATATTGTCGCCATTCTTCTAGAGAACCAAAAAAGTGTTGCACAGACCCTTTCTCTTTAGTTAAACTTTTCTTTGAGGAGATCAGCACTTCGTTACACAAATTTTTTCTTGTTCATTGCTAGCTGGAACTTATCTATCTGATGTCATTTTCTAGAAAGCTATTGTCTTGATTTTTGGATTTACATTGCAGAAACTGTTTTTCAGGTAATTCCCTATGAAGATATTATTTTTTATTCTGATGAAAGAGAGCATGAGGATAATCAAGTTCCATCAGTTCTTGTTGAGAATTTAGCCTCTTCCCCATCATCCATTGATGGCGTCGCTTCTGGGTAGGTTTTATTCTACCTCTTTCAGTGGGCTGCCTAATGCATTCTCAGTAGCTATCATACTTTCTTTTTTCGTTTGCTCCCGTTTTCTAGTACTGAGGATAGTATTCCTCTAAATCCTGCATGTTGGTCGGATATTTAATCATATGGCCATACTCTATTGAACATTGTAGATTGCAGCCTATTTTCTGTTACTTACATTTTTTTTCTCGCTTATAAAATTTGTTGCTGCACCTCGTACTCTCAGTCTTCATGTAAACTTTCAGGGATATGGGCTTCATGGACACAGATTCCTCCAGTACATCAGATGGTTCTCTGAATGAGATGAGTCTTGAGAAAACTTCAGAAGATTCCTTTTTCACCAGATCTGAAGCAAATAGAGAATTTGATTATAATTTTCTTCATGATATTCCTGTTGAATCAACGAAGTTTCCGGCTTTAGTTTTACAGTCATGTTATGGTACTGAACGGATATACCAAGCTGCAAGCACGTCTGAAAAACTGAAGGCTTCAGTATTTTCTTCTCCAAGAAAGTCCGACATCTCTGTTGAGAAGCGTATTACATCAGATGAAAATGACACTGCTAATTCATTGAGGGATGTGAAGCTGAATATGTCTCGTTTCCCGCTAAATACTGATACACCAAAATGTGTTAAAAGTGAAATAGTGAGACCCTTCAATGAAGATTCACTGTTCAGGAGGCCATGGTTACTTCAAAGGCTACCATTGAATCACAGTTCTGCCAGTCAGGAATATGAAAGTAAAAGTCCGTTTCCATCCACTGAGACTGATGAAAGTGTGGAATCACACCAGACCGAAAACTTCACAGCAGGTAAAATGTATACATTGGATAATCTCAAATTAGATCAAGCTGCAAGAACAAATACTTTCTATGATGTCCATGTAACTTCAGCCAAAGACTTTGTCATTGAATCATGGACCGTGGTAGGCAACTATGACCTAAGTAGAAATCCTGTTATAGCAAAAGCTCCTTGGCTTCATAGCTTGACGGTTAGTCAAAGGTCTTTGCTACCATACTTTGATTTCTCATCCGCGGAAGACCCTGTTCAGGCTTTTTCAAAAAGGCTGGTCTCTCAACCTGGGGGTGTATTGCAAGATCATCATCATGTGCCCATGAATCCTTCTTTTGGTAATGTTCGTCGACATATTAGTGACTGTATCTCAGTACCCCAAGCAAATGAATCTGGTTTTGATTCTTCTGATCCGTTTGATGGACAATCTTACACAAGCCATTTTCTGGGTGATCTTTCAAAGCATGTTTCTGGCGGAGCTAGCTGGGATGGGTTTATGATGCGTTCTTGTCTTCATGTCCGATCTAACTCTGGAGGCCGTAGCTGTGGTGCAGCGGGTACCTCTGATTTGCCACTTGATGTTGTGATTGACAAATGCATTTTGCAGGAAATTCTGCATCAGTATCCTCGTCGAATGTTTTGTTTGAAAGGAAAATCGTTTTTAGTTTTCTTGTCATTGGTTTGCTGACATTTGATACATATCCGTGGAATATGCTGTTGTTATTTTATTTCACTTTTTTAATTATATTGCTGTTATAGCAATCAAAGAGAACTAGGTATTTGATAAAACTATGAGTTTCAGGGCAATGACTCACTGCCTAAGTATTTATACAACCAGGCGTGATGTCCCAGATGAGTATAGTTTACTTTAGGTTCTAATAAAAATCCCCAGAACATACATCATTTACGTTATGGAGCATTTCAGTTTTATTTTAAGTTACTCAGATTCTGAGGCATTTACAAACTATTTTTTTCGGATGACAATCAAATAGTTCATCGAGATCTTATCATTACTTGCCGGAGAACATATTTTCAATGTTTAGTCATGAGTTTCTCCGGTTAATTCGCTGGTATAATCCTTTGTTTATGAGTTATTATTCATTGTGCTTTGTGTTCATCTTTTGAACATCTTTTGAATAATAAAATGTAAAACATCTGACGGTTTGCATTTCTTTCTCTTCTATTCGAGTTACATATCTAGGTTCATTTGTTGTTTGGTTGATAATATTATAGCAATGTGTTGTGTGGAAAATGCTTTTTGTAAGAAAATCGTTTTTGACGTTCTATTTCCTAATTCTATATCCGTTATTCTTTTTATTTTCAGAGCCTGCTGGAAAGGATATTGTTTCTCTGTAGAGTGCTGTTTTCTATTTAATTTATTCATTATACTCTATTTCTGACCACTAATGTAGCATTTTATATAAACAGTCAAATTGGTAGCCACTTTGCAATATTCAATACTTCGATCCCTTTCTGATCCGCAATGCCAACCTCAGAATGTTGGCATGTCTTCCACTACTGTGGTTATGATCATGGTTATGTGTTTGCTCTTTCCATAACAATGTCAGATATGCCTATATTAGTAACTTTACTATTAAGTTGCTTGAGGAAGGATTTAATCTACATGAACACTTGTCGGCACTCCGGCGTTACTATTTTATGGAGCTCGCTGATTGGGCAGACTCTTTTGTTGTTTCTCTTTGGAATCATGTATGGCAAAAAAATTCTTTGTACACGTAGTTTATTGCCAGTTAGCAATTGCCGGCCACGCCTAATATGTCTCTTATATTTTATTTCCTTCTTGTACCAGAAGTGGTCTGGCTCTGAACCTGGCAACATGTCAGCAGAAATTCAGAGATTTCTTCTTGTGGCTTTACAGAGATCGTCGTGTGAAAGTGATCCTTACCATGAAAGATTGTATATATACGAAAAAGGCCAAAGCGTGATGCCCTTGTCTTTTTCTGCTATTGGTACTTTTTTTTGGGCGCAAGGACACTAGAAGTTGCACCACTGCTATGTTTCAGTTGAATACTTATCACTGTATTAAAGTAATCCTGTCCTGTTACAAATTGCAGGTGCATTTGATCTTATTGGTCTGGGCTATAAGGTAGACTGGCCTATCAGTATCATCGTGACTCAGGATGGATTAAAGGTCTACTCTGAGATCTTCAGTTTCTTGTTGGATGTCAGACTTGCTGTTTTCTCATTGTCCAGTATGTGGCGTTCATTAAAGGTAGAAATTTATTTTTCTGACATCTCCCTTGTTAAGCTTTTGTGCTATATTGTAAGAAACTATTATTGACTGATAATCACTAAAATGTAGGTTAACCTTATCAAGTTGCTCAGTTTGTTTTCACTGAAACTGTCCCTGATGGCTCCTTGTTCAAACTGGAATTTTCTTCTCGTCAAATTCTATTTCTTGTGTTCACGTGTCAGATTATCTGCTGACCTGCAAGCATGAATTCATGAGCCATAAGTTGATCGTTCCGGTGCATAGAAGTTGTGTTTTTCATTTTTCTCTTATATCCTAGTCATCACTATTATCAGGAGATTAGACCCATAATAAATTATGTCTACGTACTCATTATTTCTGCTGGTTGTTAAATAATTAAATGAATTCTGATGATCAAGTTGCTAATATCTTCTTGTGTCTGTGTGAACGTAGAGAGTGTCAAGGGGAGGAAGTTTCTGAAACTGAGACCTGAAAATTGGTATGCTTGGACAATTTCTACGCGGAGAAAGTCCAGCGTGCAATCTCTAGCAAAAAGCTGCGTCAGATATTTTTCTTTAATATCTCTTTCTAAAACTTGAAGTTGAAGCCACTCTGTGTGACATTTTAGCCAACCCCCCCCCCCCCCTCCATTAAAAAAAAAGAAAGCTCCAAAGAGACGAATTTCCTTCATCATACTAAATAAGTAAATAAAAATTCTTTTGACATAAGTCAGATGCCTCTGCATTCTAGAGAAAATGATCCATGTTACTTCCAAGAAGGAGAGAAAAATGCCGCCTACAAAAAGTTTTCCTCTTAGTTTAGTTACTATATGTTACCTCTCGCTTTTCCAATTTGAGCACTTTTATCCTCTTAGAAACATTATTCCAAGGGCAATGACATGTGTTAGTTTGAGGATATCTCTTCTGGTTGGAGTGGTATACCTACTCCATAATTGGAATTTCATTAAACGTAATCATTAAACATAAATGGTATACTGGTTGGAGTGTGTATTTAACTTCATTTATCAATCTAATTCGTCCTTTGATATTTGGAACAAGTTATTTTATTTTCAATTTTTTTACCATATTTTAAGTTAGCTGTTTATATTTAACCTCAACTGATGAATATGGGCTCACATGATACATGTGCTACATACATGTTCAGGCTCTAGGTCATTCTAATGCTTCTGGAAGGTATCTTGGTGGCCAGGAAGCAGAGAACTTTAATACCATTCTCGGGATCCGGTAATTTAAGTTTTTTTTCTTCAGAAAACTTAGCTAATGGGCTTCAACTATAATGGCAATGCTTGTTTGGATCCGCTGTGATGTAAGACCTATTGCTTGTTTGAATCAGTAAGTTAAATCAGAAATCCGTCAAGAGGTAACAATGCTAACCGAAGTGAACGAGTATTTCGGATATACATTGCGGCAGATCTTTGGGCTTTATACATGCCAATCAGGGTTAAAGAAATTACGACTAGGATGGTTAGTGATTAATCCATGCCTTGGGTCCACAAGATATTGGAAAAGGAACCACTGCATTTGCTTATTCCATGTAGTAATTTTCTTCAACGACCTTTGACATTTGGGCGATAATGTGATAGAACTCTCCAGATTGTTCTGAGCATGCTTTACCTTATCCGTGATCTGAAAATATGCTATTGGAGTGTAGTTTTTAACTAGTATATATTCCACGAATCAGGGTATCTTAAATCTAACTGTCTATTTAGAGGTTTAGTTTGTCAGCTTCAATATCTAACATGAAGTACAAAATGTTTGATGAAACTTATGGATATAGAATCATCTAGACAACTAAAATGCAGTGAAAAATATAAGAATTGAATAAAGAAAAAGCAGCATGACCCTCATCACTCTTCCCGTCACCTATGAGGTACGAATACTATTGAATACAGAAGCATGGTTTCTCACCAGTCAGTATAGTCGAAGCTGACTATATTCTCAATGGTTTTACTTATCTTCATTTTTCTTCCACGTAGAAAGAATATATGAAAATTTATATAAATCGAAGTAGAGGGTGGCATTAATCCTACATTACGGTTCATACACTCAAAAGAAAATCTTCAATACCTTTGGATTCCCTGTTAATGAGGTATTCACGGTTGAAGATGATGCCTCTGATAATGAATAATTATAAGATTCCCTTTCTCTAAGGTGTGTTTGTTGAACAATGTCACGCCTAGTTATTGTCTTGGCGCATAGTAAAATCCTTCAATAACCAGTACATATGGCTTTCTCATTTTACAATGAATCACTAGAAATTTTGTGTATTTTATTCTCTCTTGTAAGTCCATATTGCTCTTGAACCTTAGAGCTTAGGATTTCTTAGTTCTCAACAGTTTTTCTTAACTCTCAGCATGTGGAGGAAGGGGTCAGGTTTTCCACCTAAAGTAGATAGTTAAAGATCCAATATGACACTTTATGAGAAGATATCTCAAGAAATGTGTTGATTTCCATTCATTCTGATAACCTCTTGTGCAGAAATAGCAACAGACGTCTCTGATTTGGTTGGACATCGATTGCTATGTCCATATGCTTGTAAATACTGTATTACCATCATTTTTATATCATAACTGTTGGAATCAAATTTCGCATATTTAGAGTTCACGCTGAAACATTAACTTTTAAACGTCTTTGAAATTGGATAAGAAAAAGACTGGTGGTGCCCCATTATATTCCCCGGAAAAGCTTTTTCTTCGGGCCGTTTTTCCTTCAAACAATAAAATAGCTTACAGTTCGCATAGGTGGCATAGACGGGTTGGGCATTACGGTTGGGCGTGCAGTTTCTGCTGACATTGGTTGACAAGCAATTAAAAAAAATACAAGTGGGAGATTTATCTCCAATAATTATGCAGCTCATCACTATCCACTGGTATTCAATTTAACATTTTAAAATGCAGACGTTTCTGGTTGTCCTTTGACGATAGTTTATTTCTTGACTCGTATTCTGTGCTGTTTTATTGAATTTCAGGCAACAGGTCAACCATTTTGTGTCTTCTCTTCAACAGTATCTGCAATCCCAGTTGTCAGATGTCTCGTGGTGTAGATTTTTGCTCTCCCTCAAGCAACAGGTTGAAACTATTCTATAATGTGTTGAATGATTAGTTCCTTAAAATCTGATGATATAGAATCGTGGGGGCTTAATCTAAGTTATCTCTCAAGTGTTGAAAGAAATATGGTTCTTGCTGTTTGATTAATCTTAAGCTTGTAAAGCTGGAAAAGTTGGGGGTTATATATCTGAGCTCTGCTAGAATCCTGAATATGTCCACCTGATTCTCAAGAACCAGCATTGTTGCCACTGCCATGGAAAAACATTTCTAGAATATCGTTTGTTCCAAGGTTCTTGGCTGGAGTTCTCTGTGGTCTCCCCTCTTGGAGCAAAACCCTATTGTAACCTGCACTAATCATCTTGAAATGATGATATTCCTTGTTTGAGGGAGAGCAAAAACATTTCTATTCACTTTCCGGTCCATCTGATAAAAAAGCAGTGAGAGTAAAATCTCTCACTCAGTGATCTCTAGAACTGTATGATTAACTGGCTGACGATCACCACCACCACCAGCCTGTTCTTGTGAGACCATACTGATCTTGGATGAAATCTCATCAATCTGCTTGTCTATTGAAGTGCACACTTCTGTCACCCATCGATTCAAACAGTAGACGGATGGATATCCCATACAATATTCGACGGAATGCCTGACCCCTTGGACCGCTATCCTACTAGTTCGCCTCTCAGGTCACCCACTGGCAGATGGTCCAGCAAATTCAATGCTTCTCTGCTCGTCCCCGACATTTCACTATGTTAAAATATCTGATCAGCTCGTTTGACCGGAACTCTTCCACTCTCACTTGGTTCTCAATCATTTCTTGACTTCACATGATTTCCAATGTCACATATAGTGGCCAAACCCTCTAATTCCCCCCACCAGGTTCCATCGGCTCAGTTCGCAACCATGCAGTGGTTATTAGACTGAAAAAAGAAAAGTCTTGGACGATGAGGGAAGGTGCCGAGAGTTGCTCCAGTGCCTTGGAGGGTGCTCTTTTCTTTAAAAGGGCTAGTCTGCTTCTGGGGGATTATATGATAATTTCAAAATGGGTGAGTTACAAGGGAGTAATAACACAATGAACTATTCAAAAAAAATGTGCAAGAAATGTATGCTCAAGAAATGATGCAACTTTTTTATGGCATGTATCTCCTTTTTCTTATCGTAGTTTGTAATTCCCACCTGGATGGCTCTTCTGTGTTCGCACAGGTCAACGACATGCTGGACCTGGAGTCAGTGCACATGTCGTATCTAGCTGATGCACAGAATACGTGAGTCAAAAATTCCTTGTAGAAGTTTTTCATCTTCCAATCCGTCTTCAATCCCACCTTTTCGTCTATTGATTATTTATAATATAAATGCATATATATATATATATATATATATATATATATCGGAGCAACATCAATTTCTATGCTCCCACTTTTTTCTGATTACTTCATTGGGCTCCAATCCAACTCATCTGTTCCTTTTTATTATTATTATTTTTTTGTTTTTAAACAGATGTTTCTTGTCTGCCGGTACTGGAGAGATTGCTAAGATCATCAGGAACATCCTGCAGTGCGCCGTGGATCTCAGGGCATGCCTCAAAGCCAGCCCTACAGAGGCGGGTTTGGATGGACCAGATTCGTCGACTGTGGTTGATCGAGTCAACTTCCCCAAGGTTATCCTTCCCCACCAACCTCCCTCACACTACTCAAGACTCTTCCTTCTGGTCCAGTCAAACCTTTTGATCAACTTAAATACCCTAAACCCACAGGCCCTGGCCGTGCAGTCGGCCTTCAAAAAGAACCTGAGGGAGCTCTACCTACACTATCTGAGGTCTCCGAAGCACAGTGAGTTCAGCCTTTGCCGTTTCTGGTGTTGCCTGGACTACAATCGCTACTACTCCAATGAAATCTCCCGGGGGACGGGTGGCTGAGGGATTTAGTAGGGTATGGGCCGTCTTCTTCTTCTTCTTCTTCTTCTTCTTCTTCTTTCTCTTCTTCTTCGATAGTGTTTTGCAGGGTTGACTGGGCCCAATCCGGAATCAGCTGCAGCCAGTCCAATCCAGCTAATCGGTCCCTACTTGAGTTTATCTATTTTTTTTAAAAAAACTAACGTGACATAAAAGTCTGTGTGCATATGCTTCTAAAATAGTGTAAATCAAGTCTAACACGACATTAGTGTTTGGGGGGCCATCATCACTTTATAGGTGGAAGGCACCTTGTCCCAGAGGTTAAGTTGAGGAAAACACTTATGAATGATGCCAGCAAGCTCTCATGTTGCATATAGTTGGCATCATTTAATGTGGAGTTTTATGCTCTTGATTGTGTGCTGATGATATTACTTTGATTGTACCAAAATGGTCAAGCTTTAAATATTTATTATATTTATTGAATTCATAAATCGAATTCAATGTGGATAAAATGCAATGAAAACACATTGAATTTGCAAGTGCCCACTATTACTCTAATTATCTCTACCCATCACCAAGAGAACTCAGCTTGAAAAGCTTGAAAATTCATCAAGTCCTTTCCAAAACCTCTCTCCACCTTAGATTTTTTTTCTTGATCTTTATCTAAAAATATGTCAACATTGTCTCCAAATTGGGAATTTTCTTCATTCATTTCACCACTCAAAATGGAGTATGAATGATGAAAGGAACATGAATGGTGTGGTATAAAATGTTGGCCTCTTTGTTTGTTGTTGACTTATATTAACATGGCCCATAAAGCCTTGACATGTTCTTATGGTGATGTGACCATAAATTACTACATTTTTCTAAATATTTTGATAATTTGAAATTAGTAAAAATTGTTTGAAAATCTCTTCTTCCACTCCTAAATAAATGTTTCAAATTTTAACTTCATCTTTAATTTCCCATCAATTGTAAAATAATTCTCAATATTGTGAACCATATAAAATCATGTTAGTACAAGATTAAAAATCAAAAATATATTCACATTGTATAAATTATTAAAATTATTGAATTAATCATAAATTTGTCACATAATTCCCAAACTATTAATAACATGTTTAACCTTTAATAAGTTATATTTTATATTAATTTAATTTAATCTTATTTACAATATAAAAGTAAAGGATTATTGGGCAATAATCTAACTTATAGTTGTAATTCACTTAAAAATCAATTGAGGTTGGGTGGTAGGTATTGATTGAGGAGACTCTTTTACTCATAGGTGATTTTGTAATTGAGAATGGTAGAAAACTAAATAAATAATCATGAAGTTGAGTGGCTTTAACTTGTAAGAAATATAATCAATTTTAGTGATGACAAGATAGAGATCAAAGTATTTAAGAGTTAACTCTTCATTTTGATAAAAATCAGATCACCGACCTCAAATTGAATGTTGTGATTTTTTCAGTATCTACAAAATCTTCATATGCAACTGGCTTGAAAATGTATTATTTTAACTCAACAAATCTGATGTTTTAGTTCTACAATTATTCATCAAATAAGGTGATTGTAGTCTATTTGATATCATAACAAATTAGGTATGAAAGATCTCATTCATAGATGACTTGGAAGAGGATAATTTTAAAAGTTATAAAATGTGGTATTATTCTAATTTCTAAAATGTAAGTTTGTTATATGAAAATACTTTAAGTAATTATTGAACACCTTAAATTGGATGTTCATTTGTAATTTTCAATTATCTTAAAAGGCTTAAATAACTCAATCTAAAAGTGACTAAAAAATATATGTCACAATTTCTAATAGTTGAATGAGAAAAATTATCCACCTAATAGACTATCATAATATTCTTTAACGAGTCACCTTTTTACCTTGGCTGATCGTAATCATACTATATTTAGACCAATTCACCTTATAGTGTTCATTGCCTTATAATATACACTAAAATTTTAAATCTTCTTATACTTCTTGAAGTAGATGTTGTGTTATATGGATTCTCAGTAGGCTTATGGTAATAACATTTACTATTCAGAAGTAAGGTAAATATGATAAAATGTCATATCATATGATTTTCAGCTCCTATCTTATATTAGATTGAAAAGTAGTATCCTAATAGTTTCATTAGCTGTCTTTGATACTTTATCACTAGTTATTAAGTTAGAAATATTTTTAATATGAGTAACTCAACATAAATAATAAAATAGTGTTCCAACAAGCCATCTAGAAATGTTCACAACTATTGATTTTTTTTTAGATTGGTTAAAAGGTATTTTTAGAAGAAAGGATTAAGTTAAAATAAGCTATGGGTATATAATGTTATATTAGAGCAACCCTAAGTTTAGTACTAGATTAATCTATCTTTAACTTAAGTATCAAGAAAAACTAGAGAATATTAATATCAATATGATGACCATTGGTCTTGAGTTTGTGAAAAACATCATCCACAAGTTGCATTTAGTTAGAGTCTTTTTTGAGTAATTGAGAGAGTGATCAAAAAATTATGTCACAATTTACCTTTAATTTTTTATAGTACCTTATTAGCATGAGAGAGAGTGGAGTTGATGAAGGTTGGAAGCAATCAACTAATTCAACATGATGACTACCTTCTCTCAATTTATTTTGATTACTTCAATTGATTCTAACTATTTAAGAATTCAATCTTATACTTGTCAAATAGACATTTCTATCTATTAATATCAAGGATCTCTTACAGATATATTTCATGAGTGAATAAGTCATTCTTATAAATTAAGATATCATTTCAAAATATAAGTATCTCCAAAGATTAAAAAATAGTCAATCAAGAAGGTGGTAAGACTCTTGCGGAGTTCCCCAATAGCATAGAGTTTGGGAAGCTCAAACCCAATCAAGATCTGAAACATAAAAGGTATGGTTCATTAAAGATAAAATTTTGTTATGATATTTTTTAATCCAAATGACATTACTAAGAATTCACAATGACCTTGATTCATATTGAAACTTATTTTGTATATCTTCTTCCTTCATGTAAATTTAGTGATAGCCTTACTTCAATTTTTTTCTTGATTATTTAAGTTAGGCCCAATTATGGGCTTAATAAAAATCAAATGATCGTCACTATACATTTGTTTTGTCATAGCTTTTCAATCTTATATTTTTTAGAGTGAAAGTAGGGCCTAACATTGACTAGTGTCACTCTTTTATTTCCATGGTGACTCTTGACAAAATGTTTTACATCTTATAGTCATGTGATTGAAGTTTAATCGTCAATCTCTTTGATTCTATGTCGACTTTCTAACTAATTATTAAAGTTAAAGTTATTAAAGTTATTAAAGTTGTTATGTCAACCCTTTTGTAATAAAATCATAGCTTATTTCACAACTAATCAATTTCATTCATCTCTCACCTTAGTTATATTTTTATCTTCATTGTTCCTACTTTGATTAGGTCTATGACATAATTCTTAGAAAGTTTAACATGAGTCTAACCTTACTTCTTCTTGTGGTTTAATGAGTTCTTTTGTTGACGTAATCTCTTCAAATGATTCTTATATTAAGATAAGTTGTAATTATGTAGAGCCCTTTTATGTGTTATTTTAAGAATTTTAACTTGATTAAGGTCAATTCTCTTTTAATTTTTATGCTCTTATAACTCACATCAATGACATTTCATTGAGTTGAGCATTGAAAACAAACACTTGTCATATTATTGTGTGGTGAGACTAAAAGTTTTGACTTCCTCTCTAGTCATGAAAGAGTTAATCCTTCCTTAAACCTATGATCTAATTGACCATAATTTTGTAAATTCTATGATTTTTTAAATGGCTATATTTATTTTTTCAATAACATAGAAGGTGTCAATGATGTTGTTTAATCCTTATAGTTTCAACAACTTAATTTCTTCTCTAATATCTAATTTTCAGCCTTTTAAAATGTCACTTCTAACCCCCTTTTTGAAAGACCTTCAACCATTTACGAGATAAGTTAAAAGGCTCTTTGGTACTTACTAATAATTCAATTTCACTTGATATCAAGAAAGTCTCCCAAGAACCCACCATTTGAGTGAACTTAAACATTTTCGTTATTTATTGCTTAATGTCTTACCAATTCTTGAAGGGTTCTCTCACATTGAACCACCTAATCCCTTCAAAATGCATTTATGTCAATCTTATTTTATTCTTTTTATAATACTTTGCATCATGAAATATAATGTAACTTGAAAGATCTTTCTATCTCTTCCTCTAGATGAAGCACCTATGAATGAGGTTAAATTCATGCACAATAAGAGAGATTCATCATTTTTCTTTTGGAATAAAATGTGACTACTATATATAGATATAATTCATCAAGATATACAAATATTATCTCATATAACATTTTAGTGAGGGAAAATACAAGGCATGAGTTCAATGTTATGGTATGTCTTGTATTGAGGGGGTGGAAATAATGTCAAATGTGCATCTAGCATCATGTTTTAGAATTTCATTAAAACTTATATTACTTTTAATGAGAGTTATTTCTAATTTTCATCCATACTATTATTAAGTAGGTGCTCATGATTATGCATCCAAATCTTACATACACACACATCACCAATTGATGTCATACACATACTTTCTTTAATGTAGGTATGGACCACATGCACTTGTTATAATGAAGTCAAATGTTGTACCTATCGTGATACAAGTTATTATTATGTGAACACTCATAGTATGCAACCAATTTATATGGCCAAAATATGTTTCCTTACAAATGTGGCATTAATAGCCTCACATACATGCTTGCAATAATATACATGTGCACTACATGCATATTCATTGTGTATGCTCTAATGCAACATATGCTTGTTGTATTTTTAACAAACAACACACTTACCTCTACAAATTTAACCCTTAATGAGGTCGTCTTTTTATTTTTTAAAAATCTTGAGATTTTTTTTTTCTATTTGTAAGTCATCACATAGTTTAAGTTATCTGACTTCTATCTCAAAATAAGTATGGCCTTAACCCCTTTGACAAAAATGTTGTGTCACCATGAAAAAACCTCAACTTGAGTTTGGATAAAAAATTATATATTTAGGATAGTATCACAATCATCTATTAAAAGTATCATGAAGTTCATTACATTCTTACATGTTTAAATATGTAATTAGACTTTATAAAAAATATTGGTCAAGATACATGTCATTAGGTTGACAATCTTAATATAAACATGTCATCATGATTGTGTCAAATTAGATTATAATTATTATTTCTCAATGATGAAATTGTGGATTATATTATTGTTGATCATTATGGTTATCAATCGATTATAGATGTTGACTACAAGGTAAACTACTTTGAACTTATTTTCTATATTGGACTCTCCACATCATCATAGTATACTTATTAGTTAAAGGGAGTTGCATATAATATTACTATTCTTCATTAATAGTTATCTCATTATTAAGGTATCTTGTGTACTCCCTACTAGTTCATGTTGAGTAGTCCTTGGTTTAATAGATACCTTCAAAAATATAAAATTTACTATTTGACATGTCATCTTGTAGTACTATCACTTTATACACAACTTGTCACAAGTTTACTAATAATTTTTTTCTTAGTACTCACCTCAACTAATGTTACTTTGACAATGTTGGTTGAGGTTTTCTCAACTTTTGATGGGTGCATTAAAGTTTATTGTGATGAGGTTTCTATAATTCAATATGATTAATTTATATCTTCATTAGCCTTGTAACTCTACTTGTGTCTGACCTTAGAGGTATACCATAAATTGAAGAGTTTACCCTCATTAAACATGTTCATTATGTCAAAGAAAAGTGAAGCAAACCACCTTACATAATCTCAAATGACATGATTCGTCATAACATCTATTAATCATAATGAATTAATTCAATTCTTTTATTAAAAATATTCTACATTCACCACCATAATTTGACATTACATGGATGTACTTTCTAATTCTAAAGTGTGCATCATTTAGAGCAAATGATTACAACCCAATATAAAATTCTAAATTTTATTGGCATTATATGTGCCGATTAATGCCTTCAGCTTGAAGAACTTTTGACACATTGTTATATTTGTTAATAATAGATCCACCAATGTGCACTTCAACAGCATGACATTTAGAACAAGAGCCTATACTAAGTGAGCAATGACTTGATGTTGTTCACATCCACCTACACATCTTCCAATCACTCCTCCATAGTTTAGATGCAATCCTTCCTAAGCTCCATGAAGATAGCAATCAAAGTGACATGCCCATCTAAGCAAGCAACCCTCTGCATATGTGTGACACTCTCACTTTGATATCCCTTATCTAGCTCTAATATACTAAATTATCAACAGGGTTTGACTAAGTCTACTCACTTTGCTCTCTCATGCCTACTTCATCCTCTGGTCAGCCACCATTATGCAGAAACACACAATGAATTCTATGATTATATTCTACAATTAGAATGGCATCTCTTCTCTTGATGTCGTTTCTTTTAGAGGAGATCACTCTTACATCCTTGTACCTGATCTCATAAGTTATGGAATGATGTTATTCACCACATCATAATCACCTCCACACAAGATGAGGAGATACACCCATGTCTGGTAATTACCTCCCACCTCATAATTATACATGCTGAACCCCTACTCTCTCCCTCTCTCTGTCTGTCTGTCTCTCTCTCTCTCTCCCTCTAGCTCTCAGTGTATCCACTGAGTGGGTTATACCGCCAGGCTGGCAGTCTGCACGCGTTGCTGTCTGCTAAAAGAGATTGACGCGGCATTTGAGTCGTTGTTTCCGCGGATGGAGGGGCATTTGAGTAACTTCATCTGTGGATCCCTGCTGGCATTTTCGCAGTTAAGTGGCGGGCGGTGGTGAGTCTTTGTGGGTCTCCACCTCGAGCTTCGCTGTCTCCGGAAGAGGCGGAGGAAAGGGAGAAGAAGGGGGCGGACGGAGGAGAGGAAGGGGAGAGTGAGCGGCGGTTTGGCGGCCTCTCCTCCTCAGAGGAACATGCAGGTGAGTGGTGGGATTGGAGGGAGAGGGGTTGGAGTTCTGCAGATCGTTGTGCCGCTCGCAGATTGTGAGCTGTGGTTTTCTGTATTCTTATTTTCTCTTTGTTGATGGCTTGCTGGTGGTTCTTTCAGACGAGGACGGTTGAAGTCGGCAACATTTCGGAACTTGCAGGGGAGAGAGAGGTCGCCGAGTTCTTCTCCTTCTCCGGCGAGATCGAGCGCGTCGAGATTGTGCGACGGTATAAAAGTCTCACTCACAGCGGGCCTTCTCTTCTCCTCATCCTGTTTGCGGTCTGGGGGTTGTAATCTCTTCCTTTTCTGTCATCGGGGTGAATTTTTGTGCCTCTGTGGCACTGTGCGGGGATTTTTTGTGGTGATTTTTTTTTAACAGATCACATGCCTCATTGCCGACGGGGTATCTGACGGGGTACTTTTGATAATTGTTTTTCCTCTCTGATTTATTAGCTACTTGCGTTTTAAATCTTTGTTGCAATGTGTTCGGTTAAGCTTCCTTGTTTAAATGTGCAGTGACTTGGGGAAGTTGGGGACCGCGTTCGTCACCTTCAAAGATCCCAAGGCCCTTGAAATTGCATTGCTTCTATCGGTATTTCCTCAACATCCGCAGCATTTATTTCACCATGGATAGATGTACTCAGCCTCCAGAAGATATCTTACAGAATTGCAATAATATGTGAGATTTTTCATTGACAACTAAAGCTGTTATTGTCTAAACTCTCCTGTAACCGTGTTATCATCAATTTGATTCGTCAACTTTCGAGTATCTAAGAAAACTAACGGGATGATGAAAGTTTAAGCTGTCGCCAGAATGCTGGCTTTCCATCATTGGCCCTTTTGTGATCAGGTTCAGAGTGACTGACTCGCCGTGAGCCTGGAGGGCTTATTCATTTGAGAAGAATTAAAGCATCTCCATATTATTGGAAACCATGGAATTAGAAATCGCGGATGTTTTCTTGAGGGTTGTTTCTGCTTAGCCCCAATGGGTATCAGGTTAGTAGTTATGGAGGTGAGCTGGAAGTGAAGTGGTGGTTTTAGTCATGAGGGAACGAGGCCACTTGTGGGGATGAGTTGCCCATTGTTTTCTTTGGGACTCTAGACAGAGGAATACAGAAATCGAAGAAGGCAACTTCCCTAAAGCCAGGATTCTCATTTTGGATATTTATCTTTCCATTCTCTTCTTGTTGCCGTTGTTTAGTAACGTTTTCCTATGATCTTTGTAAAAGTGGCAGATACCTGTACTTCTGGCCAACATAGAATTTCAGTACTCTTTCTAAAATTCTTGCAGTATTCTAAGGAGACAGGTTGTGAACTGAGAATGAGGTAAGATGGATGCCTTTTTGTCGTGTCTAAATAAGGAACATTATCGTGCACCGTGCATGTCATTTCAGATTTAAGGAGATTGGAACCTGTTAGTTTCTTGACATTCCCGAGTGAGGAAGCAAGATATGCGACTGACTCTCTGAGAAGAAAGTCGTGGAATTCCTTTGGGATATGGATACCAATTTGAGGGATAACAGAGTGCCCAGTTCGATTTACTTTTTTACTTTTTCCTTCTCTTTCAGGAATTTTTGGCGTGCCATTGGGTTTCAGTATGCATTTTTCATCGAAAGGTTGGTCTTTACTGTGGAATAAGAAACAGACAGAGTGTTTGGTTGTTTAGAATCGGTCACTTTATTTCAAGAGTTCAGGCGCCAATGTCAGAGGAGAGGTGGATGTAAAGGATTGCTTTTTGGCTGCTGTTAGTCTCATGTCTGTGTCTATTCTAGGAAGATACTTTGAGTTCGTGAATGGATTGCTACTTTCCATTTCAGTTGTCGTTCAGTGTTCTGTCCTGAAGACACCTTCATATAACTTTCAGCGGTAATTCTCTTTTCTGTGGAGGATCAGCCAGTTTCTTTCTACGTAAGATACATTTAAGTGTTTGCTAAGGTGAACTACTTTTTGGTGCTATGTCTCAGTAATTTCTTGTGCTGGACACATTTTTGAAAAGCTTTATTTAAGCATGCTTCGCCAGTTGAAGGCCATAATCCAGTTTTTGAATAGGTCTGCATTTTTTAAAACAGAAAAAAAAGAGTGCGATGGTTGCTTGCAGAGGAAAGTGTTAAAAAAAATCTTTAATGGCCTAGGGAATGACTCATAACATGTAGAGAGCGGTGGATTCAGGAGGCATGAAGATCTTCTATAAGCATATTAACTTGCTGACAATTCAAAAGCCTTTACATAGGTGCCCCCCAAAACCCCACCTTCTCCTTCCCCCAAAAAATTAAATAAACTAAAGATATAAGAATGAAAACCTTGATTTTGCATCCCCTTTTTGTAGAGAGGTCTACCAGATACCCTTCGCCAAGTCTCCTCTGTCTTTGACACTGCTGGGAACTATTTTATTGGTCGTCTGACTTCGGCTCTGGACTTTGACGCCTTTACTCTTCGTCATTAATGGATGCCGATATATGATCCTTTGAGACGTGGACATTACTGTCAGTTTCTGGCACAGGCTTGGCTGAAAACTGTTGACCTAGGGTCCGGTGTCTACACAGGTATGTTCGTCGGGTCTCGTCATGGCCAGATGTCGGGAACAGCAAGAATTATTCCTGAATCAAATGAACAACAGCGCGTCATATATATTAGTTAATAAAAATGGAAGATTTTACGGATATTTCCTACAGTATGTACTTACTACTCTGTTCGTCCTTGGCCCACCTCATGCAGGGTGCGACAATAGTGGACCAGATAGTGACTATTAGTCACGCAGAGAACTACACACCAGATGCTGCTGCGGTATCATTCTTCTCCCCAATAAACTAAACTTTGTGAAATTCGTGCTCTCAAGTCGGTGATTTCATCAATTTTCACTGAAATTCGTGCAGCAAGTGTTAGTGTCGTCGGACCAAGCAGTTGTTCCAACTCCCACTGCTGGGAGCACATTCTCAAGCCCCGAGGTCTCTCACTCCCTCCCTCTTTATTCTCTGCCTCGTAATCCTCACTGCAGGCTTAATGTGGTGACTGGCTGGCGGCTCTTGATCCTCTTGCAGACTAAGAACAATCCTCCCCTCGGTGGAAGAGTATATGTGAGCAAAGCTCAGGATGTTGTTTCCTCTATGCTCGCTAAGGGCTCGGCCATCAGGCAGGACGCAGTGAACAAAGCCAAGTCGTTTGATGAAAGGCATCGCCTGACGGCCAATGCATCCGCCAAGGTCACTTCGTTCGACAGGCGGGTCGGTCTCACGGAGAAGATCAACGTGGGCATCTCAGTGGTCAACGAGAAGGTGAAGTCAGTGGACCAGAAACTGCAAGTCTCTGACAAGACAATGGCGATCTTGACGGTGGCAGAACAGAAGCTGAATCACACGGGCACCGCCGTGAAGTCCCACAGGTATCTTTATTCATTTTTCTCATTCCCCCTAGAACCAAGCAGGTTGTTCATTCTCTGCTGACCTTTGGCCAATTCCTGCTCTTTGACCTACCCATGGTGAATTTTGACAAAGTGGGCCCTTCAAAACTGTCCGTTGACAGAGTGCTTTCTTTGGTTTAGAGAGAGAATCAGAGGCACGGAGACTTCCCCGTGCTTTCAGTCTTACCAAAAGTATGTGGGTCCGACGAGGAAACTCCTTCCTTTGACTTGTGAACTCTCTCCTCCGATCTGCAGATACGTAGCCGCCGGAACAGCCTGGCTGAATGGCGCCTTCAGTAAAGTGGCCAAGGCCGGCCATGTCGCGGGCACGAAGACCAGGGAGAAGCTTCAGGTCGCGGTGTCAAGTCTGACTGCAAAGGCGAGACTTATGCTCCTCATCACCTGCATCTTTGACCCAAACCCATCTGGTCAACTCTCAGGGTTTCCTCTGATTATACCGTCACTGTTTAATCTTGGTCAACTTGCAGGATCCACCCATTGCCGCCTGAAACAATGAAGAGGAACGACGAGAACAAGAACAAGAAGAGGAAGAGTGCGGCGTGTGATGAAGCCATGGCCTTGAGGGAATCGAATCCTAGGCTTTCTAAGTTCTTGGTGGTGCCAGAGATGGCTGGAGGAGGGGGCCGGGGGTATTCCCCTCCCCCCCCCCCCTTCTGAAGTCCTCCTTCCCTATTTATGTGAGTCTCTCTCTCTCTCTCTCTCTCTCGCTTGCTCGCTCTTATTGATTGCATAATTGTTGGGGTGTTTTTGTTCCGTGGTGGGAAAACGGGGAAGAGGTTGGTACAGTAGAACTCTGCTATTGATGATGGTTGATTCTGGGAGAAGAAACCGTGCTCCGGCGGTGCACGTGAAGGAAGGCGGTAACCCCCACCTTTCCCATGCACGACACGCGCGTCCGACGTCGATGGCTGGGGGCCACCGCATCGGAAATGTCGCGATAAGATCTGGCCTCGACGGCAGGCCTTCGCCGGTCGGCGCGGCGCAAAAAGCTGCTCTCTCTCTCTCTCTCTCTCTCGCCGCCCACCCATGACTCAAAAGACTTAGGTGGTCGCAAAGTCTTGCAGGGGAGGAGAGAGAGAAGACTAGCCGCTGTCTTGTCCACTCCCGAAAAGCTCCACCCCGATAAAAAAAACTTATCGTAGTTATTGCCTCCTCCCGCTCTCTACCTTTGACAACTCTGAGCCCACTGAGTACCACTGCAGCCTTGGTCCATGCAAAGAAGTATATTGCACCCCCCCCTTTGTGAACTCATTTCTACATAGGTGTTCCTTCCTGTCCGTTAGAGAGACAGATAGAGAGTCCCTAGGGAGAGATAGAGAGAAAGAGAGAGAGAGAGGGCATGGCGGGTGTGGGCACGGTGAGGAAGCTGGTGGTGGAGGTGGTAGAGGCGCGGGGGTTGGTGCCCAAGGACGGCGGCGGGTCGGCGAGCCCCTATGCGGTGGTTGACTTCGACGGTCAACGGAAGCGGACACGGACGGTCACCCGTAGCCTCAACCCCTCTTGGAACGAGTCCCTCCTCTTCGACGTCTCCTTCGGCGGCGACGCCGCTGCCGCCGGCGAGCCCCTGGAAATCGAGCTCCTTCACGACCGGAAAGTCTCCCCCACCCGCCGGAGCCACTTCCTTGGAAGAGTTCGCCTCGACCCCTCTCAGTTCGTCTCCAAGGGGGAGGAGGCCCTCGTCCACTACCCCCTCCAGAAGAAAAGCTTCTTCAGCTGGATCCGTGGCGACCTCGCCCTCAGGGTCTTCTTCTCCGACGAGCCGGCGCCGGCGCCTCCCGTCGACCCTCCGCCGCCCCCCGAAAAGCTCCCCGACGTCGTTCCGCCCTCCAACCATGCAGTGGAGCAGAAGGCGGCGCCGCCCTCCGGGGAGGCGGCGGTGGAGGCTGGGAAGCCTGGAGAGGCAGCGGACCAGGTGGCGCCGCCCGCCGGGGAGGCGGCGGTGGAGGCTGGGAAGCCCGTAGAGGCAGCGGACCAGGCGCCGCCGCCCGCCCCGGACGCGGCGGTGGAGGCTGGGAAGGCCGGGGAGGCAGCGGATCAGATGGCGGCGCCGCCCGCCGGAGAGGGGGTGGTGCCTCAGGAGGACCTGACGAAGGAGGAAGCGGCGGCCATGGAGCAGCAGCTGCTGCAGCCGCCGCCGCCTTTGTCGCAGCGGCAGGTGGGAAGTGAAGAAGGCGGGGTGGAGCGGTCGTCGTTCGACCTGGTGGACAAGATGCAGTACCTCTTCGTGCGGGTGGTGAAGGCGCGGTCGCTCCCCGGCGGCGCCGCCAACCCGCCACACGTTAGGATCGCTGTCTCCGGCAGCAGCGCCGCCACCGGCCCCGCCATGACAAGGGCCCACCCCACCTCCTTCGAGTGGGACCACACCTTCGCCTTCCCTCGCCCCGGCGGCGCCGCCGATCAGGAGGAGCTGCCGGCGGAGGTTTCCGTGTGGGATGGCCCGCCGGTGGAGTCTCCGGCCGCCGCCCCCGGCAAGCGGTTCCTCGGTAGCGTCCGCCTCGACGTGTCGGAGGTCTCCGACGGCCCGCCGGCGGCGCAGTGGTATCGGGTCGCCGGGGCTGGAGAAGGAGAGCTGATGCTGGCCACGTGGGTGGGCACCCAGGCCGACGAGTCCTTTCACGGTGCCACCAAGGCCGACGGCGGTGCCTCCTCCTCGCGCTCCAAGGTCTACCTCTCCCCCAAGCTCTGGTATCTCCGTCTCACGGTGGTCAACGCCGACGACCTCCTTCCCTTACCCTCGGAGACGGCGGCACTGCTACAAGACGCCCCCGTGTGGGTGAGGGCGACGCTGGGGTTTCAGTCCCTGAAAACCCGCAGCGCCGCCTTGGGCCGCGGCGGAACCCTAGCGCCGCCGCCATCGTGGGAGGACCTGCTGTTCGTGGTGGCGGAGCCACTAGGGGACCAGGCGGTCGAGATCGCCGTGGAGGCCCGCCGCCGCCGCCGCCACGGGGAGGAGCCGGCGACGGTCCTCGGCTGCGCCCACGTGGCGCTCTCCGCCGTCGAGCGCCGCGTGGACGACCGCCATGTAGCGCCAAGGTGGCTGGACCTCCTCCCGCCGCCCGCCGGCGGCGAGGAGGCCGGCGGCGCCGCCCCCCGCGGGCGGCTACAGGTGCGGGTGTGCCTCGATGGCGGGTACCACGTGACAGACGAGCCGCCACACGCCGCCAGCGACTTCCGGCCCTCCGCCCGGCAGCTCTGGCGGCGGCCCGTCGGCGCCGTCGAGCTCGGGATAATCGGGTGCCGTAATCTCCTCCCCGTCAAGTCAACCGTCGGCACCGCCGCTTACGTGGTGGCCAGGTACGGCTCCAAGTGGGCCCGCACCCGTACCGTGGCCACCAGCATGGAGCCCACGTGGAACGAGCAGTACACGTGGCCCATCTTCGACCCCGCTACCGTCCTCACCGTCGCCGTCTTCGACGAGTCCGCCACCGCCTGCCGGCCGTTGGGGCGGGTCCGGATCCGGATCTCCGCACTTGAGAGTGGGTGCGCGTACCGCATTTCCTACCCTCTCTTCCTCCTCGGCCCCACCGGCCTCCACCGCACGGGTGAAATCGATCTGGCCGTACGCTTCGCACGAGCGGGATCCCCCCTCGACATCCTCCACGTGTACGGCCAGCCCGTGCTCCCTCTCATGCACCACCTCCGCCCGATCGGTGGGCTCCGGAGGGACCATCTCCGATCGGCAGCGGCGCGCCTAGTGGCCGCCCACTTGGCGCGATCTGAGCCCTCACTTCCCAACGAGGCGGTGATGCACGTGCTAGAGGCCGACGGCGAGTCACGCGGAGGCTTCAGCATGCGCAGGATGCGCGCCAGCTGGAACCGCGCGGCTGCGGCGCTGTCGTGGGTGGCCAGCGTGGCGCGCTGGATGGAGAGCATGAGGACGTGGCGGAATCCGACGGCGACGATCCTCGCCCACGGCGTGCTCGTTCTGCTCATCTGGCACCCCGACCTCATCGTGCCCGCCGTGGCCATCCACGTGGCTATGGTAGGTGTCTGGAACCGCCGAAAGAGTGCACGCGGGGCGGCTTCCACCGGCCACGTCTGCTTGAGGGCGTCCCAACTGGAGGCGACGGCGCAGCTGGCGGACGAGCTGGACGAGGAGCTGGACCCCTCGCCGAGCGCGAAGCCGCCGGAGGTGGTGCGGGCGAGGTACGACCGCCTGCGGGCCGCCGTGTGGCGTGCCCAGAACCTGCTAGATGACGTGGCGGCCCAGGCGGAGCGGCTCCAGTCGCTGGTGACGTGGCGCGATCCCCGCGCCACGGCGATCTTCGTGGTGGCCTGTCTGGTCACGTCGGCCGTCCTCCTGGCGGTGCCCACGAAGGTAGCGGCGGCCGCCGCCGGCTTTTATTGGCTCCGCCACCCGGTTTTCCGGGGAGCGGCGGCGGCGGCGGCGCCACCAAGGGGCCTCAACTTCTTCCGGCGGCTGCCCACGTTGTCGGATCGCATCATGTAGTAACATGCGATCGATTATAATCCTTCTAATAATTACTAGAAGGATTATATTCAGCTGAAAACAACATCAGACAATATTAAACCAATGAGATCGTTCGAGAAAATGGCGAATTTTCGAGCTGAAAGTTAAGAAATTGGAGGAAAATTTTCGAACAGGGACCATCCAGAAGCTCATCATCTTCGACATGATCAACATCCACACAGGTCTGCGATCAGGGGACAGAAACATCAGACAGTATGAGAACGACCGACCAACAGGAACCCATGGCTCTGATAGAAGAAGCCATGGGTAGGGTTTATACGACGAGATTATTCACAGAACTGATACAGATAGCTTTTGAAGCAGGCAGCCGGTGTCGGAGGAGAACCAGGGGGTGTCCTTGCCGGAGGGGTTGAAGGCCAGCTGCTCTGCGCAGTCCAGATTGTCGCCGGAGAACTGGCAGCCGACGCCATCAGATCGAGGCAGTACTGGTAATAGGAGACAATGTTGTTCATGGAGTCGATTTAACCCTGGCCGCAGACCAGGTCGCCGTAGAGGACGTTCATGGTGGCAGCAAACCGGCCAGCCTCTTCGACAGGGTGTCACTGGCGTGAGCGGAGGGCTGCTTCTTCTTCGTTGGCGTCATCCACCGCCATATCGCCGCCTGGAAGGCCAGGGTCGCATTCTGCCCAAGGTACTCCGGATGGTTCAGAAGAAGAGGAGGAAGAAGGATGAGTACCAGTAGACGGGGAGGGCTCCGTGGCCGTAGTATAGGACACCGGGGGCTGCAAGGATAGTCGTAGTTCTTTGCGCAGTAGAGGACGCCGTAGAGGATGTGGGATCTGAGGATTTCTGCGGAAACGGCATTATTGGAAGAGGACGGGGATTAGGGTTCCACCGGGGGTTTCTGACTGGATCTGATTAATTAGGTTTCTGGATTGGGATTGCTCACAGGAGGTCTTGCTCCCGACGTGGCCGCGCAGCGCCCACCCATCATCGATCCGCCCTCGCCTGCGATTCCTCATCATACAAAACGTGATCAGACTTCCTCGCTCTTCTCCATGGAGGTGAAGAACGAGAGATCATAAAGGCGGTGGCGGCGCATTCAAAGGGCTCGAGGGAGATCCGGCGACGACGAGTGAGCAGTGGAAGCCATTGATCCACGAATAACGTCACCTGTCCTCTTCTTCCACCACTTCCTCCTTTCAGACGCCGCCGCAGCCGTCGTCTTCTTTTGTTCTGGGGCCTAACGAAAATTTTGGTTGAATCTCAAATAAATATTTTGTTATGCCTTTTTTTATACTTCTGATTTGTTCTAGGGCCCAACGAAAATTTTGGTTGTATCCCAAATAAATATCTTCTTGAGCCTTTTTCAAAATTTTAGCTTATTTTTAGTGTCCAACGAAATTTTTGGTAGAATATCAAATAAATATTTTATTGAACTTTTTTTATAGTTTCTGATTTATTCTGGCGTGCAACTAAAAGTATAGTCATATCTCAAATAAATATTTTACTAGGTACTTTTTATACTTTCTGATTTACTCGGGGGTATAATGAAAAGTTTGGTCAAATCTCAAATAAAAAATTCAGTGGAATCTCAATAACTTAAAATATAGTCTTTGTTTTATTTCGGGGTGCAACTAAGAGTTTGGTAGAATCTACAGTAAATATTTTAGTAAGACCTTTTTTCTAGTCCTTGATTTATTACAGGGTGTAATGAAAAGTATGATCATATCTGAAATAAATATTATAGAAAGCCCTTTTCATAATATTTGATTTATTTTGGAGTGAAATGAAAATTTTAGTCAAATCTCAAATAAATATTTTAGTAAGCACTTTTTCATATTATCTGATTTATTCGGGTGCAAGGAAAAGTATGGTCATATCTGAAAAAAAATATTTTAGTAATACCTTTTTGATGGTGTTTGATTTATTTAGGATGCAATGGAAAGATGATCATATCTCAAAATAAATATTTTAGTAAGACCTTGTTGATAGTCCTTGATTTATTCTGTGGCACAATGAAAAACATTTGGTTATATCTCAAATAAATATTTTAGTAAGACATTTTCATACTATTTCATTTATTTTAGGTTCAATGAAAAGTATGATTGATAAATCTTTATTATCATGAGTTAATAATTAATTAATAATATAGTTTTATGCTTAACATATTATAAATATATTTAGATTTATGTTAAATTATAAAAAAAATATTTAATTAATTATTTTTTAATTTTTTTATAATTTTATAATCATATTTTTGAGATAAATGAAGAAAAATAAAAAGATAGAAAAAGGAAATAATTCAAGTGGGTTGGTAGTATAGTCAAATAAGAACCATGAGCAAGGGCTCAAGCAACTAAGGATGGATTGAAAGTGAACACGTGTGTGTCACTCTTCTTCCACGTCACTAGGAATCAATCGGACATGGGCTAAGGAATGGTCATATACATGTAAGAGAGGAACACATTGATTTAAAAATCTCATATCACTCTATATCATCCTTAAAACTCGACATATAATTGATGTGGTATTAAATGTAGTTACATCTTCTCTAGAAGGTTTTAATAATTTAATACTTAAAAAACTTTTATTTATTAGAAGGATATACTTTGATAATGTCACTTTATAAAGATTTTGCATACTTATTTCACTTTCACTAGTGAGGGTTTGAATCTTATCACAACTAAAACTCATATTTTTATATGATTAAATTATGATTTCTCTATAGATTTTTAGTGAACGATTAAGTTGTTAGAATCACTCAATTATCAATAAAAATTTTATCAACATGATTCGCGGAATATTGTTATGAAAATTACTGAATAATTATGGATAAAAAGATCATGAATCTATCAAATAAATCATCTTCAATTAATCAACAAATAAGTTGTTATTGAGAAGAAGACGATGCATTAAAAGACAAGTCCATACCTTTTGAAAGTATATAAGATGTGATGGAAAACTTTTTTTTACTATGCAAACTTGAGAATGAAATTCCTTAAGATATAACCTACTTCCATCTAGCTCATCTCCATTAGGTGATAGATGTCGGAGAGTTACAAAATTATCATTTTTCTATTCCATTAAGTGACAACTGCTAAAGATGATTCGATGATCTACTTCATTGATTTCTAAACTTCACAAAAAGATCTAAAGATTACTCATGTTGTTTATGTCTAAAGAAAGCTTTCGAGGTCATAGATATTACACAATAATTCTCTCAAACATAGAATTCTAATAATCAATGTCATGAAGTCAATATTTTACTTTTATAATTTTAAACTTAATTTTTACTTAATTTAGTGATACTTTATGTAATTTTAAGTTTATAAAACCTTCTTCATTTAATTATATATTTTTTAACTTTTACAAATCTTAATTTGACCCATTAAATCATTTATGCTAACTTACATAAGAATCATCAAGTGAAACTCTATTTCTGCTCAAATCATGTTACTCAGAGTACTGACATCATCTTGACATCCACACCTTTATTTTTTTATGAATTTTTAAATATATTTATATTCACTATTTAGTCTAAAAATTATAAAAAAATTATATTCTTTTAGAATTTTTTTGAAATATTACATTATATTATCTTACATACTTGTAATTGACTTGAAAATTCTCTCATATTTTAGAACTTTTTATTGAATTATAATTGATTTATTGATTTTTAAATATTTCTAAAAATCTAAAATTAGTATTTTCTAGTTTTATAAAATTTAAAAGTATCTGATTTATTATACAACAACTGTCACATCAATGGTTATATTTGAAAATAAATACTTTAGTAAGATGTTTTTGATAGTATTTTTGTAAGACCTTGTTGATAGTTCTTGATTTATTATGTGGTACAATGAAAAAAATTGGTCATATCTCAATTGAATATTTTAGTAAGTATGGTCAATGAAATAGTGTTCTGTTTATTTTGGATGCAATGAAAAGTATGGTCATATGTCAAATAAATATTTTAGTAAGACATTTCTGATAGAGTTTGATTTATTTAGGGTGCAATGAAAAGTTCGGATGAAGCTCAAATAAATATTTAGTTAAGCTTTTTTTATTGTTTTTGATTTATTCTGATGTACAAAAGTTTAGACATATCTCAAATATTTATTTTAGTAAACATTTTTTTATAGTATTTCATTTGTTTCAATGTGCAATGAAAAGTTTGGCTGAATTTACAATAGATATTTTATTACGCCTGTTTTAATAGTCCTTGATTATTTTGGGGTACATTGAAAAAAAGTATGGTCATATTTCAAATAAATGGTTTTATAAGACCATTTTTATAGTCCTTGATTTATTTTGCATAAAATTAAAAATTTTGGTAATATCTCAAATAAATATTTAGTATATCCTTTTTTTAGTCATTGATTTATTATGAGGTAAAATGAAAACGTTTGGTCATACCTCAATATTTATTTTGGTAATAACTTTTTATAATATTTCATTTACTTTTGGGTACAATGAAAACATTTGGGCATATCTCAAATAAATATGTTAGTTATACCTTTTTAATAGTCTTTGATTTATTTTGGGGTATAATGAAAATATTTGGTCATATCTCAAATATTTATTCCAGTAAGCAATCTTTTATGGTGTTCAATTTAGTAAGTCTTAATTTATTTTTTTTGTATCTCAAAAGGTTAGGGGTGCAACGAAAAGTTTGGATTTATCTCAAATAAATATTTTATTTAGTCTTTTTTTACAGTTTTTGGGTTCTTGTGGGGCCCAATGAGACTAATATTTTGTTAAGCCTTTTTTCTAGTTTTGGCTCTCTTCTTTGGCTTAGAAAATTTTGTTCCAATCTCAAATAAAGATTTTATTGAGGTTGTTTTTTACTTTATTCTTGGGTCCACATAAAATTTTGTTTGAATCTCAAATCAAAATGTTATTGAGTTTTTTATAGTTTATCTTTTATTGTGGGGCCAAACCAAAATTTTGGCCAGGTCTCAAATAAATATTTCTTAAGCCTTTTTCATAGTTTTGGCTTTCTTGTAGGACTTTCATAAATTTTGCTTGAATATCAAATAAATATTTTGTTGAGATTTTTTAATAGTTTTAACTTTCTGTTGGGGCCAACAATTTTTTGGTCGAATCTGAAATGAATATTTTGTTGAGTGTTTCTTTTAGTTCTTGCTATCTTTTGGGGCTACCGAAAATTTTGGTCAAATCTGAAATAAAGATGTTGAAGTTTTTTTTTATAGTTTTCATTTTTATTGTGGGCCCCATGAATATGTTTCGGTCGAATGTCAAATAAATATGTTTGTTATGCCATTTTTATAATTCTTTATTTTTCGGGAGCCAATAAAAATTTGGTCATATTCTAAATAAATATTTTGTTTACTTAGTATTTCTGATTTTCTTTCAGCCAACGAAGGTTTTTGATAGAATCTCAAATAAATGTTTTGTTGAGTGTTTTTTTATAGTAGATGATTTGTTTTGGGCCCAAGAAAATATTTGGTCGAGTCTCAAATATTTATTTTGTTGAGGTGTTTTTGACAGTTTTCGCTTTGCTCTGGGGCCCAATGAAAATTTTGGTCGAATGTGAAATAAAAAATAATTTGTCTAGCTTTTTATTTTAGTTTTAGTTTGTTCTGGGGTTTCAGCATGCGCAGGATGCACGCTAGCTGGAACCGTAGCTGACATTGTAACGTGCCTCGCATGTTTAATTGAGAAAAATGTAGGAAATGTATTTATATGGAAACAAAAATAATGGGGCCATAATTGAGAAAATGTGGGAAAAAATAAAATAAAAAGAAAAAGAAAAGGAGGGGGAGGGAGATCAGGCCCGAACCCTCCTAGTAGGATCTGGCAAATATGGCAACCTCGGCCGCGGGTTGACCGGACATGAGGCAGGTCTTCTCCCCTTCAGGCTGGTCAAATGGGAAGCACCTTATGGTGGCGCCCGTCTCTTCTTTCACCCTCAGCTCCTCTTCATCACTGCATCAAGAAATAAATAAATAAATAAATAAATAAATAAAGATGAGACAGCAGCTGTTTACTTATATCTATTTATTCATTTATTTATTTCTGTGCTCATAAAAACACCATCAGAGATCTGACCGCATGAAGATGAAACAATGATCCAGAGGAATGAATGGTAAACAAGGCTGGCTGGAAGATGATCAAAGAGCTCTCTTTTTTTTTCTTTTTTTTTCTTTTTTTTTCTTTTTTTGTACACATGGCTGAGGATCAGGTCAGAACACCACCATCCAGGCCCAGATCGAAGGATAACCGAGCAGCAGATCAAAGGATGTGGGCGGGTGACATCATGATGCTTACTATATAACAAGAGGTGATTTATCATCAGAATCAGCACAAAGGATTCGTCAGTTTTATGTGAGGAAAGTTCTTTTTTTTTTCATTGGCAGAAATAGAAAGCAAGAAAAGAAGAAGAAAGAAATAGAATCATGGAGGAGTTTGAGTTGACTGATGGATGGATGATTAATCAGTCACCTCGCAGACCAGGGACCCCTTGCCCACTTGCCCTCAGCAATAGCAGCCTTCAACTCCTCATATGAGGTCACATCCACGATGTTACTGCACATGGAATTCGCAAGAACAATCAGGGGGAAAAGAAAAATAAAAATAAAAATATGTTCCAAACCAACAAGTGATATGCCAAATAAAGGTAAAAAGTTGGTCATAATTCGAAACTCAATTTGAACACAAATACTTATTCAGGAAGCATAATCACTAAGATTTTGCCAAAAAAAACAAAGAAAGGGAAGCAGCCTGCGCCTTCAAAAAAGGTAAAATCAAATGATTATTGCCTGTATCTGATCATATCCCATGAAAGCGGGAAGAAAAAGGATATAAAGAGGAAGAGACACGATACGCCCCCTTTCCGGTAAGTAATAAGCAGTAAAGGAGGAGTTGGATCCATCACCTGTCCCGGAAAGTGGTGGCCCTCTGTAGGAGAGACGCCTGGATGTCGTCCAACCTCTGGTTGACATGGCTGACCAGCACGGAGGGCTCCATAGATATCCCAAACTCCTTTCCCTGCTTTCCGGGGGCGTCCCTCCTCGACGTCACCACAGTTCTCTTGGACACATCGCGAGGTCCGACTTCGATTCTCAGGGGCACTCCCTGAGGAGAGGATGACGATGAGGATGAAACATCATGATGAACAAGGACAACTTGCTGAAAAAAAGCCAAACCAAAAACCGTCGAGGAGGCTCAGTCGGAGCACCACATCGACACAGTTTGGCCTTGGATCAAAGCCAGAAGACTAGACTCGACACAGCTCGGCCTTGGATCAAAGCCAGAAGACTAGACTCGACACAGCTCGGCCTTGGATCAAAGCCAGAAGACTAGGCTCGACACAGCTCGGCCTTGGATCAAAGCCAGAAGACTAGGCTCGACACAGTTCGGCCTTGAATCTTCCATTTTACGAGAATAAATCGAAGGCAAGCAACAAATGAAAAGCAGAGATGCTGCTATCTGTTCAATCTCTGCCCAGGTGAGAGCATACCTTCATTTCCCAGAAATTGTATTTCCATCCCGGTGTCCTCTGTTCTGAGTCATCCACTTTAACTTTGATTCCTGCTGTTTTGAGCGCTTTCTCTATGGACGACACGGATTCAAGGACTCCGACCTTCTCATCAGCAGTCTTCCATATGGGTACTATCACAACCTGGAGTCATACCACCAGTACATTGCATTCGGCATCTCAAAATGGTAGATATGTGCATACATAAATATATGCGCGCGTGTATCTTCATATCGGACCGGCGTGATTATTCTCGTCAGATAAATAAGAACTAACTAACCAAGACTCATCTCGTAGATAAGAAGCAGCCATGACTGCACTTTACAAAATATATGCATAAATCTAATAACTTCGCCACATCAAGACAGTCTCGGGATCTGACACAGACATATGACATGCCAATTGTTAAAAATAGACAGAAGGATATGATCTGATATGATTTTTTTCTGCCCATGCATGTACATACAAACTCAAAGATAATAAAACCAGTTAACTCACATGACCACATGGTTTTGAAAAGTAAATAAAAAAATAAAAAATAAAAAATAAAATCTGATTTTAATGGTTACAAATGCCAAATATCCAGTGAGAAACAAAAACTCCTTATTTTATATTTCAAAATGCAAATCCATTCGTTGCAAAGGAAAACATACGCCATGTTGAGATACGTGCAATGGGCTGTGCATTATAAAACGTAAAATGATAGGGTAAATAACTCGACAGGAGATGTACCTGCACTGGTGCTATTTTTGGGGGAAGCATCAAACCAGCATCATCTCCATGAGTCATAATTATACCACCTATGAAACGCGTGCTGATAGCCCAGGAAGTCTGCCACACATGTTGCCTCTGTCCGTTTTCATCTGTGAACTGGAAGATGGAAAAGAATGCACACATTCAAACCTAATGCTACGTATCACCATCCACAAGCACAGACAATGCAGAGAGATATGATGAAACAAACATACATTAGAAAGATAATTTTAACTTAACATTTTGGTTATCAATTCATGTCCAAATCCTTAATGAATGTGAAATGTGCCTTGAATGTGCCCTAATCATACGTGCCAAAATGGAGAGAATGTGACATCACAAAGGCAAAAACATAGGCACATGCAGTCCAGCTTTTTGTGCTTACTTCGGTACTATTCTTATTGGCTGCAGAACATAGCAAATTATCTTTTGTAGTCTTTTTTATCATCGAGGGAAAAAGAAAACCCAAGCTCTCTCAAGATGTCATAATGGATTCCAAGCCCTCCTTATACTCCCTTTGACAACGTTATGGTAAATTCCAGCATTTCCCCTTCTCTCCCTCTTCTTCTCCCTTCTCATGAAAGAAGCACACGGAAAGGAAGCTCCTGCAGAAGCGTGTGGCAGGGAATGACTCCCAGATGAAGTGAGGACAGGCATAAATCTTTGTTCATTTCTTATGACTTTTCTTCACCTTCTAACTCTAATGATATTCTCTTTTCTCTTTTTTCTATTCGAGAATCGTATAGTTCTAGGTGTATACTTCTTTCCAATCACATATCATCCCAGTTTGGAAAAATAATATAATGGTAGGCTTAAATCCATAAATTTTAACATTAAGAAAAATGTCTCACTTAAAGTTGAAAATAAAGTAACCTGTGTTCCAAAGGCACGAGAGAAATTCTGCCCGAGGTTGTGACTAGTTCCAGCTTGCAAAGCTTTTTGATCACCCATCATAGCTTCAATTGTATATGTTCTGGAAGCACCAGCAAAAGTCTCGATCGTGGATTTTCGGCCAGGGATAACAGGTATGGCAGCTACCTCGTAGGCAAATTTTGTGTAGACATCAATCATCTGTAGGGCCTGTCGCATCGAAATAACACAAAGCTAGAGTTTCGAAGAGTATCAAAGAAAAAAAACAGATTAGTAAATTCAATGCAGAGTTGAAGACAATAAACCTCCTTTTCTGCCTCTTCTGGGGTTCCGTGGGCTGTGTGGCCTTCCTGCCATAGAAACTCGAGAGTTCTGATAAATGGCTTTGTGCGCATTTCCCATCTTGTGACATTCGCCCACTAAAGGAGAATAGTCAAAAACAAGACATCAAGAATATTTTTTGCCGACATGCATTAAGTGGACATTCAGATATGTCAATCACAACCAGACCTGATTGATCATTAGAGGAAGATCCCGGTAACTATGAATCCATTGAGTAAACATGTGATTCACAATTGTCTCACTAGTTGGTCTCACCTGTCATAGCCTCAAATCAATGGCATCAAAGACAATATTAATATAGAACCTTCTTATTTAAACTATTCCTCGGGCAACACCTAATAATAATGGACGTCAAACATTCATAAGTATGACATATCAGAAAAAGGAATAAGGGACTACCACAAGTTTTTCTTCAAGTTCTTTTCCTCCTCCAATTGTAACAAGAGCCAACTCTGGACTGAAACCTTCAACATGACTTGCTTCCTTCTCTATAAATGAGTATGGTATGAACTGCATCGGTGGTCAAACAGAACAATCACGAAAATACCAACTAGAAATTTATAAAATTGCATTATTGAGTATGATAAAATCGATGCTTGAAAAAAAGAATCACAAGCTAGAAAAGAGTGTGCGGCAGAAAAATAAGGATCCTCCTTTTGAAAGCAGGAAGTGAAGACCATTTGTTAAGAACATTCGTACACCGCACCTTTTCACACTTCTTGAAATATTCAATGATAGGTTGTCCAGAAAGAGGGCATCTCACAGTCGAGGCATCATCCCATGAACCATGGTCAACGTCTGGGGACTAGATATTGCACTAGAGAAATTTTCTCGTAGCCTTCTTGTACCGCTAATCACTGTCGTGATGCTGACAATAGCCACCTTTGGCTTCAAGCACTCTTCGAAACTCCCTCCACTCTTTTCCTATCCCTTTATCTTCTTCTTCTCCATCTCTTTGCCAATTACTCATCTACTTCCATCTCCTTGAACTCCTTTCTCTGGCTGCTCAGTCATTCCCTCATTCGATTCCTTCTCCTCCTTCCTCGTACAATGTCCCCTTGAATCCTCCTCTACCATGATAGAACTCCCTTCTTCTTACCATTCATTCCTCTATTACCACCACCTGGCTTGTGAAAGGGACCATCATATCAATCCTAGAATGAAAGGGATGGAGAACCCTGAGCAGAAGAAAAGGAATATTCAAAATTTTCGATCAGAGGAAGTGTTTTGTCAAGATGTCGAATTCAAAAAGCAGCCATCACACAATTACAAGGTTGACATGATTCCTGTGAAAATGATTCGTTGTTTTGGAGTTCAGCATCTTATATAATCCAACCGTTGACATGAGGATCTAGTAGAAAACACAAATAGTGGATTTGCAGGAGAAATCATCCTCCCTTCTTCAGCAATAGGAGATCATTTTTCTCATGTCCCAAGGTTACTCGAGTACCAGGAAAGAAGCTTATCTTGACTGAGAGTAACGATTCTTTTATGTTTCAGAATAATGTCGAACTGAAATGCAAAATCGATTGCATAGCCCAGTATGATACGTATCCAAGAAATAGCATAACGCATTGGGATGAATCTGTATGGAGTGGGCCGTTAGTCACCGAAATCGAAATCTGAAGGCGAGAAAAAACTAAGGAATCTTTTCTCCCCACGTTGAACCAACTAATGTCAATGTTTTACTCGTTGAAATCATCAAAATGTTTCCTCAAAAATATATTAAGTTCAGATACAAAGTTAGAGGCTAATCAATTAAGGCTGTGCTAATGGCTTCTAACATCAAAAGTTACAATGACATTTTTAACAGTTTTCCAAAGAAAAATACAATTATAGACTAAAATAGTGCTTTGACTGAGATCAATCAACCAAAGAGAGTGCGTATTGGCAAATAGATTATCCACCTTCTTCTTTATCATCTATCCTTCTTTCTTTCGAGAACCACTGCAAGAAAGCGTATTGTTTCATCTTTGATCGCAAGAATATGAAAATAGGAAATACTTGTCCCGACATTGTCTTATTTTCTCTACAGCTCTCATTTCGTAATTTATTTTATAGCATCCTAATGTAAAATAGCAGTTATCTTTCCCCACTCCATGTTCTGCATGGCATAAGCAAAGTCTATGAAGGCCTGATGCCGAGATCTATGACACATTTCCTTGAGCATTTCTTTCAAAGTACAAAGTGAAATTTTACGGAGAGATTTTTCCCGAGAGAATAGATTTCAGTAAGACTTAAACAAACAAATGCAAGCAAAGGGAGTTGAATCATCGTCTGAAAAAATAAATGATAATAACAAACTAGTTTGAAACTGACATCTGAAAGTTAGGCAAGTTCTTTAAAAATACATGAATTCTATAAGAAACAGTTGTATCGGTTGATTGATCTCCAATCTCCTGGTCATTTTCAAATAAATAACTCATATCCTGCTATGAACTGCAATTAATAATTGGTCACAGTGGTCGATTAGACAGTGCATTATTATCATCAAAAAAAAAATTATACTCCTTCCAAATCAGATAATTATATACACCACAGAAAATAGGATATTCATCAAATTGAATAAATAATAGGTGCATGGTCGAGGATTTACCTGGGGAAAATACATGTTGCTATGCCCTGTTTCCTTGAATTTCACGTTCAAATAGTCCTAATGTCACATAGGAAGCACAGAACAAAGTCAGAAATGCCTGCAATAGGGTAACAAGGATAACAGGTAATTATCAGGGACTATTGGAGGAGGAGGGGGGACAAGCCAAGAGCCAACCTGGATGTTCTCCCATATGGCATAGCCATAGGGACGGATGACCATGGTGCCGCGTACCGGCCCATAGTCGGCGAGTTCGGCGTAGGCTATGACGTCGAGGTACCAAGCGTTGAAATCCAAGGAGCGGGGCGTCACAGCCCCGTCCTGATTCGGCTGAGCGCCCTTCCCCTCTGAGGGCTGCGGAGGCGGCACCCGCTGCTGCTCATCCTTCGCGAGGCTCTGTGTCGACACCCCGCCGCTGCTGCTGGAGAGGCACGCCGACGCCCTCCGGGCAGACCTCCGCCGGAGAGAGGAGCAAAGAGAGTGAACAGTAGCGGCGGAGGAGGAGGAGGAAGAGGAAGAGAAGTAGGTCCACGGCCGCGCCGCCGCCGAGGGAGAGCGGAGGACGGCGAGAGACGGGAGCCGGATAGCTCCCATTAGAGAGAGAGAGAGGGAAAGAGATGTTCTGCGAGTAAGCGAGTTATCTCTCTCCTCCTCGAGCGGGTGATGGGGGGTCGCAGTTCTACTAGTGGCCGTTGAAACGAGTCAACTCGGCCAATGTCTCCTGGTGAGTCGACCCGGGCGGCTCCGGACGATTCGCCCATCGACCGGGTCTGTCAATATCTTGTCACGAAGCTCCCTGCTGTGGCGTATCCCACCCGATCGGACGTTTGCGATCGACCGTACCAACCTACGTCTTTCTTGATCAGTGAGGTCTACCCATCCCACGGCCGGTGATCTGATCTTCTGATAGCCGCAGGGACGCATCGCTCAATTCTATCCCTTCGTTTGGTGGTCCTCAGAAGAGCCACTTGATCGCTGCGGCCTCAACCTGGATCATACTGAGAGAGAGAGGATTTCTGGAGGGATGATAAGCTCGATTCACTAAACCTCCAGTTTTTAACTAATTTTCTAAAATTTTGGGTTTCAATATTTTATAAAACCATATATATTTTTAAGAGGATTATGTATATTCCCATTATCATCATTTTTGGCGAGTTTCCATGGGGGGTATCCGCACAATATCCTTTTTATGTTGGTAATACCATCATATGTTTAATGTGTTCGCACTCCCGCTCTCTCTCTCTCTCTCTCTATCTCTGTATATCGCTCTCACACACTCTCCCTATCTCTCTCTCGCAATTGGCCAAAGATCTTCAAAGTGAGAGTTTTCCCATAAATTCTCAAGGGCGGAACTCTAAATTCCATCCAGAGCGAATTATTCCAATGCAAATTCCCCTCTTCCCACAATGGTCCATCCATAATCTCTTCTGTGAGAGAGAGAGAGAGAGAGAGAGAGAGAGAGAGAGAGAGAGAGAAACTCTCAGGTTCTAGCGGGCTCCGTGGTGAGGCCATAGCCGAAGGGGAAGAGGGGATCGTAGTGCGGGTCGCCGACGTTCATGGGGAGCTGATCCACGGATCTGAACCAGGTATGAGCGAGCTTCCCGGAGAATCCGTGGCCGCCGAAGAGGAGGTCTGCCACTCCGGCGCCCTCCGTCCCCGGCAACCACGCTGCCACCAGAGCGTCAACTCCGGCGAGGTAGGGTTCCACCATCACCGGCCGGCCGGAGACGACGACGACGACGCATTTGACGTGCTCGCACACGCAGCGAATCGTCTCCGGCCCGGGATAGGCCAGTGTGAGGTTGGTGCTGTCGCCCTGTCCCTCAGCGTAGGGATGCTCTCCGACGACCGCCACGGCGAAGGAGAAGCCGCCGTTCTTGACGAAATCAGCGGCGGGGTTCTCTGAGTAGACCACATCTGTGGCCGGATCCACCGCTTCCTTCACACCGGCGAGGATCGTCGTTCCTGCCCCCGAAGGGTAGATAAGGGTTAGAAATCGCCCCCATGCTCCTCTTGATGATCTCACAGAGAGAACGAGAAAGATAGTCCAGGGGTCTGTTCTTCTGAGAGCAATCCAGATCGTCGTTCCTGTCCCGAAGCTCATCTCTCTCTCTCTCTCTCTCTGTCTAAAAGGATGCTTACCGAGGGTGTGGTTGTTGCCGCTGAGGCCCTGCCAAGTGATCGTCCAGCCGCCGCACTGGTAGCCGAGGTTGTCGGCGTGGCTGCCCGCGACGAGGATGCGGGGGGCCTTCTTGGGGAGTGGCAGCAGCGGCTCAGCCCCAGGCTTCCCGTTCTTCAGCAGCACCAGCGACTTCCTCACCGCCTCCCTCGCCAGATCCCGGTGCTCCTGCGTGGCGGCGGCGCCGTCGTCTCCGGTGAGTCATACCCATCAAAGGTCGGCAAAGTCTCCGGCCATCTACGTAGAAGAGTTCGAGTCAACGCACCTGCTTGCCCAGCTGGTCGCCCAGGGAGGGCTCGGGGAAGGGATTCTCGAAGAGTCCCATGGAGAGCTTCACCCGTAGGATCCTCCTCACGGCGTCGTCTATCCTGCTCATCGGGATGAACCCCCCCTTCACCAAGTACGAGGCGTCTTGGAGGTATCCGGTCAAGTTGAAGGGAAGCATGATCTGCAACATTATCGGCACCAGCCCTGATCACTGTCATATAAACGTATATATCTATGGACATAGAGAGAGAGAGAGAGAGAGAGAGAGAGAGAGAGAGAGAGAGAGATGCAGGAGGCCTTTGCAGAGGATGAACTAGATCACTCAACCCTCAGGAAAGATACGATTTTTGGAGCAAATATGGGGCAGAAACCGGGTTTTTGCGTGATGACTTTCAAACGAAGATTTCGACCACGAAAGAATCGGATACAAGTTTGATGATTATGCTTTTTTATATCCGCTGAATCTAACCATAAAAGAACGGAGAGGAGCTGACCATGTCGATACCGGCGAGGATGCCAGCCTGGAGAGAGAAAGTGTAGTTCTTCCCAGGCGGGGAGGTGATCTTGTCCAGACCCGTCCAGTCCGTGATGACAAAACCCTGAAACCAGTTGGGCGATTGAAGAAGACGAACTCAGAGAGAAGATTTCAGAAAAACCAGATACCCATTTTCAGATCAGGTGGATAACCAGGTACCCGGAACCGGAGCCTGTTCTTAAGGAAGTCGGTGATGAGGAAGCGATTGGCGTGCATCTTGACCCCGTTCCAGCTGGAGAAGGAGATCATCACCGTGGAGACTCCCCTGGCGATGGCGTTGTAGTAGGGAGGCATGTGGATGCTGAGCAGGCCGTGGAAGTCGATGATTGTGTTGTTCTCGTTGATGCCCTTCTCCGTCCCGCCGTCGCCGACGTAGTGCTTTGCGCAGGCGGCGACCTTGGTTCTGTGTTGAAGGTCGGTCAAAGGTCTAAGCCTCCGAAGATCCCAGAGAGGCGGCTCTAGAGAGATGGGAGAGGAAGAATAAGATCTATCTCGGTCGTTGGGGTTACCTTCCGGCGACGAAGGGGACGCCTTTGCGGGAGTTTGTGGGGATCTCTCCCTGCAGTCCGGAGATGACCGCCGTCATCGCCTGGACGATCTTCGGGTCCTCGCTGAAGCTCTCGTAGCAGCGGCCCCATCGCGGGTCTCTGCACACCTGGCCCATCGAACGACAGAAAGAGTTCAGGATGATGATGATGATGATGAAGAAGCAGAAGAAGAAGAAGAAGAACTCTTACGGCGATGCAGGGGGCGAAGACATAGGGGATCCCGGTCGCTCGGACTTCAAGCGCAGTCGCCGCGCCGATCCTCTTCAACAGCTCGGGATCCCTGCGAGAGAGAGGGAAGAGGAGGAAGGTCGAATCATGGCCATGCGCAGGGGAGTTAGGAAATGGGAGTCTCCCAGTGAGAGAATACTCGCCTGGTAACTCCAAGGCCGATATTATGGGGGAAGATGGTGGCCTTGTAGACGTTGTTGTGGCCGTGGACTGCGTCGATCCCGTAGAGCATGGGGATTCCCAGGCGGGTGGAGAGGGCGGCCTTCTGGATCTTCCCCACCATCTTGATCCAGTCCTCCGTTGAGGCCTTCTCAACGGGAACACTCCCTCCACTGCTCAGCACACTCCCTGAGCCACCATCACCAATCAAGAGCTATTCTAGAGAGAGAGAGAGAGAAAGAGAGAGAGGCGGAGGAAGATGGGAACGGACCAACGGAATACTTCTTCATGATCTCTGCTGAGGCGATGGACCGCTCGATCTGCGCCATCTGCCCAAGCTTCTCCTCGAGGGTCATGCGGCTCAGTAGGTCCTTCAAGCGAACGTTCAGTGGCTGCTTTGGGTCCTTGTATTTGGGCCACTCCGCCGCCGCCGCGGACCAGATACAGAAGAACGCGAAGGCCATCACCGCCGCCCTCCATCTCCCCGCCTCCCGCTCGGAGCTCATCTTCCTCCTCCCGGTTAGAAACTTAGGCAATGAAGAAACAATCATGAGCGGAATCGTCCGTTGGAGCGAAATTCAAGCGGCCGGAAGGGGAAATGGAGATAACCCAGAAGGGATCTGATCTTGAGGACTTCTATGAGAAATAAAAGTGGAGAGATTCCGGGAAGATATCGCCACACACAGAGTATCCAGAGCCAGACAATAAGCAGAAATTTCTAGAACTGAGGAAAGGGAGAGGCAAAGGAGAGGATCTCTGCAGACCCTGTAATCATGATGGTCATCCTCCGTCAACTTTCCTTTCTCCTCCGGATTGAAAATCGGAAGACGGGTTCTTCTTCTTCCGTTTCCAGGCACATTTCTGATGGCGATATGGGGAGAGAGACAGACACAGATGGAGAGTGAGTGAGAGAGAGAGAGAGAGAGAGAGAGAGCGCTCACCTCTGATCTGTGTGAATTCGGTCAGTGGAGAGTTGCAGTGTGAACTCGGGACTTGTGTTCACTGCTTGTCTTATTCTAGGTAGAAAATTACTCTGAGAACCTAATATTTCTACATATTGTAGGTATATTCCTCCTCTTCGAGATCAGGGTATGACCACAGTATTCATAAATACAGGGTTACGAACGTGGTTCCCCACTGTGCAGCTGTCGGCGGTCCACCCCCATCATATTCATCCAGTGGCCGTACGAGATCCGAGATATTTTAAGGCGACATTCTGATTTATTAAAACAGTTAAATCTGTATATTACAACCGTGGATATCTTTTTCTATAAATATCTACTGTTTTTTTCGTCAACTTGAATTAATCGGGCCATCTCGTCTTGACCGAGTCCAGATCCGCTTGGTCCTCTCTCTCTCTCTCTCTCTCTCTCTCTCTCTCTCTCTCTCTCTCTCTCTCTCTCTATCTATGTTTACATTAGTTCCAAAGACTTACTAATGTACTTGTGGAAATTATAGTATATTAAATTCAAACCTTTAATTTTTTTAGATAAAACTTCTTGTACACAAGTAGAATTGAGCTGCCCACCTCTTGAAAATTTAATCCATCAAGTAGGTCCTAGTTATCAATGAGAAATAATAATAAAATATTATGCCCATGTCTTGGAAGATCATGTTGTGTCTCTAACGAAAGCTTTGGGGGACTATTAGAATTTCTTTGAGGGGAAAGGATTAATTAACATGTTTGATAATATTAAGAAAATCATATAGGATATAAAAATCAGTATTTATGTTTAAACTTGAATGAAATGTTTTTATATGAAAATTTGTGTCACAAACATTGCCATTTTAGAAAGCTTGCTGAATAAGGAACATAATGTAATAAACTGCACATCAAAATTCGAAGGCATGGATTTTTACGAATTCGATAATATTTAAAATTATTTATGAACTTTAATTATAAGACATGAGATATGACATATATTAAACCACTGGACAACAGTTGGGACAGCTTAATAGATTGAAAATCGAAAGCAGCCCAGTACACTCCTTAAAAAAGAAGAGACTTTAACTCACTTTGAGAGAGAGTTTGATAGAAAGAATTTGAGAGAAAATTTCAAGAAAAATCTAAAGAGAGCTTCAATATCCATTGTCTTCCTCTGAGGAGTCCAAGCTTCACTGTTGCATCCTTGAGCACATGAAAGTCACAAAGATTTGCTGCTACTCAAGCTTTTGAAAGATTCTTTCATGTCAGCTAATCTCTAATTTTAAAGTATGTTTGCACACTCTAGTCTCCTGACTTGATGCTCAAGGATTTTGAAAGACTTGTTCATGTCACGTTTTCTTGACAACAAATAAGAGGACTAAGGCTTCTGAGAAGCATCAAGATAAATGACTATAATTGCAATGCACTCAACTTTAGTCTTTAAAGTATGTTTGCACTCAAGGCCTCTCTAAGAGTCTTAATCTAGAAGAGATTAGATGACACTAATCTTGCTTGGTCTCCTAGAGCGATTAGTATAGAAGAGATGAGTGGGCCTCCCTCTCTCTCTCTCTCTCTCTCCCTCTCTCGCTCTACTCTAGAATGCTAACGGAGTGATCACTACAAACCAGAATGCTTCAGGACTTCTGCATCCGAGACAAGGTATTTTTTTCCCTTCTCCCCTTCATGGTTGCACCTTGTGTGAGAATGGATGGCCCTGAGTGCAACTTGCTGACCAGCTCGATCTAACTTCAACTATTAGAACTATAGTTTTTGAGATATGAGGTCATTCAGCCAGTTTCTATTTTTTTCCTTTCTGTTCGGTTGGATTAGTCAACAGTTTTGATGAGTGTATTTTGACTTCTTCAGGGCGACGTGGGTTGCATGCTATTAGACGGAAGAGGTAGCATGGCCAATAGATGCTTGTTTGCTGCAATTTAGTATTTCATGCTAAACTTGGAGAGATATCACACTAACGGTACTTTCCAAGTTTACCCAATTATTTTTGTTAACTAAATAATTACACTCGAGTATATTTACCCAGAAGAGAGAGAGAGAGAGAGAGAGAGAGAGAGAGAGAGAGAGAGAGAGAGAGAGAGAGAGAGAGAGATCAAAAGTATGGTTTAAGAAGTCAAAGGTTCTGGCGAAACATGCATTTCAGTCATGTATGTGCAAATAACATTGTTTCTGGGCGTTAGTGCATTAGGTATTTTAAAGGGATTTAATTAAAAATAAGCGTACAAGACCCATCAAATACTGTCTGAACTACTTGACCAGTCGTGTTGGACAACCGTTCTGTCAAACTCTAGTCTGAACGCCATGATTAGGTCAAACTCACGTGCTGCCAGCGGCGGTTGCCGAAAGCAGCACTGACTCACGTCACCACATAATCCAACTCTCATCCATTTACCTCTTTTTTTTCTCTCTCTCTCCTCTCTCTTTAACCCCAGAAAGTGGAGAGCAGCCGATCGGTGCGAGGAGATAAGAGAGAGAGAATTAGGCTTAGAGCGAGATTGAGAGATAGGGAGGGACCATGACAGCAGTTTTACCCAAAAATTATTATTAATATTTGGCTGCATAAATAATCAAAAACTTTACCGCCAATAAATTAAAAATAGGTTTAATGGCGAACACGCCGGAGAAACATGCGTTGACCAGAGACGAATGTTGTGAGCCATGTGGATGGGGCGCTAGGGAGAATGGCGGACACATTCCATTGGGGGTGTTCCTTAATCTGTTTTCCCGTGCATTTATAAGATAATATGGAAGAAACGATTCTAGGAGTGTTTTTCTCCCATGCCACCGACAAAGCTGGAAAAATAAGGCTGGGGTTCCCTTTAGCCTTGAGGAATCCGGAGAGTTCACACTCCGAGTCTCCCCATCCCTACCTTCCATAAACTGCGTCCGTATGCTCCCTCTCTCTCCAATTCCGGCCTTCACCAGTACTTGTTGGTGCACTATGCTTTGCCGTGATCTATCTCTGGTGACAAGGCGGAGGGAGATGAGCTCCGGGCCAGAGGCGGAGAGATGGAGGGTGGCAGCGATCGCCGTCGCGATCTTCTGCTTCTGGTCCGCAGCGGCGGCAGCAGAGTACCCCAAATACAAGGACCCCAAGCAGCCGCTGAATGTTCGCCTGAACGACCTACTGAGCCGCATGACCCTCGAGGAGAAGATCGGCCAGATGGCGCAGATCGAGCGGTCCATCGCGTCCCCTGAGGTCATGAAGAAGTACTTCGTGGGTCCGTAGGCGATTCCCATTGCTCTCTCTCTCTTTCTCTCGCTAGAGTAGGTCTCATGACTGGTGATGTTGGCGCAGGGAGTGTGCTGAGTGGTGGCGGGAGTGTTCCCGTTGAGAAGGCTTCGGTGGGGGACTGGGTGAAATTGGTGGCGGGGCTCCAGGAAGGTGCCCTCTCCACCCGCCTGGGAATTCCCATGCTCTACGGGATCGACGCAGTCCACGGCCACAACAATGTCTACAAGGCCACCGTCTTCCCCCATAATATTGGCCTTGGAGCCACCAGGCGAGTGTTCTCTTACAGAAAGCCTCCTCCCAATTCCTTAACTCCCCTGGGCATCACCATGATTCTTCCACTGCCCTCTCCCCTCTTGCAGGGATCCCGAGCTGGTGAAGAGGATCGGGGCGGCGACTGCACTTGAAGTCCGAGCGACCGGGATCCCCTACGTCTTTGCCCCTTGCGTCGCCGTAAGTATTCCCTTTCTTCTTCCTCTTCTTCTTCTTCTTCGTCATTATCCTGAACTTTTTCTGGCGTTCGATGGACCAGGTGTGCAGAGACCCGAGATGGGGCCGCTGCTACGAGAGCTTCAGCGAGGACCCGAAGATCGTCCAGGCGATGACGGCGGTCATCTCCGGCCTGCAGGGAGATATCCCCGCCAACTCCCGCAAAGGCGTCCCCTTCGTCGCCGGAAGGTAACCCCAACGACCGAGATGAGTTTTCTTCTTCCTGTCCTATCTCTCTGGAGCAGTCTCTACGGGATCTTCGACCTTTGACCGATTTTCAACGCAGAACCAAGGTCGCCGCCTGCGCCAAGCACTACGTCGGCGACGGGGGGACGGAGAAGGGCATCAACGAGAACAACACCATCATCGACTTCCACGGCCTGCTCGGCATCCACATGCCTCCCTACTACAACGCCGTCGCCAGGGGCGTCTCCACGGTGATGGTCTCATTCTCGAGCTGGAACGGGGTCAAGATGCATGCCAACCGCTTCCTCATCACCGACTTCCTCAAGAACAGGCTCCGGTTCAGGGTACATGGCCCGTCTCCACCGTTAAACCGCGACATTCCCTTCTGTCACCTAACGGCTCTCCATCTCCAGGGATTTGTCATCACCGATTGGCAGGGCCTCGACAGAATCACCTCCCCACCTCGAAAGAACTACACCTTCTCTCTCCAGACCGGCATCCTCGCCGGCGTAGATATGGTCCTCTCTCTCTCTCTCTCTCTCTCTCTCTCCGTAGATATATACGTTTATATGACATTGATCAGGGCTGGTGCCGATAATGTTGCAGATCATGCTTCCCTTCAACTTGACCGAATATCTCCGAGACACCACGTACTTGGTGAAGGGGGGGTTCATCCCGATAAGTAGGATAGACGACGCCGTGAGGAGGATCCTGCGGGTGAAGCTCTCCATGGGGCTCTTCGAGAATCCCTTCCCGGAGCCCTCCCTGGGCGACCAGCTGGGCAAGCAGGTGCGTTGACTCGAACTCTTCTACGTAGATGGCCGGAGGCTTTGCCGACCTTTGATGGGTATGACTCACCGGAGACGACGGCGCCGCCGCCACGCAGGAGCACCGGGATCTGGCGAGGGAGGCGGTGAGGAAGTCGCTGGTGCTGCTGAAGAACGGGAAGCCTGGGGCTGAGCCGCTGCTGCCACTCCCCAAGAAGGCCCCCCGCATCCTCGTCGCGGGCAGCCACGCCGACAACCTCGGCTACCAGTGCGGCGGCTGGACGATCACTTGGCAGGGCCTCAGCGGCAACAACCACACCCTCGGTAAGCATCCTTTTAGACAGAGAGAGAGATGAGCTTCGGGACAGGAACGACGATCTGGGTTGTTCTCCGAAGAAAAGATTGCTGGACTCTCTCTCTCTCTCTCTCTCTCTCTGTCTTTGAGATCATTAAGAGGAGCTTGGGGGGTCGAATTCTAAAGCTTCTTTCTCTTTGGTTCGGGGGCAGGAACGACGATCCTCGCCGGCGTGAAGAAAGCGGTGGATCCGGCCACGGAGGTTGTCTATTCAGAGAACCCCGCCGCTGATTTCGTCGAGAACGGCGGCTTCTCCTTCGCCGTGGTGGTCGTCGGAGAGCACCCCTACGCTGAGGGAGATGGCGACAGCACCAACCTCACACTGGCCTCTCCCGGGCCGGAGACGATTCGCTGCGTGTGCGAGCACGTCAAGTGCGTCGTCGTCGTCGTCTCCGGCCGTCCGGTGGTGGTGGAACCCTACCTCGCCGGAGTTGACGCTCTGGTGGCGGCGTGGTTGCCGGGGACGGAGGGCGCTGGGGTGGCAGACGTCCTGTTCGGCGACCATGGATTCTCCGGGAAGCTCGGTCGCACCTGGTTCAGATCTGTAGATCAGCTCCCCATGAACGTCGGCGACACGCACTACGATCCCCTCTTTCCCTTCGGCTACGGCCTCACTACGGAGCCTTGTAGAACCTGAGGCACTCTCTGTCTCTGTCTAATAAGACACCATGGATGGATTATCGTGAGAAGGGAGTTAATTTTCCCTCGGAATAACTCGATCTTGATGGACATCACTGTTACACGCTTGATGACCTAGTAGAGTATACATTCAGGTACTCTTCGAGATTTTCCGATCGCAGGCGCTTTTTTTGAGTTCTCCTCCCGTTCGTTCTTCGAGAAGGATGGGAAACCAATAAATCATGCGTAAGGACAAAGAGAGAGTGAGAGAGAGAGCCCAGCTCAAGTATCCATGATAAACCTCCAAAAAATGTGCCTACTTGGTTAGTTAAAATTATAAAGCGGCCACTGGCGTCCTTCCACCATGAGGTCAACGGTTATGGTAGATGGGGAAGTCGAATGCTATTGACAATTGGTTTAGACACGTGGCATACAAAAAAATCCTTTTGCTATGATGGCCCACTCCATAGAACTAACTGTGGGACTGGGTAAATCATTCATGACGGTCTGCCTCAGATGAGGCTTAGAGCAAATCCATACGTGCCGTAGTGCGGAGACTCGACATCCTGGCAAGTCCATCCGACCCCCACATAAAGAAGAGGAGAAGGTAAACGTACCCATAGACGACAGACTTGTGCACATCTGAAAAGTCAGGCGTCAATAACGCGTTCATGACAACAACAAGGCTTAGGCTCTTAGCCTGAAAAGTCAACGCCAATGAGTGTGTGAAGGAAAGAAGTTACAAGGGTTTGCGCTAGAATTGCGATGAAAAATTCCAGTCCAGCAATTGCTCTTGGAGGGCACCTGGCTAGAGGAAGAGGTGGAAGCTGAAAAATAGAAAGTTAGTCAACTCATGTTAGAATGCCGAAAAGCCTCGCCTTTATCTCACGCTCCTGAAGCAATACATGCAACAGGGGGATGTGTGGATAAGGCTGCGGTAATGAATTTGTCTCGCATAGAGTTAGGACCCCTCATCTTCTTGAGCCCCTACATTGCTAGAAAGCCTGTGCCAAGTGTGATGAAGGAAGAGGAATCTGGAAGAAAAACTAGCTAGAGGTAATGGGAACGAAAACGGAGGAGACTTTCTGGCTGTTGACCTCTGGGGATTATGATGTGGTCTTGGGAAATCAGAGGGTGCAAAACCTAAAGTCCGTAATTTGGGCCGAGGAGAAGGAGAGCACACTAATGATACACCTATCTGTAAGCTTGAAGAATATCTCAAGGCGAGAAAGGTGGAGACGACAAGATGCAAAGAACCTGGGAGGATGTTTGCTCCGCAAGGGCAGATTCTTTCTTCTTCCTCTTCCCCACCGAAGACTCAAGCTCTTCTGGAGATCAGTGATAAATCCAGTTGGAGGGGCACTTAGTGTTTCGCAGGGTCCTCAAGCACCTCCAATGGGTGTCCTTTGGAATGGAGGGAGAAAAGGGAGGAAGAGGAAAGACGAGAGGGATTACGACAAACCGTGATAACCATAGTTCCGTCAACTCTTATGGGGGAAAACATGGCGAAGCAAGGAACTGCAGCGGTGGCAGAAGTAGTAGTGCAGAGGAGGCGTTAGAGAAAGAAGGTTGCTCAGCATGGACATATTATGACCAAATTCACGCCATAGTTTTCTGACCTCGTTCACATAGGCAACGTTGTAGCTAAGCAGGTTGCCATGCAACATTAAACCCATAAACCTTGGTAATGTGTATGGCTTATGCAAGCGACCTAAAGTGGTTATATCAGGTCCCCATAGTTAAGGATGTAGATAGATAATAGGTGCGTTTATAATGATGCAACGGCAAGAGGTGGGAAAAATTCACCCCTATGACGTGGATATGATGAAGGCATGTAATACCTTATTGAGTCACATCTGTCATGATATGCTGAAGTGGGCTGGCCTACTTCAACCTCTCCCCTCATAAATGAATATATTTTCTTTTGTTGAAGATAGTGAATTGGGATATTAATTTTCATTTTTAGGGTTTTGACTCTTTGTGCGCTCTTCTCACTCACTATTCCAAGCTATCTCGTTCTCAATTTTGTGCTGTTTATTTTTCTATTTTAGTTTTTTCTTACAAAATAGTATTACATGGAGAATTATTAAAGAAGAGTTTCATAGGGATAGAAATGTCACATAATCAAAACTTCAAACAATATGTAGAAAATTTGAGATAAGCTTTATGAAGCTAGATGAATTTTTTCATGAGTTTTTATCTCGAGTTTTTGTATTTTTTAATCAAATGAGAATTTTTAGAGAAGATTTGATGCGGGACAAAGGGCCAGAATAGATCTCCCTAAAAAGAGTTACACATTAATCTTTAAAGTTGATTAAAATTAAAACTTTGATGACTTAATATTCGGATGATCTCACAGTTTTAGAAGAATTAGGATCATTAATTACCTATTAGGTTATCTAATTCAAAGAATCAAGCAAAACTTCTCAACCAGGGTTAGGACCATCAATCTTTCATACAAAGGTGGCTATCCTATGAATCTCACAAATTTAATAGTAAAGATTTAAAAACAATGACCAACTTCACAAGTAATTTAAAAATCAACACACTTTTTCAATGAAGATTTTTAATATCTTGAAGATTCTTGTTGGTTCGAGTTCCATGAGATTTGTCAGTGATTTTCTAAGGTTCAAACTGAGTGATTTGCACCAAGGAGTCGACTGGTGTGGTTTGAAGTGAATGGGTTATTTGGGCCGGAGGTTAAAAATGAGGTCCAAAAGTAAGGTGAAATAATAAAATAATGATGAAAAGAAAAGAAAAGGTAGAGAGAGAAAGGGGGGGCAGAATGAGGGCATCGGTGGGAGAGAGAGAGAGAGAGAGAGAGAGAGAGAGAGAGAGTGAGGGGGGGTATCTGGCGACGGTGGGAGAGAGAAGAAAGAGAGAAAGAGAGAAAATGAGGGAGGGTACGTGGCGATGGGGGGAAAGAGAAGAGAGCGTCTCGTCAGGAAGGAAGGCTAAAGTCGGTAGGTGGCGATAGTGAGAGAAAGAATGGAAGAGGGTTCCACGATAAGAGGACGGCCGGAAGGGGGTCTAGTGGCGACGGCAGGCTGGTGACAGGGCGGACGACGAGGAGGCGGAACGGCAGCGACGAGTCAGGCGGTGATGAGGCAGAACGGTGGTGACAATGGGAGAGGAAAGAAAGGTGGGTTTGGTGACAGGCCGGATGGCTAGAAGGCGGAACGATGGCGACAGGGTGGACGGCTAGGAGGCGGAACGTGGACAAGCGGATGACGACGAGATGAAAGGACGGCAAGGTGGGAGAAGAGACGGAAAGAGGTCCCCTTAATCCAAATTCAATTTTAACTTTTTTTTTCGAGTAATCTTGAGTCTGAGTATTTATAGGAAATAGAGGAAGGTAGTTAGAGGCGTCCCCTCCCAAAGGACGCCAAGCAGTGTCTCTTGGAGGCAGAGACGCCTTCTTTAGGGGAGAAGGGGTGCCTGTGTGACGTGTCTCTTGGGTCCACCAAAGGGAATGAACCCTCATATTGATTCCATCAAGATATCACTGAAAGGAAAATTTTTGAGAAGATATTAAAAAGTATTCAATCTAAGTTTTCTGATTATGATCTTACTACAGTCAAATAATCCAAAGATTTATCTACATATTTCCAAATTGAGTTACTTACTAGCATATGAAGGGTGGATGAATAGGTAGACAAAAAGTCACTTAAGTAATCATTCCAAACTAAGGTTGAGATCTTAAAAGGGGCTAAAAATTGTAGAGGCACTTTTAGTCAACGTCAGGATAATAGAGGTTGAAGTTGATGAGGTCATAAAAATTATAAGTCGTGGTTATGAAAGAGGCTATAATAAATCTGGTTCTTGACAATAGTAGGCAGATGGAAGTGACGATAAAAGTAGAAACTTAACGATAAGGTTATTTAGTCTCAATTTTGTAAGAAATATGGGACATTAAAACCTATTATTATGAGAAGGTGAAAGAAAAGTCAAATACCACATAATGAAGGTAAAACCATGTAAAAGTCATGTAAAAGTCATGCAGCATGACAAAAGAATAATGTAAGAGGATTTTTAACCCCTTTTAGAAAGCATGACATTCTATCACTTTTGTGTGAAAGCCATTGCAAAGTCTAGATAAATACATATATAGGATCACTAACTAATCAGCCAGGTATTGCGTATCCTCAGTGAAGAGTTCAAGGTTACTATGAGCTGGAAATCAAATACAAAAGAACAGATCGATGTAGCTTTATTCATTCTCTTTTGAAAATGATGACGTCGATATGAGTGAAAAAAAATTATGTTAAGTTCTCGACTAGATTCACAATAATATGAGCATAGCTCAAGTTCCCTATTAATGTATTCAGGATAAGCAGCAATATGAATCATCAGGAACTGACTGGGATGTCCCCAGGCACTAATGTGCCTGCGGCCCAGGTTGAGAGCGAGCCTATGACCCAGTCCTACTATCACAAGAAAATAAAGATGTACCGCTAGGAGAAGAGGGCAGATAAGGTTTGTCGAAGAGCAACGGGCTTAAGCCGGGGGAGAGTGACAGGGTCCTCTCTAACTGACTCTCTGATGTCCTAGGGTTCCTTCGCGAACCCTGTTATCTTGCTGGAGTGCATTTGTGTTCTCTTTTCTTCTCCTTGGTTCGGTTTCTTCCCCTCCGGGCTCCCTTCTCTCTCTCTCTGTACAAACGTACATATGTATATATACATTTATATAAATATATTCATGCATGGTTACTTAGAAACAATCGACGTAATGAAACATTTTCAGCTCCAACATAGATGATATACTTGTTCTCTCTGTCCATCAACAATTTCCTAACACTTGAACCAGATGCTGGAGAAGATTCTGGAACGGGAAAGAGAAGATTTGCAAAAGGAAAGGGAAGACAACCGGAAAGAGAAACAAAGGCGGCAAAATATGGGGACAATTATCGTAGGCACTCTTCGTCATGTTAAGCAGGTACGATGAATATATATACTGTTAGAGCGAGAGCGAGAGAGAGAGAGAGAGAGCAGCTCGCTGGTGAGGACTGGAATGCACAGGCGATAACAAGTGCCTATCCTACTTCTTTGGAAATGAGTACAAATGAAAAGATGGGGACAATAGGACCAGCACATGGTTGTTCTGGCTACACGACATCCGAGATACTTTTCCAAATGGAAAAAAATATACACTACCATAGTTACTGATTAGTGGATGATTGCCAGATTGTCAACTAGAACCCTCTTGAGCTAATAGAGGTCAGATGCGTATGCTCATCAACAGGCCTTAAAATACCAAATATATACGGATAAAAATATTATTTTTGTATTTCTTTCAACTGCCCATGTGCTCGGTTGCCAGATTGGAAAAAAATGGTCTAAATGGAAAAGTCTCTCGGATGTCATGTAGCCCGCCCTGTTATACCAGAACAACCATGTGCTGGCCCTGTTGTGCGCATCTTTTCATTTGTACTCATTTCAAAGAAGTAGGATAGGAACTTGTTATCGCCTGTACATTCCAGTCCTCACCAGCGAGCTCCTCTCTCTCCCTCCCTCTCTCTCTCTCTCTAACAGTATATATATTCATCGTACCTGCTTAACATGACATAGGTTACGAACCAATTTTTTCCAAACTGCCCATTTTACCATTTTTTTGGTAAATGGGGAGTTGAAAAAAATACAAAAATAATATTTTTTATCTGTACATATTTGGTATTTTAAGGCCTGTTGATGAGCATACGCATCTGACCTCTATGAGAGAGAGAGAGAGAGAGAGAGAGAGAGAGAGAGAGAGAGAGAGAGAGAGAGAGGAGTACGGTTTAATAGTCAAGTCATTTTCCCCCTTCTTCCCTTCGTTGTTCCACCTTGTAAGGGAACATGGCTGGCCCTGATTGTAGCTTGTTGACTTCTCAAGTATTCAAGCCCCCTGAACAGTTCGATCTAACTGTGGGAACTACAATTTTACGGATGGCTCTAACTGTGAGAGATGAGGCCATTCAGCCCGTTTCTATTTTTTTCCTTTTGTTGGGTTGGATTGGTCAACAGCTTCGATGAAGGTATTTTGACTCCATCACGGTGACGTCGGTTACATTGCTAGTAGATGATGAAGGAGCTATCATGGAGTTATTATTACATGCTAAACTTGGATACAAATCACTCCGTAATTTCCAGGTTTAGCTATTTATTTTTGTCAACTAGATAATTACACTCGACTATATTTACCTTGAAGAGAGAGAGAGAGAGAGAGAGAGAGAGAGTACGGTCTAAGAATGTCAAAGGTTATGGCGAAACTTGTATTTCTGTGTGGCCTTTGCTTATAACGAACAATCATACATGTGCAAATAACATTATTTAAGCGTCTGTGAATTAAATATTTTAAAGGGATGTAATTAAAATAAAATTACGATGCCCGCCAAATCGTCTCTGAAGAGCTGACGAGATGCATTAGACAACTGTCGGTTACTTATTAGGCTCGTCTGACGCCACGTGACTGGATGAGACTCACAATCTGCCGAAAGCAGCATAGACTCACGTCGCCGCATGATCCAGTCCTCATAAAAGAGTGTTTTTCTCGCATGCCGCCGACGCAGCTGGATAACGAGTGCTGTGAGATATCTTCAGCCTATAAAATCCTGGATAACGAGTGCTGGGGGGTCCCTTCAGCCTTGAAGAATCCGAAGAGTTCACACTCCGAGTCTCCCCATCCCTACCTTCCATAAACTGCGTCCGTATGCTCCCTCTCTCTCCAATTCCGGTCTTCACCAGTACTTGTTGGTGCACTATGCTTTGCCGTGATCTATCTCTGGTGACAAGGCGGAGGGAGATGAGCTCCGGGCCAGAGGCGGAGAGATGGAGGGTGGCAGCGATCGCCGTCGCGATCTTCTGCTTCTGGTCCGCAGCGGCGGCAGCAGAGTACCCCAAATACAAGGACCCCAAGCAGCCGCTGAATGTTCGCCTGAACGACCTACTGAGCCGCATGACCCTCGAGGAGAAGATCGGCCAGATGGCGCAGATCGAGCGGTCCATCGCGTCCCCTGAGGTCATGAAGAAGTACTTCGTGGGTCCGTAGGCGATTCCCATTGCTCTCTCTCTCTTTCTCTCGCTAGAGTAGGTCTCATGACTGGTGATGTTGGCGCAGGGAGTGTGCTGAGTGGTGGCGGGAGTGTTCCCGTTGAGAAGGCTTCGGTGGGGGACTGGGTGAAATTGGTGGCGGGGCTCCAGGAAGGTGCCCTCTCCACCCGCCTGGGAATTCCCATGCTCTACGGGATCGACGCAGTCCACGGCCACAACAATGTCTACAAGGCCACCGTCTTCCCCCATAATATTGGCCTTGGAGCCACCAGGCGAGTGTTCTCTTACAGAAAGCCTCCTCCCAATTCCTTAACTCCCCTGGGCATCACCATGATTCTTCCACTGCCCTCTCCCCTCTTGCAGGGATCCCGAGCTGGTGAAGAGGATCGGGGCGGCGACTGCACTTGAAGTCCGAGCGACCGGGATCCCCTACGTCTTTGCCCCTTGCGTCGCCGTAAGTATTCCCTTTCTTCTTCCTCTTCTTCTTCTTCTTCGTCATTATCCTGAACTTTTTCTGGCGTTCGATGGACCAGGTGTGCAGAGACCCGAGATGGGGCCGCTGCTACGAGAGCTTCAGCGAGGACCCGAAGATCGTCCAGGCGATGACGGCGGTCATCTCCGGCCTGCAGGGAGATATCCCCGCCAACTCCCGCAAAGGCGTCCCCTTCGTCGCCGGAAGGTAACCCCAACGACCGAGATGAGTTTTCTTCTTCCTGTCCTATCTCTCTGGAGCAGTCTCTACGGGATCTTCGACCTTTGACCGATTTTCAACGCAGAACCAAGGTCGCCGCCTGCGCCAAGCACTACGTCGGCGACGGGGGGACGGAGAAGGGCATCAACGAGAACAACACCATCATCGACTTCCACGGCCTGCTCGGCATCCACATGCCTCCCTACTACAACGCCGTCGCCAGGGGCGTCTCCACGGTGATGGTCTCATTCTCGAGCTGGAACGGGGTCAAGATGCATGCCAACCGCTTCCTCATCACCGACTTCCTCAAGAACAGGCTCCGGTTCAGGGTACATGGCCCGTCTCCACCGTTAAACCGCGACATTCCCTTCTGTCACCTAACGGCTCTCCATCTCCAGGGATTTGTCATCACCGATTGGCAGGGCCTCGACAGAATCACCTCCCCACCTCGAAAGAACTACACCTTCTCTCTCCAGACCGGCATCCTCGCCGGCGTAGATATGGTCCTCTCTCTCTCTCTCTCTCTCTCTCTCTCCGTAGATATATACGTTTATATGACATTGATCAGGGCTGGTGCCGATAATGTTGCAGATCATGCTTCCCTTCAACTTGACCGAATATCTCCGAGACACCACGTACTTGGTGAAGGGGGGGTTCATCCCGATAAGTAGGATAGACGACGCCGTGAGGAGGATCCTGCGGGTGAAGCTCTCCATGGGGCTCTTCGAGAATCCCTTCCCGGAGCCCTCCCTGGGCGACCAGCTGGGCAAGCAGGTGCGTTGACTCGAACTCTTCTACGTAGATGGCCGGAGGCTTTGCCGACCTTTGATGGGTATGACTCACCGGAGACGACGGCGCCGCCGCCACGCAGGAGCACCGGGATCTGGCGAGGGAGGCGGTGAGGAAGTCGCTGGTGCTGCTGAAGAACGGGAAGCCTGGGGCTGAGCCGCTGCTGCCACTCCCCAAGAAGGCCCCCCGCATCCTCGTCGCGGGCAGCCACGCCGACAACCTCGGCTACCAGTGCGGCGGCTGGACGATCACTTGGCAGGGCCTCAGCGGCAACAACCACACCCTCGGTAAGCATCCTTTTAGACAGAGAGAGAGATGAGCTTCGGGACAGGAACGACGATCTGGGTTGTTCTCCGAAGAAAAGATTGCTGGACTCTCTCTCTCTCTCTCTCTCTCTCTGTCTTTGAGATCATTAAGAGGAGCTTGGGGGGTCGAATTCTAAAGCTTCTTTCTCTTTGGTTCGGGGGCAGGAACGACGATCCTCGCCGGCGTGAAGAAAGCGGTGGATCCGGCCACGGAGGTTGTCTATTCAGAGAACCCCGCCGCTGATTTCGTCGAGAACGGCGGCTTCTCCTTCGCCGTGGTGGTCGTCGGAGAGCACCCCTACGCTGAGGGAGATGGCGACAGCACCAACCTCACACTGGCCTCTCCCGGGCCGGAGACGATTCGCTGCGTGTGCGAGCACGTCAAGTGCGTCGTCGTCGTCGTCTCCGGCCGTCCGGTGGTGGTGGAACCCTACCTCGCCGGAGTTGACGCTCTGGTGGCGGCGTGGTTGCCGGGGACGGAGGGCGCTGGGGTGGCAGACGTCCTGTTCGGCGACCATGGATTCTCCGGGAAGCTCGGTCGCACCTGGTTCAGATCTGTAGATCAGCTCCCCATGAACGTCGGCGACACGCACTACGATCCCCTCTTTCCCTTCGGCTACGGCCTCACTACGGAGCCTTGTAGAACCTGAGGCACTCTCTGTCTCTGTCTAATAAGACACCATGGATGGATTATCGTGAGAAGGGAGTTAATTTTCCCTCGGAATAACTCGATCTTGATGGACATCACTGTTACACGCTTGATGACCTAGTAGAGTATACATTCAGGTACTCTTCGAGATTTTCCGATCGCAGGCGCTTTTTTTGAGTTCTCCTCCCGTTCGTTCTTCGAGAAGGATGGGAAACCAATAAATCATGCGTAAGGACAAAGAGAGAGTGAGAGAGAGAGCCCAGCTCAAGTATCCATGATAAACCTCCAAAAAATGTGCCTACTTGGTTAGTTAAAATTATAAAGCGGCCACTGGCGTCCTTCCACCATGAGGTCAACGGTTATGGTAGATGGGGAAGTCGAATGCTATTGACAATTGGTTTAGACACGTGGCATACAAAAAAATCCTTTTGCTATGATGGCCCACTCCATAGAACTAACTGTGGGACTGGGTAAATCATTCATGACGGTCTGCCTCAGATGAGGCTTAGAGCAAATCCATACGTGCCGTAGTGCGGAGACTCGACATCCTGGCAAGTCCATCCGACCCCCACATAAAGAAGAGGAGAAGGTAAACGTACCCATAGACGACAGACTTGTGCACATCTGAAAAGTCAGGCGTCAATAACGCGTTCATGACAACAACAAGGCTTAGGCTTTTAGCCTGAAAAGTCAACGCCAACGAGTGTGGACTCTCTTGACTACGATATCCTGCTAGAACCTGAGATCCACGGATCTGAGGTTCTAGCACTACGATATTCTCTCTCTCTCTCTCTCTTTCTCTCTCTCTCTCTCTCTCCCTGTGTGCCCTTCCGTATGATTTATTGACTTTCCATCCTTCTCGAAGAACGAACGGGAGGAGAACTCGAAAAAAAAGCGCCTGCGATCGGAATATCTCGAAGAGTAACTGAATGTAAACTCTATTAGGTCCTCAAGCGTGTGATAGTGATGTCCATCAGGATCGAGTTATTCCGAGGGAAAATTACCTCTCTTCTCACGATAATCCATCCATGGTGTCTTATTAGAGAGAGAGAGAGAGAAACCAAGACATACAGAGACAGAGACAGAGAGAGTTCATCCCAAGTATCCGTGATAAAGATCCAGAAAATATGCCTACTTGGTTGGTGAAAGTATAAAGCTGACATGACCAATTGGTCAACGGTTATGGTTGATGGAGAAGTCAAATGCTATAGCCAATTGTGAGGACTCATTTTCCAATTTAATCACCAGGTTGACACATGGCATACAAAAAATCCTTTAGCTACTTTGATGTACTCCATAGAACTAATTGTTGAACCAGGTAAATCATTCATGATGGGTCTGCTTCAGATGAGGCTTAGAGCAGATCCATACATCCCATAGCGAGGAGACTAGACCTCTTGGGCAAGTCCATCTGAGTCCCACATATAGACGAGGAGAAGGTCAACGTACCCATTGATGACATATTTGTGCAGATCTGAAAAGCCAGGCATCAGTACTGCCTTCATGACATCAAAGCTAATGTCCTTACCATGAAGAAGTCAACACCAAT